GCGAGTGGAACGGCCAGGCCGGCGTTTTCAGTGGCCAAGATCGGTGTAATAACGGCTTCGAGGGTTGAGGCGGACCACTACGACACCACGACCGGTCTAGCGCCGTCGACTTCAGCTTCCGAGTTGGGCGGACAGGATGAACATCCAATTTGCGCATCCCTGAAACACGGGCACCACACGCGCTGTCAAAGAATCGATCGCTTGCGAGCGCTAGCCCAACGCGCCCCAGCCCAGGCCATTATATACCTCGACACCCATTCTCTTCCTCTTGCTCTCCTCATCACGCTCTTTCACGCCTGCCAATTCAGTTGTACATCACATCCAACTACCCACACTCTTTAACAAGAACAAACAACTACTTCAAAATGCGTGCCGCTATCGTCGCTGCCCTGGCTGGCTCTGCCATCGCCTCTTACGTGAGTGCTGTCGTGTCGATGAACATCAACGAACCGTCGCTGACGATCAATTCAGGCTCCTCCAGCCTACGACGCTCCTCCAAGCTACGGCGCTGAGACCACCTCCTCCGTCCCAGCTGCTTACCCAACTGAGACCAAGCCAGCTGGCTACGCTCCTCCTCCGGTCTACGAGTCCAAGTCCGAGACTCACCCAGCCGCCTACCCAACTGAGACCAAGCCAGCTGGATACGCTCCACCATCAACCTACGAGTCCAAGTCCGAGACTCACCCAGCTACGTAAGTTGCGCATTGCAAATGATTCGAAACCGCAATCTGACAATATCACAGCTACCCAGCCTCCACCTGGTCGACTGTGTACACCACCTACTGCCCTGAGCCAACCACCTTCACCCACGAGAGCAAGACCTACGTTGTCACCAAGGCCACCACCTTGACCATCCCAGCTGTCTACACCACCCACCCAGCTCCAGTCCCAAGCTCTCCATCCAGCCCAGAGCAGCCAGAGACCCACCCAGCTCCTCCGGTCTACACCCACCCAGCTCCATCTGCTCCAGTCTCCCCACCAAAGTACCCAGTTGGCAACAACGGCACCACCCCAGTTGCCCCAACTGGCTCCACCCCAACCAAGCCAGCCACCTACACCGGTGCTGCTGTCGCCAACGTTGCCGGTGGTGCTTTCGCTGGTGTCGCTGCCCTCGCTGCTTTCTTCTTGTAAATGTCTCAACCTATCTGACCTACCTCTCTCCCTCGAGAGGGTAGTCACCCAGATACGATTGTTACGTTTACTCGTTTAATACCACACGTAATGAGAACGGAAAGAAGAATCAAGTTCAATCATCAATCAGCACGCGAGCGGGACGGGATCTTGTACAGTTAGCAGTTCAACAGGCTGTTGTCGTGTAGAAGGTATCGGAAAACAGACATTATAAGGGAAGCAACTACAGTTTTGACGACGTGAAACGCAGAAACCCCGGCCGGGTATGCATCTCGCATTGTTACACATTTTTTCGCATTACATTACAATCATCTATGATTCGTCCCGGGGCGATAGATGCTGGTTTCGTCCCCATCTACAACAAGTCGTCATTAATGTAATAGATTTGGCAGCACATTGATACCCTTTTCGCTTTTTTCTTCGAGCATTCTTCACACTATCATTGTCGCCATTGTCTTGACATCTTCATCGCTTCGACTTTGCCTTGCCTTGACTTGACTGCCCTCGATCGACTTGATATGATAGCGACGACTCTATCGTCACCACTGCAACTCTACAGCAAGCCATGCGCCAGAACGTTTCGCCTTCCAGTCGCACCGACTTTTGTGGTCGCTCTTGTTTTCTGCTCTTGTTTTCTGCTCTTGTTTTCTTTGCGCAACAATCGTCGCAAAGCAGGAGATGTCGTCTGACACCCTGGTCGTGTGCCACTCGTGTTCACCACGGCTCCCTTGCAATATGTAACCCAACTCCACAAAGCATACGATCTCGATCTTAACCTTATCTTATTAAACACTCGTGGCCTGACCGATTGCATCCATGCGAGATCCGTGTTGTGTAAAGTGCTTCACAACGATATGGTTCTGGAAGATTCACGCGTTGCTTCAACGCTGTCGGTAGCGATCGAATACTACAGATTTCGCTGGATATGAGAGTGCAAGACGCTTTCGAGAAGGCGACCGAGTGGCAGTTTCATTGCATTGCCCAACATGAGCGTGGTGAACCTGTGGCGTTCGTAGCAATGCACGTGTGCTACGTAGAGATGTGAGGCCAGATTGGGACTCATAACGCGCCACAAGTCGTCCGACTACCGCGACCATCTTGTTTTCATAGACGATTCCATGAAGACCACGAACCTTCGTTCTCCTGATCTTACGCTTCGCAATTTATTACTTCCACCCTCTATCGCTTCGTAGTTCGTTGCGTCCGGGGAGTCTTGCCCGAGAACGAGGTTGGCAGTCATATCGAATTGGGCCAGCTCAGTCGTGTCCACGTTGATGTTCTCCCAGCCTGCGGGAATAGATCATGCGCAGGTGTTGCACTCTCGTAAAGAGCAATCGTTGATTCCCTTTGGCTCAAAGTAGCGGTCCTCGCAACCCGCCAGACAGGCGCCATGAGAGCCGCCATTACAAGCAGCGAATGTAAATGGTACGACCGCGAGGAGAAGAGTGATGAGGCGCATCGTGGAGATTCTTGCGCTTGCAGGTTGGTGTTTCTGGTCTGAAGAAGTGGGCTTCGCTAGCTGGGGGAATTTGTGTGACAGTGGCTGGATACAGAGGATGTGTGTAGTGGCTGTGGTTACACAGGCACTCGCAGAACTGCTTTGATATTTATCTCCTTGCACTGCGTCGGAAATTCGGTGCTTGCGGTGTCCTTGTAGTATGGCGAAACTAGTGAGGAACCGCGATGAGTCCGCGCAAGCACTTGGTGCAATGGACTACTGCGATCAACACAATTCTCCACTTCGGGCAGTCCCAGGTGCTGGCATTGCTCTTGTTTGAGAGCCACATCCAACAATGTCTAACGCAGCTCATTAGCATCAGCGCCGGCCGTGCGAACGAGCAGAGCCGTCCGGTTCTGGTGAATCTCGAATCTGGATCGGGTTGGACACATGCACGGAATGCGCTTCCTTTCTTTGCCGGCAGGTAGAAAAGGTCAGCTGCTTCTGAACCAGGCTGCGTTTCTAGATGTAGTCTTGCGAAAATGCTTGTCATCGTGCACAAAGCGCGCCTGTTCAGTAACACAATGCACCTTATCACTTGCGACTTTACAGTCGTGTACCACCGTGCTGGCTGGCTTATTCCAGGTAGACGACACCCAGCCGGGTCAAGTATTGCGCCTTCCTGAAGGCTTTTCAGCAAAGAATGCCGCGAGCAGCGGTTGACGCTGTGAGGCTTTGGGCGCACGCCTCTCGCCTGGTCGCCGGAATGCTCTTCGTCGTGCGCTGCGAAAGCTGCTGGTCTGAAACCAAAGCGCGCGGGTATATGCAGAATGCGGACAGCGAAGGCGACTGTGCCTCACGCAGCGCGTACCTCAAATATGCGCTGGTATCCCAATCCCTTTTTCGACCACTTTTCCGACTTTCCTTCTCTTTACCGTGCTCTTGCTATCAAGTCAGGCAAGTGCCCTAGGACCTGGAAGGGACGCGTCACCAACGACGACGCGTCTCAAACATATTTGAACAGGCTCACGCCCTATCACCCTTCTCTTTCGCTCTTTTTCGCACAATACTTGCGCAGTGTCACCCATCCTGCTGAGGCTCTTCTGCAGATTCGACTGCACGATGCATCGGACGACATGTTCACGGCTCTCCTACGGGCGGAGAGGACAGCTTCCGAGACCGGATCGCGGGGCGCAGACGTCGATACGCAGTCGCTGAGCCGGGACGAGTTGCAACAAGAGTCCAACTCTGCGCGACAAGCAGGCCCAGAAGGCATATCTGTGGTATATGCCCTCGTGCTGATGCGTTCAACTTGGCGGACCACGAGCACGTATTCACGGCTCTCGTGGGGATCGACCGTGCAGCCTTTCAGAGGCAATGATTGCGTCTGGGGCTCGCTATTAGCTGTGGGTCACCAGCGCGTACCGGCCTACTTTTGGCTGCACTTCTTGAGGCTGAGTGGCCGCCGAGGATGCACCCCTGGGAAATCGCATCTCCCCTTCATCTGCCAAGGCCCGCCCGAGACACTACTCATGCCCTTCGAATTGTCCAAGCAAATCGATCAGAGGCCAGCTCAAAAACGACCGCAAACGCGTAACAACGAAGGCAGTGGCAAGTACGATGCGTGGCGATCATGATACTTATCAAACGCTGGGATACGAACGCCGCGGGCCCTGTTTTGTGTGCCGTGGACTGCCTCACCACAGCGCACCGGATGCGCTCAGCAACAGTCTATGGAAATACATGTGCATGACACACCACATCGCGCAATGCTGATCAAGATGTCATTGTCTTTCGCTGCACTTGAGACGATTGTTTGATGTGGTTGTGAAACGCCTATTCTGGCTGATGCTCGGCGCATACGAATCCATTCTCTCCTGCCAATGCTTGGTAGAGGCTTGGTACTTGGCGATGCTCCTGGCTGTTAAGAGGAATGGCGACGCGGTTTGTCACTCGCTCTCAACACCTTTTGCCTCTTCTCAGTATTCTTGTTGTATTGCCTTCACACACACTCGTTTCTTCTAACTGTCAGCTTTCTTTCTAACCCCCGTACCTTCGCTCCTCGAACCCCACGAATTTGAACGAACTCCCGCAAAAACCGACACGATGAAGGCCGTCCTCAGCGCCGGCGCGCTGGCCTTCGCCTCCCTCGCTTCCGCAAAGGTTCTCCCACGCCAGAGCCAGGGAAACCTCCCACCGATCGTCTCTGAAGGCAATGCATTCTGGACAGAGAGCGGAGAGCGCTTCTACATTCGCGGTGTCGCCTACCAACCCGGTGGTGCGGCTGACGCTCAAGATCCTCTGTTGAATCTGGAGCAATTCCGCGAGGATGTCGAGGCCTTCAAAGATTTGGGAATCAACACCATTCGTATTTACACAGTCGACAACACCGGCGACCACGACGAGGCCATGAAGCTGTTGGACGATGCTGGCATCTACCTTGCGCTCGATGTCAACACTCCAAAGGCTTCGCTCAACAGAGAGAACATCGACTCGCTGCACGCCTCGTACAACGATGTCTACCTTCAATCTGTCTTCGCTACCATTGACACTTTCTCCAAGTACAGTATGTGCTCACTTATGACTGTCTGTCCATCGCAAGGCGCTAACAGCATCCAGACAACCTCCTCGCTTTCTTCTCCGCAAACGAGGTCATCAACGCCCGCAACAACACCAACTCTGCCCCATACATCAAGGCTGTTACCCGTGACATGCGCAACTACATCCGCGCAAACTCTCCTCGCCCAATCCCAGTCGGCTACTCCTCCGCTGATGTTGCCGAGAACATTGAGTCTCAAGCTCTCTACTTCGCTTGCGGTGAGGACGAGATCGCCCGCTCTGACTTCTTCGCCTTCAACGACTACTCTTGGTGCGACCCATCTGACTTCCGCAAGTCTGGCTGGGACGCCAAGGTCAAGACCTACAGCAACTACTCTCTGCCTCTCTTCCTCTCTGAATTTGGTTGCATCACCAACCGCCGTGACTGGAACGAGATCGCCGCCCTCTACAGCGACGACATGACTGCTGTCTACTCTGGTGGTCTTGCTTACGAGTACACCCTCGAGGCTAACGGATACGGTCTCGTCGAGATGGGTGAGGACGGAAAGGCCACTCCAAACGGTGACTTCGACCGCCTGAAGGAGGCCTACGAGAAGACCCCAGCTCCATCTGGCGATGGTGGTGCTCGCCGTGGCGACCGCACTGTCCCAGAGTGCCCAGCCGAGTCTGAGGAGTGGCAAGTCTCGACCACTCTCCTTCCAGAGATGCCAAAGGGTGCTGAGAAGTACCTGAAGGATGGCGCTGGTACTCCACCTGGACTTGAGGCCGAGACCCAGTGGGCCGGTACTCCTTCTGAGACTGACCCTGACCTTTCCAACGGCGTCTCCACCACCCAGGCTGAGGGTACCAACTACTCTGGCGGCAACAGCCCCAGCAGCTCTGGTGGCGATGACTCAAGCGCCGCGGCTTCCACCGCCAACCCAATCGTCTTCATGACCGTTGTCGTTGCCGCTGTCGCTATCGCCATTGGCATGTAAAGAGCTCCCATCTAGTGTAATCTAGCTATGCTCTGAAAAATGAGAGAATTCTATTGTTGGCGACACGATTTGATGGCCCCCCTTGTTTGGGCAAGCTGTTTACAGAACGACAGCATGAAAATACACAGCAGAAGAAAGGAAGCAAGTCGCCGAGTCCTCAACCAGAGGCCTCGCGTGATATGACGACTATGCTGTCACGTTCGCGGAACGTTGTACAGTATCTTGCTTCCGAACATTACTTGCATGGCGCGGTGTTGACACTTTTGTTTCCTGATGCGATTGTGACCTTCACCTCCGCTAGATCTGGATGACTTTATCTCAAATATTAAATGTCTGATTGAACAAACTTAATTACTTTCCGTCGTCCCTCGTCCTGTTGATATTTGCTTTCACTTCTCGATACGCTTTTCCTTCGAGATTATGCCACTGCCTTGCGTATCTTGAGCATTCACGATGTGCATTAGGATTCTGAACTACATTCACGATGTGTATTAGGGTTAGGGTTATTGAACTGCAACAATGTCTTTTGACTGACCGAGTTGCCTTGTTGACATTATCATATACTGCTTTGTACATCGGTCGTGGCAGCTCATTGATCAAACAGCTGGCTTGGCTCTGGATTGAGATCGGGAGATGTCTTGCGTGTAGCTTCGATCAAGAGCTCAGAGAAACGGTCGCAACCAGAATGAAATTGATTGTAGAATTGATGCCATCTACTTTCTGCCTCTACTACACACGCTCCCTTTCTTGGGTCAGCAGGAGATATTATCCCGGCTATGCTCCACGCTCTCTGCTCTACATTTGCACCCTATAGTCACGCGTCTATTACCGTGTCTACTGTGTTCCTTCAAATCCCACTCAACGCCTCGCAAACATCCTCTCCATCCGGACAAACACCCTTCCTCCCCAAGTCCTTATCCTTCGGACCCGTAGGCCCTCCACTATACTGACACAACCCATCAATTCCCAAAAAGCATTCCTGTCGTTCATCGTCTTCAGGATACTTCATATCTCCCCACTTTCCATCGAAGTACAGCCAATTCACAGGCGTCTCCGCACCCTCCCCATCATCATAAGCAGTAAACTTCCCACTCTCCATTTCATACTCAAACCAATACGCATTGATCGTAGGATCCCACACCAACCCTTTATCATCCGTATAATCCTCCACCGGCCCCTCAGGCAACTCAACACCCGAATACTATGATCATGATCCCCCACATCCTTATAATTCGCATGAGTACCATTCGCAACATACGCCACAACACGTCCAGTATTCTCCCATTTCTCTGCTGCTTCGTAGGAAATCGCTTGACCGCTGGAATGTTGGGAGAAATAAACGCTTGTGGGAACTCCGTGGATGAAGCGGATCATGATGTGTTCCCAATCTCCGACGTGGTTTCCGATGTTGAGGATGGGGGCGAAAGAGGGGTAGCGGCCGCCGTCGTTGAAGGAGTAGAATGTGAAATAGAAGGCGTCGAGGGTGGAGTTGGGTTTCAGGACTGTTATTATGGTGGAGGCGGTTGTGTTGGGGGTGGCATGGGTGATTGGGTCTGGGGAGGTGCCGTAGAGGTATGCTGGGCGGGGGGAGGTTGTGGGGTCTGAGGTTGAGGTGAGGTAGATGTCTTTTCCGGAGTTGGAGTTTGGGATTGTGTTGAGTTGGTCGAGGTTGGAGAGGGTGAGTGGGTTTGGGAAGGATGTTGGGGAGAGGGATGTGAGGTTGAGGTATGGGGATGTGTTGGCGATGTGAGTAGAGATGTCGGATGGCATGTATAGTTCCGCTGAGTGAAGGCGAAAAATTGGTGCGAATTCGGTGACGAAAGATGGGACGCTTGAAGGTATGGAGGATTGTCGTCTCTCGAGAGGCACTGCGGCAGCTGCGCCCGCAGTGATAAGGATTGACACTAACATGTTGATGGTAAGAATATCAGAACCCGAAGCAGCTGCGGTATGGAGGAAACGCCACGAAGACTTGCCGTCCTATTTATCGCGCTCTGGTACAAGAGGCGTTCGAGCCCGGAAGTGAGTTGAAGCCATCACGTAGGAGCATCCGTTCAGTGTTACACTGCACGATGTACCCGGCATCGGACATGCTTCCAGACATCAGCTGCGATCTGCATCTGACTTATAGACGTAGAGCAAGTACATGCTTGTCCCATACAGCTGCTGCATGTTCGGAACGTGTGACTCTTATACTCTGTTAGTCTGTATGGTTGTTGCCCAGTCGCTGTGCAGACTTGCAGTTGTCAGTTCATGCTAGATCATGCAGTGATGTCGCTCTCCGTCGATCTCTTCTTTGCAAAAGCAGGTTGTCATCCGGTACCAGAAGTGGTGGTGGGTGATATGCAAGTCGTAGAGCACGTTGCTTGCTGATTGGCCAAGGATTCAGGAACAGCAAAGCTGACAGACTATAGAGCCAGAGAGCTAGAGACGAGCTGCATCGTCATGTGATTGTAAGTCAACGGAGTGTTTCCTGATATGCGCTAGCCGTACGCGAGACTGCCAGAGGTGAGCAGAATGGCGGAGAGCTTCAATCGCCATGAAGAGTCACACTGTCAATCGTGGGTCCGAGGTAAACAGCAGACACATGTCCGCACAGTAATGGAATGAGGTTCGCCAAGCAGTCTGCAGAAAGTCAGCCCAGGTTCCTTTGAATGTGGAGCTCACCTACAAGATCCTGCTCACGTCCTTGCGAAACTCATACTGTCTTCCGGATCACTGACAAGACACAGTGGTCATTACCCTCACTGCTTTATCAATCTCCCTCCGTCTATAGTCACAACAGTCCCTGTACCGAAGCTACTCTTCATCAAGAACACATAAGCTTCGGAAGCCTCCTCCGGCGTAGCTACTGTATTCATCAAGCTCCACTTTTGAAACATGTCCAGCGTAGTTTGCAAACGTTCTTTGCCAAAGCTGTCGAACCTTTCCGTACGAACAGCCCCAGGACTAACCACATTCACTCGAATGGGCGCAAGATCCACTGCTAGACCTCTCATGAGTCCCTCTACGCCTGCGCCGTATGCAACCAAAGGAGTGTAACCCTTCAAAGGTCGATTAATTGCGGTGCCAGTGGTGAAAGTCAGAGAGGAGTGGTGTGAGTTTTTCATGTATTGTGGGACCAGACCGCTCAGGATCATCGGGGCATAGAAGCTCACATTACCCAGTTTTTGGAGTTCTTCTGGACTTGATTCGTTGATAGGTGATATGGGTAGCGCATCTCCCGCTGTGAAGACAATGTGATCGAGTTGGCAGTCATGAGTCACGGTCTTGAGGAGCGTTTCGAGGTTTGATCGCAGCCTTGAGATGTCTTGTAGATCGCAGACGAAGCCATGAACACGACTAGTCGCTTGTGGATCAAAGGCTTGGAGGCGGGATATCGTTCTTGCCACGCTGGTCTCGCGGGACGATGATACAAAGACGTGGGCTCCGATGGCGAGGGCGTGTTCGGCTACAGCGTAACCTATTCCAGAAGTCCCACCCAAGACCAAGACACGAGCATCTCGGAGGGTAGATGTGTACTTTTCGGTCATATTTGTCAGTTCGAATCTATTGTCTTTTCAAAGTCACTCGCCACTTCACGCCGGGACCCATGTATATATATGTCTGTGTGTCGACATGCCATCACCCGCATCCGAGTATTGTGAAGAAGTCTCAAGTACAGGCCTGTATTGCCTGCCTTTCTGAAGCAGAATTTGTCAGCCAGATTGCGAATTTGTAAGGATGAAGAGCGGGGCAACGGCATCGTGCATTATGCATCATGCCGTACATTGGTCGACGCGCACAATGTAACTGTTAGGTGCAAGGTATTAGAACGAAAAAGAACAGAAGTTGTACCTGCAATTCCATAAGCCGTGGACGGAGTGCTGTCCTCACATGCACTAGCTGTCCGCGAGCCTGGAGAGATCTGTAAACCGCCGATAGAACCGATGTGGGGAAGGAAGCAACAAGCTTCTGCCGCCATCTGATCGTAGCTGCCTCCAGTCGTTGACAGATAACGGCAGAGTCAAGTGTGCGTGATCGGAGTGGTGCGAGAACGATTCATGCATTCATTTTGAAGATTTGAATTTCGGGTCCGCCTCCATCACCTCTCGCGTTGTAGAGGTAGCCGTGCACTTGTCTCATGTGTTCTCTCATTTTGTCCTCTCTGTTGAATCCGTAATTTCCCTTGCGGATGCAGTCGCCATGTAGGCAGTTGACCATGCGTACAATGCCGTCGAGTTGACGAAGCCTCTCCAAGGCCTGGATGCCCGAATTGTTCTGGCTGGATGAGATTGGTCGGGGTGGTTCATTGCTCCCACTGTCGGATATTAGCGTGATGAATCTTGTGCGCCCACAAGATTCACTTACACATTGATCATGTCCTGTAACGTTCCATCATCACATTCCAAAACCGTGCTCACATTGGAGAAATTAGCCAGTCCGGATTCTGCGAGTTGATACTGAATGGCCGGTTGTCTTCGTAGCTGATACATAGCTGCATTGATAGCTGTTTGAAAGTGCTGGACAACCGAGAGGTGTAGATCTTGGTACATCAAAAGCTGATTATATGCAAACGTGCAGCCTTTCGAGTGATCCGATCTCAGATGCATGATTATTGTCATCACGTGGCCAAGGCGCCATGGGCCGGCGATCTTGCCTCGCCGGATCAAGTCTGCGAGGGGCAAAGGCAGCCTGAGGGTATCTCGACTGGGCACTCGCATGTAGTGACCGCAAGCCAGCTCTATAAGCAGCAGGTACTCCTGGGAGGTCGGCTGATTTTCATATAAGCACGCGAGGGGCAGCATCAAGACACGCATGTCACCCAACGTGGGCTTGGACCTGCTGTCAAAACGTGGAATCCTGCTGAGGTCAAGCTTGCCAATGATTGCACTGCCAGGTTCCAAGTCCCATCTGAGGCCTTGGTTCGTGATCGTGTACAGCGGCCTTAGCCCGTACACGGTGGAAATGGTGGGACTCACAGCGGAGAAAGAAGCAGGCGATGAGGACAATAGCGGTTGGGCTCTGCTTCCGTAAGCCATTGACCAGGCGAAGATCGATTCATCATGGGAGTTCCGGACGATTTCTTCTTGCAGCCTGGACCAAGCTCTTTTGCCCTCACCATAAAGAAGGCCCATGTTGACGCCAAAGAGCCCCAGGGCGCAGTATGCTTGGTCTTCGATCCTTGTTACTTTGCGATTCGCCAGCCACTTCGCCCTGGCAGCGATCGTATACTCTTCCAATGGCCATTGAAAGGTCAACAGCTCCTTTGGTATGCTGGTGATGCTGCTCAACTCGTCCGCAAGATCCATGCACGCAGTATCGTTTGCGCGAAAGCCATTGATCGTACGATTGGCGGTCGATTTACAGCCAAAGAGTTTCCAGTCTTGCGTGAAGAACAGAACACAGCGTGGTGCTATTAATTCTTGCAGGGTCCATCCGCGAGTGAACCAGTCAGAGAGGCACAATTGTTGATGGAGACGCTCAGCGAGCTTGCCTGAGGGTGCTGGTATATCGGTGTACATCACGTCGGCGAGATGGACAAGGCATTCTGCAGACATCTGATACCACCTATACATACTGTTAATGGCTTCCGAGAGCTCAGAGCTGGAGCGCTTATCAATGCAAGCAGTATCGATCCAAGCATAAGGATGGCCGCGACTATGCGCAATGGCGCAGAAGTCCATTGTCTTTCTGTGCCCGGGAGAGTCCAGTTTCCTGCCTTTCTTGTAGTCCTTGAATGTGGTTTCATGCTTTGTCCAGCGATGTGACAGGACGGCGTAGCTGGGGATAGCAGGTTCAAAAAATTCTTCCAATTCCAGAGTGTTCGTGTTGATGAGCCACATGGTAGGTAGAGGGCGGTATACGAATGTTCTGTAAAGCAATATTCGGAATCAAACCATCACCAGGTCGCCGTACAGCTTCGAACGTGCGGCCTCCATGTTGTAAGCGAAGGATCGCCCCACCCATGCAGCTTCCTGCATGCAAGAGGATACGCGACAGTGCCCGATAATTGTGCCTCTGCGTTGGTGATCAACAGCACATTGGTTCACATCAACGAAACTTCGTGCAGGCTATCGCTAGAAAGCAAAACAGGCACGCGGATCAGCACCACAGGCTCTGTCCGGTAATCTGGAAATTTCTTTTGATCCTCGTTTCTCCGTCTTGCGCAACGTAGCTAAGGCACTATGCCTCAAAAAGGGAGGTCGGCTTGAAATCACAGTCGTAACGAGAGATCGTGCAGAAGGATTTCTCCAAGCTTGCCCATCTTGCTCTCCGCAAGTACGAAGGTTCGCAGGTCCGAGATCCCAGGGCTGATGCAGTCCAAATGTGTGGCAATCTCGTAAGATGTAGTCCATGCGCTTCACATGGCAGCCTTCCATTCGCCGTCTCAAAGCTCGCTTTTCCCACCGTACTTCCTCACCAAGTCCCGCATCATGCTGACTGCACCGCTTTTGTACCCGCCTCCAAATAACGCGTAATGGTTCAAATGGTGATACAGCTCATACAACTTCACTCGATCCTCATACTCTTCGACGGGCTCCGTCTTCGGCACAAGCTCATGGTAGTCTTTCAAAAACTTGCCGCCGAAGCCACCAAACATCTTCATGATGCCCAGCTCGAATTCCGAATGTGCATAGCAGGCTGATGAATCGTAGACGACGGCTTCGGGTGCAGACATGCCGGGAAGTTTGCCCGTGGAAGCATTTCCGGACCAGAGATCGCCGTGTACGACGACAGGAGTCACGCCTTTGCCATTGTTGAGATGGTCATCACCGATGAGGCGAGGGATGACCTGGTCGCACAGCTGTTCGGTGAGGGTCTCGAGATCTTTGTCTGCGCCATTGCGGTCTCGAGCTTGCTTGGTGATGGCGCGGATGCGTTGGTTGGCGTAGAAGTCTGCCCAGGAAGAGGAGTAGGAGTTATCTTGGGGTGTGGCGCCGCAACATGTGGTGACAGGGAAGCCAAACTGGGGCGTGGAGTGGCCGGATGGAACGGGTGCGGGGGTGGTGTGAAGTTTGGCAAGTTTCTGGGCGAGAGACTGGCCTGAAGCGTTTCCTCGGGCGGAGAGATCGAGGAAGTCGGTGATGAGGAAGTAGGTGTCTTTGGAGTCGGAGAAAGTGCCCGATCCGTAACTTTTCGGACATAGTGTAGGAACGGCATCGTGGATGGCGTTGAGAGACGCGTGCTCGCCTTCGAACATCATTTTGGAGTCGGAGCCCTTTCCGGATTTCATGAAGTATGATTTGGTGCTGCCATCTTCGAGCTTTGCTGTGATCTTGGAGGTGCTGGAGAAGGAGCTTCCACCGTGGCCTGCAGCGGTGACTTGGCTGGCATCGAGACCCAGCAGAGCAAGAATGGCAGAGTCTACGGTTGGCATGTTGGCTGTGTGGTCAGTAGGTTGATGGATGTTCAGTCAGCAATGGGATTGGATGCATGATGGACGTTCTTTTGCTGGACCCGTCTTCATCGTGGGCTGTTATGCATGAGTGATGTCAATCGGAGCACGCGTTGGACGGCGGCAGTCGTTCCATCATCTCTCTCGGCATGACTTTTCGCAGCACCTCGACTCTCTTGCTACGGAGCCGCTGTCTTGGAAGCATCTCGTCAGACGACCGCGGTCTGCGCGGACATGTAGCAGGCTGAGACCACGGTACAATGAGAACGAGACACGCATCGGCACAAAATCTCAATGGGAATTATGCGATTGTGCCTGAGGATCGTCTAATGCACGCTACTGCATAAGCGCATAATCGGCCGCCGGCCCAATCACAATGCAGCGAGCTGATCTCACGCGTTGGATAAACAACACAAAAATCTGGTCGCGCGCCGCCGCCAGCACCACCCTGTCCGTCTTGTCTCTGTCTGCCTGTCTCTGTTCTCACCGATCCGACATTGCTTCATCTGCCACTGTGCATGGTCGACGCGCCTAGCCGAGCGTGCATATTGCATTCCACCAACAACCATGTCGGAACGAGTGACGCGCTCCCAGACCGGGAAGACGTAAGTATTAAACCAGAGCCCACCCGCCCAATGCGCCTGCCAACTTCTGCTGCTGCTGCGACTATTTCTCCCTGCTCTTGCATTTGGCGGTGTCGAACATCGTTCTGACAATGTCTTCCTCCAGCCCGAGAAAGTCCATGGTTCCCGAAGGCTTCGTCGAAACGCCCGGAACACGACGACGGACTACGCGAAAGTCTGCTGCCAGCGATGGACGATCACCGTCCCCCACCGAAGACCTGAGCGCCTCCGCCGAGCTCAAGGCTCCCGTCACTAGCGGCAATGGCAGCACGAAGAAGGCAGCGAATGGAAGTGCCAATGGCCAGCCGAAGGGCAAGGTCATCGACGGCTGGCTCGTGGGCAGCGACCCCAAGATCGACCACAACCCACACTTCGACTTTGGTGGCACTCTGGGTGTCTCCGCGATGATGATAGGCTTTCCGCTGTTGATGTGGTATATGTGGATAGGAGCCACCTACTACAATGGCAAATTCCCCTCAGAGCCCAGCATGACCTGGGCCCAGTACGGCAAACACCTCTTCCACCTGGCATACACCGGGGCCTTCCCTCATCGCAAGGCCTGGGCCATTTACTGGACATTCTTCATCTTCGAGGGCTTGCTCTATCTGTTCGCACCAGGTGTCTACTCCACTGGCAAGCCTCTGCCGCACGAAAATGGCAAGCAGTTGCGCTACTACTGCTCTGGAGTGTGGTCGTTCTACATCTCCATCGCCACCGCTCTGGGCCTGCACTACACTGGCCTCTTCCCCATGTACACTCTCATCGATGAGTTTGGCCCACTGATGAGCGTGGCTATCTTCACTGGTTTCATTGTTGCCATTGTCGCCTACGTGTCCGCTCTCGCGCGTGGTGCTCAACACCGTATGACCGGATACCATATCTACGATTTCTTCATGGGCGCCGAGCTCAACCCTCGCATGTTTGGCTGGCTCGACTTCAAGATGTTCTTCGAAGTTCGTCTGCCATGGTACATCCTCTTCTTCATTTCCCTCAGTGCAGCTTTCCGCCAGTTGGAGACCTACGGATATGTGACTGGAGAAGTCGCTTTCCTGGTCATGGCCCACTGGCTCTACGCCAATGCCTGCTCCAAGGGTGAGGAGATGATCGTCACCACCTGGGATATGTACTACGAGAAGTGGGGCTTCATGCTCATCTTCTGGAACCTGGCTGGTGTCCCACTCAGCTACTGCCACTGCACCATCTTCCTTGCCAACCACGACCCATCCGAGTACCGCTGGAGCAAGCCTGTTCTTGTCTTCCTCTACATCACCTACCTCTTCGCTTACTGGGTCTGGGATACCGGCAATTCGCAGAAGAACATGTTCCGCGCTGATGAGCGCGGAGTTGCTGTGCACCGAAACACTTTCCCACAGCTGCCATGGAAGCAGGTTAAGAACCCAAGGACCATCCGCACCGAATCTGGTGACTCTCTCATGATCGACGGCTGGTTCAAGTACGCTCGCAAGATCAACTACACCGCCGACTTCTACTTCGCATTCTGCTGGGGTCTCATTACTGGTTTCAACAGTCCTTTCCCCTGGTTCTATCCGGTCTTCTTCGCGCTCATGATCGTGCACCGCGCGTACAGGGATATCCAAAGATGCAAGGAGAAGTATGGCTCCGCTTGGGAGGAATATGAGAAGATCACACCTTACTTGTTCATTCCGGTGAGTATAGCATATGGTGAAGGAATAGTTTCGGTATCGCTAATTGCTATCACAGTACGTCATTTAATTGGCTCGCGATGGCGTTACGGAAGTGTCAGATGTGGTGGAAGTAGGTGTACAGTGAATGTACTTATGAACAACGACAGAGTTGGTGATGGCGGGACGGAAATTTAAAATTAGGAGGGATCTCGGTCGGGTGACGAGATATTGTCAGGCGTTATTTTGTCCATGTTTATGCTGATTGTGTACAGTGCGAGCTTCTGTGTGCTTTGGCCGAGACGAGACGTTGCTGATACCCAAGATGTAGTTGATGCTAATGCGGAATGTGAATATTTTAATGCTTCAAGGCTGATTCCTGCTATTTGACCAGACGTCTCGGCTCCTTCGTTGTCGCGGCAGGATCGATTCAGCTGGAAGGTGGAACCGTCTCGGCAATTTATGCACTGGGTGCACTGGATGCACCCTTTGTCAGCTCAGCAGGCTCCACTTGAAATCGCCCGCGTCTTCGCAGGGAATCCGCAGCATGATGGACGCCTGATAACCATGGCTACCTCTGAATGCAACTACCTCTCAGTGCAAACGCAGGTCGCTAAGCCAATCAGGACAGCTTTTCATGGATCGAGAGCCAATCTAGTTAGGCGCTTGCACTCAGATGTCGTTGCATACAGAGGTGTCCACGGTAATCGCTCTCTGGCGTGTTGAACGCTCCTTCTGTACGAGCATGACTGCAGCAGGATGGTCTCACGTGACACAAGAGCACGACCCGCGAGCCCAGTGACGGATCGAGCATCAAAAGCATCTGGGTGCAACGATATATCCAAGATTGCGGAGGCACTTGTCACGGAGAGGAACAGGTACTTGCCGCGGAAGAGCTCGTTAGACAGTATATCTGCAGCACAATGCCCTACTTCGCTTAGGCATCCTGGAACATGAGACAGCCTGCTGACTGTGCACGCCATCCTTCTCAGCTGTTATCTGGCCAAGCAACCGACACGAATCGCTTCACGGCACCCACGCACTATAGCCGCTTACTCTTTGGATGTCACGGTCGAGTCAGCCGTTTTTGTTGCTGCATAAGGATTCCTGCTTACGCGACAGAGGTTCACGCAGCTGCTATGCACTGCTTGGTTCCCGATCCTGCATGGCATAGGCGCATGTCATCCATGTAGAGTCGCTCAGCCCGTGGGACACATTCACGAAAGAATTCTTGCTTCTTTGCTTTGTGGAATACGTTTTGTGACCGCAAAGCAAGCTAATCTCTCTCGTTGCTGCAGTGGCGGCATATAAGCCCACAACATCAACATCCGACTCTTGAGCAAACGCTACATCATGAAGGTCATCATCGTTGGTGGCGGTATCGCAGGTTTGTAGTCCCTACTAATAGTCTCGCAAACACAAAATTCACGATTCCTTTACTGACAAGTCACCAGGCCTCACCCTCGCCAACGCCCTCTCCCAAGCCGAAGATATCGAGTTCATTCTCCTCGAAGCACGCTCCCTGCTGGATCCTCAAGTCGGCGCCTCCATCGGTCTCGGTGCGCAATCTTTGCGCATCTTCGACCAATTTGGCGCAGCGCAAGCGATTCTCGACGAGACTGTTCCTTTGACCTACGCGAGAGGTCATTACCCGGATGGCAGGCTGATCAGTGAGCCACAACCTATTTTCCGACTACTCGAACCCCGTCTGGGATACGGACTGAGTTTCCTCGATCGACAGCTGGTTCTGCGAGCTGCGGCGGATACCTTGGAAGCCAAAGTCGCAGAGACGGGCCGAGGACAGATCCTTTTGAACAAGCGTTTGGCGAAAGTCGAACATTACGACACTGGAGTCAAGGTTCTCTGCGAAGATGGAACGTTCTACGAGGGAGATGTTGTTGTGGGTTGCGATGGGGTGAACAGTCGAGTGCGAAATGAAATGTGGCGAATTGCGGACGTACAGGATCCGGGAGCTTTTTCGAAAGATGAAAAGAATAAGATGACAGCGGAGTATATGTGTCTCTTTGGCATTTCTACGCACGTTCCCGGCGTGGAGGATCCTGGGTGTGCAGATTTGACGTATGATAAGGGGAGGGGATTTCTGGTGATTACGGGGAAGGAGAAGAGATGTTTTTGGTTTTATTTTGAGAAGATGAGTAAGGTGCATCGATGTACGGATCCCAGCTTTCCGAGGTTTACGAAAGAAGATGCGGAGAGAGTCGCAAAGGCGAATTTGGGAAGGGTGGTGAAGGAGAACGTCTCATTGGGAGACTTGTGGGAGAGGAGAGTGAGTTTTACGCTTGTACCGATGGAAGAGGCGTTGTTTGAGAAGTGGTCTTGGGGCAGGATGGCGACGATTGGGGATTGTGCGCATAAGATGACGGCGAATCATGGGCAGGCAGGGAATAATGCTATTGAGAGTGCGGCAGCGTTGGCGAACCAGTTGGTTGCATTGAGCAAGAAGACGAAAGATCTCAAGACCGCGGATCTCACGAATGCGTTGCGAGCATGGCAAGCGAAACGACAAGCACGAATCGAAGCTACAGTGAAGGAAGCAGCGCTTGTCTGCCGATACAACTGCCTGGAGACTCCGATGGCGTACGTGTTCAATTACTACCTGGTTCCCAGCCTGCCTAGCTTGATCGTTGATATGCAAGCCGGAAATATGGTTGGCGCGGAGCTCCTGGAATATCTGCCTGTGCCGAAGAGGAGTTTGAATGGAAGTATGCCTTTCAATCAGAACCAAGGAACAGGGAAGTCCGAGAACGTGATCTGGAGGTCGCTCAGGGCAGCGCCACTTCTGCTGATCGCGTGGTGGATGTGGAGCGTAAGGAAGGGCATGGGAGGCAAGTGGGACGAGGAATGGGACGGATGGCTGAAGGTCGTGGCGGATCCGATCAGTGCCGATGGCGAGAGATCTGCGAGGGTTGTGACATTTCTGGTGCAAGAGATTATGTTTTTCGCATTGAGGAACCTGGAGAGTGGGAGGAGAGCGAACAGGTTGAATGTGTTCTTGCGGTTTCCGATTTGGGTTGTGATTCTTGGCCACATATACGGTGAGTATGAGCAAGCTCTCGAAGAGGCAAAGACAAGGGGATGAGTGCTGACAAAACTCTCTACTAGGCGCTGGGGTCACAATTCCCTTATACTTTTTCTTCCACTACCTCACGGGAAGAGTGGATGCTTTCGCAGCAGGAGACATGCGAATGATGAACATCGCATACGTCAAGACTATCTTGCCTTCGCTCCTCCTAGTGGAGGCAAACACGCTTGCACCGATACTTCTCCAGACATCAACAAATCTCGATCTCGGCACACTGAAAGTCCTCCGCCATCTCGCGCCTCTCCCCATCAGTCTCTTCCAGTTCGCGCTCACGCGGCTGAATACGGACACAGAAGAACAAGACATGATCCGGAATTACACGGCCGATCTACCCACGATTCGAAGAACCATCTATGGAATGCTCACTCTCGGTGGTCTTGTCCTGTCATATCAAGCACTGAACTTCACGTCCGCCTCTCCGGCCGACAGCACCAAGATCTTCTACAACCTCTTCTCCATACCCTCGAACTTCGATGTCCTCCATTACACACATGGCGCTCTCACCAACGCCAGCATCTACTGGCTCGGCCTCCTATTCTACGACCTCTGCTACGCTGGAATGTGCTCGACTCCAAAGACGATAATTGCCTTCCTTGGCTTCCTGGTTGTCCATCTCGCAGCTCCATTCCAGTTCCGTCCGCTGATCGATGTGAGCTTTGTTCTCGTGGCTTGGCTCGTGAGAGAGGAGATACTGGCTACGAAGAAAGAGAGACATGCGATCACGAAGGAAAAGTATGGGGCCGGAAAGAGTGTATGGGAGGTCGAAGGGAAGAGCACGAGCGTTGAGAAGACAGCAAATGAGCCTCTGATCAATGGAAAACATCGTGGAGGTAACGGAATCGTGAAGGAGGTGTTGAACGGACAGTTGAAGCATTCGAACGGAGTGCCGAAGAGCTTGGGGCCGGGAGGTGAGGGTGTAGGACCAAGATTCTAGAAGGGCTGGACATTCTTGCACAGGAGCGATACTGGTAGTGACGCACTTTGAAGATGCTGATTCTCCAGTTCTTCAATGCATCAGAGAGCTTTCTGGGAGACAACCGCCGAGTGCGGCTTCGCTATCTTGTCTTTGGAGTCTGAACTGCTTGGCAGCGAAGTGGGTCTTGTGCTACTTTGATCATCTTGAAACTGCAGACTTCTTCTAGAACGATTATCCCAGCTGATGCCGAAGGCTAAAAGTGAACAAGAATCGAGAGTGTCCGCCAAGCAAACCATGCACGTGGAAAGGTGAATCCGGAGTAAACCGTTTTTGTCCTCATTCACTCTTGACTTCGCGATTTCGGTACAAATATCCTCTGACTGAAGACACTTTCACTTCACAACCACAAAACAAAAACAGAGCAGAGCACAGCGCACATCTCGAGTCACCAGGATGGTGACTCAGAACAAGTCCATGTTTGGTCCGGTGAGTTCACTACTGATCCCAATTGCAAAATCAACCTCATTCTAATCTCTCAACAGCTCGAAACGAAGCACATCTTCGCAGCCAAGTGGTTCCGCAAATTCGACAAGCACGTGATGACCGCCGCGTGGAAAACCAACGAAGGATGGGTCGACTGGGTGTCGCTCGGCGTTGACATGACTCTCGCTTTCAAGGAGCAGAGCGCCGCACTGAATTTCGACGAAGAGACCCTTTCGCGCCTCCATATTCGCTTCTACCAGCAAGACCAACACAAGCCTGACAATGTTTGGGCCGCGGCCGAGAAGCTGCGCGAGATGATCAACTGGCACGTTGATGACGGTGCACGAGTCATGAGGCTCCGAGGGAGGGCCATGCCGGAAGTGAAGGTCAAGTTTGACGACCTCGTCGACAAAGTCACGCTGGCGATTGCGGATGGTTTATGGGATGGGGGGATCTCGGAGGAGGCGCTCAAGGTCTTGGAAAAGACCATGAAAGGCAAGCCCCACTCGTAAGTACGAAATGACAGCGAGCGAAGGGTGTCATGTCTGGCTTTGATGGTCACAGCGCTTGAGGATGAGTTGAATTGCAAGAAGGAAGTCGCTAGTCGAGTGTTGCTTGAAGTGCTCTGGCAGCGATTATCAGAGATCATTAATCGCGATGGCTTTGATATTGAAACAAGGCGAAGCTACTACTGAGGGGTTGCAACGGCGGGCACATATGACCTTGCAGAAATTGCTACGTTCGAGGTTGCAATAGCGACTTAGCGAATCAGGTAGCTCGTTGTGATGGGACGATTGATGCAGGAGACTATCAAGCATGGTCTTTGGCATTTCGTTTGTCTCAAAGCTCCTTCTGCTGAATTACCATACAAGTCCAAGAGGTATTCCTTAACCAAAGATGCTCGCTCTACCATCTGCTTTGCGGAAGCCTTGTCGAAGCCATCCATGGGTATGCAACATATCTTTCATCCGAGGCAGTTGGCGCACCGAGACAGTCTCTCGGTCGCAGCACGCCTCTGGTACTCCAGCTCATCTGCAGGTAACTCCTACTCGCAAGATGACAGCAGTTCCCAGATGCGTCGCTTCATACGAATCTCCCGGTGTACCATTCCAGCTTCTCCGAGCTCTCTTGAGAGACCTCGCCGTTCCATGTTCCTGCCACAGTCGCTAGAGTGATCTTGTCCATGAGATCGTCAAACTTGATCTTCTCCTCCCGCGTGTAGTTTTTTGAAGCCTGCATAGACTGCGCTTCCTCCTCAAGGGACCAATTTACCCATTCGCGCAGCCCCTCTGCTGTTCTCCACACGTCTTCGGCAGTGTGAAAAAAGTCTCCCGAGGTCACAGATACGGTCGAGAGCATTTCTCTACTGAAGCCCATATCGTCGCTCTGCTTGGTAAATGCGAGGTAGAGCTCGAAACTCTTAGACATCCAATCAGTCCAGTCGATTCGAAAGTCGTAGGATCCGAGTGACAAAAAATGTTTTTCGAATCTGCGAAGCCATTTGCTCGCAAAGACAGCGGGCGTTTCGAGCTACGAAAGTATCAACATGTGTTCGCATCGGCGGCGAGAGCGCATAATTGGACTTACCGGCCCGAACGTAGGCTTGTTCTGCGCTGCCATCGCGCTTGTCGAAATGTGCCGCGTATGTGTATGTGTGTGTGTGTGTCATTAAAAGGGCGACAATTTTGCTGGGAGCGGGATCTCATTCGACGGGCAAGTGGCACGTGCTTCCTGGAGGCAAACACGCACGTTTTGCGAAGCAATCTGAAGCGCGTAGAAGTATTAGCAGCTTCCAGGCGCTCGTACGCCCTGCCAGCTGGTAATAAATGACGCTTCGTCGGTAAAATATGTGGCCAGAAACCCAGGAGGCTTGAAGGTGAACGAGTTTCGAAAGTGAACGAGAGTAAATGGCGCGCCACTTCAACCAGCCCCTGGTTTGAAGTGCACCTCCAATATATAATGCCCTCAACCAGCAACAATTGCGCTGTAAATCTTCCGGAGTAGCTCGAGTCGCCACGATGGCAGTACTAAGCAAGCCGACGCGCGATCCAGTATGCCCATTCATCAGCTCTCATTCTACATGTGCGAACACAAGCTAACGATGACCAGCAGCAAGATCCACTCCAGCTCCTACCCGAAGAATGGTTGTCCAAATTCACGAAACACCTGTCCGCCTTGACCACCATTCCTGTATTGGTGTGGCTTTCGAACGGCTACGACATTGTCACTAGCTACCAAGCATTCTTTCCCGGCCTGCACTTGCCTGCCGGTAACGGGCCCGTGGCCGCCAACATCGCCGGACTGGCATTTATAACGCGCGTCCTCTTCAATGAACTTCTGTACGGTTTTCGCGAGGTGTTCTCGCACATACCGCCCGGCTCGGCCTTCAAGGACCGGGTCGATGCGCTTGTAGAGCAGGTCAAGTTGGGTGTGGCGGCAGGCAAGTGGGATGAGAGTTTCCCCGATGAACACCGCGCGTTCATGGCAGACTTAGTATGGCGAGAGGTTCTCAAGGGGCGTCCATCGCGCGATTGAAGACGGTATACCCTGAGTGACGGAGACATGTTGAGCGAGGGCGGATCTGGAACTCGCATGGCACTCGGAACGAACGATGCGTTGGCAGCGAGAAAGGGTGCTGAGGTGGCGCGAAGAAGCCACGGGATGCGATCAGGGCCGGATCAGCTTGAACATGGTTGTAGACCATCATAGGAAATAGTTCGAACTGGAGAGACAGCACGGCGGCTAGTGTAATCGAGGATGCAACCAAGCTCAAAATACCATTCCTCATGTTCTTTTTGAACGTCGATCCTGGCAGGGCTCGAGTTTTCCATTCGTATCGTTGACGATCGATCCGGTCTGTTGACCCAGTTGCTCTCAGGACAACGAAGCTAAATCTCGCGGTCATCCGCATCTTGTGGTCGCTCGTCGCGATCCTGGTTGCGCGCCTGCCTCGCTTCTAGAGATTGACTGGCTCAGCTACGCTGGGCCAAGTAGAAAAGAAGAGGATCGATTACATGCTCAGGTAGGGTACGCGGCGTTGAGCTGTTTTCTCTTTTGCTCTTCGGCGGTCGTCCAGATCGCGACTCTTGCAGCAGTATCCCGCATTGACACCATGAGAGACATCGTTCGGGTCTCGAAAAGATGCTTCGAGCTGCGACTGGAGCTGGTTAAGGACGCTCAGAATGATGCCATGCTGACTCTCGAATTTGATGGAGTGTTTGTCTTCCTGACATGGCTTGATTGTGAAGAGCACTTGTTCTGGTTGCTTGTCACTTCAACTTTCCGACGTCTTGCATGATCTCATCGCAGCATCGAGCCAGATTCAACGTCATCAGACACGGCTGCAGACGACTTGAGATCGTTTGAGAAGCATAAGATGACAACCTTTGGCCCAGTAAGAGATCTGCGAGCCTGCTTCCAAACTTTACATGTGGCATTGCTAATTGATACAATCAGCCAGAAACTCCGGAAATCTTTTCCAGCAAATGGTGTCATAAACTTCTTGCTCATCTTGTGACTTGGCCTGGTCGAGAGTTCCCTTGGTCTGATGAATGTATGCCCAAGTGGTGCATCGACGGCTACGACCTCGTTGTAGCATTCGAAGCAGCTGCTGCATTGTCCGGGTCTTCGCCCGGACCTGAAGAGAGGACGTATTCCTTCGTCTACCCGTGGGAAGGTAGCTACCGGGACCCACACACTGCAGCGTGTTCCATCAAGAGTTGGGTTTGTACCCAAGTGGAGTCCTGGACGGAAGAAGCAACCAAGACCTTGCCAGGACTGCCCCGTGAGGTAGTCGAACAGGTGAGCATCCGCTGCGTGGAGTCGTTCTGCCTAAAAGAAGTCGGAACACGCGTACTGATGATAAGGATGACTTTACTTAGGTCAATCAGCTGGTTGAAAAAGTCACTCTGGGTGAAATCAGCGGGGAGTGGAAACCAAGAACCTCCAGCGCCGAAGAACAGCAATTGCTTGAGTACATGCAAGGCTCCAATGCAGTCCAGGCATTGGGTCTCGTTTGGAATTCCATGAAGGACGAAGTTGTGAAAAGGGTCGGCCCAGAAGCAGCCTCAAACGTGATGGGCCGGACTACGCTCACTGTTCTGGCGGAGAAACAACGATCGGGCGAGTGGCCAGAGATGTCGCAAAAGATTCTTGATCAGCTTGGATAGGCAGCCAGGAATGAAAATGATCGCGCATGCCTGAATGGGGAATGCGTTCGAAGTTGTCGGCAGGAGGTCCATGTAGTCGTGTCTCTAAGAGCTCGCCGTAGCGTTGTTGCGCCTCTTCCGTGGACTGGAGAGCATAGAAATCTTTGCATTTCCGGAGAGGAAGCTGGGCGATTGCGACTGCTTTGAACAAAGGTAATCCAATCTCAGACAATCTCACTCAACACGTCCTGGCCGTGGTTCATAGCGTGAGCTAAGTTGATGTTCTCTCCTCGGGGAGAGCGTGCTTTCTGACAATGGTTTTGCCGCAGCCAGGCAGTGTGGCGCGTCAGGTATTTCGTCGCTCCTGCAGTCCAAGCTAAAGTGAAGCACCGGTGAGGGCGTACCTTCCCCAACATACAGAAGCAAATCGCTTGGCATTGGCGCCTTGATTCTTTTTTCAGACTAACGTGCTCCTCGCCCACCACTCCAAACACCTCTTCAGTGACAGTCACAACATTCATAAGATGACGAAACCAGCGAAGACCAAGAAGATTGAGAAACAGAAGCCTCTCGTGGCCTTCGGACCAGTAAGCGCACCGAGTGTCTGTCGGGCCGTGACGCGCTGATCCATCGCAGCCAGAGACAGATGCCATCTTCAACCAGAAATGGCTGCTCAAACTCGTCTCACACCTGCACACCTGGCCAGGATTCGTCTTCTCGTGGAGCGCAGCCGCTATGCCCGGCTGGTGCCGTATCGGTTGCCAACTCATCGTCGATTTTACCGCAGCAAGAAAGGAACGCCGCATTCCCCGCGAAGGTCCAGTTGCCATCGGAGTAGATTATTGGCCAACATACCCAGTTCGCGATTCGCCTACACACCCGCTCAACGCGGTGTTCTGGATCGGACAACTGATCGAGGAGATGACAGCTTTGTGGACGTTCGATCCGCGGTTTCGGATGTATGGCCTACTGAGCGCACAAATCACCGCGGTAATTGACCAGGTAGATTCCGCGCGGGCGAAGGGAATGTTGCCCCCGAAGCCAGGTCACGCGGCCTTGGAATACCTTCGAGACAGGCTGGTCCAGCAGGTTCTTGAGGAGGCGAAGGGTAGATGGGACAAGAACGCACCGCAGTCGGAGAAGGAGAGAGCTGTCGCATCGATTGAAGGGCCTTCGTAGATGAGGGCTGCATTGACCTCGCGGAGCTGTGCGGTTGCAGGGCATCTGCAGCATGGCGGTCGAGCTGGGACAAGTTACGATAGTTTGTTGCGCGTAGGGTGCACTGGCGCCGACGTGCTTCGGTGCATGGCCTGTGAGCCATGGCGTTCAGCAACAACATGCACATCGATGAGCTTGTAAGCCTAGTATTGAGCTTGCGATCAGCGTAGCGGTCGGCTCTTGAGTGCAAATGTCAAGGTGGTCCAAGAGATCGGCACCTCATTCAAAACATATGAAATGCGCCTGTCGATACCTACTCTGACAGAAAATTCGCTTCGATCTATTGCACAAGTATCCACACCGTGCTGTGTACATCTTTTGCAGAGCTCCGTTCGCAACGTGCTGCATGCTTCCCGCTCTAATAACCCTCCTTGCCCCACTTGTTGTACTTCTCGTGGAGTTCCTGTCGCAGTCAGTTAGCTCTGAACCGGATGTCACACCTTCACGTTGTCTCGTCCCGTGAGAATCGATTCGTACCTTTGGCAGGTTGACATCTGAAATTGGTCAGTAAAAGGTACAAAAATGACCGGGACATGGGTTTCGCAGCTACAAGATGTCTTCTTGCAACTGCACGACACGTACTGGGAACGATGACTTCATTCAATGCGCTAGGAGCATCCTTCTTTCCTTTGCTTGGGTCACCGCCTGGGTGGTATTGGTAGCGGGCCTCGCCTCCGGTCTTCCAAGGCTCCGAACCATCGACGCGAGCCACCTTGTTTTCGGAAGACGAGGATGTTGGGTTGCTGGAGAAATGCCAGCCTGCGAGGCCAAAAGCGCCAGTCATGATGGTGAGGAGAATCTGAAAAGCATAATCAGCATCCCAGCCCAGCCATACCATCTCCGTCATCCCATTCTTTTCCTCCTGGTTTCGTCGTTCTACCCTCGCGTATGGGGAGCGCATAGACATACATAGAGCTCAGGATCCTTGCGAGCGCCCTTTCGGAGGACATCCTTCTTCTCGGGTTGCTCGGCGCTGCTCACGGCATCGGCGTATGTGCGGCGGAGGGTAGGCTGGCGAACGGCGCGAGTGGCCTGGAAGGCGGCTCTTCGTGCGACGAAGGACATGGTGTGCAGTGGCGGGAAATATCGCAGTGGTGGTAGGTGTTGGGGGTGGTGGTGCGTTTCGATGATGTGATGTCAAAGCAAAGCCAATGGACTGCTCTGCTGGTCGCGATGCGGCTCTGCGGGGATTCCCTTCCCGCTGCACATTTCAGGCACAACGTGCATTGTCGCGCGTTTGATAGGAGTCGCCCCCAGCTCATTCGCACTGACGCCCGACCATCTATTTCACTTTGCGCTATTAAAAAGCACTGCGTCGGCACACGCTGTACTCAGGAGCCCCCCGGTATAGAGACATGTCCCGTCTCTGTTAACACGCGCCCGATGATGAATCTCGTCGCCGACACCAATCCACCGACACACCATTGCCGGCGCGAACGATAGCCACTCCACCATGGCCGACCCGCCGAGGCCATCCAGCTCCAGCTCCAATGCCACCTCCACTCTAGGCCAGTCCGCCCTGACAGCGACCGGACCCGTGGGAGAGCCAGGACTCCCGCCAGCGCGACCAGCCAGCGAAACCACGAGCCGAGACCGCGACAGCCGCACGTCGACACAGCGAAGTTTCCGGCCCATGAGCAGACGAGATGAGAACTCACGTCCGGGCTCGGGCGTGGGTGGACCTACTCATGTTCCGTCTCTCGCCATGCAGAGCGCATTTCGTCCCATGAGCTCGCAGAAGCTGCAGGCGCAACGCGGTCAGAACATCGCCCCTCCCAGCAGTACCCAAGGCGGGCATCGCTTGCAACACAGCGTAGACGAGAGCGGCGAGGACAGAAGAGCACATCGCCTTAGTCTGGCGTCGATCAACACAGCGCGAGAACTCGCTTCGCGGGATGGTGCCTCGCGCGACGGAGACGTGCCACCTCTGCCCAGCAGTGGCCGAGGCTTCTCTGTCTCTGCGAGCACCGAGCCACTATTCAGTCCAGCGGCCGCTCCGGAGAGTGTGGTCAGCGACCAGAGCCAAGTGCCATTAGACCCGATCGAGAAGCCGCCGGCTTCTGAATCCCAACCCGCACCACCGCCGGCCTATCGGAACTCCTTGGGATGGACCTCGAATAAGAGCAATCGAGAGCGCAATGCGCAACAGCAATTGCCCCAAGACAACGAAAAGCTCTCATCGCCCGCAAAATCACCGATTAAATCGACGGAGAACACCCGGACAGGACGAAATTACCAATACTACGCAGGAAACTATCTCTTCTTCTGCCTTGGACGATGCCTGAACACGAAAGCAAAGCCACTGAATGTCGTCACGGGCATCCTGACACTGCTCCCGGCGATTCTGTTCTTCGTCTTCTCTGCGCCATGGCTCTGGGAAAATGTGTCTCCGGCAATACCAATCATATTTGCTTACGTCTTTTTCGTGGCATTCTCAGCGTTCCTTCATGCGGAATTCTCTGATCCTGGAGTGCTGCCTCGAAATTTGCACCCACATCCTCCGAATCCGGACGAAGAGCGCGATCCCCTAGCCGTAGGACCACCAACGACAGAATGGGTCATGGTCAAGACATTTCCTTCTAGGCAGATGAAAGTCAAGCTGGAGGAACATGCCGCCGAGAACGGAGCTGCAGGACCAAACGGCGCAATGACTGCCATGGAGGTCCCAACAAAGTACTGTAAGACATGCAATATCTGGCGGCCTCCACGAGCACATCACTGCCGGGTCTGTGATGCTTGTATCGAAACACAAGATCATCACTGCGTTTGGTTGAACAACTGCGTCGGCCGCAGGAACTACAGATTTTTCTTTGCCTACATTGGCTTCGGCAGCATTATGGCTCTGCTTCTGATGGCCTTCTCCCTGACTCACATTGGCGCCTATGCCAGTCAAAACGAAATGTCCTTCGGAGAAGCCCTGTCTGGACGGACACAGGAGCGCATCGCATTCGCCATGTTCATCTACGCAGTCCTCGCACTTCCTTATCCAGGAAGTCTCTTTGGCTACCACCTTTTCCTCATCGCGAGAGGCGAGACCACACGCGAATACCTCAACAGCCACAAATTCCTACCCAAAGATCGACACCGGCCTTTTTCACAATCTTCTATACTCAGAAACTGGTTGGCAGTCCTCATGCGTCCGCGACCTCCAAGCTACTTGGCGTTCAAGAAAGCTTACCAGCACGGCGATATTCGACTCGGTCACACTATTCCTCGCAAGCAACGCGTCGAAAAAGAGAAATTGGACGCTGCTCGCAGTCAAAGCCGTGTGGAAGGACTGAAGAAGAGATTCAGTGTCCCCAAGGGCAAATTTGGTGGCCGATCCGACCTTCATGCGCAAGCTAACGGCGGCGCAGACAGGGATGTCGAGCTGAAGGATTTGCAAGGTCCGCCTAAGACGGCAGACAGTGGAATTGGTGGAGCGCAGAGCGTGAAGAGCCAGCAACAGCAATCACAACAGCAGCAGCAGAAGAGTAAGACTCTGCCCGGCGGAGCGAACAGTACACCGCGATAGCGTGTTGCGCTCGCGTGTGGATCGATCATTTAATCGTTGATTCCCTTTTGATTTTGATTGTAGCGATGGCGTTGTTTTGGGGACTACTGGTCAGCGAATCTTGCGTTTGAAGTTTATGTTGTGGACGGCAGTGGCGCCAATTGTATGTAATTGTACGGCGTCTTTGCGGTCCAGATGGGTCGAAGAGAGGAGAGGAAGACAAAGTCTTCGTGTATCATAGTTGCTGTTAAGTGCGATCTGAGCGAGCGATGAACATTATGTCTTCAGTTCCCAGGATTTCTCGTTCATGTACATATTCATCTCGCATGGCTTCGAATATTATACAAATGGTTCTTACATTTAGTCGTGTTGATACAATTTCTTTCCTGTCTTTGCTTCGCGCAGACTTTGCAGCGCATGCCGTAGCTTCGAAGGAGGAGGTGCACCGAGTATGAAAATCATTCAAAGGTAGAGGAAGACACATGAAAGCATTGGCTCGGCTCCATGACCCAAGCATATCAGCGTAATGCAGTACCATGTATGTAATGTAAACCGTCTTCACTGCCATAAACCGGCCACCAAATGCCGCTAACTACCCAAAATAATGCCACGGAAAGCACACCAAAGCTCGAGCATAAACCATCAACGCCAATCGTTTCACAACATCGCACATTCGAAACCGCCATCCCCTCCTCCCGCGCCGACCACACCTTACGACAGCTTCGCGAAACTGAGCGTGCTCTGCCGGAAAGTCTTTGTGCCGCTGCTCACGCTGCTGAAAGCTTGCTTGACCCTATCACGCACGCTGTTAGACCGCTTGGGAGCAGCATCGACCTTGGACTTCTTCTCGATCTTGGAAGACTTCTTCGTGAGGGCAATTTCTTCTTCCTCGTTCTCATCCGCACCTTGAGTAGCTTGAACAGTATCAGCTTGGCTGCCGGCCTTGCTCAGATTGGCACCGTTTGAATTGCTCAGTTCCGCAGCAAAAGAAGGATGAGTGGCCACGGCAATGTCACTGCCGTCTTCTTCCATGACTTCGGACATTTCGACGCGCTCCACTTCAGTCGATGTCTTTACTGAGACTGTGGTCTTCTTGCTGATGCCGCTACGGCTCGTGGGTGGGCGAGAGGAAGCTTTCGAAGTCGGGCGATCTTCCATCTCAATGTCCTCGGTGAACTTGGAACCTGTGGAAGTGGTGCGGATGTGTTTGGGTCGGGAAAGCTTCTTGACAATATCCACTTTCAAGTCCTCATCACTCTCCTCCTCAACAGCCTGAACGTCGGTAGAAGTCTCCAGCACCGTCTCCTCCTTCACTTCAGTAGTCTTCTTGCGCTTGGGCTCGGCCTTCTTGCGGGCAGGCTTCGGTGCAGGAACAGCAGGACGGGGCCCATCACCGCGTCTCGCAGCCAAGCGCTGAGCACGAACGGAATTCTTCTCGGCCTCCTCCTTGAGACGCTTCTCCTCCTTCAGCTTTGCCTTTACTTCCGGATCATCGACCGCGAGCCAGCCACGCCATCCGCTGCCGCGATCATCGTGCTCCTGTTTCTTGCGTGCTTCCTGCTGTGCTCGCTTCTGTGCCTCTTCAGCAGCGATGCGAAGCCGCTCTTGTTCTTCCTTTGCCAACTTCTTGATCTCGTCAGCTCGCAGACGTCTGCCGAGGTAGCCTCTGCAATTCCACGACCCACAATAGCACGTCTGTCGATTGTCGCCAAAGTTGTCGAAGTTGTAGTCGTAGCTTAACTCCTCGTTGGTCATGATGCCTGAGGGCCCAGCATATATGCCCATTCTCGGCACGCCTCCAACTTTGGTCATGCGGACTTCGCAGTTGGGATCGCAGGAATGGTTGATGAAACGAGCTGCACTACCCTTCGTTCCATCAAGTACCAGTCCACGCTCCATCTCCATCAGGTAGTAGCACTGCTTATTCATGTACAGCTTTTGCATCCTCTCCTGGCATTCGCCCTCGGTGATGATCTCGCCAGTGTACTCCATGATGATCTGTCCGGGCTTGAACGATCGCGCAGCACGGATGCCGTGACCACGCTGCTCAGTCTTGACGACCTCGATGCCCACATCGAAGCGTCCGCCCTTCTTCAGACGGGTGGCAAGTTCGTGAAATGGTCGATTGCTGCATTCATCTGCGCCCAATCTGCAGTTTGTGTCGTCACACTCGTACTGCATGACACGATTCAGACAATCATCGTCACAGCCCATGCCCGGCTGATCAGGTGTTGAGCAAGAGCAGAAAGAGGGCTGCAATTTTGCTTCTTTGCTCCATAGAGCCTTTGCCTCTCCTACAAGACGGTTCTTGTTCAACTTGTGCCAATCCTTCGGCTTCTCGTCCATTCTCTTGTCATTGTGAGGCGCGTACACATCGTAGGGTATTCTGAACGAGCGCGTCTTATCGGCATCGAGATAGCCGAACATAGGCAGATTGAAATTGAGGTGCTTCTTCTTCGGCAGATCCTCACCCTCCTCGGCCGCCGGACCACTCGATGATTCGGGACGACTCTTTCGAAGCTTCTTCTGCTTCGTCGCCGGTTTGTTGGGATCGAAATCGAGCTCCTGTCCTGCGTAAAGCCCCTGCACTTGCCACTTCTTCACCTTATTGCCAGTCGAAGTCTTCTGGAGAGGATTTGCAACAACGATGGGAGCGAGCTCTGGTAGAGGCGCCTTGGTCGTCTTGACACGCTTCTTTGGCCGTGGTGCCTCGTGGAATTCGTCCAGATCGATCTCGTCCAACACGCCTTTTGGGCCCATGTCGAGCTCCTTCAACATCTTCGTTCTCCTCGGGCTGTCTTGCTCTTCCACCAAGCCCAGTTTCTTCTTGCCTGCCTCGACCATGTCACGCGTTCTCTTCCCTAGCGTTGAGGCCACGTTCTTAGCACGGTCCTTCATGCTGGGACGTCGCTCGATCTTCTTCGCAGGTGCCTTGCCCTTGCCGTTCTGCGGAGTTCGAGCCAGCATCTTCTCCAGATCATCCTCGAGTTCCACATCGATATCCTCGTTCTCAATGACGTCGGGCTCAGTGTCCTCACGATCGACAAGTGTGCGGCCAGACAAGCCAGAGGCTTTACGCGTCTTGCTGCCGCTCGCCTCGATCGTCTTCTCAGAGGCTTGCGCGTCGAGCAATTGCTTTACATTGTAGTTGACTGACACGCGATTGCGTCGCGACCGCCCGCCAGACGCCAGCTCCTGTTGCTCTGCCGCCTCGGTGCCTGCCTTGGCTGAGTGCATGCTACGATCGTCGCCAATGCTGGTGGGAGGTGTCGACGCGGCAGGCTGCTCGGAGATATCGTCCACGTCCATGGCGGTGCCGGAGACGTCGATATTGGACAGTGCGGAGTCTGAGGAAGACGATGTACGCGTCAACGTCTTCCGCCGAGGTGTCATCGCGCTGACGGGTAGTGTGGCGGTTCAATGTCGTTGTCTGACAGACCAACGACGCGACGTGTCGACGCGAGGCGAGGTGGGGAAAGATGAGCTCCGAGATGCCGTCGTGTTCGCGACGCAGCGTGTTCACCAGAGTGCAACGACAGTGTCGACGCGGTGGAGGAGACGACACGCTCAAGGAAGTCACCAGCGGAACATGGGGCAGGGGTGGTGGTGTTGTTGTGAGCTCAAGCGCGAGAGGGATGTTTGTAGCCAAGAGCCGAGCGAGAGATTCATGTCAAAGCAACAGGACCCAGAGCTTCCCACACGAACCAATCACCGTCAGCCCGCCATTGTCCAGTGCCGTCTTTGTCAGTGCACCGACATTCCTCTGACATGTCCCGGTGATCCCTCTTGCACGTAGCAAGCATTGTACACCTCATCAAATGGTCACGCATGTTGGATCGAGGCCCATGCTAATCTTTCTCAGCAAATACTGATCCTGGAGAGCACAGCGAGGCTATGCATGCAGTTTTACCGGCCTTTCGAATCCGGCGGATGTCATCTGAACGTACAGAAGCCCGCTGGATTGTCTGAGGCCCACAGAAGCATGGCGAGGCTGATGCATAGCTCTACCAAAGCAGCCTTCGCTTCGAATCAAGATGAGGTCGTATGATAGCACGAAACTGCTGGGTATATTTGCCGCTCCTGGACCAGCACGCATACCTCGTACTCCAGCGGATTGACCGAGACGTGTTCTTGCGTTTAGGATATTGTTACTGATGTGGGGTATATAGGGATTGTCAAGTTGCGTATATACTTCAATGGATGAGACTCCGGTATACGGTGCTGGTTCCAGATATCCACGGCTTCCGAGTCGATAATTCTCTGACGAGGCGTGCTGTATCTCACCATACAGTCAGTCTTGAACGTTCTTCTGAGCAACAACCAATTTGCCATGGTTGAATCGACGATGGACACCATTCAGACAGCGTCGCGCGCCTCGAGTCTCGACGCCTTAGGAAAATGGAATCAGGCTGCTTTCGTTCCCTGTACTGATCAAGAAATAAAAAGTTGATGTCAGGAAATCTGATGGAGAAGCAAGGAACGGAGTAGTCGGCGTAAGTCCGGTGCTGCTGTTCCCGAACCCGACTCCATCGAGCAAGTGAATGCTTTTGTTCCGATGACCCACTTCGATCTGACATGTGAATATCTTATCGAGTCCCACGGCCTTCTTTAATTGCCAGTCCTTCGTCTACGACACCAACTCAACCAACCGCTCCTATCCGAGAGCTTCAAAGACTTTCTACCGCCACTTGTTGCACATTTCGAAATCAACAAAACTTCCGGCAAAACAACTTGCTCCCCGCTGAGGGGACGCTGAGGAACCGAGAGACACGACGCAAGACCGCCAAGAAGAAAGAAGGAAACGAAAATGAGACTCGTCAACATTCCTGCAAGCTTGTATGTTCCTGTTGGGAATGGGAGATGCCTTCTCCAGGCTCTTCGCTGAAGAGAGGTTGATATCTGTCGAACACATCAACGACAAGATTGAGGATCAGCCACAGAAGATGACAGGTGTGCCATGCGACACGCAAGAGTCTGGTTGGGTGCGCAATGGCACGAAATGTGCTTGGATCTAGGACGACTATGAGATGATCAAAGAGACCATTGCGACTCGTGGACAGCGTGCTTCCACTCTATGGAGACTAATCTGGCTGCATCGACCAGTCTTGAGACCTTCAACCTTTCTTAAGGCTGCCACTTGAGCAGGGCAAAAGCGCAATCAGACCGGCTTTGAACACAGCTTGCCTAGACACCACCCACCGATTGCTTGAAAGCAGTCAAAAGCGAGCAAACAGTAGGATGAAATCCTTTAGCGGCATAGTTGATCTCACAATGGATTGGCATTCGCTCTGCTTTCCTATCATATCTGCATCGACTTTTCTTACTCTCAGCTTCAATTTCGATGCATTCGATTGTGCTGCCTATAGCAAGTGCCATGAAAATATATACATATATGCCTGCAACGAAAGACCTTCGGGAATAAGTTGACGCTAGTTAGCGCCCCACTTTCACATGACAGCACGTCACGCTTTTGTGCCAATGACTCCACACCTGGAGTGAATACCACTTGCGACTTCACACGTGCACAGACACAGTTCACCAAAGTTGAACCTGCGCGGAGGGTACAAATCCCTTCATTTGTTATCTTTTAATTCGACGTTCAACTTTGCGACAGTTGCCAGAAAAAGTTTTTGCAAAACTTTCCTCCAAATCTCGACTCACTACATCCAAGATCATTCGACAAACACTATCCAAATTTAACAATTGACACCTTCCAAAGATGTCTTCCGCAGAAGTCGTTACCATAATCGACGAGAAGAGCGTTGGCTTGAAGAAGATCGCGAGTGGCAAGGTCCGCGAGATCTTTGAGGTCGACGACCAGACTCTGCTCTTCGTCGCAACAGATCGCATCTCGGCATATGATGTGATACTGACCAATGTAAGTACTCACCCTTGTGCTTGAAATGCAACTCATATTAGATGTTGATTTGTGTACAGGGCGTTCCCAACAAAGGCGCATTGCTCACGCAGTTGTCTGCGCACTGGTTCTCATTGATCAGCAAGCACTTTCCAGAACTCAAGACACACCTCAAATCAACACAGTTGCCCGCATCGGTCCCATCAAACCTCGCTCCACAGCTTGAGAAGCGAAGCATGCAGGTCAATCGCGTGCCGGTCATTCCGCTCGAGTCGATCGTCCGTGGCTACATCACTGGCAGCGCCTGGTCTGAGTACAAGAAGTCAGGCACAGTGCATGGCATGCCTGCGCCTGCTGGCTTGCAAGAGAGCCAGAAGCTCGAGAAGCCTCTATGGACTCCAAGCACCAAAGCTGAGCAGGGAGAGCACGATGAGAACATCTCGAAGCAGAAGGCGATCGAGATTGTCGGCGAGGAGGTGGCAAAGAAGGTTGAGGAGGCGAGTCTGAAGATCTACGAGATGGTAAGTGAACTCTTCGTCAAAGCCGACACCTATGTGATATAATGCTGACATCCTGGTCTGTAGGCTCGCGATTACGCTGAGGAGCGTGGCATTATAATTGCCGATACCAAGTTCGAGTTTGGTCTTGACCCAGAGACGAAGGAGATTGTCCTCATTGACGAGGTGCTCACACCAGACAGCTCGCGTTTCTGGCCTAAGAACAAATACGAAGTTGGCAAGGGCCAATCGAGCTATGACAAGCAGTATCTCCGCGACTGGCTCACGAACTCGGGGCTGAAAGGCAAGGACGGCGTGAGTATGACCGATGAGGTTGCGAAGGAGACAGCGAGCAAGTATCGCGAGGCATACGAGAAGATCACAGGAGAGAAGTGGCAGTAGAGACGAGGCAGGATCAAGCCACTGATTACATGCATGAAGACTGAAGACACCCTTGGTGTAGACAGAGGTCGCAGCCTGAGCTGCAAGTAGTGGACACATCCTGTACATTGTCTATACGAAACATCGTTACTTCTACAACTTTGATTGCCTTGTGCTTCCCCACGAGAACCAAGACTTGGTAAGTGGTCGAGGAGGTAAGAGCTGCTCGAGCTCGCGAGTATTCAGATATGACAAGTCGCCCCGTACCTCGTTGAGATCTGTGATGCCACAAAGTCGCATCGCAGTTTCCACTTCGTCTTGCAAGACTGTAAAGAGCGTCAGCAAAAACAGCAGTAGATGCAAGCGGCGAGAGACACTTACCGGAAGCAGCATGCTCGACACCTTCCTTATCGTACAACACAGCGCACTGGAATGGCCTGCCGACACCGACGCCTCTCGCACCAATGCAAATAGCCTTGACCACATCGCTTCCTCTTCGCACGCCTCCATCGATGAACACCTCCATCTTGTCGAAGACTTCCGGGCAATCTCTCTTCAGCTCCAGCAAAATAAGAATCGTCCCTGGCGAATTATCCAACGCTCTCCCACCATGATTCGACACCACAATCCCCGCACACCCCATCTCCAACGCCTTCTTCGCATCAGCCGCAGACTGAATTCCCTTCACGACAATCGGCTTCGAAGTAAACTTCCGCATCCACGGAATATCCTCCCAACACAACGCCCAATCGATAAAACTTCCCGTCGTCCTCGCCAATCCACCACCCTTCTTATCAGTCCCAGACTTCGCTCCATTGGCATAGACTGACGTAGTCTCCGAAACCAACAGCCTCTCATCCGCTTCTCTCTTACTCACAACCGCCAAATCCACCGTAACGAAAATCGCCTTAATCTGATCCAGCTTATCCACCTTCTTCAACGTCGCTTCTGTCTTATGTCGTTGTCGATCAACGTACACTTGGAAGAAATACGGATAATCGCTCGGGACACTCGCTAGAATATCTTCGATACTCATACTCGCCGTCGTGCTCATACAATGGATGATCCCGCTCGCTGCGGCTCCAGCTCCTAAAGCGGCTTCACCTTCGGGTCCTGCTGTCTTTGCGATACCCATTGGACAGATCCAAACTGGCATGTTGACTTCGCAGCCCAGCATGGTCATTTTCGTGTTGATATCTCGTACATTTCGCATCACACGAGGTCTGAACCAGAGTTTCCCCCACCAGGATTTGTTGGCGTTGAGACTGAGTAGGTCGTTTGAAGCGCCCCAGATGTAAGCCCAAGCTTTCTTGGATCCAGCTTTCTCGAATGCACGTTCGAAGTCATCGAGGTTGATGAGAGTTGAGAGGGGAGGTCGTTCGTTGGGATCTAAAGGTTTAGATGTCGTTTCTTCCTTTTGGGCTTCCGTCCAGCTTTCTGTGATAGTGCTTTCATCTAGATCGCCAAGTTTGGCGGAATCTGGAAGCTCGGATTCGATGAGTTTGGCGCTGTGGTATTGGTTGTAGGTTTCTGTGCCGTCTTTGCCTGCATATTTCCAAATCATTTCTGGACCGCCAGGGTGTTCGGGAGCGAACTTTTATTGCCCTGTTAGCCTCATCTCTGATTTAATTCATTGAGGCATATGATCACCTTTGACAAGTCATATACTTTGCCATTAACCACGACCCAGCAATCCTCTGCTGAAGAATGTTTTGTTATTTCCGCCACGGATACCTTGTCGCCTTGCCCCATCTTGATGATAGCTCTACTTTATCGTCCTGATCGACCTTGTCAATGTCTCGAAATCACTTAATGTTTCTGGTTGTGCAGGATATGTTTTCTGTGGTATATGATCTCAGCACCAATTGCCGAAGAACGATTGGTCTTGGGATCCTGGTGTTGATGATGTCGACCCTCGTCTCGGGCGCTTTCTCCACCCCCGCCACACCATTCGTCCGACTGCCGAATTGAGGAGCCGAGAAGTGCAGAGTTGCTTCAGGCACGATTTTGCGAATATTATAGTACGATGGAGTTGGCAAGATATTGAAGCTAAACAGCTGTGGACTTTCATCACGATGGTCCCTACCCGTCGTACCTGATACAACTCAGTCATCGATGGCAGCTACTGCGCCAGAAGTACAACTTCCTCTGAGGCACGAATTCCCCTATTGCGAACAAGATCGCGCCATTTTGACGTGCTGCGAGCAGGACTAACCAGGGGAGCTTGCTGCTTACGCGGCGGAGTGAAGTTGTCAGAAATGTTTTGGCGAGTTTTCAAAGCTAAAACGCGGTCCTGAGTGAAATGGAATGGTCTCAGATGACACTTTAGCAAAATATGCTCGCTACTGAAAAGGTGCTCCATTAGTTGATCATGGCCGTCGGCTAAATTTCTATCGTTCACACAAATTGAGCGACAATCTGCTCGAGCTCCTCTTGAGTCTTCTCCTTGATACCGACGAGTTCATTGTCGTTCTTGGCGCTCCAGTTGTTGCCGTATGGTGTACTGAGGGCGGATAGAGCGATGAAGTCAAGGAAAGTCGGTAGCTCAGCGGTGCCGTTCTTGATCTTTGCCCAGGCATCCGTCTCGATCTGCTCAGTGGTTGCTTCGACTCGTTGAATAGACTTCCCCTTCTTCTCCGCGATCGCAATGAGCTCATTTTGGCTAACAGCAGCACTCTGGATGTATACAGCGCGGTTCTTAAATTGGTCCGGGTTCTTGAGAATGGCGACCGTAGCCTTTCCGACATCTTCGAGTGTAGTCGTGCTATGCTTGTCGTTGCCGCCGTCAATGACCCGTGTTGGACCGTTTAGGTTGACATTGAAGCCCGCGCCAATGCCCCAGTCCAGGAAAAGTCCGTTGACGACGAAAGCATAGCTAATCTTATCCTGCTTGCTCTTGAGGTACTCCTGTGTCTTCACCTTGCCAGCAAAGACAGGGAGCGCAGCAATCTTCGCGCTGCCGGCGATATCCGATCCGAACTCGGAAGGCAGGAAGAACTTGACTCCGGCTTCGATTGCAGCATCGATCAGGGGTGGCTGGCCGTCGTGATTCGGGAGCAGACTGACGACGGCGTCTTGTCCTTTGAAGGCATCGGTGAATGATTGGCTGCTGTAATCGGTCTTCACTGTCTTGACAGAAGATGGAAGTTTGTCGGTTTTGCCGCTCTTGGAAAGGACAGTAACAGTAAGACCAGCGTCTACAAGAGCATTCACGACACTCGGGCCCAGATTGCCAGTGGCTCCAGCGACGGCGATGTTTTGGTATGCCATTCTGATGTTCAGTTGATGTTGGTATTGGTCGTTGCAATTGCGGCCTGAGTCGTGCTGGTGCAGGAGTGTGGAACTGATGTTGTTGTAGTTGGTGATGTTAGGATTTGAGATTCAGTCACCACTCTTTATATTATCTTATATCCTCCACGAGCCTCCTTGATGTCGTGCGATGCCCAGAATATTCCATATGCACACCCTATCCTGGTGGTGAAGTGCCGGCAGACGGAAGTCTGTGTAAGCATCGGATATACCTGAGTGAAATCGTGCTCTGATTGGCCGGCAAGATTCCGCTGTGCTGACAGCGTGCAGTTACGTCCGGCCGACCTGGTTGCTTGGCATCCAGACACTGAACATTGTGGGTCCTTGCGCCATGTCAAACATTTGTTGCGTTGTCTGAGAGGAGTGGTGGAAGATTTCCGTTGCATGTCGTGCAGTCGAACGTGATCGGGTTGGTACCACGAGCTCCAGATGAGTAAACATTGTTCTTGTGCTGCAGTCTAAGCCTTGTGATACCGATTCATTGCCTCCTGCAGTTTTGGCCAAAAATCCCGGTTGACATTGGCATCGACAAATTCAGTCCATTTGATGATCTGCTGGCCGCATTGATCAAAGTCCAGCGTCCACATGTACTCGTTCACATATCTGCGAGCGGTCAGTTCCGATTCAGCTCATTTGGCAAATGGCAATTGTGTACATACTCGCCAGCAAGCGTATCAGCTCGTGCAGTTGAGTAGATGCACAGTCGGCGTGCTTCTTTGTCTTCCACAAGATCGTGTACCAGCAGGGTGAAATTGTGAAAGATGGGTTTCAGAGCTTGGAGCGATTTGCGATACTCATCGTTGGTTTGCGCCTTGTGGCCGAGCGCAGCTGGCAATATGTGTCTGAGGCAATCTTGATGGCGATAAGATATGATCGCATCAATGTCCATTCGGTTGAAAGCGTCGACCAAGGCCTCGGCCGTCAGGCGCTGTGGGGACTTCGTCATGGCTGGAGCTTGTCGATTGTGCGCAGGAGGTTCATGCTCTCATCGTGCTATTCCTCTGCTGAACCTCTTCTCATACTTATTTCTGGTGCAGGTCGTGTTGAATTTCTCGTATCCCTCTTGAGACATCGAAAGGAGAGCTGCATCTCGTCACACCACCTGACGATCGTCACTAGAGAAGAAAAGCAAAAAACGTCGAGCTGCGCGCCGTTGGGAGGTCACTTCAGCCTTGGCCGGTGTAATCTCCGAGGTAGCCAGCAAGCAGGATCTGGAATACACTCCAGTCTGTGAAATACTCCAAGATCGAGCGACACGTAGAATCATGCCTGGCAGAACATTGGTCGTGTTGGGCTCCGGCCCAGGTATCGGAGTCGCAGTCGCGCAGGCATTCTCAGTGCGGGGCTTCACCCACATCGCGCTGGTCTCGCGCAATGCAGAGCGGCTGAAAGAAGACCAAGACAAAGTGCTTGACAGCATCCAGGAGCGTGGCTACAGCTGCCAGGTGAAAACATGGGCCTGCGATATCTCGGACCTTGATGCCTTGAAGAAGACGCTGGGTGAGATTGAAGGGTATGGAGAGCTCGAGTGCGTGCTGTTCAACGCCGCGAGAGTGGCAGGCAAGCCGCCACTCGAGGAGGATGTCAGTGCCATCGAGCAGGATTTCCGGGTGAGTTGCGGCGTGGCGCAAGACCGATGGGAACAAGGACTGACATTGCACAGCTCACGAATCTCGCGTTGTACGAGACAGCGCTGTGGGCCATTCCCAAGCTGCAACAAGTCAAGGCTGAAGACCGCTCGCCGTCCTTTTTCGTGACGTCGACCACGCAGCTGTGGAAAGAGCCCGTGTACGATCTGGTGTCGCTGTCCATGGTGAAGTCTGCTCAGCGCGCCCTCGTGCTGTCGTTGCACAACAAGTATGGCGAAGATGTGCACGTGGCGCTGCTCAGTGTTGGCGGCGTGGTGTCGCCCGACGCGAAGAATTTGAGTCCAGACAACATCGCCAACAAAGCCTGGCTGCTGTACAAGCAACCCAGAGGCAAGTGGGAGAGGGAGCAGCCGATTGATGAATAGACAGCAAGAACATTGGCATTTCAACATTCCTCCGCTTGCTTCTTGTCTCCTCCACTTCTTGTCTCCTCCACTGCGCTTTGGCTGTCGCTTTGACACAGCAAGAACGTCTCGGGTAAGTCGAACACTGTTTCCTATGCAGGCCCAGCAAGCATCGAACAGCGCAAACCGCAAACGTGGCGCGTTCCTGCAGACATGGCTGGTCAGCCGTGTGCCACATGGTCATCATGCAGATGGCCATCATGTCCGACCCAACTTCACACTACACCTTCTACCAGCCTTCAACACCACTTCGAGCGCGACAGACAAATCACGCCGTAATCACCACTGCATGGCACACGATGCGGGATATTGCAAGGCAACCGCGCAATCTGTTTGCCCAACAACAATAATCGCGAGAGCATCCTCGCCCGGTCCTACAGCCGCAAGCACTTCCTGTCACGCACCTCGCTCAAGAAACGCCTCCGTTCCACGATAGAGATGCAATGTCCTCACCGCACATTCGAGCGCATCGAGGAGATGCTTGGCCGTTCCTCCAAGTGCGCGATTTCGCAAACTCCGATCAACGTCCGGAGCGTGCATACGCTACGTGGTAGCATCCATGCAATGTTGACTTGCATTGAGAGGGCACAATCAGGCGACTCTGGACATCGAACCTAGTACGGGCATGACTCCGGGAGCCGGATCGTGGCGAGGCAACGCTGGACGGGACGGCAATCGCGTTGAGTTGCAGTTCCCTCTTACGATGGTGTCTCGATCCCGCAAACAATGCATGATAGATGATGTGAAATTCACTGGTAGCTACGATATCACTTCGACCGGGCCGACCAGCACAGAGCTCATGTTGCTCAACGTGGCGAGCAGGAAAGGCGCTCGCTCCAACAACACATCGCACTGTCCATCGCGGGCGTGCACTACCAGCCACTGCTCAGGATGAGCCATGTCATATCTTATCCGGCCCAGTCTTCGATGCATGTCGCGGCTGTGCGGCAAGCTTCCCAAGCAAAAACCTTGACCGTGCACCCTCGCACCTTCGCATGCTTGACGGTCTTGGCTGATCGATCTTGTACCAGACGGGCAGCTCTCCAAGCTCTCTTGCTTTCCGAGCCCCACTCACTTGCATGACAACGTCACTCAGTACGAGCATCTGCACCGTTAGACTGCAACATCGCGGCAGCATCTCAGCACAGCACGCATCCTGAACGCGGCAAAACCATGTCCTACGTCTTACCAGAAGAAGCAGGTGAATATGCGATTGTCGGGACGCATGCTGGCTTGCCTATTTGCTTGACACAGCTCAAATCATAAATACCCCGACGCGATCCCGTTCACAGAGCCTCCGATCCATGTACCTGGCGCTCTGAGCGAACTTTCTTTTCATCCACCGGGTTTTCTCCAGCCACTTCACGTCTACATATCAATTGTCCACTTCACCGCAAGAAACGCCTCTTGTCGCGTTACCACAGGAAGAGTTCGACACAGCATCCGCGGCGTCAGTGCGACGCCTTCCTGATACAATGTTGGGCAAATCACTTTTGTCCAAACTGGGTCTGTTGGCCGCTACAGCCTCTGTTGCAACGGCATCGTTGGGAAAGGAATTCCACGCACACTCGAAATGGCAGAACGTTAAGCGACAATATTTTCCTGCCAACGCTACCGACGTGAAATCGTTCACAACGCCCACGAACGTCACAATCCGATACAAAGAGCCAGGAAAGGAAGGAGTGTGTGAGACTACACCTGGTGTCAACTCGTATTCCGGGTACATCGATATTGCACCAAACGTACATGTCTTCTTCTGGTTTTTCGAATCGAGAAGGGACCCAGCGAATGATGACTTAACCCTGTGGCTCAATGGAGGACCTGGTAGTGACTCGCTGATTGGCCTCTTTGAGGAACTTGGACCGTGCCGAATCACTGAGAATCTAACTTCGGTACTCAATCCGTACAGCTGGAATGAGGTATCGAACATGCTCTTCCTCAGTCAGCCGGTCGGAGTCAGTTTCTCGAACCAAGGCGAAGAACAAGGCACGTACGCCAACTACACTGGCACTTTCCTGAACAGCACAGAACTGGGGGGCGTATACAACTCCACGGGCACCTGGCCTATCCTCGACCCGATCAGAGAGGGCGAAATCGATACCACCGATCTTGCTGCTATTGGTGCTTGGCATGTCTTCCAAGGCTTCCTGAGCGCTTTGCCTTCTTTCGCCAATGTTACAGCTGATCAGCCAAAGAACTTCAATCTCTGGACAGAGTCGTATGGAGGACATTACGGACCATCTTTCTTCCGGTACTTTTCCGAGCAGAATGACAAGATTGCCAATGGCACTTTGCCGGGATACCACTTGAACTTCAGGAGTCTGGGACTCATCAACGCCATCATTTCGGAGAAGATCCAAATCGATTACTATCCTGAGTTTGCTGTAAACAACACGTACGGCATCCAAGTCTACAACGACACAGTATACAACTACGCCAAGTTTGCGACGAACATGGTAAACGGCTGCAAGGCGCAAATCGATGGATGTATAGCATCCGCACAGGGCATCCCCGGTGGTCTCGTTAACGGCAAGATTACCTATGCTGCCACCTCGCAGCCTGCAGTTGCTGCCATCTGCGCAGAGGCAGGCAACATGTGCAGAGACAATGTGGAAAGCCTGTACTATGCTTACGGCGACAGAGGCACTTATGATATGTGAGTGTGGACGCAAGCGCATGCCGTAGACATCTACTGACATTTTCGCAGCCGTCACCCTAGTGCTGATCCCACGCCCGAGTCATACTTCGGAGACTACCTGAACCAGGCCAAGATCCAAAACGCTATTGGTGTTAGCCTGAACTACACAACTAGCAACACTGACATCTACTTTCAGTAAGCACTTCTGGCAATTGCGTCTCTTGAGGCACGTCCTAATATGTACTCGCAGATTTCAATCCACAGGCGATTACATCTACCCGAACTTCCTCGAAGACTTGGAAGAGATCTTGAACAGCGGCGTCCGCGTCGCGCTCATGTATGGCGATGCTGGTAAGTTCGGAGATATCATGAATAAAAGCTGCCAAACTGACTCTCGTCTATAGACTACATCTGCAACTGGTTCGGTGGCGAAGCTGTGAGCAAAGAGGTCAACTACACCTATACCAAAGAGTTCAATGCCGCAGGCTATGAGCCGTTTGTTTGGGGACCTGGCAAGGTCCAAGCAGGCGAGACTCGCGAATACGGCAACTTCAGCTTCACGCGCATCTACGAGGCCGGCCATGAGATCCCGTATTACCAGCCAGGACCATCTCTCGCCATGTTCGAGCGTGTCATTAGCGGTCTCGCCATGTCAGACGGCGCGGAGCCTGTGACTGCGAATTTGACGACCACGGGCAATGCGAACACAACGCACACTGCAAACCCGGCTGATTACTCATTGCCTCCAACTGCGTCTGCGGACTTGGCCGCGTACAGCTCCAGCCTGATCGCTAGTTATGCATCGTTGGATAATGCCCCGCCGCCAACGGCTGTGGCAAAGATGCTTCAGGTCTGAAGTGTGAAATGAGACGAGAGGTGGGAACATACAAAGCTTGGAAAGTAATGAGTGTGTATCATGATATACGACTGATGAACAAATTGCACAGAAAAGCCAGAAATTTTGCATCATAAACCTTTTCTCATCATTCGTCAAACTCGTCTACCATTCTATCTGGGGTGAGCTCTGTCGATTCATATCAGCTTGGAGCCTCCATTCCTCCGCTGTATCAGCACTACCCATAGCGCTACTAGCACACATGCGCCCGTCAACATAACCAATCCCGCAAAAAGCTGTAATCCAAGATAATTTGTACTCCCGCCTCCAGTCGACGCTTTCGCCAGCGCAGCGGCAATGGGCGGCCCAATCAAACTAGCAATACTACCAAACCCTTGCGCCATCCCGAGACGTGCTCCGAAAACTTTAGCGTCTGGACAGACGACAGGAAATACACTAGGAGGCAGTGGTATTAAAGCTCCTGAGAAGAACCCGTACAGCGCTGCTACGGCGATGAAGGCTCCGGTCTCTTTGGCTGCTAGCCATGCGATTGCGACGATGCCGCTGGAGACTACGCAGAAGGTCCAGGGGATCATGCCGCCGATTCGAGAGGCTGAGTAGCCTGCTAGTAGACGTCCGGCGATGCTGGTTGCTTGGGCGATCATGGCGATGTAGAGGGAGTTTCGCTGACTGATGCGGAGGACGAGTTGGCCGTATGAGGGTATGAAGACGAAGGGGACCTGCATAAATTAGCAAAAATTCGGAAATTTGGTTCGCTGCGAGTTGCCACTCACCATGTAGCCTAGGAAGATGAAGAAATTGGCGAAGCTGTACAGCCAAAACGGAGTATCAATGAGGGCGCCACGATCGAATAGCTTTCTGGGCTGTCCAGACGCTAGATCACCGAGGTTCGAGACTCCCCAGAGGAGCAAAGGAAACGAGATGAGGTACGTTCCAAGCATAACAAATCCGATCGTCCGTACTGTCCAGCCGAATGATACGTTTTCAATCATTTGCGAAAAAATCAGGGTATAAATGATACCGCCCACTGGTGCACCACAAGTAGTGATCCCCATCGCTACAGCCCGATGCTTCTTAAACGCTCTGCTGACAAGCGCCAGACCGGGGAGGTAGAGCAGACCATTTGACAGGCCTTGAAGCACTCCTTGTGTGAGCATGAGTTGCCAGTACTGAGTGCTGACACTCGTGAGAAACACGCTCAACGTTTGTCCCAGTCCCCCCACGATGAGCATCGTCTGAAACCATCCCAGATCAAACAATGGGCCAGATAATACTCCAAGAAGAATCAGTAGGAAGATTGCCACTGTACCGATCCATGATATTGATGAAGCAGACTCGTTTGGGATGTATGTCAATTCGTAGTATGACTGGAAGGATCCAAAGGCAAATGACATTCCCCAGAGATTGCCAAAGACGAGAAAAGACCCGGCGACTTGCAGCCAAGCTCGCGCACCACCGTCCTTACTTTCCGGGCCTGGGGGAGGAGCGGTGACAGGGGTGGCGAGGGTCGTAGCATTTTCAATATCGCTCGTTGATGTGATGTTTCCATCTTTGTCGTACTCCAGTGATGCTTCTTGCTTCTCCACGTCACTGCCAGCGGAAGATGAGGTCGCCATATTCGTGACTTGGCAGGAGTGACTGTGCTACGTATGCCGAGGTCCAATAATGGTAGCCGCCAGTCTTCGCGCCTGCTCTCCCAAGAATCCAGGGTCCTGTAAACCGCTATGCCATCACAAAGCCAGACAACATGATACAGAATGAAAGAAAAGGCGCGGGAAGGGTAAAGTGAAAGAAACAGACTTACACAACGTGTGGATTACATAACTGGCCAACTTGGCGTGCGGTCTGCATCCTGAGAGACGGAAATGTTTGCTGATCGCAAGCTGCGCAAGCGGCGCAAGCGAATGGTGGCACTCGTTGGCCTACTAGAAGGAGTCTAGCCCACAAGCTGCATGAAGCATACGTGATGGTATACGCCCGGCAGTCGGCAAATGGGAGCTTGGCCATGGTCACAGGATGAGGAGAAAGAAGGCGGTAGAATAGGCGAAGCGATGTCGCTGTGCGAAAGGGCGGTATATGCAAATCGCCGTGAGTTTCTTGCGCTCCGATTTGTGAGGACTCATGTTGGATGCGTTGCGTGCTTGGTGGCTGGTGGATTACTTGCATGAGTACGATGGTGCAAGCTGCATGATGGTGAGGTTTTTTCTCCAAGACGGACGAACAGGAACAGAGTTTCTGTGAGTTCTTGGGGTTCACGTGGGCAGCTCGTGGCGCGGAGGAGCTCGAGCGAGAGGCTCGGCCCACTTGCAGCCGATTGGTGGGCAGTTGTGATCGAGATGCACCTCCTTCTCCTCCTTCCTCAATCTACACACCTACGGTTACTCAATGTCGACCCATCCAGCATGGCCTGCCTGACCAGTCTGGACTTCTGCTAGTGGTAGATGGAGTATCCTTTCACCGTTCAATCGCACAAGACTTCGGCCATGCCATAACCTGGAGTTTCCACGCCGACCGGTGTCTAGGGCGAAGAGCTATCGTCGGAGATCATGTCGAAGCCATCTTTTCGAAGAATTGTAAGGCAAAGCCACTCAGCAGGACATCATGGTGCAAGTATCATCTGAGGCGTAGATGCTACTTCTCACATATTCCCCACAAGCCATTCTTGCCTCCATTTCGGATGCCTTTTGGTGCCTCAACGCCTCCGACAAATCGAGATATCGCATCATCGGTCAATAGATCGCCAACAAAGGCAGCCACGGAGGATGACAGGAATTGACACATGATCTGCAAATATCGCTCAGCAGCGCGATAGTCACTGACGGAACTACACATTAATCTTTAGGTATATGTTCATCATCGTATCCTGCCGCTCCATAGTAGGAACCGATGCGCCAAGAACAAGTTGAATGCAGTTAGCAGGAGGAGTGGCAAGCAGTCATACCACGGCAGTCCTCGGAGAATCTGGTATATCGTGCCTGCGATCACAGCACCCAAGGTCATCATGGACCAGCACCAGGCTAGTATTCTGCAACTTCATTAGTGACAGTACCAAGAAGACCGCTTGCTCAAGACTAACCTCATGTTGCGGTACTTGTTGTTCTTGTGCGCTTTGTTATCTCCGGATGGTACCCAAGCAAGAGCTCGGCCGAAGAGTCGATCCTTGATGGCTGTGAGGTAGGCATAACTTTGTATGACCATAATGAATTGGACGTTGAAGCCATATCGGGCTTTGGCCCAGCACCGGATCGCGATAATCGAATACAAGATCGATGGCAGCGCGAAGGCGAGGTTGTAATATCGGACGTACTCCGGTCTCGCCCACAGCATACAGATCCCCGGAACTGGGTTGAGGAAGATCGAAAGCGAGATGGCGCTGTAGTACATCATTCCGGACAGGTAGCAGATCTTCTGGATGGGGCTCAGCTTGGATCGCCAAAAGTCCATGTTGGTCAGCAGCGTGGTGGAGCCCTGCGACAGTGTCAGTACAATTTCGGAAGCGGTATGCAAACTTAGACTTCTTACCATGCACCATCTCATCTGCTGACTGAAGAACGCCTTTGGCGTGTCAGGACAAATCCCACAAGCCAGACAAAGCGGCAGGTATCGCACTTTCCAGCCACGGTTGACTGCGTAGAACCCAGTATGCACGTCTTCCGAGAATCCAATCTCCGCGGTACCACCCACTTCTTCCAGAGCCGCTCGACGATATACCGCATTGCTCCCGACGCAGATGGAAGCTCCGAATCGATTTCTGTTGATCTGCACCACACGGTAGAACAACTCCTGCACCGCTCCTGCTCCTTGCTCTACCCAACTCTGGTCCACGGAAGTCCTGAAGAACTGCGGAGTCTGCACAATCGCCGTATCGGGCTTGGCCTGGTGAATCGGTATGATCTCTTGCAAAAAGTCTGGTCGCGGGCAGAAATCCGCATCAAAAATGGCGAAGAAGTCGCCTGTTGTCCGCGCAAATGCCCAACGCAGGTTTCCGGCTTTCTTCAATCTCGGACGATCTTCCCGGCAAATGTATTGGAAGCCATATGCCAACGCCATGACGCTCACGGCCTGCGAGCCTCCGTCATCAAGGACGTACACTTGCAGCTTGTCCTTCGGATAGTCGAGTTGTTGGATGTGCTTGTACGTGTTCTCCAGGACCTCGATCGGTTCTTTGCAGCACGGAAGATAAATGTCGACAGTGGGCGCTGTAAGTGGATTTACGGGGAAATCTTGGAGGCGCTTCTCATGCTTCTTGATGTCGTAGTCTTTGCCGCAAATACTCACGGTGTACGAGATGACCAGGTATAACTGGAGAAGGAAGACGAATGCGCCGAACCAGTAGAAGGCGTAGAAGCTGATAACGAAGAGCCACATGCCAACCGAAAGACTGAGAAATGAGAGTACACCGAACGTGTATAAGCCCAGGCGATTGGTCCTGAGGTACAACGTCTTCTCGAAGTCGGTCGGTGCAGTGGGAAGAATGAGCGCCGGCGATTCGGAAGGGCAATATGTCGATACGAAAGACTCCTTCGCACGGCTCCAGATGCTTGTCTTGGATTCCTGGCTCTCTAGGTCCCGAGGAGGTCCTTTCTCCGTCACCCTGGTCTCTGGCTGCCGTTTCTTCTGTAGCTTCTTCCTCTTGGCCCTGGTCTCAGCAGCAGGTGTTCCCACTCCGATCTGCTCGATCTCGTCCTCTGGTTTCTCATGTACCTCCTCTTCGATCCCATCACTGGTATGTGTCACTGGCACTATCAAATCTCGCTCCTGGTCCTGCGCCCGGAACCAACTGTTGAGCTCGTTGTGTGTCACCACTTCAGGCAGAGAGGACGGTATAGACTCATTGGTGGAGGGAGCAGCGAATGATTGTGAACGTGGCTGTGCTGCCGCAAGATTTGAGTCGTCATCTACGGCGACTGACGCGACTAAGGAACGTCGTAGATTCGATGGAGTCTGCACATGCGGTACTCGAGGAACAGGCGGACGGCCATCCTCCGGAATGGTCGCAGGAACAGACAGGTCAACTGTGCTGTTTGTCTCGAAGCCAAGCGGGCTGGTCGTCCTCGTTCGATTCGATCCGACTGGAGTTTTCGACGATGGAAAGTAGTTTGGCACCTGGGAAAGACTTGAAGGCGTTCTTGGCAACTGTCGTGCATATCAGTCAGCTGGCGCGGCGCCTCCAAGTGAACTCTTCACATACGGAATCTCTGGTTGGCGTTGGGCAACTGCTCGCTGCGAGAGTCGGAGGAGTTTCTATGCCAGTGGAGTCGTTGCCCTGGCTGCCATCATCGCTGTAGGCGGTGCTCACCGCACCGGAGCTGCCATTGGCATGATGGTCGCTGATGTAGCGCCTGGAACGCTGTTGCAGGTCTTGGAGCTGTTCTGCTAGCCGATGGATATCGACTTCTGTCTGCGACTTTTCTTTGCCTGTTGTCGGATCGCCAGCATGCAGGTCAACGATCCGAAGCTGCTCGGCCTGCTCTCCGAAGACTGTCATTCCGGCGGGGAGGACTCAAGAGATGGTGTCCAAGAGCTTTGGAGCGAAAGCGAAAAATGAAGAGCGCATGCGATTTGTTGAAGAAGCGGCTCGCATAGTCCAACGACACAGCTATCTGCGTTCGCACTGCAAGCCACAAAGTTGTTTGAACTTCCGCATGGCTGCAAACTACTTCCCGTCGCCTATGCCTTGCTCTTTGCACAGATTAAAACTTGGCGGGCCCGCCCCATCCGATCATCGTCCAGCGATACGGGTATGCACCGCTTCCCCCGGCATCATCACAGTCACACCATTTCGAGATCAAATGCATCAACTACATCTGTGGTACCACTTCGCAGCTGACGCGTTGGCGAGATCTGCGAGGAGCTTGCGAATATGCTTGTCTGGATGACTGGAAGGTGGCTGCTCAATGCGATGCAAGGCCTTTTCGTCCTTTGCTGATTATGCAGTACGGGCATTGTCCAGGCACGTGGAACCAAAAATTCGTCACTGTCGTAGCACTGTCGGTATCGGGACTTTGACGCCAAGGCCATATATTTCTGCAGCCAAGCATTCAGCGCGTCTCAGCACAGATTGATTCGCAGGCTGTACGACCGTTTCGGCTGGTTCCACTCTGCTGGGGAGACGTCGACCTATCCGCCTCTTTCGCGTCGGGGCTGATGCCGAAGACTAACGAACTTTGTCAAGCTTTGGAAAAGGATGCTGGGCACCGATGCGAGTTCGGAACATGCCATATCCAACGTCGAGGCACTGCCTGCCCATCACCGAGCGGCTCAAGACATAAATGAAGACGGACACCTGCTTTGTGCTACTCACGACGATTCAATAATCAGAATTGATCTGCTGTACGGTTCCTCCTGATCTACGCGCATTTTCAGATACGGGACTTTACACAATCTCGCATACCAGCTGACACGGCTGATGATCCCAAAAGTGAGGCTTCTTGCGATGCATGTCAGGTGAGATTGACGACAATGGCCACTCATTCGATATGCCGCCTGGCATATTTTTCAATGCGACAAACGCCCTGGAGAGCAGGTCGTTTCTTATCTGTCCCTTCATCAAATCGAACCGAGCAACTTGCGTTATGACCAGAGGGAGGCTTAAACTTGGCTCGTGCAACCGCGGGATCGACTTCGATACTGTCCGAGCAGTGCGCCTCCTGCGGGAGAAGCCCGAAGAAAAAAAACGTTTGTGAGTCGATCGCCACTGCCTAGGACTCACGGAAGGAGTCTCGATGCATCTTCCGCGTGTCCTATTCCTAAGCCATCTCGCCATATGTTTTCGGTCATGGAAGACACGCGAGTGAAGATTGATCGCCGGTTGAACCATGGACTGCACCCATTGCCTGCAGCCACAGGACGGCCCACGGAAACGATTTATGTGCCAAGCAGAGCTGACAAAGAAGTAGGTCAAGTTGGCAGTGAAGATGCTAAGATAAGACATCACTTTGCGGTAGAGTTTCGGGCGTGGATGGAAATAGGTGGAGTTGCACATGCTGCGTAACACCACACCTTGTACCTGCATACAATGACCCGCTTTTCTCTTCCTTTGCCAAGACTGGTTACATTGTGCAGGTCTCCTTCCGTCACAGATACAATGCCTGTCAGCTGTTCCGCGGATCCAAGGCACACGTTGCATCCCTTGGCAGCCATGTGAAAATGATCTTGATGTGATGGCGGCAGGCTGATAGCGGGCCGAACATTCCATCGACAAACAGCCCCGTCAACGAACCAAAGAACCACAGCAACAAGATTGTGCAGCCAAGCAAAAACATATCCAAAGTTCGCGCAGCAAACGGACACGCGTCTCGCAGACACTCGCTGCATGGCATACGTGGGAGGCATCCGGAATATCTCAAAGCTCTCCGGCTGTGGAGAAGTCAAAGTCCGGTAGCACAGAAAATCAGCCTCCACGAGAAGTTTATGCCTTGCTCCGCTTTCGTTACATAGCAATCTTTTTATCGTTCGACCTGCAACACGATGACCAGGTTCGTTTTCGCAGTTGCAGCTGCATTGGCTGTTGGCAAGGTCGCTTCGGAAGTATCCCTTTGTGGGCAGTTCGAGACGCACACAGAATGTGCGTAGCCGCCTTTGTTGAGGATCCGATAACGCGTGCGACTGTCTTGCTGATCTTGTGTTGCATCTAGGGCCCTATACGAGTATGTTGGATGGGGAGCGGCAAGGGTCTGCAGGTGCTGATAAGACTTCTAGTCAACAATAATGCTTGGGACAAGGACGATGAGTCGGGATCTATCTGTACATATGTGAGTGTTGCGATGCTGAGGTCACGCCATGGGCTCACTTACCTTTACAGGCTTGTGAAGACTGCCGCGATGCGATCTCATTCTACTCCGTCTGGAACTGGACCACACAGGATCCCGTTCGAGTTCACGCCTACCCACACGTAGAGCTGAGGTCCGAACGACTTCCACTACAACTGGGCGAACTGCGTACGCTCAAGATCGCAGCCTCCTGGTCACTGGCTCCAGTGTCATTGATAGATGGCACATCGCAAGATCCCACTACAGAGCCAGTTGCCGGCGCACTCGAAGACAATGACGTGCAAGCCAACGTCGTACTTGACGTCTTTGCAGATGCAGATGTAGAGAAGAGTCGGACGCCCGCCCAGCAGACCTACGAATTGATGGTGTGGGTTGGTGTCTTCGGCAACGCTTCATGGCCAATAGGCATGAATGAACCAAGAGATCCTCCCGTGATCATGAGCTTAGACGACATCGATTTGTAAGTCTGAAGCCATGAGCCTGTGTCATGTCAACAATCCAAACTGACAAATTTCGAGCACACTCTACAACGGCACAAATTCCAGAGGCCAACTCGTCTACTCCTGGGTTGCGGACCAGACGTCACCGACATTCGACCTGGACTTTGCGCCTCTGCTCAACTACTTACAGAGAAGAGAGGGGATACCAGAAGACGTATATGTTGGGACCGTGCAATTCGGTTCCGAAACGTTCTATTCTGATAGTCCGATGAACTTCTCAGTGTCATCGTTCGAAGCTGAGGTCGAGCGCGGGACGCCAGCAGCGGACTCAGACTCAGACCCAGAGAGCGTTGGCAATATGCTTGGAGTGCCAGAGTTTGGTATGGGGCAGAATGGCTTCATCGCCCTGTGCTGCTTGCTGGTGGCATACGTAATGGTCTCTTGAACATGAGTGCAGAGCTAGCACCTGATTGCTTAGTCGCAGAATAAGTCTATAATTACAGATGTGGCCACTCCGACTGGAACAGTGTTTCTTCCGGTCCCATGCCACGTTCTGATTCAATTCAGCAGGGATAGTTTCATGCACTCTACCCCCTCTCCGAGTGATGCATGAGGTGTCTTCCAGAAGACCGTTCTGTGTGGTGGTCTCGAATGGTGCACTAGCGGATGGCCGCGATCGCGCGTAAAAGTACCATTTGGGCGATTGCAAGCGCTGCGTCCGGCGGCCGATCGGCATGCCGAGCTGAAACTTGGCTCAACCGCCGGCCAGGTCTATGGGCCTGCCATCTGCCGGCATCAGAACCCACTGATCGATTGTGAGCGGTGAGACTCTCTTGCATATGGGAGTGACGCAGAGTCGCCTCCCCAGCATCGACTCGACCAAATTTTTCGTAAAGCGACTGAGCGACATAAGAGCTAACTTCCCAGTGTCTCGAATCGATACATGAGTAGCCTCATTTAGTGCTCTGAGGTGGCATAAGCGCTCTCCGGGCCCATCAACAGTGTGACTGTCAGGAGACGTTGCTTTCATGTCCGTTGTCGAGAGCTCGAGAGCAGTAAAGTATGAAATTACACGGCGACGCGTCTCAACGATCACGTTGAGGGACAGTCTGAAGTTCGTGTCTCCAGCCCGATATGGACCCCGCCGAACCGCCTAGTCTTGAGCAGTCTTCATGATATCTCTCTAAACAGCTTCAGTGAAAGGGCTTTCTTCGTGCAGTCGCTTCAGCTTAGGATCTCGTTTCCAGGATCCGTACAATCTTGCCCTCATCGTCCAAGGTTTTTCGTTTAGCCTTACACTGACGTCTTCCATATACCTTGCATTGTGCTGGTCTCCTTGCAAACGCAGTAGATATGCAGCTCTTAGCACTAGACGGGCGCAAAATACCCTTCTGATCTCGTCGTACTCCAACATGCATTTTAGGGCCCGCTTCTTGCGGCATATTGCAAGCATGTGTTTTGCATCTGCGTTGATAGGGTGAAAGAGTTTCAAGTTAGCAACATCGAGCCATATAGAGGATGCCTCGTCTGAGTCGATCCTATGCAAACGTCTTCTGTAGACTTCCACAAATTCTTCGAACAGGATAGGATTGCAGGGTCTCGCCTGGTCCATGTCCAGTGCTTTCGCCACAACTGTGTTTGCGTAATGATACCACGAAAATCCTCGGGCGTATCTGGACCGATCCAGTACAAACTTAAGCGCATTGTCAGCTGTACCATCTTTCGACCAATACACCATTGCCCTGGCCATCGCAGCGATGACTTGAGCTGGCCAGTCGAATGTAGTGCTTTTATACTTGCTTCTATAGCCCGCTGCCTTCGGCTTCATGGTAGCGCCGTCTCTCAGCGATCCGTCCGTATACCAGATCCATATCCAATCTTGTACTGCCTGACTTTTCTCTTCTGCCTCAAGATGCCAACAGAGAGGATCTGCCAGGTTGCGATCCACGGTCCAATCCCATTGTTTTGGGTCTGTGCCCAGTATCCAATGCAATACCAAATAAGCTTTTACGCTCGTAGCCCTGACCTGCTGTTCCTTACGCGGTAGAGACTGGATGGCTTCCATGGAGGACTTGAGCAGCGCAGTAGCTTCTGCTGGGCCCGCCAAATCGCGCTCTGCCAACTGCAGGAAGTGGTGGACATCCTGAGGCGTATCGATTTGTTTATGCTGACCATCATGCGGCTGTGATGAATATCCAGATCCTTGCTGCTGATAGATGTCGTTCTTCCTCTCGCCTCCATTCTGTTGTGACTTCCGTGGTCGCCGTAGTTCCCCATCAGGCGCAGATGGAAACCCACCCCTCAAGCTGTTCTCCTCCTCCGTCCCACTCTCACATCGCACATGCTCTTTCTCGGTACTTCCTAGTCCTCCTAAATTGTCAGGTCTCTCAGACACAACCGGGTCGCGGCGGTTTGCATCACATGTAGCATTCCGAATTTGCGTGATCGTGACTCGTCGCGGACTGCCAATGCAAGCGTTCAATGACCGTACATGGCGCGAAAGCAGTCTTCCCGCCATGCTGGAATAGTCTTGAGAACATAATTGCAGTTGCGATGCATGGCAAAGATTATGGAGGGATAGACAGCGAATGTGGAGCTTGTGCGACCTATGTCGCTGCCTCGTCTCGAGGAATATGTCTCGGCTCGCTGTCCGTGTAGCCACTAAGTTATCTCCTATATGTGCGTGTTCACATAAACAAGACCAGGTGACACTGAGCTGGCTCCTTTGAGATGAACGGAAACCCGGATTCGTTGGATGCAAGTAGCAGATATCGGTCCAAATCTCCTCAATGACACATGCTATACCGTCGTGTTTTCTACTTTCGGCCACCAGCAATGGCTAGATTCCTCCGACTGCGCGACTCATCTCAGGCTGTGTCACAAGTAGCCCACCACGCTGACTTCTGGATCGTTTCCAGCCCCCTTGGCAAATCGGGTTCGCCGCGCTATGGAAGATGCGGTTCCATCGGTCTGAAACAGCACTCGAATGTGAGTTCGTGATAGCGCCAATGCGTCCTTCGCAGATGGCCATAGCGCTTGTTGGCTTGCATTTGAACGGGAGCGGAGTCTGTGAAATGTGGCTCTTTGGGTGCTGTCTGTCCTCTTGCAAGTGCTGTGTCGTGCTTACAGACGTAGCACAGCGTCTTTACGAGCTGGACGGAAAGCTCCGGGATCATGACCTTTCATTTGCTGAACAGCTTCATCCAAACCAAATGCCAGTGTTCTGGCCCCCAGACACACTATGATTCATGCCTTCCCTGATGATACGATCCTTAAGCGAATCGATTCGAGCTTGGTCATTCACAAGTTCCTCCTTCCTGGTGGATGATGCACTAGTACCACGAGACTGCCAGAACTTCCACGAGCTGGGCCGCGTGGGCGCCTGCTCTGACTGTTCAAGAAGCCTCTGCACCATGAGCTCCCAGTTTCCGACTCCAGTGAGAAGACATTCCTTGCACTTCTTCTTCTCAATCTCAGCCTCGGCCGTGTTTACCTCGACAGTGTCCTTATTCGACAGCTGGCCATCTGCAATTGTGACGGCCTGCTTCGTCCAGCTTAGACCTTCCTCGGTGTTCGAGCTGGAGCCTGTGAACAGAATTTCACCAATGTAAAGCATCAACTCGCTCTCCCCGCACGTCGGCTGCGGAGTGGGACGAACGACTGGAATGTCGCCGCTTTGTGGTGGATCCGGGAACTTTGGTGGCACAAATATGAGACTCCATAAAGTCGAATTCGAAGCGCCTGTCGTTGGCGGAGGAGGGAACGGCGAAACAGGCGCAGTCCGTCGTGCACGGAGGACTGACAGCAGAATTGGGAGCGCTTGATCGATGTGTCCGGTCCGGGCATGATGGCTAGCCAACGCTGTCGTAGCCTTGAGAATATTTAGCGTTACATCAGCAGTAGCAGATTCCTTCAGAACGTAGGTCTTCTCGTCAAGCACGTCAGCTTGCCCAATTTCAGCTTTCAGACCAGCCTTTGCAATGTCCACGGCCCATCTGTACATCTCGGTAGCCGCATCATTCGTACCTTGAAATTCCAGCCAATTCGCAAAACCCAGCGCAGCTTCCAATTGCTGGCCTGTGGTGAATCCTTTTCCAGTGATTATCTTCATGTAGAAGGTCTCAGGCGCAGGATACGGCCTCACGCAGTCCTCTTCTCGAGGCGCAGCTTTCATGTAAGGAGGTGTGGGTCTGGGATCTGGATTCGAAGGTCCAATCACGACATCCTTGGGAAATACAAGATTCCTTGTCCGATCCAGAACCATGCCATCCAGGTGCTCGGCGGCCTTTGCGCACAGCATTAGAGCCTCGACGTAGCCTGCCTTCCATGGCCAGCTCTTTTCGCTGATATCGTATCCAGCCTTGCCAACTCCAGGAATGAGTATTTCACCTTCATCATCTCCTAATATCTCATGTAGCCCTTTGCCCTCATAGTTTCCGTCCTCCAATCTCGATAAAAGCTTCAGCGCAGTGGTCCCAACCTGAGCCCAGTCCACAATGCCGGTCCCGCTCCGCAGAGCTTGTTCCTCATCGGAGAAGACTCTTGCAGCTCTCATCAACTGCCTTGTCTGCCATCGCCACTCACTTGGTGTCGGATTTGTGCGCTCATCCATCTCAATATTCACGCCAAAGTAGGCGATGCCGCCGAGGACGAGAAAGGTCCATCCTAGAACGGTCCACTTCGCAGCTAGGTAGAACTGCTGCTTCACAAAACTGCGGTTGCTGCTGGAAAGTAGGCGAGCGAGTTGTCCTGAAGGACCATTGAGCGGGCGTTGATGAGTCTGGGCCAGATATGGAAGCTGAGGCCGTGGCGGCGTGAGCCTGGTGAACGGTCGCTGTGTGCGTTTCGAGGTACTCGGTGGGCGGAGAGGGCGCAGCGATGGTATTCGCGTCGACAGCGTGCGTTGCGAGAGCATTCTGGATGCTGCGCTATGTGGTAGAGGAGTAGCAATGCTTGCGATCACAAGTGGTGAGGTCAGACATCCCAACCGCCAAGACTTGGAGCTCCTTCGCGTTTCTGCCTCCATCGCAGTCGGTGACCAGTTCGCCTTCAATGATCAAATGTGAATACCCTCCTCTCCACGTTCGTCTTGCCATTTCTTTTCGTAGCGCACGAAGATTGTCGTTGAGCTCATAGGCTCAGGCTCGACGATTTCTTCTTTGTGAAGGCACTGCGAGAGGCGGCCTCGTCAAGCCGGTGCATAGCTTCACCTGCTCCCAGTCGTTAGAACTACTCACCAAACAGATGTCAGGTCAGCTCATTTGAGAACGTGCCAGTCTCTTTGCCGTTCGTGATCTGGCATGCACCCGCGACCTTCGACTCATCCATTCATTCAGCCTGCGAGCAAATTACGAGTAACACCATGGAGTAGTGCCCTTGCAAAGGCTCGAAATCTCCCAGCAATGAAGGTCTGCATGCGTCGCCGTCGCCGCCGCGCACTTCACTGGAAGCACATCATCCGGACAAACGAGCCTCAGTAACCGCTCCCACGTCTCTTTGACACCGTGCTGTGGTTGACGACGTGGTCATTTTCGCCCAACCATGTGAACAACAGTAGAATCTCGGTTTCGGAACCCGACGGCTGCAAGTACGGACTCGATACATACGCGCTTTCATTTTGGATGCTGATAGGTCTCTGTGAACCGAGATTCAGCATCTTATAAGCAGCATATCGTGCAAGCTGGTTCGCGGCCAAGCTGGAGAACCATTTGAAGAGTCGTTCGACATCTTCATACCCGGACTTCGCAACCCGAGCAGAATGCAGGCAGTCGTGATTGCACGCATAGAACACCAGAGTATACCGCTGTGTGACTAGGGACAGGCTCCAAGGATTTGAGACTTACATAGGACGACGTGAACTGCTGTTTATGTGGTAGATTCTCTGGTGGAATCTGGATCATCCATGAGGCGCAGTCTTGGTCGAGGCGAGGAAGAGGGCAGAACATGGTGCTCTCTCGTGGGTAGTGGTGCGGGATCAATGTGGATGTACCCATACTTTGGTGGGCACGAGTGGCGCTGACTCATGCCTGAGTAGCTCTAAGGCTCGAAGTGCTTTGCGCAGAAAGGGACATGCAGCAAAGCAGACGAGCACCACGGCCTTCGCCTCGATGACAGTGACTAGTAATCCACGATCAGTCTGCATTGCGATACGGACGCAACATATGCATCAACATTTCAGGTGTGGCTTCGAGAACTTGCCAGTTTTGCTTTCCGCCATGAGCGGCTCCTTGGAGTCTGGCGTTCTTGGGTTACCAGCAATTTTGACGTCCATGACTGTCTCCATCTCAGACTGCACCTTCCGAAGCTGGTTATATTCTGGAAGGAACTTTACAGGAACGTCGCACCTGCACCTGCCTACGACACTTTCAGAATCACGACGTCACTCGAGGAGCGTCTGGAAGGAGACAGGTCCATGACACGAATAACACATCGATACTGACTGGAGGTCTCGTGAACATGCACGTGTTCATGATCGCCATTATTTGCGGTTTTACATCCGTTGCCGTACAGAGATTGCGCAAACCGAAGGCGGAGCACGACGATGAAGTTGCGAAGCGGGCGCGTGGTGAAAGTGCCGAAGAAGGAAATTTCGCAGGTGGGTATAGGTCAAGTAAGGAATCGCAACGAGGCCGCGTGCTAATAAATCGATCAGGCCGCACAGCGTCTCCAGCTACTCGGAATACCTCCCGAGCTACGCCTCATCATCTATCTATTCCTTCTCATCGCTTATTATCGAATATACGACTTCCGTTGTGCGGCCTCGATCGAGCATCCCATCCTTCACGTATCAGCATTCATCCGCAACGAAGTGCTATGGGATTACAACACTGCACTCAAATACTTCACCACCCGGCTCTACGATATCTCCTATGCAGCTTGCGATGCTTATGCTAGCGCTGCTTGTGAATGGCTCGACCATGTCATATCGATAGGTGTTGCTGGGCCATGGAGTATAGCAGCGAGGACAACGTTGCTTCGATTGCAGATTAAGAAGACTGAGGCGTTCGATGAATACGATTATGTCGTTGACGTCGTGAAGGATTGCTTGGAAGCTGTGGAGGAGCAGATTGTTAAGTGGCAGCTCTGAAGGAGTTCTTGCAGCGATGAGATCCTGCAAGGACTGTGAACTGTCGACCTATGGCTGACATCCCATTCCGTTGCAAGCTTGTCGGGTGTCTTGAGTGAATATGCCTCACACTGAGTGGCTGGCAGCATGTGGTGGAACTTCGGACCAGTAACATCTCGCAATTGGCATATCATTAATAGCGGAACGTACTGTTCTCAACAATGCTTGCAGTCGTGGAACTTAGTCGTCGTTTGATCTTGATCCGCGCCATATAATCGACGACGATTCGTCGTGGTTGAAAGGGTGCAAGTATGTGGCACTGAGTATCACAGAAAAGATGGTTTGCGATCACAAGACGTCTGATTTGACTTCTTTATAAGTTTGAGGTAAATGAGATTGGTGTTGCGATGGGCGCGAGGTCTTGAGCTCTTGGCGTGGCCGGTGCATACCTCACGTGACCTCTGCGAGTGAAGGCCCAGAACATGGTATGTCTTGATACCTCGCATGGTTCCCATTATCAACGAGCACAAATCTGACAACGAATACTAACTTTGAATGGACTTTGGTATTTGTTCGTCGCTCCTTCGCCGAGGCTGATTGAAATGCCTCAAGGCCGCGGACTGGCTAGGGTCCGAAGAAGGGCCATGGTCGAAGTGGAGCCGTCGATCAAATAAGTCCACGGCTTGCAAATTTGTGTGCAAAGATGCTGAATGAGCCGTAGGCTTGAGCTGAGATCTCATAAAGCAACTCCAAGTTTGGATATTCATCAACAACAAGGAGGTTTGGCCGAGCGGTTAAGGCGTTGTCTTAAGGTGTCTCTTCTGAGCATTGGACGGCAATTCATTGCGAGCGCAGGTTGTTAGTAATCTCCAGGATTGTCCCTGAAGACGTCGGAACGGTAGCTAACAGTATACCAGCGAATCCTGCAGCCTTCAACATTGAAAATTTCACTTTTTGCATTTTTTGGTGAACAGCCGGGACCAGAACGCCGATTGCGCTGATATTGAGCATCTTCAGGTTTCTTTCAGTCTTCAAGAGTGGTACATCGATCGTACTCCATCGTATGTGCACCAGAAAGGGACGGTGTGGGTTGAAATTTTGTTGCGGGCTTTGATGCAGCGGCTGTCGACATGACGACCAACGAGAACCCTAACACATCATTCTCTGCTCACGAAGAAGCTTGTACTTCGTCTTGAACCGGCAATTGAGCGCTGGATTCAATCGTCTTCTCAGCCTTCTTAATAATCTTTCTCAGCTTCCTGATTTCGGCCTCCACCTCTCTCATCCTCCGCGAGCCATTCAGTGCCTTTGACAAGCTCTGACTGTCCAATAAGGCACTGTTGAAAGACGCCTGTGCTTGTCGTAAAGTCGGAGGAACTAGAATCCCGAACCAGCGGATGGGATCCCGAGGATCAATCTTGGGCTTCGCAGTCTGAATTTCTGATACATTCTCACTTGAATTCATCTTAACTCCTGGTTTCCGAGTTTCTTGAAGAGTTGCATTCCTGACATTCAATGGCTCTTGTTTGCCTTCTGGCTCAGGAGTGGCAGCCGGGGTGGGGTAGTCCGCAGGGTGAGACTTTTCCGTGGACTCTTCGCTTTGCTTATCTGGAAGGCCTTGTTCCTCGCTTCCATCACTCGTGGCTTTTGATGTGGACGATGCTTCGACTGCTACTGCATTCTTCACGACTCTCATAGAAATGCCCTGGTCCTGGGCTTCCACAATGGTGCGTGTAGTCGCAACGGCCCTTTCATCATAATAATCTTGCCCGTATCTTCCGCGAGATGACTTGAAGTTGGCTTGTGCGAGTGAGAAGAATCCCGATGACATATGCTCCTTGATAGCAGCCTGAGCAGTAATGTAATCGTCCACCAGGTCAAGGTATTGCGCCCAGAGCGTATCAAGCTGGCTATACAGAGATGATAGCGACTCCAATTGAGAGCCAGTGCCCTTCTCCTCCGCCTGCTCGTTTGCCATGATGGAGATGTCTCCGTAGTGTGCGCTGAACGGCAATGAGCTGGCCAGAGTAGACCTGACATCGATATGTGCCAAGGCCGGCTAATTTGCCTATCTGGGACATTTGCGACTCGACTTCTGCTCTCTACAGTTCAACTTTTTCCCAACATCAAGTACATTACACAAGCACAATGTCCGATTCAGAAGATCAGGCCGGCGTGCCTCTAATCGAGCCCATCTCCGACTCCGACTCCCCCGCGCCAGCCAAATCCAAATCGAACAAGCGAAAACGCGAGACCGAAGACGATGCAGAAGCGAAGAAAGCAGCGAGGAAGGCGAGGCGGAAGGCGAAGAAGCCACAAGACATAGACGACTCGACTCTGGATGCAGAGAAGGGCATAAACACAGCGATTGCACAAATGGACAGCCGACTCATGGCAGACCACCTTGCTCAGAGGACCAAGCGATTCCAGCCAGACTTGAGCTTGGTAGAAGCAGAGGATTGGAGGTTGTCAGAGTCGAGTATAGCGGACAGCACGAGCTTTGATAAAGATAGAGTGACGGAGAACTTGCCCGAGTTCCTGGAGCACTTTGCCGTGAAGAAGAGCGGGAAGAAAGGAAGCAAAGGCGACGGCGTGAGTTGGTCGCCGAAGGAGAAGGGCTCGCCCCACACGCTGGTGGTCACGGGCGCCGGACTGCGCGCTGCAGACTTGACCAGGGCACTACGGAAGTTCCAGACCAAAGACGCGAAAGTTGCGAAATTGTTTGCGAAGCATATCAAGATGGAGGAAGCTGTTCAACAGTTGAAGAAGGACAGAATCAACATCGGTGTCGGGACGCCGCAGCGGATCATGGATCTGCTGGACGACGGTGCATTGTCTGCTATCAAGCTAGATCGTATTGTCGTCGACGCCAGCCATATCGATCAAAAGAAGAGAGGCGTGCTGGATATGAAGGAGCTGCAGATCCCGCTCGTGAACCTGCTCACGAGGAAAGAGTTCAAGGAGAGGTACGGCAGCGGAGACGGCAAGATCGAACTGCTCTTCTATTAGTTATGGCTTGCCGATAAGGCTACGAGTGGACGGAGTGAGGAGGTAGACTTCACGACTTCACCACACCTCCGGGCACGTTCCTGGCCTGTTAAGCATCTTTCACGGGCTTTCCCTCACTTTGCTTGGCACTTCGACCCCCAGCACTTATTGCAGCATGGTTGCCCGCGATTCAGGCGAGCCCACCAAGGGCGTTGGCGCACGTTACAAGTGATGCCGTTCGAAGGCGACCGATACCATGTCCTTGGGCTATGTGCGACCACAGCCTACGACCAATAAATGGAGCACAACCTCTTTTCGTCTCCTCGCAGCTGACAGAGGCCTGTCAACTTCGACACCATCAGTGCACACGGATGACTCGTGAGCACGCGTGGGGTGCAGTAATAGAGTAGATCGCCAGAGCTAATGCAGATTGACCTTCAGTGTAAGTGAAGACTTTTACTTTTGCCGCACCACAGCGCGTGCTTGCCACTTCAACGTCAGCCGTTGCAAGTGAAGCTCAACTCATGCAGCTCATGTTTGCTTTTGGCCAAAGCTTCGAACGCGCACAGTAAACACCAAATTCCTTTCTCTGCTGCAACGCAAACCTTCTCTCGTCCAACATCGACAGCCGGTTCACTCGTTACGCAAACATTCGCAGCACAACACAACAATACTTAGCATCGACAATACTAAGTATCACTCACTGACTGCCACCACCGCCGGCATGCGTCTTGCCGTCGTTGACCTCGCCGCGGTGGCCCTCACCGCCACTGCGACGGTGCTCGTTCCACCGCAGAACCCTTACTTGAGTATGTTTAGCTCTAACCTGACTCCTCTTCGAGTGTACTAACAGTTTGCAGATTGCGTGCTTTGCCTTCAAGACCTCGACAGTCAGACTGGCTGCCCAAACAAGCCCAAGCGGGATCCAGAGTGCTTCTGCAGCCCGGAAAATGCCCATTTCGCAAAGGGCTGCAACAACGCGTGCAAGGGAATCAGCTTCGCCAAAGATCTCACTTGCATCTGGGACAATCCAGCAGCCAAGGAGCAAGACACGATCGCCGCTCGCGGCCCATATGGTCAGCAAACCTCCCACCCAGACCGTCGCATCATGACTGACACGTAGTAGGCTGCGCCGTCTGCCTTCAGGATGCCGAGTTGAACTTGGGCTGCGCCGGCGATCCGTCGGACCCCAACTTCAACTTCGAGTGCCTCTGCCAGGAGCCTGGCTTCAGCGTGAGTCAGACGCTGCCTGCTTTTGCATTTGACACTGACAAGACGACAGACCAAGGTCAAGGATTGCAACCTCTTCTGCGCTGACACCCCACTCAACCTCGACGTTCAGTGCCCAAAGCCCGCGCCAGTCGTCCAGCGTGACTTGACCGACGACGACCCCCGCTCGTGCGTGCTCTGCCTGGAACTTGCCTCTGCTCAGACCAGCTGCAAGCCAAACGCCGATGGCTTCGATTTCAAGTGCCTGTGCGAAGCCGACAAGTCCGAGGTGAGCACATCAGCTTTCGAATCCACCCTCGAGACTGTCCGCTGAGATACTGACTTCACTCTAGTGGGTCTCCGGCTGCACCAACTTCTGCGCCAACACTCCAAACGACCTCCACACTCACTGCCGCGCTCCATACCAGCCCATCGCCCCAGATTTCCCTCTCACCGCCGCCATCACTCCTCGCGGCACCATCGGCAACCCCAAGCAAACCGTCGACCCACACTTTGGCTTCTGTGGTCCTAAGGGCACCAACTGCAAGACCACTGTGCGAGCTCCACCAGCAGCAGTAGAGAAATACCACCACGGCTACAATCTCGGCAACAACGTCTTCGACAACAACCCATACGGCCCTCCTCCTCCAACCGGCGCCCCTATCCCCAAGAACTCCGTTCCTCACCGCGGTAACCCATCTACCATGCCACTCGCCAGCGGCCGTTTCGGGTTCTGCGGCCCATCGGGCATCAACTGCCGTCTCGAAGACACTAAGCCTTCTGCTCAGGCTGAAGCGATGATCATGGTGAGAGATAATCTGACCACTACAATGGGTCTGAACGCCTCGTTTATGACGACTGCACAGGCTGTTCCGGGACCGAGTGGCGTGGGTAATGTCACTACCACTACCATCGCAGACGCTCCTACCATCACTCATACTCACGCTCACGTTACCACCGATGCTCAGGACTCGATGCAGATCGCAACCCCTACTCAGACTGCGGACGTGCAGCAAGGCTCTGCTGTTGTCAATGTTGGCAAGAGCGTCGCTGAGATCTTGCTCGGCGTTGCTGCTATTGCCTTGGTGGTTTGAGTTAGTCGAGAAGACATTTCCGATCAGCATTTCAACAGACATGGTTTCCTCAACATGTATCTCCAAATGAGAACAGAATGAGCTTCCCGATGGCATAGCATAGGGCCGATAGATAGGCTGTCACTTGATGTTTCGAGGTTATGGCTCACTGGCGTCGATATCGGGCGTTCAGGTTTCGATGAGCAAGGTACTTCAGACATCACAACAAAGCACACAATGAAAATTGTTCAATGAAGACACCTCTCAACCGCCTCTCGGTCAATGAATTCAGATGGTTTCACATTTCATTACAAGAAATTTGCAAGCGTCAATTCATTAAAAGTGTTTACTGCGCTGAACGACTATCATGTCTCATGCACAATACGAGAAAATGCCGGAAGTCGTCCTGCCCAGCCCAGCCCTTAAGCGCCCTCTTCTCGCAACCGGCTCTGCAGCTCTGTAGCCATGTCTGTCGCTGTTCTTTTATGTCATCGAATGTATTGAAGTACTGTGGACCTTCCATCTAAACAATGCCCGAGTACTCTTGAGTCAGGCTGATTCTGTTGTTGACAACCTTTTTACGTGAGGCGCCTGTGCTGCCACTGCCACTGCCACTGCCCAAGCCGAGAACGGTGATCGACTGGATGAACACATCAGTGTCATAGCCGAATCTACCAGTGATGGTGAAGCGTCCGTTGCTGAAGTACTCGAACTTCATGTATGACCAGGTGTCTTGCACAAGAGACACGCCGTCGTCGAGATACAACTCGCCGTAGGCGGTGCCGTTGGCAGAAGGAGCGATGATGATGTCAAAGTCTTTCTTGCGAAGCTCGGTCGTGGTGTTGGCGGATTCGGAGCGCTGAGCAATGATGGAGCCACCCTTGTAGTAGAGCGGGATCTCAGTGAAGTCAACGTCTTCGACAGTGACGGTCTCGCCAGTGCCAATGATCTTGTCGTGGGTGTAGAAGTCGTAGAAGACGTCTTCTGGCAAGTAGTGTGTCGCTGTAGTGCTGTTCTCGGTAGTGACAGGAGCGACCAAGATGCCAGGACCATAAAAGTACTGGTAGCCGAGCCCGAAGGTGTTGCTGTCTTCTGGGTAGTGATAGAACATGGGCTGGATCACCGGTGTGCCAGTCTGGTTTTGCACATAGAAGGCGGTGTAGAAGTAGTCGAGCAGTCTGTAACGGATGTCGATAGCCTTCTTTGCTGCCTCAGTAACAAGTGGCCAGCGGTAGAACTCCTGATCAGCCGCATCGTTCTGAGCATGGTTGCGATAGAATGGAGTGAAGGCGCCCAATGTGGCCCATCGAGCACAAAGCAGCTCGGTTGTATCGCCACCGAAACCGCAAACATCCGGGCCCACCATTGGCACGTTGTACATGGCTGCGAACTCGAGGTTCTGGGAGATGGAGATGAGATAGTTCCCCCAGTTGGACAGATTGTCGCCCAACCACTTGCCGACGTGAGCTCCGGCACCAGCGAATGTTGAGCGGGTGATGATCATTGGACGCAGACCTGGTCTACGAGCCAACATCGCAATACGAGAAGCTTCGGACATCTGAGATCCATAGATGTTGTGGGTATCGTACTGAGTCCAGCCGCCATATTGAATGATGTCAGTATCAGCAGTCTTGTTGCTGATGCTGCCAGCCGCGTTGTCGATTTGATAAGCTGGGTTGATAAGATCACGACCAGGCAAGCCCTTCATGTCGCCAGCGGATTGTCGCTTGAAGATAGGCGTGATGTGATGCGTCTTGTACGAGAAGTCTGCAAGACGGCGAACAAGCTTGCTCTGCGGAGGCGACGAAGTAGTGATCGTATCATCGGTAGAAGACGTGCTACCACAATCGCCTGTCGTGAAAGTGCGGTTCTCTGTCTCATAGATGAATACGCCACCTGGTTGAGACCGAATGTACTGGTATGTAACCTCAGTATTGGCTGGTAGGTCGATTGCTGCGCTCCAGATAGGATAATTGTCAGCGCCGAGTGGTGCCGCGCCTGCGGTATCATCGCCGCCGCCAATGGTGATGGCACTGCCAAAGACCAAGATGTTCTCGCCGAAGAAGGTGCTTGCGTTGACGTTGAACGTGACGACGGACTTGCAGACGGGTTGGAAGTCAGGACCAAAGCCTGAGATTGGCCGCGGGCTGCCAAGACGAATAGGAGGCGGCTGAGGTGGATTGCCCGCCAGCTGAGCTTCGAGCTCCGGATTGGCGCACGGGTAGTTGCAGAAGTTAGCAGGCTCATTCATATCAATCCAGAGCGCGTCAATGTCAACGCCGGTTTCGGCATCGAAGAAAGATTGAAACTCTTCGTTCCAGTAGGGTTGAGTGTTGGGATGAAACCAATCTGGGAATGCCCTATGGAGATGTCAGTCTGCTGATGTGTAGTCATCAAGGACATTGCACTCACGTTACACCTGGCCATACGACACCCTTGTAGATCGAGCCATTGTTACGCGTCATGAAGACTTCCTGCTCTACACCGTTGTTGAAAGCGTCGTAGTCTTGGTAAGCGACGGCCGGATCGACCATGACAATGTAGTGTTGCTGGTTGGCGTGAAGGTGGTCGACCAATTGTCGCATCAAAGATAGCGGGAAACGATCTTCATCAAGAGTGAAGACCCATCGCAAGTGCATGTAGTCGATATCTGGAGCGTATGTCAGTGGACACTTTCGTACGGATAGGTAATGCGCGGAACCAACCTGTCCACATAGTCTCCAACGGAATGCCAGCAGCAGAGTAGTTGGCAACCACTTCTGCAACCCAGTATACATCGCGGTATCCGTACTTGCATTGATGAAACCCAAGGCCCCAGTATGGCTGGAGGGCGCTCTTCTGAGAGACTTCGGAGTACTGCTGTGCAACCTCGACTGGCGATGGACCAGCCAAGAAGTAAAAGTCAAGGACACCGCCGATGATGTTGTACTCAAGGTGCTGGCCACCTGTGGTGTCGATCTTGAAATCCATGCCGTTCGAGTTGAGGAGGAACACGCCATGAGTGCCGTTGGTGCCACGATGATCGTAGTAAATTGGGTGTGTACCGTAGAGGTTAGTGCCTGAGGGAGCACCATAAGCGTCGCGGTTCCAGGCGGTACGTGTGTAATCAGTTGTGTTCAGGCGGCTGAAAGTGATGTCAGTTGTAACCCTTCGACTCGAGGCCTTGGCACTTACAATGGATCGGTGTGCTCGCCGGTACCGTAGAGGTTGGGGTTCTCGGGAAGTGATGTCCTCAAGCGCACATATTGGTCTTCAAAGATAAGAGACGCTGCCGATGAGTCGAACAAGACTTCGTCGGTGCTGCGTCGCTTGACACTGAAACTGAATGGCTCTTCGACATATTCGAAGACAAGCTCACTCGAAGCGTTCTGCGAGCCGCTCGACGCCGAGCGTGGGAAGACAGAACCGGGTACCTGGTAGACTTGCTGGGCAGCATCCTCAATCAGGACATGTAGACGCGTATCTGAGATTATGTTAGTCCCGTCAATGCGGCATGGAATGCTATATCTCAGACCCACCAGTTTGGTACTCGACTGTCAATGTCAGATCTTCGATGTCCTTGCCGTAGATGTTGCAGGGAGCGCCTGCTAGTGTGAGTTTCGCAGTCAGCCCATTGGCGTTGGTGCTGATGTCGCTGGCTCGATAGCCAGGACAATTCGAGTTGGTGTCATTCTGACGGCGAATGAGCGGGTATGGGGATGCGGCGATGGATGTTGCAAGTGCCAAAGCACCGGTGAGGAGCGCGAGGGGCGCCATCGCTGTCGACGATGGCGAGGTTGAAGAAGTGTTGGCAGAAGGGTGCACAGTGCTCCAGTGGTGCTCGGTGTTCGAGTGGTCGGAGAGGGGCGAGACTTGGGATATTTTATAGCGCCGAGGGAGGCACGGCTCTGCGATCACAAGCGCGAGTGCTCGGACCATTGGCAGGCATGTGCAAAGCCTTGGACCTGCTCATTCACCTCCATTCACCACGCAGCAATTGGGCGTTGTGGTGAACAGTGATGGCGTCGCGCATGAACCTGCGTCTGGCGGCACAAAAAGGTGTCAATTCTGCAGGGGAGGTGGAAGCTCTACACAGCTCGACGGCGGATCCGCTGCAGGTCATCGGCTCGTGGACATGGATCAAAGGGCATATGGCTTGGAAATAGTCAATAGTGCTCGCGGGGTATTATGCAACAATTCATCAGATGGAGGCCTGCGTGCAGCAAAGGATGCGACGGTGACGGGCTGATCGGCGACATTCTCGGCGGCGAAGAGGCAGCGGGTTGCTGGTCTGGAGTGCGTTTAAAGGCGCTTCCAGCCGCGTTCGATTCGGGCAAAACGTGTATCCTGATCCTACGCCGCTCAGGCACACGTGGGCACCACGAACGGCAGCGTGAGATGACCCAAGATGCTCGACTTTGCGGCAAGATGCGCGTGCATGTACTCGGCATCGTAGTCAGTGTGGTGGCACAGGAGAGGGGAGAGTGCGTGGCAGGATGGGTGCGAGCTGCACACGGGAGGTGCAGAGCGGCATCATTTGCAGCGTGTTGTCGAAGGCCCCGCGATGTGAGGTGAGGCAATTCCTCCGGTGCTAACCGGGATGCCTCTTTCGTCGCTCCCGGATGCACGGTGCCTAGTTAGTTAGCTGCAGCGCAAGCCGGGGTAGCACGCGCGCACCGCTGGCGGACGTCTGCAGCACCTACGCCGACACCGCTCCGCGCAATCAGAAATGTGATTTGGGGAGGAAATGAAATAGAGTTGTGATGGCAGGAGGTGAAGACAAGAATGGACGCGAAACAAAGAAGGAAAGCGCTCCGGCCCGCGCGCCGCCCGCGCCAGGCGCGTCATCCTCCAAACAACACTCGCACGTCGCGTCTGTGGCGACAGAACTTCACTGTTCCGCGTCTACATTCGTTTGACCAACTTGTCGGCGCATCCTGTGATGCCTATCGCAGCACCGCCCCGACGATGACAGCACACCCGTCCATCAGCGACCATGGATAGAAAGGACGTCTTCCGCATTCGTCTGAATTGCGTAGACCACGCCCAATATGCTCCAAACACCATGGATACGCCCATCTGGGGCCCACGTTCCCTGTCTGCAACACAACGCGTACAGCTGCCCGATGTACCAGTCATCCGAGTCTGGGGCTCGACAGAGACGGGTCAAAAGGCTTGCGTTCATATCCATGGAGCCTTTCCTTACCTCTACGTACCATACACAGAGTCACTCGAGGACAGCCATGTCAGTCAGTACATGTCTACGTTGCGTCATTCCATAGACCACGCAATGTGTCTGTCGTATCGTCGAAATCCGTATGACAACCCACGAAATGCTACGTTTGTGGCCCACATCAGCTTGGTCAAAGGAGTGCCATTCTTCGGATACAACGTTGGGTACAAGTACTACCTCAAGATCTATCTCCTCAACCCTCTGCACATGACTCGATTCGCAGATCTGCTGCAGCAAGGTGCCATCTTGAGACAACATTTCCAACCTCATGAAGCGCATTTGCAATATCTTCTGCAGTGGATGTGCGACTTCAACTTGTACGGGTGCGCGTACATCGAAATTGCCAAAGCGAAGTTCCGATCTCCGGTGCCAGTGTGGGAGGAGCTTGACGACCTGGCACATCTCTGGCATGACCGATCGATCGATGCGAACGATATCCTGGATGCAGAGCGGTTCCCGCGACAAAGTCACTGTCAATTGGAGCTTGACATACGAGTAGAAGACATACTCAATCGGCACTCTATTGAGCCAAGGCCGCTTCATCATTCTTTCATCGAACGACTCGCTTCTCTGGAGAACTTGCCGCCAGAGGAAAAGCTGGTGCACTCTATGGCAGGACTCTGGAAGGACGAGACCCGAAGGAGGAAGCTGCGCATGGGCATGACTGATCCAACTTCGTCTCCATTTCCGCCAGAAGTACTCGTCAGCATGTCTGCAGATCCGCGGAACGACAGTAAAGGTGGATGGATTCATGAGGAAGAATTCCGTCAAGCCATCAACGAGCTTGCTGAGCAGGAGAAGAGGCAGCGAGGTGGTGCGCCACTATCGTTCGAGACGTTCGGAAACCAGAACAAGGACCACGACGACAGCGTGCCAACAGTATTGGACAGTGTCTCGGAATTGTTTCATAGCACACTGGAACAAAAATGGGCCACTCTCGCACGCGAAGCAAAGTCACGTCAACAAGAGCCATACGAGATGAGCTTTCACGAATTTGTGAGCACGCAGCGTCCAGCCGAACAGGCTCCATTGATTGACGAGAACAGCATCGCACAAGTGGCTGATGACGAGGGATACTTGAGCGATGAGGAAGAGGCAAAGCTACTCGCGCTGACACAAAAGCAAAAGCTGAAAGACGCGAGTCTGGCAACTATGGGCGAGTCCAAGGTGGATGACGAGTCTCCTCAGCTCGAGGCGAATGCGGAGCGCCTGGAAGGGGCGACGGTGCCGCGGAGTACAGTTGACGACACGTGCGAGTCTTTGCTGAAGCGTCCTGCACCGGCGAGCAGCCAGCTACCCTTCAAGAAAGCGAGGCTCGATTCACAACATACGTCTCCACGTGCGGAGCGGCGACACTTCCGCATCAAGGATGTCAAACCTACGACGTACATTGATGGAGCTTCCTCCAGGCCCGGCGGCGATGGGTTCGATGCACCACCCGCTGCTCAGGTACAGAAAGCTGTCGCAAATGCAGTGGATGATGGCGCTGGACTGGCTCCTGCTACACAGCCTCCATTGTCACAGCGATCTTTCCAGTCTTCGCAAGGAGATAAGATCTCCTTTCCGACTGCAAAGCATCCGCATGATCCGGCAACTGCGCAACGTCTGAGCCAACGTGACGACCTGGCTCATTTGCCGCACCGAGCTTCACGTGCGAGCCAGAAGGAAGCACTGATATCGTCGGTCCATTCCGGGGCATCGAGGTCCATGACTTCCATGGCGTCGCCAAGGAAGGCAATCGCCACGATATCCGCCAACGCAGCCCATGCTTACGCCAGAGCTTTCGAAGTCACTGCTGGGTGTCATGCTCGAGTGTTTGCGGCTCTGCCTCCTACTCACGAGGAAGTTGTGGCAACCATCGAGCCATCTGTGATATATCAGGATGCTTATTACAGCAACGAAAAGGATGTCCCTGAGCGCGTCCGAGAATATGCTGGTCAGGAATTTCGACTAAAAAGCACGACATTGCCATATCTCCCATCGTTTGACAAGCACGGCTCGATCGGGCAACCTGAGCGGTTGAGCAAGGTTGATGCCGAATTCTCGCTGAATCGTCGAATGTGGCAATGCTCTCACAAGGTTTGGGAGATCATGAAACCTGCGCCATCTTGTGCAGAGGTCGAGGTATGGCTCCGGACGGAGTCGCCTCCAGAGCCTGACGATCTTCAAGTCCTCGACTTCGATGGTCCTCCTGTAGCTTCACAGCTGAAGCGCAAGAATCGGGCGCCCCGCGAGCTCTCACAAATTGAAGGACCAACCCAGCGAAACAGGCACGGCTTCAAGTACTCGCAGAAAAAGGCGAGCACTAGTGTGCAGCATGAAACTGGCTACATGAGTATTATGAGCCTGGAAGTGCACGTCAATAATCGAGGCGATCTCGCGCCAGACCCGGAAATAGACGAAGTCAACATGATTGTCTGGTGCATCGCTGACGAGCAGATGGACGATGAAACCAAACTCGGCATTCTGGTCCTTGAACAGGACAACGACGATTTGCCTGGAAAGATTCGCAAGGCATTGGGCAACGACGTCCAAATTGACAGCGAGGACAATGAACTTGACCTGATCAACAGAATGGTTGACATTGTTCGCGAGTACGACATTGACATTTTGACTGGATATGAAGTCCACAACAACAGCTGGGGTTACCTGATTGAGCGTGCTCGACTGCAGTACGAGTTCAATCTGCCCGATGAGTTCTCACGCATGAAGTCACATTCCAAGGGACGATTTGGCAAGGACGCTGACAGATGGGGCTTCACCCATACATCGACAGTAAGCATCACAGGCAGACACACGATCAACATCTGGCGTGCCATGCGGTCTGAGCTGAACCTGTTGCAATACACTATGGAGAACGTTGTCTTCCATCTTCTCCACAGACGCATACCTCATTACTCGTATTCAACGTTGACTCGTTGGTACAAGAGCGACAAGCCAAGAGACTTCGCCAAGGTTCTTGATCATCTTATCACCCGAACCAGGCTGGATCTGGAGATATTGGATGCGAACGAGCTTATTCCGCGGACGTCTGAGCAAGCACGATTATTGGGCGTGGATTTCTTCTCTGTGTTCAGCCGTGGCTCACAATTCAAGGTCGAATCGCTGATGTTCCGAATTGCGAAGCCAGAGTCGTTCGTCCTGGTCTCACCAAGCAGAAAACAGGTCGGTGCTCAGAATGCGCTTGAGTGTCTACCGCTGGTCATGGAGCCCCAGTCGGCATTCTACAACAGCCCTCTTCTTGTGCTAGACTTTCAAAGTCTGTATCCGAGCGTCATGATAGCGTATAACTACTGCTATTCGACTTGTCTCGGCCGCATCACCAATTGGCGTGGAACCAACAAGATGGGGTTCGCGGATTTCAAGCGCCATCCAGGCCTTCTCGAGTTGACCAAGGACAAGCTGAACATTGCGCCTAATGGCATGATGTACGTCAAGCCCGAGATGCGCAAGTCGCTACTCGCAAAGATGTTGGGCGAAATTTTGGAGACCAGGGTCATGGTCAAGAGTGGCATGAAAGTCGACAAGGACGACAAGACACTGCAGCAGCTCCTTAACAACAGACAACTTGCACTCAAGCTGATTGCGAACGTCACTTATGGCTACACTTCGGCCAGCTTTTCGGGTCGTATGCCATGCTCTGAGATTGCCGACAGCATCGTGCAGACAGGACGCGAAACACTCGAGAAAGCCATTGCTCTGATCCATTCCGTGGAACGCTGGGGAGCGGAAGTAGTATATGGCGACACGGACTCCCTATTCGTCTACCTCAAAGGCCGCACCAAAGACGACGCTTTCCGCATCGGCGACGAAATCGCAAAAGCAGTAACCGACATGAACCCAAGACCCGTCAAGCTCAAATTCGAAAAAGTCTACCACCCATGCGTCCTCCTCGCAAAGAAACGCTACGTCGGATTCAAATACGAAAGCCCCTCGCAAAAAGAACCCGACTTTGACGCAAAAGGCATCGAAACTGTTCGCCGCGATGGCACACCCGCCGAACAAAAAATCGAAGAAAAAGCCCTGAAACTCCTCTTCCGCACATCAGATCTCAGCCAAGTCAAATCCTATTTCCAAGCGCAATGCACCAAAATCCTAACTGGTCGCTTCTCAGTACAAGATTTCTGTTTCGCGAAAGAAGTCAAATTGGGGACATACGCGGACAAAGGCCCTCCTCCGCCGGGTGCTCTGATTGCTACTCGCAGGATGCTCAAAGACCCTCGGCAAGAACCTCAATACGGTGAACGAGTCCCTTACGTTGTCATTGCTGGGGCTCCAGGGGCTCGACTCTGGGAACGATGCGTAGAACCCGAACAGCTCATCCGCGATGAGAACGCCGAACTCGATGCAGAATACTACATCAACAAAAACCTCATACCACCGCTTGAACGGATTTTCAATCTCGTTGGCGCTAATGTCCGGAGCTGGTGGGATGAAGTACCGAAAGTGCAACGAATTCGACAACTTGGTGGTGTTGTGGAACCTTTGGAAGGAGGAGCAGCGAAAGATATGACGAAGAATGCTCGAAAAACGATGGAATCGTATATGGGTTCTTCGTTGTGTCTGATTTGTCGGACGAAACTTTCTCCGCCTGGTCAGAATCAATTTGAGCATGAAGAAGAGATTCAACTTCCGCTTTGCGACAATTGCAGACATGTTCAGACTTCTACGACGTTACTTGTGTTGAGGAGAAAATTACAAGCTACGGAGATGAAGGCGAAGGCTATGCATGATGTTTGTAGGAGTTGTGCGGGGTTGGCGTTTGATGAGGAGGTGAAGTGTGATAGTCGGGATTGTCCGGTGTTTTATTCGAGAGTGAAAGCGGATACGCAGTTGAGGGTTGCAAGGAGAGGGGTGGGGAGTGTGCTGGAGGCGTTGGAGGAAGAAGTTGTCGAGCAGGAGACGGCGGAGGATTTGGAGTGGTAGTGGTACATCGGACAAATAGCACGAGGCTGCAGTACTGAAGGAAAAGATGTGGTGAAAGATTTTTCTTTGATATCCAGCTTTCACATCTGCGACTATCTGATTTCGAGGTGCGGGTCTATTCCCGCTTCGAAAAGGCCGTAGACGTGCTGCTTGTGTACGAGAAACTCCTAATATCCAGCCAAACCAGTGACGCCTGCGACACCACTGCGTGGTGCTTCATCCCAGACCACGGTAGTCACATTGCCACCAATCTCAATTCTCGCAATTGGCTCCCCAATCAATCCAGTGACAACATCACGCCTCAGAATCGCAACAGCTTGATCGTTCTGCAGACCGACCGCGACCAGGTTTCCTGCGGCGTTGGTCTCGAAGTGGCGTGGGAAGTTTCCTCCTGCTGGCCACAGCTGGTGGAGAGCAGTCAAGTTTCCATCCTGGCCAAGTGGGAAAGTCGCAAGTGAGTCGGACTTGCCAATAGCGTTTGGCAAAGTGAAGGTTGTGTCGTTGCGGTTGGAGACGATCAAGAAGCGGTTGTCTGGGGAGACTTGGATTTCTGCTGGAGCAACGCGCTGTGGGACATTGAAGAGGCCGGTGGTCCTCAGGTAGCCAATGTCTTCGAACGAAAGCCCAGTGCCGTTGGTGGAGTATTGCACAGCGTAGCCGGTCACAGTGGCGGAGAGTTCTCCAACGAGGTAGAGGTAGGTGGTGCCACCGGGAGTGTTGTATGGAGTCCAGAAGGCGAGGTGGCGAGGGCCGGAACCTGGCTCAGCCTCGAGGGGATCGAGCTCCGTCAGCTTGAGGGTTTCGACATCGAAGCTGAAGATGCGGACGAGGTCAGCACCAAGATCTGGGAGCAAGATGTATTGGCCAGTTGGGTCGACGAATGCCTCGTGTGGGTGAGGAGCGTCCTGTCGGTCCGGGTCTGGGCCTGGCGATGGAATGGTGAAGAAGAACTCCTCGTTCAGCGTGACGTTGCCGGTCGATGAGACCTTGTAGGTTGTGACTGCCGATCCGGAGTAGTGAGCCAAGACGAGGCCTCGCTCGCTTGCAGAGGGGTTTCCGTAGATTGCGGCGCTGACTGGACCGTTGGCGGTAGTCAAGTTGACGATGGAGTCGAGGCTGCCATCGGCATTGATGCTGAAGGATGCGAGAGAGCCATTAGGACGAGAAAGGCCTTCGTTGGTGCAGTACAGCAGCCCTCGACCAGGGTCGATGGTGAGCCAGGCTGGGTTTGGTGCGCATCCATCGCTGGCGGAAGTCTTGGTGAGCGAGTAGTTGCCGTTGCTCTCGGAAAGGGACAAAGTGGTGATGTTGCCGCTGTAGTCAGCGACGAACAAATTCGTAGCAGAAGCTGTCGCGCCCAGCGCGAGAATTGGTTCGAAACGCATGCTGTCAATCAATGCGGGAGTACTGTACAATCCGAGCGGCGCCTGGTGAGCCGTACTTTCTGTCGATATGGGACGCGGCTGAGGGCAGACAGACAGGCCCGCGCGAGGGAAGGCGCTGACTGCGAGATCTTATGTCACGTCTTCGCAGCAAACAGCCTGTAATAAGAGGCAGTGAAGGCCGCAGGTGGTGGGCCTTGGTGAATGCGTGACTGCGTGTCGCGAAGTCGCCCCGGCGCGCGCATGCGGCAGCCGTGAATAGCGAGCGAATGGAGGAAGCGAAAGGAGCGCCACTGCCATGCGGGTACAGTCAGTGAAGAAGTGCGCAAATCAAATGGTGCGCCGGTGGCTGACGGCGCTCGTCGCAGACTCGCAGCTGGCCATGGTTTGACAGCCTTACCGACTGCGGCAAACGCGATGTAACAGAGCACGCCCGTCGCCAAGCTGCGTTGTTTCGCACGACAACACGCTTGCCCACTTGTGGGGCCGGCACCGCTATGCCATCGTCTCTGTCTCCAACCCCATCAGCAGCATCCACACTGGGCACGTTCCCATGGGGCATCTCCTCCATTAGAATATTACTTCATCAACCTCTTGCGACGTCGGCCTGCCTCGCCGCCATCACTGGAAGGACCAGACTGCATGACCGGCTCCGGCTTAATACACCTCCCGATTCGTGCATCGTTTACACAGCGTCAGCCGGAAGATTTGTGAGCAACTGTCACCACAAACTCCAGAGAGCGGGGACATGCAGAGATCAGCGAAGAGGGAAGAGTTTCCAGGCACACACATCGCGCGCCAGGACCTTCTTTTCGATCTCGTATCACTTGCACTCTGGCCATGTCCTGAGCAATCTGTTCCGACCCGATTACTGAACTCCCATGGCGCTCTGCTGCCCGCAGGCTATAGGCAGAATTTCGGAAGACCGCGCCGTGCTTCCGTGGACGAGTCTCACAATTGCAAGGAACAATCCGCCTTCCTCCACGGAGAATGCTTTCACGCCAAAGTCACATCTCTTGCACTGACAGACATATTCTACACATATTCTTGCCCCCTTCGCTTCCTTCCATCAGCACTACTCCTCCAAACACCTTTCTTCCCCGTCTTCCCACCCATCCTCACAATCCCAATCAAATGCTGCACTCCTGCCACAACACCATCTACAACTTGCACGCCTTCTTGCGATACAACCTCTTCCAGCGCGAGCTTCATCTCTGTCATCCCCGCACACCCAAGACATAGCACTTCTGCTCCTTGCGATGTCAACTTTCTCGAAACATTTTGCAGAATCTTCATAACTTCCTTTCTAGGTAATCTTTCGAGGTCCAGAACTCCTAGGTCGCAAGACTCGATTCCAGCACAGTAAGGCGTCATGTTATAGTGTGCTACATTGCTCCAGTGAGCTATCGCTGAGCGTCCAGATGTCGCCACGATACCAAATTTGGAGCCTAGAGTTCGGGAGATCAGGAGGCTGGATTCCATGATTCCAATTACTGGAAGATCGTATTCTTCGCGGAGCATGTTTATAAGTGGGTGTGCGGAATAGCAAGCTACGAGAATGGCGTCGTGTGTGGCGATCAGGTCTGGCTGAGCGATCAGAGAGCGGAAGCAGGCAGCTGAAGAAAGTATGGCGTCGACTTGGCCTTCAATTGCTGTTGGTGCATCGTTCGAAGGCCCGGTAAAGGGGGTCACAGAAACGTCAGGCGGCAATGTTGGTAAGACAGAGGCAACGCAGGACGCAGTCATCGAAGGCGTAGCGTTTGGATTGATCAGGAGGATTCGTATTTGATCTGTCTTGTGCGAAATGGTAGGTCTCATCGGTATGCTGTTGGCTGCAGCAGCAGAACTGCCATTAACTCGAGCACTCGCAACATCTTCCCCAGCAAACAACCTCGGAGGCTCCACCACGCCGGTCTGCTCAACAATCCTCCCATAATGCTCCACCCTCCTATGCCTTTCAAAATCAAACGTCTTCGTCTTCCCCTGCCAACACCTCTCCAAATCAATCTTCGCAAGAACCACCTCATCCCCCTTTGTCTTCGCCTCCGCCAAAATCCTCCCCTCCGGATCAACAATACAACTCCCTCCAATTAAACCAAGCTTCCCATCATCCAATCCACACCTCGCCGCACAAACACTATACGTCGCATTCATGTAACTATTACTCTGCATCACAAGCCGATGATGAGAAAGCGCATCCTCTTCCGCTTTCTCTGGTGATTGATTCGCATCCGAACCCCAGAGTTCGGGAGCGAAAGCTGCAGTATTATATCCGCAAAGTACGACTTTAACGCCTTGGAGTCCGAGACAGCGCCAGGCTTCGGGCCAGCGACGATCGTTGCAGATTAGCATACCGAAGATGGGTTCTGTGTTTTGTGCTAGATCTGGGATGCGGAAGGCTTCGAACCCGAGGTCTCCTGGGAGGAAGTAGCGTTTTTCGAGTTGGTTGGTTGCGTCAGGGTTGGAGAAGGGTTCGAAGGTTCCTGGGAGGTGGATTTTGCGGTATTTGGAGAGGATGGTTTGGGTTTTGGAGTGGTAGTAGATGCTCGTGTTGAAGTTTTGGTTTTCGGGTGTGGTTTCTGCGAAGCCGATGATGATGTCGATGGAGAGAGAGGAGGCTTTTTGGAAGAGGGGGGCTGTTTGAGGAGATGTAGTGATGTTGCCGTTTTCGAAAAAGTTGGAGAGTTCTGTTTCTGAGGTGATTAAGTGGCGGGGGAAGAATGTTGTGAAGGCTAGTTCGGGGAAGAGGACGACTTCTGCTCCGCGGTTTGAGGCATTTTCGAGTAAGTTGATCATTCGTTGGAGGACCTTTTCTCGCGGCGTGTCTCGATGGACTGCTCCTATCTGGGCTGCTGCTATACGTATTGTTCGAGGCATGATCGTTGCTGACGAAAGAATATTGTGACTTAGCTTCTGAGTAAGATACTGCTATGATGGAGGAGAGAATAGCAGTCGACCACTTTGCAATGCGGAGCCTATAGGGCACTCAATAAAGTTGTATCGGGGTGGTGGTATGGGCTCCAGCAGACGTTGCAGATAGCTATCGGATGAAGTCGCAACTTTGCCCCGCTTCTGCTGATAGTAGAATTGGCAGCGGTTGCTCGGGCCGGTGTCTACTCGCCGTCGGCATACTCGTGTCGGAGCACGCGGCGATATCTCGTTGTTCTTGATGAGTGCTTCTTGTCAGAATGGAGGCGGAGTACAAAGTAACTTCCATGCGAGGTGCTAGGAGGATGTTCCAGCTTTCGTAAGTCTTGGCCGTAGGGTAAGACTCGCGTCTGCTAGCCCATAGACCACGCGTACGACTTGTTCACGACATACTAGATCTGAACATTTTGCGTGAGCACGACATTCAGACGATGCCGTCCTGGGAATACCCTCAGAAGAGTCTCGATTCACAATTGTTCCACGAAATTGCATTTGACAACTTCTCTTTTCATGGTCCGGTATGATCACGTTCGGACGTATGCTTGGAAGATCCTCCATGGAAGGTTAACCTTTCACTGCCAGAAGATAACTGCGGCTTGAATGGCACATACTGTGCAATCATCCTGCGTTATCAGCGAGGATAAGAGGTGAAGCGTTGGGGCTCCAGGGTCTGTCTGGAGTACCTTGTCGGGCATGGCGAAGTCGTCATGTTCGGAGCGTGTCTCGTTCGTTGTCGTTAGTCAAGACTCACCAGCAAGTGAAGTAACAAGTTCACGATGATTCGTCGTCGAGGCGTAGCGTGCGTCTCGCGTGGGCAGTGACGATAAGTGATAAGCTCATGGCTTGCCGCTTGTGGTTGGGCCATATGCAGCCAGCCGAGGACCTGTTCCAGAAGTGGAGACGAGAGGAGGCAGCGGAGGAGGGTTGTTGGTATTCATCAGCATCCCTCTGCCAGCATTGGAGCGAGACCGGTCTGTGTTGCTGGACAGCGGCCTATTGCGTATACGACGGGCGCGCATCGGACTACCCAGTTGGTCGGAGGAAGGAAGGTCGCGTATCAGCCAGCGCGCGTCGATCATGAGCATGCGGTCGTCCCGCTATCGGCAGTGGAGTCGCAAGTGAATGTTGCTGCAGCATCGCATCGCATTGCGACTTCACCTCTGCTGCGACGTCTCCAGTCGTGTGGGCCGCGTTGAGGCAGATTGCAGCGGCACTATTGCTGCTGCTGCTCCTGGATGACTCTTCATTATGGCCGCCTTCTCGCCCTCCGCCCCATCCCACCCTCGCCCTGCTCTTCCGCCGCCGCCCTCGCACTCCATGCCCGCGCCCCCAATGCCGTCCTTCCCCCACCAGCAGTCGAGTGCCAGCACGAGCCAGGCCAGTCCACCTCCCCCGGCTGCCCAGCAGAGCGCGGACGGTTCGGAACGAGCACGAGCATACAAGTCGCGCAATAAGAGACCGTGTGATTTTTGTCGGTATAAGAAGGCTGCCTGCCACTTGGAGACAGCGCCGCCGTGCGAGCTCTGTATTAGGTACAACAAAGAGTGCACCTTCCTCGAGTCTCCCGCGAAACGGCGCAGACCCAATGACGCGGGATCGGACCAGGATGCGAACCAGAATGGCATGTACAAGAGCGCGCGAACGGGGAGCCACGACTCCACGCCGGCCTTTACCAATGGCGGCATTTTGGATATGCAGCACGATCTGCTGCCATGGGAGAACGGAATCAACCCATTCTCCGTCAACGGCATGTCCACCTTGAACGGGGCCTTGCACAGCAACGAATTCGCATTCGATCACTCTCTATATCCGGAGCCTGTGCCATTTCAACCCTACGAGCCCATGTCGATCTCTACGGCCACGGTACATACGCATGATCACCGCAACAACAACGGACACCGCCCCAGCTCGTCCCTGGAGCATTCTACCTCACCGCAATCCACTGCAGCGAGCTTGCCAATCGATCTATCTCTGCCATTCGATTCAACCAGTGGTGAGCCTTCACTCGATCGCCAGCATTCCAGCAATGCTCAATTGGTGGGGCTTGGTGGCGAGCTGGACCCGTACCTCTTGTCGAGATATCGCTACGATGAGCACAACGAGGCTTCCTTTCAGTCGCTACGAATGCGTAAAATGAATAGTGGTCCGGTACAAGACCAGGACACAATTCCCGCTTTCTTTGTAATTCAGCACAATGGACTGGCTTCCAAAGCTCAGCCGCAGGACAGATCTGAATCGAGCGAGAAATGGCGCAGAGAGCTGGAAGAGCTCGTGCCGGCGGAAACTGGAAAGCGATTGATTCGGTTATTCTACAAGTACGTGCAACCGTATTTTCCCATTTTGAGCCGCGAAGGTGGTGAACAGAATGGTGGGGGCATTAGGGAACCTCGAGAAGTGCCTCCTTGTGCACTGGCCGCCATCTATGGTCATGCGCTACCGTTTTGTGCTTGGGACGACAAGCTCTGCGTGGAAGTCTACACACCACCATCTGCCGACGCGCTATTCAAACTGTCGTGGCTGTCGTGTCAGCCTCTTCTGCACACGCCATCGATCGCTGTTCTACAAACACTACTCTTGTTGGTTCAGCGACGGCCAACGAATCGACATGTTGGTGATACGCCGTTCAAGTGGGTCATGATGTCGACCGCAGTCAGCATTGCGCAGGCTCTAGGACTCAATCGAGATCCTACGGATTGGCCGATACCAGACTGGGAGATCAAACAGCGAAAACGCTTGGCTTGGGCAACATTCGTGCAAGATAAATGGTTGGCGCTCAATTTTGGGCGCAGCAGCCACATCCAAGCGGATGACTGGGATGTGCCGAAACTGACAGAAGACGACTTCCCTGAAGCAGATCGCCGGTATGATGAAGAACACATGTCAGACTTCAGCTGTCATCACTTCCTGAAGCTGTGTGAGCTCACGCTGATCGTCAACGACATTCTACGGGAGCTCTTCAGCATAAAAGCTACGAGGCAGCTTCACACCAGCCTCGAGGCTACCCTTGAAGTTGCGAAGCCTCTGCGGATCCGTCTGACAGAGTGGTATCAAGGCCTTCCCGCAGGACTACTACCTAGTCAACCAACCACTGGTGCACCATCGACCACGGGTACTCCTACCAGCGAGAGGCGAAGGTCTGTTCAATTTGAGCTTGACGGTAATGGATCTCTACAGCTAGCCTATATCACTGCCAAGATCGAGCTTTTCCGCGCGATGCTTCGTCCCAGAGTGACAGATGCGAATGCAGCGGCCATCACTGCCCTGCGGACGGGTGCTTTGGCTGTTGCGAAAGAAATCTCAACCTTTCTGGACGATCTTCATGCGCGAGAGCTAGAAGGTTTCTGGACAAGCTGTAAGTTCTACGTACGATATTCAACAACTTGAATCAATCACTGACCACTTCTGTAGATGCCAGGACCAACTTCACGATCGCTTCCTCATTCATGCTCCTGCTTTTCGTAACCTCGCCGACGCTTAGTGATGCCAAAGAATGCCTTGGACTTCTGAACACTTGGCGCAGCTTATTGCGGATCAAGAGTAGAAGCTGCGACTTGTTGAATCTTGCGCTACTCCGTCTCGATGGTGTCTTTGTGGCAGGCATGGACAAACTCATTGAGCTCAGTCCCGCTGCAGAACAGGCTTGGAAGGAGAGGCGTGACAAGAATGGGACCAGATAAACAAGAGCAATAGGAGGAGATACCTTGGACAGAAAGTGGCTATACGAGGCCAAGGAATGATGTTGATGACTATGATCATGAGTTATGCTGGGATGCGTTTGAATCATATACCCCGAGTTGCGTTGCATATACTGAATGTACAGCTTGCTGCGAAAAAGTCGGATAGAAAGATATGAGGCTCAAGGCTTGACAGAATATGTATATAACTGTACAGCAGTCTTGTACGCCTCTATACTGTACGATATCGCACAGTATTATATCTTCCAATCGAACTCACGAAGCCACGAGCAATGACGGCAGGACGAGTTGGCTCACGTAGGCTTGGCATTCAGCACGTGGCACGCAGCGGCGTGTTTTCGGGTTTGCTAAGCGTCTTCTTCAGCGAGATGACTGACCAAGTACGACCCAACGCAAAGGCATTGACATTTTGTGACATCTGTGCTGCGGTAATCACACTTCACAATGTCTGAAGTTGTCGCGCTCATCTTCGCCAAAGACGGGCAGCGGCCACCATGGAATCAAATATACGGCAGCATCGTCGATCAATACAAGCGACATTCTGGTGACCTTGATGGGGTGGCGGCTGCAGGCTCAAGATTTCTGGACGCCGAGCGTGTCGCAGAGCTGAAAATATTGGCTGCGAAAACTCCAACACTGAGAGAATGCAAGAAGTTCACAGACAGCAAAGAAGTACAGGCCCTGCAAAATGAGCACAAGATCGAAATCGTGGTCCAGCCTGGGGACCTTTATGCCGCCCACAAGAAGCCGGGACTGGCAGTCTTTGACATGGATAGCACTCTGATTCAACAAGAAGTCATTGATGAGTTAGCAAGAGCAGTCGGCCTCTATGATCAGGTTGCAGCCATCACGGAAGCTGCGATGCGCGGAGAGGAACCATACGTCGACTTCGAGGCGTCATTACGAGCTCGTGTGGCTCTGCTCAAGGGAGTACCAGACAGTATTTGGCAGCAGCTCCGGGACGGCATCATCACTTTCACACCAGGAGCGCAGGACCTTCTACGAGTTCTTACCAAGCTAGGCTGGAAGGCAGCAGTGCTCAGTGGAGGCTTTACTCCTTTGGCGAACTGGGTCAAAGAAACTCTCGGCATGCATTACGCATATGCGAATCACTTGGTCTCTGATCCATCTGCTGGAAAATTGACAGGAGAGCTTGTGGAAGGCAAACCTATCATTCATGGACAGAAGAAACGCGAACTGCTTTTCGAAACTGCCAAGGATAACGGCATCTCGCATCAGAATGTCATCGCAGTCGGTGATGGATCTAACGATCTGCCCATGATGGAGGTGGCAGGCTTTGGAGTTGCCTTCAACGCCAAGCCGAAGGTTCAAGCTGCTGCTCCTTCTAAGCTCAACAGCAAGAGTCTGCTTGATGTGCTATACCTCCTCGGCTACACCAGACAGGAAATTGACGCGGCACTCAATTCTCAAAGCTGAAGTCTCATCTACTGAGACTCTTGGTACATCCCATTCTGGTAGAAAACATACTGAGCCATGTGAGAAGCTCCGAGCGACAAGATTTCAAGGAACTTCATCGAATATCCTGTCGCCGATCTGTGGGGGCTCCAGCAAGTCGGAAGGGCTGGGCTGTTCAATCTGATGCTCGTATGCCCATTTTCGAATGGCTTCGAAGTATCTACACCTGTGCTTCGTATTGAAGTCGACGAATGCTTCTGGAGGCTTCCCAGGAGAGGGCCGGAACCACACCTGACCCATTACTCCAACGTCGACACTGCACATCAACTGCTGCCGAAGAATGTCGAGACAATGAGCTGGAAGTTTTCAGTCAAAGTGTCGAGGCACTTGATCTATAGCATCATCACTTACTGACATGCTTCTTCAAGATAAAATCTTCATTCAAGAACGCCCCTTCAGCACGAGCATGATAATAATCGAAATTCCAATGCAACGCTTGCCGAAGTAGATTCTACCATGACGCGTCAGTAGTCATCCTCGACCGGCTACACAACTTGTTACATACTAGACAATGCAGATGGTGCAGTCCTTCGACATTTGCGATGAAGCCTCCACCATATTTCACCTTCGCTCTGACTTGATCTTCACGCAGTCCAACATGGCCAGCCACATCGGGCGGAACCAGAATACTGTCATCTGCGGGTGTGAGCATCTTGTGCTCTGGAGCGGAAAGAAACTCACAATTAATCCCGAGCTCCTCCCATGCGCTGTCCACCTCTGGTCCCGCATCTTGCCGATAGACGTTCTCCTTCAGCAACGATCCATTGAATACGACCTCGTGCCACGAAACTTCAATATCATCCTGCAGAGGTGAGCTCTTCGATGTGTGCTTGAAGCATACGCGGTCTGAATTCGACGACTGGATTCGCCGTCCAATCAAAGATCCGACAATTGCAGAAAACAAGGACAAGCAGAGTACTGTCGAACACCAGCGAGCATCCAGCGTTAGCGAACGCCGCTTCTTCGTATCGCTGCTGAGAAGCCCTTCGCACGCATCTTCTGCTTCAGTTCGTTGAAACATCTTTAGGTGGTAGCTCACAGCCCAGGAGCAACACAGAGATGATGCTCAGTCACCATCACTACAACGACACGGAAATTCACAGATTCCAAACCCTGTCGTGCAAGGTTACACAATCATCCTGAGACCATGTATCTGTTCGGTGCGATCCAAAACGCCTCCTGCGTTCCCGCGAAACTTTACTTCAAGCCTGCTTCAAGTATACACACGCACGTCAGCTCGCCCTGCAGTACGACCGGAAATACCAAGAGCGATCGCATGTAATATCGCCACTTGCGACGAAGATGAGGCTCCAGCGTTGTGCAAAGTATACTAAGAACCATTTCAAGAATTTCGTACTTAGTCGTGCTCGTCCACCCCCTCCGAAAGTGGACAGGGAGCGCGGCGATCAAACACAACTTGCTACAAAAAGTGTTTGCTATGCCGCCCTCGCCTTCTGAAGTGCATAGAGGCTGTGTCTCTCATGGCCAAGTTCTGCAGACCGCACCGCACCGGATAAAATGTGGTAAGTAGCAGTAAATGAATTCTCGCTGGGGAGTTCATTTTTCTCGATCAAGCGACCTCACTTCTCTTTCGACGCCGAGTACCTACACATCGATAGAATCACGATGCAGACACTCAATCTAACGCTTTTGCTTTCCATTGCACTGTCGGCTTTGGCCTTACCGACTCCTGCAGCTGATGCCGTATCGCCCGTGGATGCGAGTTCCATAAAGCCTCCTCCTGCGCAAGGTGAGCTGAAACAACCTTTTCGGAGCACACTTTAGGGCGAATGCTGATGCTACTGCATAGAGGGGTATGGAAAGGTAAGGAACACAGCCTCCGTGTCTGAATTTCTACTAACGACTTCGCAAGTACGCCAGCTATGGCACGTACAAAGGAACGTATAACAACTATCCTGGCTTAGGCCCTCCGCGCCATCCACCACCAAAACCACATACGCCACCGAAGACTACTTTCGAGCCAGAGAAATTCGAAGACGAGATCGCGAGCTGATGGACTGAGACGGGCTGTGCGTTGAAGTATGTGTTGCAGGACACATTTGAAGCGTCGAGACAGGGAGTGCACACGTTGATAGGCATGGCTTACAGCTCTGGCAGCACTTTCGATCCATGTCGGTTCTCATACCGTACTGGCACTTCAGTGCTTACATCGCAACACTACCGTCACACTCATTGTCTGCCTGCACGTTCTATTTGTTGAGCTGAGCAGTCAATTTTTGCTGAAGGAACTTTGCATCCTCAACAGACTGTCCTGGACCTGTTCGAAAAATGTCAGCTACGCTAAATACTGCTCAAGATCGAAGCGTGCACTTATCTCCAGCCCAATGGCCCCAGATCGACTCGAATATCGCCAACTCTCCTACGCCAGGTCTCATGTGTTGCACTTCTATCGCCGAGTCTTCGGGGGCTGTGATTCACGGTAAGCTGATGCTCGTGTTCGTGTTACAGTGCCAAACTTACGGAAATATAAATCAGTCCTGCACGGCATCACCAAAATCTTGGCTTTAATGCCCTTCATCGCTGCGTCGAAGTCACCGTTGTATGGTTCTTGATCCGACACATCTCCAGATTGCCATGTGTGCAGCATTGCAAGCATATTTTCTGGGTCTAGACAAATGGTAAGTAAAGGTCGCAAAAGGAGACCCGCTCCAATTAGATTTACCTTTATCCAACGCCCAAGTCTCCCAAAACCCAACCATAAAATCCTCCAAATTCTTGTGGTCTCAGCAGTACGATGTACCTGATGCCGATAAAACGGTTGACTGAACCCCCATCCTGCATAGACTCTGCCCAGAGCTTTCAACCAGCCACTTTCTCCTCCTCAGTCCAGCCTCGATACTCTCCATTCGTCATGATCTCTCCTTTACAAATGCCCGCAGAAGCCGTACCTTTTGCACTCAAAAGCGCACTCTTCACGCCTTCAAGAAACACCTGGTTATGCTCACTCGTCTTGGCCGACCCGCAATAGGGAACACAAACATCCATGAAATCGGGAAATTGCGTCGCCCATTGGAAAGTCTGTCCGGCGCCCATGGACCATCCTATTACTGCTTTGGCATGAGAGAAACCTAGACCTTTGGTTACTAAGTCATGTTGAGCTCGGATGTTGTCGTGAAATGTAACATCAGGAAAGGGCCGTTGATCTGGTGTATTGCTTGGTGAAATCGATTCGCCGTTTCCGAATAATGCTGGGACAACGATGAAGTACTTTTCAGTGTCTAGAGTGAGACCGGAGCCAATGAGCCATTCGTTGTCGGATATGCGGAGGGAGTAGGATGTGGGAAATATTATGAGTGGGTTTTGATGGCGAGCCGAAGATTTTGTAGGCTATGAATGCGTTGGAAATGGTCTTGCCGCTTTTGAGGGTGAAGTCGCCCAGTGAGTGTTTCTGTATTTCGGAGGACATGTTTGTGGTGTTGTGGAGTTCGAATTATTCTTCGTGTGGTCAGTACAGATGCTCCTTCTTTCCAGTGCATGTCGTTGTGTACAATGACGTCCTCATCGTAGCTCTAGAAACTCAATGCTGCATGTTGAAGCGCTTTACCGACGCCCGAGGTTTGTAAGTTATTGCTTAGCTTTTTGCAAGACAGCTTTTACGGGCTTTCACATCTCGAGCCCATACAGACGTGAAATGGAGAAGTCATGCCATATTTTGCTGCTACAATGTGGAGTCGATGTTTCTCGCCAACACTACGCAGAAGCTCCCTGATTACCATTCGAATCTCATCATGAGTAGCTAGCTAGTCCTGAGTGGTCTCGTAATCGAAAGTGGTGTTGGAGAGCAAAAGCTGATTCGATAGAGCATTCACGGGGAAGCGGCGGCGCTCAAGCATCAGTCGACCTGGCTGCAATCGGACGCACCCGTTGAACGACATACTGCCATGAGTATGCTGTTCAAGTCTAGGCAGGCGTCAACAGATCGTTCAGGAGCATGACATTCACTGCGGGTAGAAGGCCCTATGTGATTGGTGGATCGCAGTTGCTCATTCACTCGTGCATACTCCACTTTGCAGCACCACTCGCTTTGCCTGTCGCTCTTCAGGTCGTTGCTGATGCATTTGCAACACACCAACAACCAGATCCCAACATCGCTCAAAAGACAAGATGACGGACAGCACGATCGAGTCTTCCACTGCAATCAATGATCTCCCAGCAGAAATTTTCGAGCACGTCGGCAAGTTCCTGCCAGCCAGAGATCTCGCCGCCCTCCGCGTTGTCAATCGAGACTCGAACAGCAAAATCCTTCGTCACTATGTTACAGAGAACTTCTCGACAGTCAGCATCCTGGTCTGTGACATCAACAGCATCCGCGCAGCAGCAGATCTAGTCGAGCACCCTGTCTTCGGCCCTGCGATTCGTCGAGTAGAGCTTTGCGTCGACTCTATCGTCTGCAACTCCACTATGCCTCCTCGAGGACCTCGAGAAGCACCCGAAGCGATTTATCAGCATTGTGAAGTCTCAGCAGACATCAGCAAGCTCGAGGCTTTGAACAGGGAGAGAACGAACATGTCGCTCGACATCGGCGACTACGAAGACGAGAAGCTCTTTCGTCAGATCTGGCAGAAATTGAAGGCACTGGGCACGCTGGAAGCCGTTCATCTCACAGACGTTCGTGTCGCTTCACGTTCGCCGCTGCTTTACTCCAAGTTTCAAGCAGCTGGAGGATTCTGCTATCCAGTGATTCTCGATTCGAATACTCTGCAATGGACGATCTGTGCTCTGGGAACTCTGACTAAGAGTAGCATTCCCCTCCAATCTCTGTCAATGGATCAGAACCGATGGGCTCTCACAATCAACGAAGGTGGTTGGACTCGAGGGGGTCGGCAACAGAAACCTTACGAAGATCGAAAGATGTGGCCCAGATTGTTCTCGCGAACCAAAGCCCTCAGGCTGGCTATCTTTCAGAAGCATTGTTACCGGGATTCACCACTGGGATCCGGATTCGCACTCTTCCTAAGGTACGCTCTGGCTGATGCTGCGAGTCTTGAGAAGTTGTCATTGGAGCTGGCAAGCTCCAAATCGGAGGACGAACCAGACCAGTGGCACATGAGGTATGATCAGCGCTGTGACAGGATGTATCTGCTGCACGGCATAAATCTGCCTCCAGGACTCAAGGAGCTGGAACTTCGTGGAGGGCAGATCGTGATGGCAGAACTGGCCGACTTGATTAAGGGCAACCCACGTTTGCAGAAGTTGGCACTGAAGAAGACCGTCCTGATAATTGGAGACAACCAGACTGAGCACATTTCGGATGGGCAAGGTGAGGATGAGCAGGTCAAAGAAGGATTGCTACAACTCGTTGGAGAGACGAGCATCGAGCTGGACATATCTGCTGCATGCATTTATGTCGGCCCCTTCTGATTGGTGTTCAGGCGTTGAGCATGAGTAGCTGTTGGTTGTCGAGTGTTGGACCGTCAATGCATAAACGAGTCTGGCAAGGAATCTTCGGAGTTGAGGCTCAAACAGTTGGAAAGTTGAAGAGGACAGGTTTATGGAGAGGCGAAGTGTCCGATTAGTACGGATCATTGTCGTCATCGGAGCGCGAGAGGCTGATGGAAGGCTTCCAGGACCTCGACGACGAGAGGGTCAGAGGGCGGGCTCGGAGGCATGGTAGCAGCAGTCTTTGCGATTTTGTCGCCGAATGTCTAGCAGCCGTCGGTTAAATCATGTTGCAAAGCAAATTCGAGTCATTCAGCAGTCGATGCATTTCGTTGTTCAGCAGTAGTTTTGTTGAATGAGCCCAGGACCCGTAAGCCCAAAGCACAAACCTTTGCGTTCCACATTTTCATGGACACGTTCGCAAGCTTGCTGTAGGAGAAGATCGGCGCTGGCAACAAATCGCTTTGTAAGAGTGCTCAGCCACTGCAAGAAGCTCGATGACATCTCTAAGTCTACTCTTGTGCTCTGCAAATCGCTACGAGCAGTCATGTCTACCAGTAGTTGACTCAGCCGTTGTGGCGTGATTCTCATCAAGCGTGATCACGTCCTATCCTGACTTGACCTCCTCGGGTCTCCTTGTTCGATCATCGAGGTATGTAGCTTCTTGACTTCCGGAATGATGAGACTCTCAATCTCTACCGGCGGCTCTCTACTGTCCTCATCATCCGTAAGTTGGCCGTCCTGCAGTTTTGCAGTCCCACTCTTTGCCCTCCTATTCATTGGTACGCGAATCCACTTCTCGCCTCCCTCTGCAGAGACGAAAAGCACCTCATGCTTGCGTGTGTTGAGCAGGTTGCCGATCACGAGGTGATGGGCATACTTCTTGAGAGCATAGGCGCACTTCTCGGACAGTAGAGGAGGGTCGGTCTCAAGTTTGAAAGAGATAATCATCGCTCGCGGCGCCCAGCCGTCGACAAGCAATTTGAGGAACTTGGGAACAGGATCTAGATCGATCTTGAGGAGCTTGCCTTCCATATGAGCTGCAGGCTGCTTGTCGTGCTCCCCAGAGTCGCCATTCGGCTGCTTGTTGAAGTCTTCAGAACTCTGGATCTTGTGCTCGACCATTTTCTCAGCAGGCACGAAGAAGTCTGAGACCGCTGCTGCGAGGTAGAATAAAGCATTGGCGCCCAGAGGCTGCATGAGCATGGCCAGCTCCCGCAGATTCCAGAGGTACTCATTGACTGTGACGAAGGGCAGCAAAAGTAGCGTGTTCTCTTTCTTGGCCGTTCGATACCGCTTCAAGACGTCGCCCATCTGTTGCTGATATCGCGACTGCACTGCTACCGGCCCATCCTCGGAGTACGACATGTAATCCAGAAAGCAATTGGTACTGTGGCTGTAATGGCGAGAGTACGGCAAGAGTGAAAATTGGCGATGCAAGAAGATGACTGCATATCCATTTTCCAGGAAGTATTCGGCAGAGGTCGCACCTCTCGTTCCGGCAGAGAAGTTGTCAATGAAACGCACAGTTTGATTCTCCAAGGGAACTGTAGTACCACCAGATGTGACCAGGGCTACGCGCCTCCCGGCATCAGCGTGCTGTTGTATGAAGGTTCGAGCCAGAGTTGAGTGCCGCTCCAGGTCATGAGGTCTGGGGTTGACGTCGAAGTACTCCATGGCTGGTGGCGTTGAGTAGCGTGCAGCTACTTGTGGGCAGCACCTCAACTGAGCATATATGAGTGAGGCGGTAGCTGACTCTCTTGGCTGGTCTCTTATCACTGGTTCAGTCAAAGTGCTTGCTTACAAAAGCAAGCAACAGTGATTAGTTTGTCCGGGGACTTCTCAGCGTCGCCAGAGGTACGGGTGAGTCTGTTATCCCAGCGGCAGCACTCCACACCCAGAGACAGTGCGACAGGTCGGGACGAGCGATGATGGTCCCATTGCGCCGAAGTGGACGTTCGGAAATGTAGTCATCCACCTGTCAGTATTGATTCTGCGGCGTGAGGATTGAGAACGATGTCGGAAGCAGTTTCTCCGCTCCGGGCTCACTTTCTGCTACCATGCCAGCTTCACAGACATACTCGCGACAACAATCTATACGCCACCAACCGATATCACCGCCACTATGCCGCCCAATCCAGCGACGGGCGCGAACAAGGACACCCCCAAAAGCAACGACCGTAACGAGTACATCCCATCCTTCATCGCAAAGAAGCCGTTCTATATCGATGATTCTACCGTCTCGTCCGATGCCGATTACCTCGAGCATCAGCGTCTGCAAAATGATTCGCAGAAGGAGAAAGACTCTCTCGCTGCTGCGCAATGGTACAATCGAGGAGCTGTCAAAGGCCCGGCAGCGACCAAATACCGCAAAGGTGCCTGCCAAAACTGCGGATCCATGTCGCATAAGGAAAAAGACTGTCTGCAACGGAAGCGGAAGAAGGGCGCGCGCTGGACCGGCAAAGACATTCAAGCCGATGAGGTAGTGGGCAAGGTGGAACTCGGGTGGGACGCAAAAAGAGATCGCTGGAACGGGTTCGATGCAAGCGAGTACAAGGAAGTCATCGAGGACTACGAGGCTGTCGAGAAGATGAGGAAGCAGGCTGCGAAGAATGACGGAGAAGGGGAGGACGAGGGTGCAGAAGAGGGAGACAAGTACGAAGCCGAGACAGATATGGGCCGTAAACAGGCTACATCAACACGAAATCTGCGATTACGAGAGGACACCGCGAAGTATCTTGTCAACCTCGACCTGGAAAGCGCAAAGTACGACCCAAAGACGCGGAGCATGATCGATTCTGGTGGCGGCGATCCGAACAGTCTGGATGCCGACGATGGCTTCGCGGGCAAGCAGAGCGGCGATGCGGCAGAGTTTGAGCGAGCACAGACATATGCCTGGGAGACGCAAGAGCGCGGCGATAAGGACCGGATACATATGCAAGCCAATCCGACAGAAGCGCTACTTACGCGGAAGCGGAAGGCCGAAGAAGAAACGCAGAAGGCGGAAGCGAAGAGGAAGATGCTGGCAGACAAGTACGGAGTACAAGACACATCTTCGAAGAAAACTGCCGCGAAACTTGCTGCCGCGGGCGTAACGAGCAACGAACGATACGTCGAGTACGATGAAAGAGGGAGGATCAAAGGCGAACCAGAGAAGAAGGAGAAGAGTATGTATGCGGAAGACGTCTACATCAACAACCACACGTCGGTCTTTGGCAGCTGGTGGAAAGATGGGCAGTGGGGCTATCAATGCTGTCATAGCATCGTCAAGAACAGCTTTTGTACTGGCGAGGCCGGCAAACACGCCTTTGAAGAATCGGAGCAGTTCTCACGAGGACTTGCCCTTCCTTCTGCTGAGGAGTCGAAAAATGCCGAACGAGTCGACCCAGATACTGCGGCGCAGGAAGAGGAGCGCCAGGAGAAGCATGTTCCGAATGGCGTTGATCGCCCGGAGAAGCAGAATCAGGATGAGAGTCGGAGGAGAATGGAAGAATTGAAGAGTGGTGTGACCGAAGAGGAGATGGAGAAGTACAGGAGAGAAAAGACGAACGCGAATGATCCGATGGCGAAAATGCTCGGGAAGGACGAGTTGCTAGGTATGTAAAAGTGACATACTGGAAATAGGCTGACGAAGCGCTCGAAGGTCTATTGATATTGAGCACTCCGAACACATTTGTTTTTTCCCCGTCGTCGAGGCGCCTGATTGTCAGCTGCAGTTTTGGAGAACCGTGCGCATCTCCATACAAGTTCGATCGACTTTGACTTGTGAATACCAGCTCGCCACTGCTCGTAGAGCCCGACCTCGCTCATCGTCTGTTCTGCGCGTGCCCATGGCATGGCTGCGAGATTAGCGCCATCATGCATCGCTTCGACCAATCCGCTGGACGATCTGGTTCACAAGCTCCTGGCAATACTTGAGAAGGCGTCTGCTCAAGTCGTGCAGTCGTCTGTGCGGGGCTTTGCTTGACTCGTGTCGCTGTGCTCTCACCTTGTGTGTCGCGCATACCGTGCGTCTGCATCTCCCGCACCGGAAGACGACATCCGCATTCCATCTCATCTTGCGGTATACTATTTGCTTCGTTATGCAACAAGTTTATGGCATTCAGAATAGCGCTCCACGCCTTTGTCGACTTGCACGACAACTGCCGAACGGGCGAGATTAGGTGAGGCCATTACCGCAGCTGCCAGCTCGCGGAGAATACCGACGTGATACAGTACCACTTCCACAGGAGCACGATAGTGAGCTGCACTAGGCTCCGTGCATCAAGCTGAAATTTTATTAGCACTCGTTTCGTGTTTGCGGTGCCTGGCCAGCAATTGCTCGCGTCTCAAGCAGGCCAGGCTTCGGCTAGCAACACCACGATTGGTATCTTCTCGCGTTGCGCGTACAAAACGACAAGAAGTCATGCTCCTTTGGACGTCTCCCGGTTCTGGCCTGAGTTGTACTGGACACACGTGAGCACCCTGGCCAGATCGACGCCACGCGAACGCCTCAAAATGCACTCCACAAACTCTCCCCGCATGTCGCGTTGTACACCCAGCTCTCCCTCCTGAGCCACTCTTCTCATTGGACCAATTCCTACACATTTCCACGGTCGACCAGAAGTCGTGCATACACTTACCTTGTCCGGGTAAAGGCACCCCACAACCTTTCTCTCAACCTCGCTTATGGAGTCTGGGCCATGCAGCAGGGCTTGTCTGCCACGTGCGGTACATCGCGACTTCTTGCACCAGACCACACGGGAATCTGATCTAGACGCGGAGCCGCAGCGGAAGAGACCAATGGCCACAGCGACAGCAGCGGGAAGCCTGAGTCGAAGCTGTCGAGACGTCCTATCGCAGGATATTGCCGCGAAGCCACACATTCGTGAATAGTGAGACTCCGCACGTGTGGCTCACGATAGATTGAAACGGAGTCAGAGCATATAGGATAGTGCTATCGCGTCTCCTTCGACTTCCATCTCTCGCGTTATCCCCTCTGCTCCTCCTTTTTCACAGCAGTCATGGCGACATACGACGAGAAGACTGCTGGGCAGAACCTCGAGCAAGTCGAGACGAACTCCGACAATGCCTCAAATCACTACCGTGCAGCAGGCGGCCTCGAGAAGGTCGAAACCCACGAGACCCTCGTCGCCGTCGATATCGAGAATCACCAGGCCTTCAAGGGCGATGACTCCGATGGCAAGGTCGCGTGGACAGTCAAGAAGATTCTTGCTGCGTGCTTCTTGAGCATGCTGTACACTGGTGAGCTATTCCGACTGCTTGCTGCTCTAATCGCACGCGCTAATCCTTAGCAGGCTCTCAAATTCCTCTCTACTTCACTGGAGGCACACTCAGTTTCATCGCCAAGGACCTCGGTGCTGCTGATATTATCGGATGGCTGCCAGTTGCCAACACCTTGGCTATCGCTGCTGTGTGCCCCTTTGTGGGTTATCTGCAAGATCTGTTCGGAAAGCGGTAAGCCATCTCCTCCATCTCCCTGTTGATGTCAGCGAAAGTTGGACATTGGACGCTTGCTAATGTTGTCATCGACTGCAGATATATCGCCTTGTTCGGTGCTATGCTTCTCTGCATCGGCTGCATTGTGCTCGGAACTGCTCACCAACTCGGACAAGCGCTCGCCGGTATGGCTTTGGCTGGCGCTGGTGCAGGTATCGGAGAATTGACTGGTCTTGCTGGGTAAGCTGAAGGTGTTGAGGACAGCGTTTGCGCAAGGCTAATGATACGCAGACTTGCCGAGACTGTCCCAGTCAAGCAACGAGGTTACTCTCTTGCGGTTTTGACCGCTTTCGTCCTGCCGTTCTGCCCATACGGTAAGACTAATTTCTCGCTGCGGCTGATCCACACGCTGACTGTGACCTAGTCATGTACTCTGAGCTTTTTAGCACCCGCGGATCCAACCCAACCTGGCGATGGGGAATCTGGATCTCCCTCATCTACAACGGCATTACCCTTGTCGGTCTTGCCCTCTTCTACTTCCCACATGCCCACGTTCGTGCCGAGGGAATGAGCTTCGGTCAAGTCGCCAAGCGCATTGATTATGTCGGCGGTGCTCTCTCTATCACAGGTCTCACCTTGTTGCTCGTCGCTCTCCAGGCAGGTGGCTACACACACCCATGGACCAGTGCCTACACCCTCTGCATTCTCTTCTTCGGCATCGGCCTCCTGACAGCCTGGGTCGTGTGGGAGTGGAAGTTTGCTAAGCACCCCATGATTCCAAAGGAGTTGTTCGTGGGCCAACGTGTCGTCGGCTTCTCCTTCGCAGTTGCATTCGTTGCCGGCATGAACTTCTTCAGGTGAGCATCAATGCTGCATATTCTATCTATACTCGATGCTAATTACTCGCAGTCTGCTCAACTTCTGGCCACTCACCATCTCTACCGTATGGAGCGCCAGCCCAATCGCCATTGGCTGGCGAGGTCTTCCAGTTGCCTGCGCGACTGCATTTGGTGCCATCTTCTGGAACGCACTCCTCAGTGTTTGGACCAGCGGCATCCGCTACATCCTCTTCCTGGCTGCGCTGATGCTCACTGCTTTCGGTGGATCCCTTGCAAGTATGAGCCCTGACAACGAGTACCAGTCCGTGGCTCTGGCCTCTTTCGCTGCCTTCGGTCTCGGTGGTGTTATTGTCCCAGCTGCTACAGCAGCTATGATTGCCTGCCCCGACGCTTTGATCACCACCTGCGCTGCGCTGTCGCTCTCCGTCCGCGCTGTCGGCGGTGCCATCGGATACTCGATCTACTACAGCGTCTTCGTCAAGAAGCTTACAGAGGTTCTGCCTGTCAAGGTTGGCACCTACGCCGTGCAAGCCGGTCTGCCATTGCAGAGCGCTGAGGTTTTTGTTGGCACCTTCTTGACTGCTCCAACGGAAATTACCGCTGTGCCAGGTGTTACCCCAGGCATCCTCGCTCAAGCTGCTTATGGCGCTCAATGGGCTTATGCTGAGGCTTTGCACCTTGTCTGGTATGTCAATTTCTCCCTTCGCATTCACAGAATCCAACTAACAGAAGCACAGGTACGTCAGTATCGCTTTCGGCTTCTGCGCCATGGTTTGCGCGCTGTGCATTCCAAACACGAAGAAGTTCCAGACAAACAGAATTGCTGTGGCCTTGTAAACTTGGTCGGATGTGCTGTAGATCAGCCAGCAAATATTGTTATAATCGCAGTAACATGCATTTCGACGTTGCGCGGTAACCAAGCATTTCTCGTTATGTGACATTCATGGAGCGTGGCGTCAAACAAACCGATCGATCGATGCTGAGTCCTCAGTTGATCCTCGAGCACTCCTCCATCCTGTCTTAGTGGGCCTGCTGTGGGTCCATCGTCTATGACTGGCAACCTCAGGGCGTGCCAAGATCTGAGATCCTGTGTCCTTCAACAATCACATTAGTCATCTTTGCTTGCTGTGGGTGGTGCATAGAGCTCCCCAAAGCTCATCCTCAACTTTGGCTCTCCACAACATCCTGCATTCTCGTTACATTTACAGCTCGGTCCAGTCTCGCGATCTACGAACAATGACAGCACCCATCGAGATCCGAGAAGCAACCCTAGCAGAAATCCCTTCCCTCACAACAATCGTCAAGAGATCTTTCCATCCTGTGAACCCATATATCAAAGGATGCTTCCCGGATACGCCGGCTGTTGCCAAATGGTGGACCCGAGTCTACACGGATGAAATCAATGCAGAATACTGTCATGTTCTCATCGCCTACGATCCCTCAGCAGAACTTGCCACCAGAGTCGTTGGAGTCCTTTGTCTCCGACTCATGCAAGCAGATGATCGTTCAGGAGGCTTCATGTCGCAATATGAATTGACTCCAGATCATGATGCATCGCTACTTATACCCGCTGTCGATACCATCATCGAAGGACGGAAGAAAGCTTTCGAACCTCCTGGAAAATATGCTGGGCAGAAGAATTACCTCCTCGAACTCTTTGGCGTGGATCATGACTACAAGGGACGAGGCTTTGCGAGGAAATTGTTGGAAGCTGCAGGGAGAATAGCTGATGAGGCTGGGTTGGTGACTTTCGTAGAGGCGAACGCGAAAGCTGCGCCGCTGTATGTGAAGCTTGGGTTTGAGGACCAAGGGAGTGTGGAAATGCCTGGGTCGAATGGGTATATGGAACACTTAATGATTAGACCGGCGTTCTCTAGATGAATTGCGTGAGCACTATTTGGCTCGTGACGACCCTGATGAGCAGGGTATACCACGGATTCTCAGAGATAGTTGAGCTGATAGCTCTGACTCTGGGAACTGCCAGCGGCATGATTTTGTCCGTGGTTACTCTCGATGGCAGAGAAAGAGTTATTTGTTCGGAGAAAGGCGAGCTGGCCACATGCCTCCAATAAACCTCTGCGGCACCATTTCGCTCTTCTTCACTCTCAACGGCAGAGAAGCTGTTCTTTGTTCGGAGGAATACAGGCTGTCCAAATGTCTCCAATAAACCTCTGCGGCGCCATTTCGCTCTTGTCCAACCCCGGAAGCACACAATCATCATCGGTTCCGGAGAGAGGTGGCCGTTAGCTTCTGTCTCAGACAAATGTATGGAGTATTATTTTGCACTTGGCCAGCCCAGTGAGCACACAGACCTATTCATGCTCAGAGAAAGAACGGGTGAAGTAGCTTGTCTCAGAAATATATCTGCAGCGAAATCTTGCACGTTTCCAACTCGTTTGGCGTGGAGCTCGATATGAAGCGGAGAAAGACGACTTGGTAATGTTATCTCGAACAGAGCTCCGCAGGCTGATTTTGCGCTTCTCCAGTCTCGTTGGCACAGAAACCCCGTTTGTTTTCAGAGAAATATCACCTGCACATTTTGTCTCAGCAAAAGGGCTGCAGCGCGATTTCGCCCTGGGCCAACCTCGTTCGCAAGAAAATGCCTTTTGAATTGGAAACGAATGATCTTGAAATGTTGTCTCGAACAAATTTTTGCGGTATAATCTTGCTTGTAGTCAACCAGACGGGCTCACAGCGCTCGCGATCGTCAGAGAAAGGCAAGCTGGCACTGTCATCTCAAATGTATCTCTGCGGCATAATTTTGTTCTTAGCTACCTCGACGAGCTCAGAGTGCTTGCGAATTTCAGAGAAAGACAAGCTGACAGCTTTATCTCGAACATGCCTCCGCGGCATGATTTCTCCCGTAGTTAACACGATGAGCTCAGCGTGCTCGCGATTTCCAGAGGCAGGTGAGCTGGCAAGATTGTCTCCAACATACCTCTCCAGCATGTTTTTGCTATTAGTCAACCCGAAGAGCTCAGAATGCTCGCGGTTCTCAGAGAAAGATGAGTTAGCAATATTATCTCGAACATTCCTCTGCGGCATAAATTTTCTCTTAGTCGGCCCGCTGAGCTTAGGGTCCACGCTGTTCTCAGAGAAACATAGGCTGGGAACGTTATCTCGAACACAATTCTGCGGCGTCGTTTCTCTCCTGGTTGCCTCCGATAAGCTCAGTGTGCCCGCGATTTCCAGAGAAAGACGAGGTGGCAATGCCAGCTCAAACGGACCCTTGCAGCATAATCTTGCACTGTGTCACCCTCATGAGCATACAGCTGTCTCTATGTTTAGAGAAAGATGATTGCGGAATCCGGTCTCGGACCAGCAGCGTCGTCATTATTCTACGCTGAAGCAGACTGACGAACTTTCCAACCTGTTCGAACTCAGAGAACACAAACTCAGAACATGTCTCCGACCGCTATCTGCTGGGCTATTCTCGGCGAAGCCAAGCTCATGAGCGAAGCGCTGCCTGCGTCGTCAGAGAAGGTATCTCGCGTGGCGATTGCTCTAAAGTTGACGATGACAGAAGCGTGCGGAGGTTCAGAGACAGAGACTGTACCAGCCAGCAAGGGAAAGCAGAAAGGTTGTTGGTCGACAGCTTTGGATTTCATCGTCCAGAAGACTCGCAACGGCCGTCTGTCATATGCGAAGAAGAGACAGCGAATTGTTCCCGTTTCAGTGATGAAGTGAGTCGCTTTTCGGTGTTGGAAACACGGCCGTGAGCTTATAGCAGTGTGACCAGCGACCTATGGTATCTGAATCTCCCATGTTGGACCACGGAGAAGTCAGTATGAGTTACAATATACCTGCAACTGTGCACGCTTTTGTGTGAACAAAAGCTGCAACTTCGTGTTGCCGCATGCTGCTTGAGGGTATACAACGATGCAATAACCGCCCAAAAGAGCAATCACTGGTCTTAGCCGGACCTTCCGATCCATCCTAATCTGGAGTTCGACTACATCTTAAAGCTCATGCGCAAGAGGTCCTCGCACGTGTTATGAGAGCGACGGCTCCGTGCGGATCCAAGAGTCGCTAGTGAGCCCCACAAAACAAAGCTTCCAGTCTCGGTAGCGAATAGAGAGTGTCAATGAGATATGACACTGCGACTGCGACAGAGAACGCTTTGCACTTCGTTGGCACCTGAGCTCTTTGTCCATTTCTGGACGTTTTCATCTCGAAGTTGGGCTCAGGAAGGATGGAATCATGGTTGAGAGGTACTGTAGCGGTATCAGCACGTCCAAAATCGAGAGCATGGAGCCTCTCGCAGAGTACACTCCAGAGAAGACTTGCTTATTGATGTACTGGGGCCAGACAACAGGCCACTTCCACGACCAGTCCACCGCCATACAAATGAACCAATACTTGGCGACGGCCGGGCTCTTTCCTTGGAAGCAGTATCAGTTTTGCCCGCTTCGCCAACAATGAACTTCTTCGAATCTACGTGACCCCAAGGAAAAGATTCTCACGAAGTTCGTCCGATCTTCGGAGCTCGTTCTTTTCGCATCGTCCTTGGGAAAAGAGTAGCAGTTTGATGTCTGTCATGTTGAAGAAGTCGGAAGACGAGTAATGAGCCATATCCCATCATAATGTGTATTGTATGACTTGTTCTCCAAAACGTTCTTTCATGTCTTGCTTGATGCCCGATCGAATCCGACAAGCTGGCGGAAGGAAGATTTTGTGAGGCACTTTCATGCTCCTGTCCAACAAGTCCTGGAGCGAATTTCGATTCAATTTTCGTCTTCATGCTCCACGCGACCTTTCTTCGAATTCAAATATCGATTCCTGACATCAAATAAGGAAGAACTTGGGGGGCGGTCTAGAGCATCGAGAGTGATGGTGGCCGAGTAGTTGTTCTGACTGCATAACCGCAGTGGGAATTCATTTTAGCTTTCATTTCTTGCATCCGACATGCTGCTCGTCGGTCGGGGTGAAGCTCGCGGGCCCTCTGGAGGAGAAATTCTTCCTTGATAGAGTCTTCCAGCTTCTTGGAATCCGTGGGCTCGAGTTCTTACTCTCGCTCGTGATTGCGGCCGTTCCATTCTTGCAAGGCTCGGATTGCTTTGCATCGAATCACCCATCTTTACCTCCGTTGGCATAACAAGGTCTTGATCGTCAGAGCCACTTTGTCCCAGGCCACGAGTCTCTGATTCAGGCGCGATTGTCATGTTTCCATCTTGCCTCTATTGGTTGGCTTCGAGATCCTTTAACTAGAGGAAAAGAGTCTGTACCGGCTATACGTCTCTGATTAAGGCGCAAGAGTTACATCTTAATCTTGCCTCTATCGGTTGCCTTCGCGACCCTTTCACTAGAGGAAAAGAGTCTGCACAGGCCGCACATCTTTTATCAAGGCGCAAGAGTCAAAACCATGGTGCGAGCTTGTGTATTTCAGGCTTGCCTCGCCACAGCACTTGTGTCGGCGAGCATCCTTCCGGAAGCAAACGAGGGAGCACGAGAAATATCAAATCACTCCGCGAAATCGTACAACAGACGCGACAGCTGAGAACAATTCCGGTGGTTTGGTTTCGCTTGAAGTAGAAGTGGCGCCCTCGCGCGCTACAGTTTCCGTTCTCGGTGCTTAGTCGAATCGAAAATGTCGCCTGCTGATGAATCGTGTACTTCAAATCATCGCTCACCGCGTTTCAAAACAAGCTGAGCGGCTCTAGCCTTCGTTATCATACTCTGCTCGCCCTTTCTTCGAATTCAAGTACCGACTCCTGATGACGTGGTAGTTCAGCAGCGACTCGATTGAAACCTCTAACAGAGAGGTTGTTGATCTCACCTCTCCTCAGCCCAGGTCATTGCCGCCCATGCTGCAAGAAACGGCGGGATGACATAGAGTGCTTGTCCACTGCTTCGTCTAATCGTATTCCGAAGGCCAGCGACGATGCCATGATTCCATAAAGCGAAAGTAGGACGATGTTGGTTTCGTCCAAGAGTATACGTGATCTGGCCTTTCTGCTTTGGAAGCTCTGTTCGGTACGTCAGGTCTTGCATTCGTGCTGGAGGAAGTACATGGAAGGCGAGATATACTGTTATGACCCCAGCATAGGACTGGAAAATGATCGGGTCCTTTGAGGTCTGGATTGTACTCGATACCGCCGGCGCTTGTGGACATCGCTGAAGTGTTTATGGTGTTCGCGGACTGGTTTTGGGACCTCGAACAGGCTCGCCTTGGACAAGTTGAGCTATTTAAACATGCCCTTCTTCCTGTTGAAGGACCACTTCCCATGGCACGTGACCGGAACCGGAGGGTTTGCCCATCCGGTGGAGACACCCCTGGCACGTGCACAGACGTAGGAGCGCGTCGAGCGTGAGATCGCATCAAGCCCAGAGTATTCGTGACCGACCACGAGAATGTTCTGCCCATCAAATCCGGAGACAAAGATGAAGTAACGTCATTGTCGGGTCCTTCAGCCAGCTGGCAAAGTGTCCTGTTCTTGAACGATCTTCCCTCCCGCGCGAGCTTTTTTCTTGCCACCCACTCGATTGATGCCCAGCTCTGGCAGCTCGTCCATGATGTCGATCCACTTGAAAGATTGGCCAGAGTCTCTGCGGCGCCATATGACGTTCAAGAAATCTTCATTACGAGCGTGGACCACAGGCGTTATGCCATCCACGTAGACCGAGATGTCGCGATTGATTCGCTCGCGGTCAGCCGGCCATGTCTCTATTGCTGCAATGAGGAAAGGCAATGTGACGAGACTCGGAGGTTCGCCTGACAATGCCGTCGCAAGATCAAGATCCGCAAAGATGCTTAGTGCTATAGCATGTGCCGTTTCATCATCTTCGCCAAACGGGTGGCGCAGGCGATGAATGAAGAGCTTGATGGCAGTTTTGTACACACGAACTTGTGTCTGGATATGAATTGCTTCCGTCGAAGTAAGCTCGCCCAGAACTTCCGGCGAGAGAGGAGGGTGCCACGCTTCGATCCTCGTCAGAAGGTTTGATGAACGAGCTTCCACGACCCCCGTCGCATCAATAGAAGCACTTCTCGATGCCAGAATCCCACATAGCTCATGTAGAAAGCGGAAAATTTCTGGGCACAACCCCGCCAAGATTTCATATCGAAACGGTTGTTCGAAACGCTCGGGCATGTTGAGTATGGGTACTTGCCCTAGCATGAGACTGTCTTGTATGTCGAGGGCGATTTGTGAAACGACCACAGGATGCATAATCAGATTTTTAGCACTCGCGCCGAGCTGCTTCAAGTGTGTCAATATGTACCGCCTCACAGGTGCATTGTTCGAGCCAAGTACACAATGGCCATGGAGTAAGATCATCACACCCAGCCAGAGCCACGGCACAAAAGCTTGATGGTCTTGCGGTAGCTGCCATGAGCTGAATTTGGCAAGAGCACAGGTTCCCTGGCGAATGTTCTTCTCGTACGTGTAGCCAGGCACTTCAACCCCAAGAGCAGTCAGGTACGAGCCATAGAGTGAGAGGAAGCCGTCTCGAAGGTCATCGTAATTTGTAAGCAGACATTGGACGGCTTGGTGAAACATTTCCTCTCCAATTCTCGGCGCGACCATAAGATCACCGACATCCTGCGGCTCCATGTAATTGACGAGCAAGTACTCGTCCGCGGGATCGAGCCGTGCGGAGAGAAGTCCAAAAGGGGGCAGCATCGGGGAAGGCTTGGCTGCTATCGCTGTAGCTCGCTTGCAGATGCCACGTTGGACTGGTCGATTTCTTCGCGGACGGCCTGATTGGCGCATAGGTCGATCGTCTGTACACTTCTTCTTCAGCCTACAGCAGCGGTGGCAGTCGGAGGTGGCATCCGGGTAGAAGCATTTCTCCTTGAGAGCATAGCAGGAATCGCATGCGCGGCGTGCGGTCGTAGGTTCATTCCTAGGGGCACCGGCAGTTGAAGATGGAGGCGATTCGCGTGCCGCCATGGCTCAAGATTCGGGCGTATCATTGCGTTGGATATGTTGGTGTTGTGGGCATCGCGACCCTGTCTGCTGCGCACGCGACATGGAGCCGACCGACCTCCAATGACGCAGCAGCTCTTGCTCCTCCTCTTCCATCTTCCACACTGCAGGTTCTAGAAGCTCAATCACCGCCCATCTGAACACTCCAAGTACACATACCACTGTCACCACCGCCTGCATCGCTGTTGCCGCCCACCATGCAGCGCATCGAGCCCCGAGCGGACCCCGCTGCTGAGCCCCATGACTCGCAACAACACTCCACCACGACCACCACCAAAACCGCCCTCGAACAACGCGGCGGCTGGACGCTTCCCTCCGGCTTCGCCAGCACCGGCCGCGAGTCTCACACGCAATCTTTCGAAGAGATCTACGGCGTACCCGAAAACTTCCTCGAAATCGAAGTCACCGATCCTCAAACACACCAACCTACATCCAGTCCTAACTCCCGCTACACCACCTATCTCATTCGATTGAGCACCAATATCCCGGCCTTCAAGCTCCGACGGTCTGAAGTGCGAAGAAGATATTCGGACTTTGAAGTGTTCCGCGATCTATTGGAGCGCGAATCGGCGCGAGTTAGTATTCCGCCGCTGCCTGGCAAGGTCTATCTGAATCGATTCGACGATGCGGTGATTGAGGAGCGAAGGAAGGGACTGGAGAGATTCTTGAGGATTGTAGTGGGGCATCCGCTTTTGCAGACTGGGAGTAGAGTGCTGGGAGGATTTGTGCAAGATCCGAATTGGGACCGCAATGCGTGGTAATTGTCAGAGGACAAGAGCATGGAGATATCAGATCTCGGGAGGGAGAATGGAGAGCCCGTGCAAATAGCGGGAGCCAGGCAAGAGGAGTTATCGAGTGAAAGGAAAGCGAGGCTTTTATCTGATGGGACAAACATGAATGAGAGACGAAATGTACGTGTTATTCAAGCGAGCGTTCAGTTTCGTGATTTACTCTAGGGCAAGTCTAGTGGCAATGCACATTTTCTTGCCGCATGCATTACTGCTTCCACGCAGATTTTCCGCTTCAAGCCTCATGGAATACTGGTTTTCAGGGCTTGAGCACTTCCCAGAGAGATGGGAGGGGCATGAGCGAAGGTATGTTGCCATATGCACTGAAAACAGAGACAGCAACATGCCATGGTGCCTTCTACTCTGCGGTCCCGTTGCGTACTAGCATCGTTCAACTCATTTACCCATTCCATAGTGCTGTGAAGTTCAGGATTCTGTGAATAAGGCTCCAGCGTTCTTGATAAACACGCTCGGCTTCGCCTGCCTCGCTGATCCTCCTCAGAGACGATCATCAGCCGGGGCATAAACAAGTCCACTGCAAGACCACAGCCGCACTTCTTCCCAGCCCAGACCAATCTCGCCAACCCGAGAACCAACCTCGAACCGGAGCATGGAGCCCTTCCTAGGCTACGACGACTTTTCAAACCTATCAACCAAACACCATCGTGACTCACGCTGGAAAGACAAATCACAGTCCTCAATTACCAACGCAGTTCAGAAGCGGATCCAACCTCACGCTCTCAAAAACCGGCAAAGACATTCTCTCCTGTCAAAACTCATTCACAAGCCGACAGACGGACAGCATCGACCTCGAAGTTGGAAAGTTGGAAGAATCTAATCGTCAAACTTGCTCCCTCCAAGAAACCGAGCCAGGACATCAAAGAGATCTGTTCAACACCTACTTGGCCTTATTGCGCCCATCTCTGTCTCCTCAGAGAAAGACAACCTGAACCCAACAATCAACATGTGGGCGAAAGTACTACTTGTAATCTTAGCACTCTTCGTAGTACCCGTAGAAACTACAATTTCAACTGAGCAAGCAACACGAATCCATATCATTCGTGACCAGACCAGTATAAGTTCCACGGAAATGGACGATTTCATGAACGTCGTGCTCGTGGGACCCACGTTGATCAGGCAGGGTCCCTGTCTCAAACTGGCCGGCTGGGTCCCAGATCCTCGTGCAGCTGTATCGTGGCAAATGTATGTATGTCTCGTCTCACAAGATCCGTGGTCGCGTTGCCTCCGTTCCTGCACCTAATGCACCGGTGAAGACGTTCTAGAAAGGGTTTTGATGATGAAGTGTACCTCCAACCCGAGCCTGACTCCAATGTTATGTTCAAAGGAAGGGTAGCTAGTGAGGCGTAGGAGTAAGTGTATCACGATTCTGAGTGGTAGTGTACGCAGCGGCACAATGCTGATGAAACCGCATGCGATATGAGAGGGAAACAACGGGATAATAACTCACCGGCAATGGTGCAACAAAAAGGAAATAACGAACTTTTGCATCGTGAACTGCACAATGACAGAAAAAAGCGTGCTTGAAGAAGCATTTCATTCATTCGCCCGAATGCGCCTCACCCGAGCCTGCCGGTAATGGCTTTCCTCATGAATGTTTGATTTGTAGTGTCATCACCGATTCCTATCCGGCAGACCTCTTTCCAGATCTTCAAAAGCCTCGTCTTCCCTGCTGACAGGCTGTTGCGAAGCCGGGTCATCATTCACTAATGTGACAGCCTGCTCTTGCACATCGACCTCGTCTTCTGTATCATCTCGATAAGGTTCATGAGCATAATGTGAAGGGGTCGAGGCTGCCGAAGATGATGCCCCGTTCCTCGCAAGAGAGCGAACGACATCACCTTTGCATATAGGACATGTGCGGCGGCGGGTGGTGAGCCATGGTGTGCTGTGAAAGGGATGTCAGTATGTTGTCGTGAATGATGGTAGTGACAGGCAAACTTACATGCACTCGGCATGGAATTCGTGACCGCAGGGAAGACTCATCACTCTGCTGACGCCATCGATGTATTCTTCCAAGCATACTACGCACTCTCGTTGTTTACCGCCGTACCGCCTTCGCCACTCAGCTAAACCTGCAGCACGTTTCTCTTCGATTTGTTCAAGTGAAGGTGAGGCCATACTGTCCGAATGAGAGCCACTGCTTTGTGGGAGGTCAGACGCTGTTCGTGCTCGCGGGCGTGAGCGTGTGCTGATAGGTCGCGAAGCTGGAAGAAGAGGTGTTGTTGCACTGGCTTGTGATGAAATGGAAGTCGTGGAAGCAGTGGAGCTCGGCATAGTCTGATATGTCCGGACCGGTAATCGCTCAACGACAGACTTTGGTGCCCGCCATCTTCGTCTGCGTATACGTGAGCGCAGTAGAAGAAGTGCATATACCACTGTCAGTGTCACGAGAGGCGACACAACGAGCACCAATAGTGTGTCAAAGAAGGGCGACGAAGACATCGAGGCTGGCGAGAGGGTAACCCACAGACCCTCATGATGTGGCGTGCCCTCCGCAAGATGAGGTTTTCGGTGTGAGTCGGGTTTCGTGGGCTGCTGTGAGTTCTGCTCATGGTGTGCCGGAAGGCCAACAAGAGGTTTGTGTGATTGCTCAGGGTGGTGATGACCGGCACCGAACAAACGTCCGAACCAGCCTCCAGATTCTTGTTGCTCTTCAGCATGTAGCATAGGTGCATCTTTCTTTGGTTCCGTTTTCTTCGGACTGCCAATATCGACGGCTTCATGATGACTTTCCCCATATTCTCCACTGCCAGGTGTGATGCTGCCGCCTTTGAGTGGCGCCTCCACTGAAGTGCTTTTGGGTTCTGCAATCGCACTTGAGCGAGACGCGTCATCCTGGAGATGCTGTTCTTTCTGTTCGGCGACCATATCTGGATCCCGCCAGTCCTGAACACCGATGACAAAGCCGTCATCAGAGCCAACTTTCTTCGTGCCAGCGGACTCTGAAGATGATGGTGTGATGGAGTCTTGCTTGATAGCTTTTTGATCATGCAAGTCGTCCTCAAAATCTTCTTGCAGCACCCAGCCCGGTTTTCCGCTACTTGGAGGACGCCTGCTGTCAGCGCTGTGGGAATGACTGCCAAACAGCGAAGCAAGCCAACCAGTACGTTGTCGCTGCACCTCTTCTGCCTTGTGCTGCGCTCCTGAACCTGGCTTCGCCGCACCGCCTTGCTTCTCCTGCGTTGCAGAAGTGGCCTTGCTGCCGGCAGCTGTAGTGGTGAAGTTCGGTTTGTCTTCTGACGAAGGCTTGCGAGATGACGACTTCTGCCCGAGCGCTGGAATCACGATCTTTTTCGACTCAGCAGCACTCTTGCCACCCGCCGGCATCAGGCTTGACAGGAGCTGTGCAGTGGTGTACGAAGTGAATAGCGAGGGAATCGTCACGTTTGACGTGTCTCCGCGTGCGTACATGGTCACCAGGGGTCCACCTCGAATATCGTCTCCGACAATCAATGCAATCCCCCCTCTGCGCTGTACCCATTTCACCTTCTCCAGAAATCCACAACCGCCGCGGCTGAGCAGAACGACCTTGCCCGCGATCTCAGCACTTTCCTGTAAAGACTGAATGTCGGCATGGGTGGGCTTCTTCGTACTGCCAGCCGAGTTCCCGTTCACGTGAATGCCGTCTGATGCCGGAAGTGGATGGTGTAAATGGTCATCTGTCCCATCGTCTTCTGTGGGATATTCCTTCTCTGGCTTTTCTTCGTCTTCGTCCTCCACAGGATAATCTCTTTTGCTGTTGCCTGCCAAAGGTCCCTTGCCTTCCGGTGAAGAAGTCTCACTCTTGCTCTTGCTCTCGCTGACGGGCTTCTTCGCAACGATCCAGCTCCCGTCATCCCATCCCGGTACGTCGCTGCAGCCTAATTCACCTGCAGCGCCCGCGCCAGAGCCTCCTCGCCCCAAGTGGTCATTTCCAAAGCCACTTCCAATCCACAATTGCCCGCTCAAGCTCTTGGCGGGTAGCAGTGGCCCAAACGCTGCAGGTCGGGCCACAAAATTCGTAGAATTGTCGTCTGTTATGCTGATGATGGCGCTGGGTGGAAATAAGCTGGACGGTGTTCGCCAGTTGAAGTATGCTCCCAAGCCCCCACGCTCTTCTTCGAGTCCGTCATCACTGTGCCAGGGAGCCACAACGACGAGAAGGAGGAATGCAACGATGCAGGTTGTGAGGGTGAGAAGGAAGCGGAGGGGTCGCATGGTGAGTGTTGTGCTACGGAGTCGCGGATGTCGTACGTAGTCGGTCGACACGCGACCTCGCCGCGACAGCGATCACGTTATCATTCGCGGTCGAGGTTCAGGATTGTGGGGTCAAGGAGTGTACGATGGCGAGGTGAGCGTGGTGGTAGCAGGCTGGAGGTGGCGCTGATCAGGGTGCTGATGATGTGTCGATCTGCTGCTGGCGGACCGCTCTTTCCTGGACTCGCTGTGCAACAACGGCCGGCCTCGGCACACAGGAATGGTTGGCTTGAAGGTGAAGGGGAAGAGGGAAGAATGTACAAGAAGAGGTGCAGCGGAGAACAGGAATAGGAACAGGAATCAGCATGATAGGGGAGCTCTTACACACTTACGTCCTTGCTTGTCGTGGTCATGGAGGAGGCCTGTAAAACTCTCATCACGTGCGAACGGGCTCGCGGACCTCATGACAGTGAAGAATATGGCAGAACAGCGCGACATACATATGCACACTCGTCTGCTGATACGCACGTCATGTCCCATGCTGCACGACACTGGCAGCCCCGATGCTGGCGTCTCACGTAGAGCAGGAGATCTGCCTTCGACATGCCTGAGGCGATCCACGACGCTGAGACTCCAGTGTGGCGTGTGTGCCAGCAGAGCTGCGAGATCCTTGCCCATGCACACGCCGCCGTTGGTGACGACAGCGATTTCTTCCCAAACGCGTGGTCCGACGACATGTGGTTGTTTCGAGATGCATTTTCGTTCGTGCACATCTTGCACAACACCCTCCGCATTCCGCGGCCACCACGTTCGCGAGGAAGCACATTTCCCTTGCGGCTCAGCAACAGAGCCAGTACGGATCGGGAGCATACGATGAAGGATTGCAGCGGGGCGGCATGCGCGCTGCAGGTAGAATATCGCGAACTCCCACCCTACTGCACTCCGCAGACGCCCTCCTCTACGCTTCGTCTTGTCATCATCATTGCACCTGTCGCAGCTACACGCACCTCGCCCGTGGCCACTGCCGCCGTTGCTGCTGAGCGAAATGGCCGTTGCAGCTGCCGATCATGCCGTGTGGCTTCGCTGGGTGGCTTCGATTCGCTCCGTCTAACGGTTCGCCTGTGGGCGTCTGCTGGAGCGATGGCTCCTCCGATCGACAATCCGCCTGTGCCGCTATACGAAAATTGGATGGCCGTAAGCCGATTCAGTGTAACGCATACCGAAAAAAGTGAACGCGGTCCAGCACCAACAAGCTCAAAGCATGTCGGCAATTCCACTGCGCACAGTCGTCACTGCGCACGGCGTGAGTCTTCAGCTGCTCCCTTTTGCCAAAAAGTCCTTCAGCCTTGCCTGATCGACTTCTTTTTGCACATTGCTCTTGCGTTCCAGCGTGTGTTGACCTCGTGGCACCCATCTCCTCCCGTCTGCGTGTCTCGATCTTCTCTCCATCATACCTCACAGCTATCACATTGACCTACACCCTTCGCACGAGCCTGATATCTACGCGACATTCATCACAGCATACACCTACGGCATCGATATCCGCGCACACGAGCGGCCATCGGGCTCGACTACCTATCACACAGAGCTCCTCTACAGCTGCATTACCGCCCTCCGATAAAATGGATCCCAACAAGACCTTCGTCTCCGTGCCAGGTCTCGGCAATAAAGAGGAGCCCGGGCATCTGAATGAACACAGGCTGCCGTTCATAGGATTTCTGCCAAATCGAGTTCGCAACCATTTCATCGCCATGGTCGGCGAGTTTATTGGCACCTTCCTGTTTTTGTTCTTCGCCTTCAGTGGGACACAAGTCGCCAATGCCGCAGCAGCTGGAGCGAATGCTGGCAGCGAGGAATTGAGTCAAGTGCCCAATGCTCCTGTGCTGATGTACATCGCTCTGGCTTTTGGTTTCAGCTTGGCTGTGAACGCATGGGTATTCTTTCGTATCAGCGGAGGTGAGCATCAGGTCGAACCAATACAAATGTTATGCACGAGCTGAACGATTGCAGGTCTATTCAACCCAGCCGTCACCCTCGGCCTGGCAATGATCGGAGCGATCAACTGGGTGCGAGCGCTTCTTACTTTCATCGCTCAAATACTGGGTGCTATCGCTTCCGCAGCGGTCGTGTCGGTCCTCTTTCCTGGCCCGCTTGCCGTCTCGACGAACCTGAGCGCTGGCACTTCGCTTGCTCGCGGATTGTGTGAGTGCCCATCACCGCAGCTACACCAAAACTCAAACTGATGGTTCGCAGTCATTGAGATGTTTCTCACCGCCGAGCTCGTCTTCACCATCTTCATGCTCGCTGCCGAGAAGCACAAGGCCACTTTCATTGCTCCGGTCGGCATTGGCCTCGCGCTTTTCATCGCCGAGCTCTCCGGCGTCTTCTTCACTGGTGGTAAGTCCTCTCGTGGCCGATACCGAGATTCGGGTTGTTCAGCTAACACTTTTCCCGCAGGTTCCCTCAATCCGGCTCGCTCGTTCGGTCCTTGCGTCGTTCTCCGCTCCTTCCCCAGTGCTCACTGGATTTACTGGCTGGGACCAGCTCTCGGTTCGCTCCTTGCAGTTGGATTCTACCGCTTTGTCAAGGTCTTAGAGTATGAGACTGCAAACCCGGGTCAGGACTTCAACGAGCACGAGGCAGAGCACTTCGAATTCGATGAGGACAATGCAGCAACTGGCGCTGATGTGGCTCGACCTGTTCCAACAGGTCTCAGTCCCATCAACTCAGCTGCCAGCCGGGACTCTGCACAGCAAATTCCAGGCTTTGGTGACCGCCTTCCGCAGACGCCTCCTAGCACTGGCGTCCCGAGCGCCCCCAATGTCCCAGGGCCGGCCACATCCCCATCAGCCTCTGGTGCGCCGCTGACCCGTAGCGAAAAGAGCCATGACGACGTCGACCTGTCGAAACTTGAGAACGGAATGCATCCGGGTTATGGTCGCTAGGACACCGGCAATAGAAAAGAGCAGCCCGATACTCGAAGGAAGAGCGACAGTGATACGTTCAGCACTGCGAAAACACCATCGTTGAATGAGATTCCGCCGACACCCAGCAAGCTGCCCGGGGAGATGGTCATTGCGGGCAAGCCGTACGTGCCTTCAGTCAAAGGCGACGAAAAGCGAGACGCCATGCCAGCGGCCAAGGAAGAAAGGCATGATGCTCCTCCGAGCAAGGACGACAAGCGCGACCCTGCACTTCCAAAGGATGAGAAACATGATGCTTCAGCAAGCACAAACGAGAAGCAATCTGCGGCACCGCTCAAGGCCGAGAGTCGTGACGCTGCACCACTCAAGGACGAAAAGCGTGAAGTTCCGCTGAGCAAAGCCAAGGATGCAGGGAGCGTCGCACCGGCAGGTGCAAATGGGAAGCCTACTCTTGCTGTCCCATGAATGATTTGAGCGCTGTATTAGTATACTAATGATAGATACGAACACATGATACCCCTACGATTATCTTGGACACCGGAAGCCTTCACATCCTTTGCATTCGATGGTAGGTGAGACGATTGCGATGTCATTTGATGGACAAGTTCGCATCGACGCTGAACACCTCCGACCGATACCGAGCAGCACAGGTTCACATCACTGACTTCCCACTTGTGCGCCAACGATGCACAAGAGACCCCAACTGCCATCGGCTCTGTAGGCCACACCGAGTCTAGATTGGTGGGGATGACATATCTGAGGCCGCAGTCGTCGGACCCGTGGTAGAGTCTTGGGTCGAATTTTCTGGCGTGGTCCTCATCTTTTGAGTTTCAAAGGTACTTGACAAGTATTAATTGAGTGAGCTGCATCACCGCTTCCATTTCACACCTCTTACAGTCACTCACGAAGGACAAGATGGGAATCAAGGACAGAGCACAAGACCTCCTCAGGAGACTTCAAGAAACAGAGGACGATCACAAGAAAGACGGCATCGCAGGTCACACCGTCTCTTCCTCCCCTCATTCCGACGATATGAAGAGGGGAACGGACAAGAGCGAAGCTGAAGAACGCACATCGAAATCACGAAAGATGATGGATCCTACTAAATCCGATCTCGACAACATTTCACCCCGCGAAGGCGTTACTGTGCAAAGAGCCGACAACATCGCCTCTTCGTTGTTGCGGATGCCTCCCGAAAGCAAGCTGCATCCGACCCGTCGAGGCATCTCCCAAGTCTCCTTCTCGCACTGCCTCCGCTCTCTGCCAGCCGAACTCCAGATGCAAATCCTCCCCGATTGCCTAAGAAGGTTCTGCATCACCATCCAACCTCGGCGGCGTAACGCGGAAGCAGGCGCAAATCGGCCACTCGGGCCAACATACACTTACAACCACTGGGCTCCTTATGCCAAAATCCAAGCCGAGCACGGACTGGACATGCAACTCTGTCGGTCTTTGTTCTATAGCGGGAATTGTTTCACGCTGGATTATGGTGAATCTGCCAGGGATGAGTATCATTACGAAAGGCTCCGCGATAAAAGTCAAAATGCACTCGGCAAAGAAGATCAGGGAGAGGTGCCTGCGACTGTGGACTTTCGGCACTGGTTGAGTGGTGTTGAAGATGAAGCGGAAGGCGATGGAGGAGAGCGGGGGGAGTATGTGAGGAAGATTCGGCATATGAGGTTTTATCTAAGGCTTTTGAGGGTTTTGGTGGAGGTTGTGAGGGTGGGAGATAAGGGGTTGAAGTTGGTGGGGACTGTGAATGGTAAGGGGCATAGTAGTTTGGGGGATTTGGAGGTGTTCAAGGAGAGGTTTGGGAGGGAGTTGGGGAGGATTGGGGAGGGGGTTGTTGGCCAGGGTGGACTGGAGAGAGAGCAGTGGGAGGAGGTGGAGAGTTTGGTTACGAGGTTATTTCATGTGCCAAGATGGTGGGAGAAGACGGATGATTCGGAGTGATGGATGATAGATGGGAAGTGCTTGGCTGGAAATTTGAGGATTGGAATGTTGGTAGCATCGGTGAAGGTTGGAGATTATACGATATGATAGTGTATTGTCGTGCCAGAGAATCGCAATTGTTTCGTTCTACTCTACTCGATGTTCTAGTGCACGGACGCTGCTGAATAATTGACGCGACAGTTTCGCGTTCGCCGAATTTCTGCCTGTTCTTGCCCGCTCCACTTCACATTGTTACACAAGACGCTGCATATTCGCCCGCTGCAGTTTGGACTTCCTTCGACATGATGCTACAGACATGTACTAGTGAAGAAAAGATCTGGCGCAGCGTCATCACGATCAAGAAGATTTTCCCACACAAGAGGTCAGATCACATTGCATAGCGCTGGTCACGAAACAGAGGAGGGAGTATTTGGCCACCTGGAGATTAGGAGCCGGATGTTCGGGACGCATGGATTGAGAATCGAAGAGCTCTGCATACGACTTCTGTTCAAAGCTGAATTATGTGGCAAAGAATACTAGCCAGCTGCAAGCACGCATCTTCTGTTCTTTTGGCGCGGCCGATCCTCTCTTACGCCTCGACGATTGGACGGTCCGGAGCATCACTCATACGATCTTCGGCTGTATCAACCAGCAGGCGGCAGCGATGGACGCCGAAGGAAGACCAGATGCTGGTTGATCTGAGCGCCAAAGAAATCGCGGTGATGGACATGGCCGACATGTTTCCTGGTCGTACGTTGTATGCTGTCACCCGTCGTCGAGAGAGATTGAACTTGACAAGATTCAAGAAGCAAGCTCCGTACTCCCAGGCCGAAGATGAAACACTCTTGCGCTTACGGTCTGAGTGCAAACCGTGGACCACAGTATTATCAGCCTTGCCACAACGCTCGAGGGGGGCGTTGGAGAGAAGACTTGCCCGGCTCCGACGAAAGGACATGCCGCCAGAGCCCGGGACGACACAGTCATCCAGATGCAGGTGGACTGACGAGGAACAGCAGAAACTGAGAGACTTGGTGAGCCAGGGATTGCCCTGGCGGGAAATTGCGCACCTCATGCCATCGCGCTCAATTAGAGGTCTGCAAGCTGCTGCGAGGGCGATGGGGTTGCCAATGACCCAATCTTTTAACAGATGGACGACCGCGGAGGACGAAGCATTGGTCAAAGGTTGCGAAGCAGGCATGACGTACAAGTCCATTCACGCCACAATGCTACCTGGGAGGACACCGGTAGCACTAAAGCACAGGTGGACGAGAGGCTTGAAATACCAGAAACGCTAAGATCGCATCTTGCACACTCGATTTTTCCAAACCTGCGCTTCGATCGTAGATCAAATTTGCCACTCATGTGTAAGCAGCGCCGCGAGGTACAGATACAATCGGCTCTGGCAGGAATGACACCTGTGAAGCAAGCACGCGCTATTGGCCTTCTTGGCCAACGATTCTCCGCTTTCGACAGCACCACAGCAGAAGTGTGCGGACTGCACAAGCTGTGAGCTTGCTCCCATGCGGTCACTCAGAGCCATTTCGGCTTTTTGCGTCTAGCGCCACCAGCAAGATTAATAGATCATCATCAGTGTCGGCTGAGGCGACCTAGGGCACCACAGCTACAGATATGCAATGCTTGGAGCACAATGGCCACCAAGAACCGCAAGAGCCGCTCTCCTCAAAGGCGGTGTTCAGGGGAACAGTAGCTTGTCAGAGGGAGATATTCAATAGTGATGACACGCGCAACACGAACTGACACGCTTCTCTATCCACCAGTTGGAATGCCGTGGGAACGCCTGGACAATGACGAGCAATCACATTGAATCGACAGCAAAACGACCTGCGCTACATTTCTTGAATACAGCAATGTGACCACTCACGCCTTCTTTGATGTCTAATCACCTATTGCTTTCGCTTCCGCGCAGTCTGTATGCCGAGCATCGAGACCCAATCCGGCGATTCCCTGTGCGCCCTGATATTAGTCGCGCGAAAACCTGTGCTCAATGGGAGAAGCTTACTCTGGAGAAGCCGGAGCTTCAGTAGGAGCCGCCTCCGCGTCAGGGAGAGTTACAGTGGTGTAGCCATCGTAGACGGTGGTAGTGCTAGTGCGGCGGATGGTCGAAGTCCTCGTGGTGCTGATTCAAGGTCAGTCTCTCGAAATCCGTGCTGTCCTCTCGGAAACCCGCAAAACTCACATTATAGTTGGGCGAAAAGTCGAAGAAGCATTCTCCAAAGTGACAGTCACATAGCTCGTCGGCCCCGTAATCGTACCGCTCGCACTCGCTCTTTGGGTAGTAATGACCTCTGTAGCGTACTCGAATTCCATGGTAGTCGACATGGAGAACGTGGTGACTTGCTCCGTGACATTCGCGACATAAGTCTCGACGATGACTTGGCTGAGACCGTGCAAGGTTGTGGAGATATTAACTGATGTAGTGCGAGTTGCTGATGCCGTGACCAGAGAGGTGCGCCAGACTTCGTATTGGTGAATGCACTCCTCTGTGCCATTGGCGTATAAGGCGCAAACCTTGAGATCAACGTCCGAAGGGGCCTCTCCAGCGGTCATAGCTTGCCATGGCGCAAGATAGTAAGTGGTCAAACGCTGCACTGTTGGACGAGGTGTAATTGTCGCATCTGTCGTCGCGAGTGCACTGGCATCTGCGTCTGCCGTAGGAGACGCTAAAACATAGCCATATTCGGTCGAAAAGGTAATGTCTTGGTCGCACCTGCTGACCGTATATTTCTCGACAAGTCCAGTCAAGGTGGTCGCGCAGACCATGGTCTGAGTAGGGCTGTAGATAGTTGTGCAGGTGCCGTTTCCAGGAGGAATAGACAGCGAGTAGTTACGCCATGGAGATGACATCGTAGTCATCGTTGGCAGTGGAGTCACCGGATAAGCTGCGGCAGGAGGAAGCGCGCAAAGAGTGAACTGCGGAACATAGGATGTTTCGAGCTGACTTTGTTGTGTGATGGCGACAGGAGACGCGCCAGGAGATGGCGTAAGATAGGTCAAGACCACTGGTTCCGAACTGGTTGCAGGCGCCTCTACAGCCTCAGGTGTCGTGGTCGGAGATGCCTCGATCGGTGGCCCGACCTGCCTTCGTTGGATATTGATCGCTTCATGCTTGAACTGGTGGAGGTGGCGAGCGTTTGCCTGATATGCCAAAGTGTGAACGAGAATCGCAACAAGAGAACGAGAGGAAGCCATGATGGCAGAAAAATTGGTGCTGCTAGAACGAACGTGTTAGTACTGTCGACGTCGGTCGTATCCTCAAGACAGTCGACCGTGAGGTAGCACCCAGTGCTCAACCTGTGTTGCTGTAGAGGACGCAGAAGACCGCGCAGATCGAGAAGTGTATTCGACATTCCTTCCTCGAGACGCAAAACAAATACGTGGTTGATGAGCCGAGGTGGCGGGCTCATGGAATGCAAGGCCGCTCGTGCTGCTGGGTTGCACGACCTTGCATTTATGAAGCGTGCCAAGAACTCCCCAGATACCTCCTACTCCTGTCCTCATGTTGCATATTTCCCGCACACAATCGTTGATAGCTGTAGCGTAGCTCTTCAATCACTTATATCGTCGCCCGCCTGGACCCCATTCGCTTGACCTCGTTTCTGCTGCTTCTTCGAAAGGCTTCGGATCTCGTCACTCAGCTTGCTCAGCTTCTCAAAACTCTTTTTCTGCATCCTCCTCATCGACTCGAGTTGCGCCTTCAGAGTAGCATTTTCCTCCTGCAATTTCTGACTCTCTGGTTTATCTTCATTGCCATCGAGTGACATAAAACCATCGCCGTTTGCCCTAACATCGCCATTTGACTGATTTGGCATCTTTCCCCAATCCGCGAGCTCATCGAGACCTTCATCGAGAAGCGCAGTTGGGAAGGTCGGCGCAGTCAAAGCAGAGCAGAATTCTGATATCTCAAGGTCGAGTTCAGATGGAAATTGCACATTGGCTACATAGTTGCCAGGCACAGCTCCGCTTCCCGACACATCAAAAGCGCCGAACTTGGGCTTGATAATCTCATTGATTTTGATTTTCTTGGTACCAGACTGCTGATCATGGTGTCCGCTGACTGGCAGAAATATGAGATTGCTGGCAGGACCGGGGAGAGGAAGTGGTGTAAGGTTCGTGCCAAAGCTAGCTCGAGCGACATCCCAGCTAAGCACTGCTCCAGATTGGTGGCCTGTGAGTACCACACTGCCATCATAAGAGACATTCAGACTCAACGCTGAGCCATGGGAAGCGTCAGGGAGCTTCCATCGAGAAGCTGCAGGAGGCTGTACAGGATCAAGTGCTCCTTGTCCGTTCTGCACCGCATCCAGCTCCCCCGTGGGCGACGTGTATAGATCGAGTTGTTGAAGACAGCCATCCTCGTAGCCGACGTACACCACTCGGTCGGCTGGATCTAGTGCAGCACAGAGAGGGGTTCCTGGCAGGAGATATGTCCGCAGGATGTTGCCAGTCTTGTAGTCCCACACCAGGCACGTCTTATCCTTTGAAGTGGATATTACGAAGTTCAGGTTGAAGGCGCCATGTCCAAGTACGAGGCTGGTGATTTCTGCATGATGCGATGAGAAAGTTCGAAGAGGTGACGCGCCGCCTGTGTGGGTGAACGAAAGAAGCTGAGGTATTGACCAGACATGGATAGTCGCATCCTTGGAAGCTGAAAGCAGAAAGTTCGAAGTGGCATCGACACCGAGTGCGCTCACAGCTTGCAGATGAGCTTGGTTTGTAGCAACTTGTCTCCCTGTACAAGTCTCCCATAAAAAGATTCGTCCTTCAACAGTGCCAAGGACCAGCACAGCATCATCGCAAGCTAAGGTAATGGCTGAGATCTTCTCGGTGAACGGAACAATAGCCTCTTGGTTGCTCTTTTTCCGATTGTAGACGTGTACTGCTCCTTTGCCTTCTTGTGCGGCAAAGACGTGACTTTCACTTATGGCCAAGCAGTTCGGGGCCGTGGCAGATTTCTTGAAGACGGCGCGCTGTTGTGCAAGCGGCTGAAACTCGTGGAGGAAGATGGCTGCATCTTTGGCAACATTCGTCCCTGGGGCCTTGAAAGGTACGCCTATTGACGCTATGAAGTGCTCTGAGAGCATCTTCGTGGCCGATATTTGTTATCTCTCAACTGAATGTCTCGCGCAAAGGCGAGGAAAAAGTGTAGTCTCAGCTTAGAGAGGTTGCTGCACTAAGCTTGTCTTGGATCTTGAGCCAAGAAGTGGTCTGAGCCGCTGAGACTCTGAAGCTTCTTGCCTCCTGCCGCATCGCTCACTCCATTGTCACTGCCGACATCCACGATCGACATTTGATGCAGTAGGTCACCTATGTTTCTGCCACCACGACTGGACTATGCGCCCCCAACGTAGGCCCGCTCCGGTTGTTGTGCGCACGATCGATCACATGGCAGAGCCATGGCATTTAGCCGGCAAGCACGATGCCGTCTTTGGTGCTCCTCACGACCGAGATGTGCAATTAGGCAGAGCGACTGTCGAGATTATGATGATAAATTGATTCCGAAACCGTGGTCAGAGAAACTTTGTTCATGGTGCCGCACAAAGTAGCCCAGTATGTTATTCTCAAAGATTTCAAACTCCCTACTGGCATCAGTATGCCTCGCGAATGCCCTGGTCACACGTCAAGAGAGATCCTATAATGCCCCCAGTCCCAAAGATGGCCATTGGATCGATACTTGGGTATCTATGCCGCAACTCACAGAACCAGCCAACCTGCCTCCGGCGCCGTACAATGGTAGCAACTCGGTGTTCCCAGATACCACAATCCGGCAGACTATCAAGACGACCATCGGTGCAAGCTCTCATATCCGCCTACGGATCTCGAACGCCTTCGGTCTAACACAGCTACCTATCACGACTGCGAGTATTGCACTAGCCCGTGCTGAAGCCGGACAGAACAAGACTGGAGCTAGCGGCGTCGATATATCAACTTTGCAGAGCATTACCTTCTCAAACAACGCAAGTATCACAATCCCGCCTGGAGCTCTGGCAATATCTGACCCGATCCCTCTTTCGGTGCAAGCCAACCAAATTCTGAGCATCAGTCTGTATCTTGCCTCTGGACAGCAAGGCTTCGCAATCACTTCTCATCCAGGCTCAAGAACAACAAGTTGGCTATCCTTCGGCGACCAGACCTCCGCTGCCAATTTTACAGATGCCAACACGCAAAATACAGCCCACTGGTATCTAATCTCTGCTCTCGAGGCCTGGTCACCTCGCAACAGCGAATCGTTAGTCGTCGTTGGCGACAGTATAACAGATGGACGAGGCTCTACCACGAATGGAAACGACCGCTGGCCTGACCAGCTCTTCTCACGCCTACAGTCCGGCTCCCCAAACCTCAAGTCCATCGCCATATCGAATCAAGCAGCTGGTGGCAACCGTATCCTAGCAGATGGACTTGGGCCCTCGGCCTTGTCCCGCATCGAACGGGACGTCCTTGCTCACTCTAACGTAGGCTATGCTCTGATCTTCGAAGGCATCAACGATATCGGCACAGCATCTTCCACGCCCGAAGCACAAGAAGCTGTCTACACCCGTCTTGTGCAAGGCTATAGACAGATCCTCTCACGTATACATGCAGACGGAATACCCGTCTTTGGTGCTACCATCACGCCTTTCGGCTGCTTGAACAGCACATTACAAGCTTATAGTACGCCAGAACGAGAGGTCACAAGATCAAGGATCAATGATTTCATTCGAAGCTCTGTGGGAAAGCAAGGAGGGTTCGAGGCACTGGTAGATTTTGATAGGATTGTGAGGGATCCGACGAACGAGACAAGGCTGAGACCGGATCTGGACAGTGGGGATTGTTTGCATTTGAACCCTAAGGGATACAAGGCAATGGCTGAAGGCTTTCCCGTGGAAGTCTTTGCGAGGTTCAGAGACGGTGTAAGCGGTTTTGTGTAGGGTAATTAGTAGGAACGCCACCGGACGTGAAATGCATGTCGGATATCGCTACTGAGGATCCTGCCGTCAATGTGGTCGGTGCGAATTGTTTGACCCATGTCAGCACCCTTCCCACTGTAGAGTGACCATGATTCGTCGGACGGCGATATATGGCTCGTGTTCGTTCGACCAGAAGCAGAGGAAGTGTCTGACATTTCAGAATTTCATTCGCGGGGTGAACGGCAGGCAAGATGTGCTGGCGATTGCATGCTGTGGCTCGACAATTGATTCCCTACTGTCAGCATTCACACCTTCCCTTTTGCGACCGACAGGTAGAACTGAGGAACCGGAGACTGCTGGGTGCACAGAGTTCGTAGTCGCTCAATTCAGCCATTTCGCCTACTCCTAGACTACTTTGGCGCACATTTCTCGCGGAGGCTGCAGGCACTTTTCACATGTACCTTCCTCATTGTCCATGATCTTCCATGCCAAACTGAGATGCAGTGTATCCTCTTTGAAGGCAAAAAGTCCGATCCGCCCGAACTCCTAGCAACCCAGCTTCATGCTTTGCTCCATCATCTCCCATGCCAGTCGGTCGTCATTTATGAGGAGGCGGCAGTTGGGCCGCGGGCACCCTTTGGTGCGCCGTTCTGGAAGCCGTTCTTGAACTTGCGTGGGACAAGCTTGAGCGATCGCATGCGTCCGGAGCCGGTGGTCTTTCTTCGCTTGGCCTTCTCGCCCCAGTTGTCTGTACGAGAGTTGTTAGTAGTTGTTCGTGCGCATGTCGAGTCGAGATCGCGGTCGCTTTCGTCCTGGCTCGCGGTGGCTTCACGTACACTTTCTAACGCTGGCGCTTGGGTATCCGCAGTTGGCACAGGTGTGCTTCTGGACGTGCATGGAGCGGCGGCCTGTATGTCCCATTCTCATCAGCATTATTCCCCTTCCCAAGCATCCCTCTCAACCGCGTATTTTCTGTCCAATATCCTCCTCACTCCAATGCCTCCTCCTCTGATCGTCATTTCCATTTGCGAGAGCCGACTTACCGCAACGTCTGCACAGAACGTGCGACTTGTTGTGGCGCCTGGTGTGCGGTCAGCATGGCCTCTGGTTGCTGCAATTGCCGTGCGCCAACTCACTTTCCGAAGGAGCTGGTACCCTTGGTCATGTTGGCGGTATTTGTCCTGGTCGCTGGGTGGAATGGGTTGTCCTCGTCAAGGTCAAAACGTCGTTGGAGAGTCGGCGCTTCGAAAATCGTGGCTCCGCGAGAGTGGGCGGCTTGGCATCCGATTGTGGAAGTCGCGCAACCTGAGGCACCCCTGCTTCGCCGCAGCACCGAAACACTAACCTTGAGATCCCGACGCTACTCTGTCTGGCCTCGTCAACTCTACAGAGAGCAAGAATCGATCTCAATAAAATGGGCGTCACTGTATCAGCCTCGGCACCCTAAACCCTGGCAACGATGCATTTTCTATTTCCGAGCAGTACAACCGTTGGTGAACTCATTTGATGCCTATTGAATACACGAAACTTTGCGTAGCACTGGTATTGATTTGAAGTTGATCGATCATTCTTGCTAGCGTACATCTCCAATATGGTACAATGAATTTTGGGGTTGTACCTCTCTCACAATCCCGAGAGCGTATTAGTTACGGACCAGATCGACTTTACGCATGTCATTGCTAAATGTCGCATCACCTGACAGTATTCGTTATGCGGACGAAAACCACCATGTACTCGTCTTTGGATGTTGCAGTTCAGCCTTCTTCTGAGCACGCCACGTCCCACTATGCGAATCACAAGCCGCGAAGATGGACGCAACCACTCGGCATTGAATGTCGTGGAGCTAACGAAGTGCTTGAAATGTTCAATGTGGTTCGGGGCTGTGCATTATAGGCTTTGGTGGCTTTGCTGCTCATGCGATAATTGGCATGCCGTCCAACATCTTCTGTACAAGTTGCACCCTGCAACTTTCGGATTGTCCTTGTATGCCAAACAACCCTCCCTCATTCATTCCCTGTCCGAATGAGATATCAGCAGCTGCAAATTCTTGCTATGCTGCTCATCATCCCGTCGGTGATTCCTCGCCCATCAAGGCCTTGTGTTTCTCCCTCTCTGCCTTCAGAAGTTTCGACAGATCCGCCTCCTGTGTTGTTCCCCACGCCCTCCACGAACCCAGTTGTCCCTTGATCAAGAGTCGCTCAATCACGAAATACTCCACCATGGTCTTCATGTTCTTCTTTTCCTCAACCTCCCGGTCGAAGTTTTGAATCTCTTTCCCATTTCGATCAATCGGCACCTCCGCCACAACCTGCTGCTTTGTAGCTGGATCCCTCATCCTCTGCCTCCTCACTTGTAGCAGGCTTTGTTGCGACTTGATTCTCACCACAGCTTGCATGAGACCTGTTCTCGTGGTGTTCGGGCCCTTGACCTCTGGCATGGCAAATTTGTAGCTGACACACTCCGGACTTCCGATGTATTTGTGCAATTTCCACTGAAGATGCGTGTTCGGCGTGCGTTGTGCAATCCGGTCATTCAAGCTCCTCAGCAGCCCAGGCGCAACCTTCCCCTGCATTGCTGCCATATTACCGTTGGCAAAAGCGGCATACATCTCCTCATACAACTCTTTCGCAATGCGTGGAGTCTTGCCAACCTCCAGTTTTAGCCTTGGTTTCACAAACCAAAAGGCCGTGAGGCGGGATTGCATGATCCCGATCCATGATTTGAATTGATGCCGTACTACTTTCCAGCGGCCGCGTGGATCAGAAAAGAGCGAAGGAAGCTTCTCGCCTGTAGGTGGAACAAAGGTGCCTTCGAGAAGGCCGACGTGATCGAGGTGTTCGCCAGAAGCCTGCATTTTCTTCATTGCCTGTTTCTGTTGCAGGGTTATCGACTGCTGGGGCTTCTGTTGCGGTCTACCGGCCATGCGATTGATGCCGACGCGCTGGCAAGAGGTGGATGAAAAGGAGCGGCATGATGGGCGAGCCAATCGACCCGTTTGGTGGCTATCGCGGGCGGTGGAGGTGGTGGTGTTCCATATTTGCTGTCGCTGGAGGAGCAAGCGACACGTCTGCTGATGATGGGGCCGCTGGGGCGCGGAGAGTAACGAAAGACACACTCGTTTCGACATTGGGCTATGGCACCGAGGAAGCGTGTGCCAGCAGCACCAGAAGTCTAGACGAGAGACGCGGCTCTGCGGAAGTCCGAGTCCACTCCGCAACTTCCACTTCACGACATGCCAAGAACTTCTTCACCTTCTCGTCAGACGCGGTGCTCTCTTATGGATCCTCCGCTCAACCAGAATCAACTTCTGTCTGTCTCAACTATAATTACGCAAGCTCGCTACTTCCTGAATCGACACGCGCTCGGGTGACATTTTCGACGGTGACTGCTTCCTCACTTGGGGCTCGGAAACCATGCAGTGACGATGCCATCATTGAACATCAGAGCACCGTAGGTTGACAGCGGGTACATTGAAACTGTCTCGCAGAGCACGCAGAGTGACACTGCGCTTTTCATACCAGACTACTGCTTATAGCTAGCACCATGCCGACTCAAGACCCATCACAACCTTTGTTGTCACAAAGTACAAGTTGCGCTATACGACATCCAGCCCTTCACTCTGCAGCCACCGAGTTGAACATCTAGTTCCACCATGGACCACGGCCGTTTCCATCTGTGGTCGATCTGTCAGCTCGCTGCCACCAGCTCATTTGAACTGGGTCCGACTCACATCTGTCATATCCAGGGCCATAGCGGTGTCGGCCGTAAGGATCATTCTGGTAGGGGCCATCATAGTAGTAATCGCGGTCATACGGGTTGTTGCGTCCATATCGGTAGTCACGGCCATTCTGGTAAGCGGCAGAGAAATCGCCTGCTGCGCGAGCAGCGTCATCGATGAAGTCGTTGGACGTCTGCGCGGCCTGCTCCTCGCGAGGAACAAGAGCATCTCCGGAGACTGGAGCAGCCAGGACGTTGCAGACCGCGAGGCCGAGAGCAAGAAGAGAGGCGAGCTGGAACTGCATGTTTGCGTTGTTCGGCGTTGAAGTGGTGGAGGTAGGTTGGTTGTTGCTGGTGCTGTGCTGAATGGCTGTGATATCCTCACAGGAACCTGCGAGTGACACTGCTTAATATATGTTCTGTTCATGACTAGCAGCATGCTCTCGTCACTTTGCCAAGTGACTGGAGAATGGTTGATGCTTGACAATCACATGCAGCAGAGTGCATACGATTCGTTGTCACCTAAGCTGGAAAACCGCGGCTCTGGAACAGCAGCACATCCGAAGCCGGTTTGATATCTCATGAAGTGGAAGTGCGCGGATGATCAGCGTCGACAAGGAATTGCATGCTGGTGCAACACTGGCTGCAGTATACACACGCACTTTTGGCGACACGGCGAGCGTTATCCCTAAGAGACAAGACTATGTTCAAGCTCACAAGCTCTGGCGCCTCCAGCTTGACTACAAGCGTGTCTGCAATTAGGTTCAGTGTAGACAGATACTTGCCTCCCTTCGGCGATTACTCAACGTCACTTCTGGTCCTATGTGCACGCGAAACGCAATCTGTAGCAGAAGCCCTTGACGCCGCAGAAAGTCAAATTTGCGTTCTGGATCACGCCCAGAGGTTTCGGATTCCAATTGGTAAAGTCTGTCGCATCTAGGCACTCTTCAGGGCATGTCCCTATTGGAGACAACGTTGTTATCATACATCAGCTTCAGGAAGGAGTCCAAGAACCTGGAAGAAACGTTGAAACCGGCCTCCCGTTGTCAGCAACCGCTGAAGGCGCGGGCCCGGCTAGCGCAGATGGCCGAGAGTATTCAAAGCAAGTAACGCATACCTCTTCAGAGTGCTGCAAAGGGTATCACAAAGCCAGTGTGGACACCAGTATCATCCCGGTGTTATGCGCTGAAGCAACAAGTGTCGTCGAATGAACTCTTACTTCGAAGTCGCAGAAGCCATGCGAAACATCCAAAGCCCGTCAAGCAGGATCACAAGCCAGAGCACAGCAGCTGCAAGAACAAAGACAAAAACTGCTTTTCACGATAAATACCCAAACCCTAATAGTATCCCAACTACCACCGCGACCCCACTACTCGTCGCCCACGATCTCACCACCCTCCTCTCCGCCCCGCTAACCTTCGCAACCGCACAACTACTCTGCCCAACATCCTTCGGATCCGTCATCGCAACCGAAAAGCTCTGCACAGCAAACGGCATGGTACTACACTGCACCTCCTCATCCAAACAATCCCACCCCCGACTCCTCACCCCATCATCCTCTTTACAATTCGCCGCATTATAAACATGAAATTCCAATCTCCCACCCATCGCCCTCTGTTCCTCCTCCTCCGCAAAAGGATTACTAATTTGCGTATAACCGATTTGACTATAATTCACACTCGTGCTGAAATCTGAGGCGACGATTGTGTAGTTTACGCCGCAGATTGTGTTGTCTTTGCAGTCGAGGCCTCGCATGGAGTAGGTTGCGGTGGGATCGCTGAAGGTGTTTCCGAGGTTGAAGCAGACGCGGTCTTGGGGGATTGTTCGGATGGCGATTGTGAGGGCGTTGGAACTATCGTTGCCGCAGTTCCGGCTGTTCGCGTCGGAGAAGGTGATGTTCATGAGGCTTGCGGAGACCGGTCGGCGGGTAACGTCTGTGGCCATGTCGTTTTCCCAGGTTTGGGCTGTCGTTGAGGTTGCGAGTGCAGCTGCTGCTGCGAGGAAATGGCGAGCATGCATGTTGGGCGATGTGTCGATGATTTGGATCTCCGCTGGCGATGGTGGAAGAATGTATTCTGACCCTACGAGACACGCGCTGCTCAGAGATTTGTTCGCGATGTCTGAACGTGGACGTGCTCCTGAAGTCCTTGTCATACCATTGCTCCCTTGTCCGGCAATCATCGGCGGCCATGGTATGCTAATTTTACAAGCTTCATGTTCCCTGCAAGCTCTTCAGCCAAAGCCTAGGGCTCTTGGCATGCTGTATCCTATAATGGACCGGAGTAGCTCTCATGGGAATGTGGACGTTCTGAAGGTTTGCTGGTTGGGATGGTAATCACCATATCGCTGATCGCGGCCACATGGTAAGCCCGTCTGGGATTGTAGTTTATTCCTGTCGAAATGGGAAACTTAAGACCCAGCCAGGCCTGGAAGATAAAGCAGTGCAGGCAGAGCCTCTAAGCTGGGTGAAAGGTGATGCTTGAGAAGGGTGTTTCAGATATGATGTTGTCTGGGGCGAGCCTAGGTCAGTCAAATGACGTTTCCAATGATCTTTTAGTCCCTTCTACATACGAAGTACGTATTCTGCTTCTTGTACTCGAAAGGCCTATCATGGCCGTTGTGAAATCCTGCAACGACCAAAGCCTGTAATTGATCAATCTTATTCACCAACCAGAATACTCAACAAGTGAAGTCCAGATGCGCCATGCCATACCTCAAAGCTTGGCACGCTCATGAACTCCACGAACCCCGAGTCAAGCGATATTCCTGAGCTCTTGACCAGACATGAACCTCCTCAAGTTCTCCGAAATCAACCCCTCAGCTCCCTGCGGCCGCCCTCCAGCAGCATGAGGACTAATAATCGTATTCGGCGTCTTCCACAATCTCGACTCCGTCTGCAAAGGCTCCTGCACAAAAACATCCAACGCCGCCCCACCAATCGTCCCAGCATCCAACGCATCAGCCAAAGCCTCCTCATCCACACTCGTCCCACGCCCAACATTAACCACCCAAGCATGATCCGGCAGCGCCGCCAACCGCTCCTTATTCAACGCATTCTTCGTACTATCACTTCCCGGCAAAATCATAACCAGAGCATCAGTCTTCTTCAACTGCTGCTCAAGAGCTTGCTCATCAATAACTTCCACCCCATTTCGTACACCAGCCGACCTCGCAACACCAGTAACATTCGCCCCCAAACTAACCAAATGTGGCGTCAAAGCCTTGGCAATATTCCCATAACCCCAAATCAAAACATTCGCGTCTCTCAAACTCGTAAACTTCCCTTTCGGACGATCCGGCTGCGGTCCTCCAAGATGTCCAGGCCACTTTCCTTGTGACTGGTAATCCCTCATCTCATAGAACTTTCTCGCGGCATTGAGGAGTAAGGCAAGAGTGTGCTCGGCAACAGTGTAATCGTGTAAGCTCGAGCCGGTGGTGACGGTGATATCTTTCGAGAAACCGGCATTGAAAACATCATTCGGTCCAGCAGCGAGGGATTGAATCCATTTCAGGTTCTTCATTCGTGAAGCGGCATCTTTGAGGTTATCTGCTGTGTTGGTCCAAGTTATCAGAATCTCGGCGTCGATGAGGTCATCTGGGATTGGCTCTTTCACGTTGTATGGGTGGTATTCTGTTGCGAAACCTTTGAAGGAGTCGACGTTCAGTTCTAGTGAGGTTGGGTAGAGGAGCTTCATTTTGTTGTTTCGTTTGTATGATGTTTGAACTTGGGAAGGAGGGGCAGAGGCCACGGTTTTACCTATAGCAATGGGTGGTAAAAAGAGCAAGTGGTGTCGGCAACTGCTGGTGGAGCGGTCGGCATTCGTCGGCATGGCCATTGTGGTAGCTAATTCCGAGCACTTCCTTGCCAGAGTTTGCGGAAACAGCTCAGTCGAGGCATTGCATTGGGACGAAGTCGGAACGAGAGATTCCGACCGAGTACTTGACCTGGCCCATTGAGAGGTGTCGCGTCAATTATTGGCTGCTTCCTTCGTCCATCTCAATGACCCCCAAATCTTGGTTTCATGTTTTTGCAGACGGCAAGAGCACACATGAGCAGCCGCAACCACGTTCGCCGAGACAGATGCTAAAGTATGCGCGTGGAATTTGTAGGTTGAGTGCGAAAGTGTCATGACTGCAGAGCAGATCTATTGTTCTCGTCTAGAAATGTCCTCTATTTCAACTTTATACCGTCACAGGGGCAGTCAGCGTCTTGACGGGCTCTTCCACACCAGGCGTCAAGAGCGCGTCTCGTAGCCCATCAAGTCCTCTCCCACTCTCTCCAAGCGAATCGAGCGCATCGAGACCTTGAAAGCCATCCTCGACTACCCACTTCTGCGGACTCTTCTTCAAGACTTCGCACGAAGCACCGACAACAAGGAGTCCAGGTGGTCTGCTCCCTTCCTCTTCGATCGCAGCAATAACGTGCTCAAGGGTCGTTCTGATAACTCTCTGATCTGGGCACGAAGCACGCTCGATAACAGCACAAGGAGTCGTCAAAGGGTATGCGCTCGTCTTATGTTCAACGAGACTAGTGATCAGATCTTGTAACCTGTGCAAAGCCATGAGAAAAACCACAGTTTGGTTGCTCAGGTATTCCGGCGGATTTGGACTCGCTCCCTTTCTGCCAGTGCCCGTGCAGATCAAGATCTGATCGCTAACCGAACGATGCGTGGCAGGTATTTGTGCAAACAGAGGAGCACTGAGGGAAGAAGTTATGCCAGGTAGGACAATAGCCTCGTAACCATGTTCCCTGAAGAAAGCCACTTCCTCTGCACCACGGCCGTACAGATACGGGTCGCCTTGCTTTAGTCGCAAAACAGTCTTGCCCTGCTGCATGGCTTCGAGACCGAGACGATGAAGCTCATCTTGCGCTTGATCTGCATTGCCAGGGAACTTGCGGGCGATCTGAATGGGCGTTCGGCGGGGCACGAGTTCGAGCACAGGCGCAGGTACTAATTTGTCGGCAAGAATGAGATCGGCGCCACGAATGGCTTTGAGCGTGGCAGTTGTGAGCAAATCCGGATGTCCAGGGCCAGAGCCGGCCAAGATAATACGACCCTGGTTCCGGCGAGAGTCGAGCATTGTCGTACTCAATGGAGGCTTTGTCTCACCCAGCTGTATGTTTTGTGCTTCCTGTTTGTAAGCCTGCAATATCTGCTCCACGTCCTCATCGGTAATCGCAGCGAGACGTCGCAGTGGCCAATACTCGCAAATTTGTGATAGCCACCTCATCCGTCGAGCTTTCGCGGCTTCAGCGTCTGATGGCAGTACAAGTTTGTTGAATGTCGCCGTTTGTCCAGTCTCTTCATCCTCTGCTTCAAGATCGCCACCAGCCTCACTAGCATGATCTTGCTCCCAAATCTTTCTCCTCACAGTGCCGAGGCGGTCCACAGCAGGTCCAAGGTCATTGGGCAGTGCAGCAGCGATTTCTCTTCTGATGCGTGATGCGAGCTTGCAGCCCTTCCCGGACGTCGTGACGCCAACTTGCAGTGGACCAGAATTGTGTGTTGATAGCAACGTGAATGTGCAGAGATTCGGCGCATCTGCTACATTGACTGGAATTCGCAGTCTTCGGCACAGTGTAGATATCCTGGTACCAACCGCACTTTTGCCACCTGCTGTTACAAAGACTGCGTCTACGACATGGTCGACTTCATCTCGCCCCAATGTCGTGAGGTCCGTCTCTTCAAAGTCGCGCTTCACCCATTGTACAGCATGCTCTTCTATCCGTTTCGCAAGGCCGTAGTGTAGCGTTGCAGATTCGGGAGCGATAAGGATCGGCGTTGCGCCAACCTCGAGCGATCGACTTATTCGTGCTCCTGCGAGTGGATTCGAGCCGACGATCAGGTGTACATGTGCAGTGGAATCTACTGCTGTGAGTAATGCGGGCGACATGCCGGTGTAATTTGCGCAAGAACAATGTCAATTGTTCAAGCCTGGTCGTGTGGGCACGACACACTTGATGTACAGTATGCACTATCTCTGCAATCGCTCACGATCTGGTATCTCCAAAGAACAGGGTGTGGCAAAGGCAATGCGTTCTGACAATGGAGATAAAAATTGTTGGCCAGCCAGTAGCCGCGCATTGATAATCTTCGAGTTGCGTTATCGGCGCCGTGGACGGAAATCCGGAGAAGCCCGCTAGCACGTGGTTTCTTTGTGGCCCGACCGTGGAGAAACAGACGAGACCCAGACATGCCGTGGAGATGGGTTTTGATAGCATATCAGTATCTTTGGCTTGTAGATATCCTTGTGCGCCGTACAGCGAACCAATCTTCTCACACATCTTCCTGATCTTTGCCCATGACCACATCCAGTGCTCGTCTTGACAATGCAACATTCCGCTCCAAAGCTCCAAGTTTGGCCATTGCTGCCATCAGGCTTGGATCTTGCGATTCGATCCTTACTTTGTCTCGCACGCGAACCTCTTGACCTTTGTATGTGAAGACTTCGTGCGCCTCATCGTGACCAGCCTGCCTAGGCCCTCCCAGCGCGGTGGCAAGTCTTTCGCGCAGACCGAAGCCACTGAACGATGACCCCGGAATGCCTAAAGGCGTGTTTGTGCCCGTATGTGGATCGGCAAGTTCGAGCGTTCGGACGTTGAGCAGAACCGCGGCTTCGGATATGGACAGGTGGAAGGACACGTAGGCGGGGAGAGGTGGATTGAAGGCGTTTTCGTCTAGCGGCACCTCATGCCACGGCTTCTGGCTCTCTGTCCATCCTTTCAAGGAGTTCTTAGCTTCCTCAATGTTGCCATGCAGCAGTCGCAGTTGTCCAGAAATGAAGTCCGCGTTCGTGCTGTCGCCTGTCCATAGTGTAGCGTCGACCACATCCAGACACGCGTTGATGAGTGTTCGTGCTGTGGTCAGTTGCTCGAGCACGATAGTTGGCGCGGTTGGTAGAGAAGAGATTGTCAGCTTGTAGCTGCTCTGACCTTTTGGCGGTGGCAGAGATGGCAGTCGCAGCTGCACATCGCCCTTGACTATGCGCGTGCCCACTCGCGTGATGAACCCTTTCAGACTCTCTGATCTGAGGGATGATAGCACAAGCGTCGAGCCCGGTTCTTTGGGCGCAAGCAATTCAGCGCACTCTTCCAACCCTTCTTTCAGGGACTTGAGCGTGTCCTGCAGCGATCCCAGAAGCCATTCCAACTCGCTAGCAAGTGTTTCCTGCTCTTCGCGGGCCAGATCCTCGGGCGGAATGGGCGGCCAGAGTAATGTTGTCATTGTCAGCTATACCGTTTTGTGCATCAGAGGCAGAAAGCTCCGATGTCACTGGATTGGCTGGCGCGTAAGGGCCGAGGAGAGCAGAAGCCTGTTGGTGATCCGGGGGGGAGCAGGCGCTTTCCCGATCGTTCGGCTGCCGTCTCACCATCCACGCTGCCTTTTCTGGATATCATTCCATCTGCACACCTAGGCTCATGTTCAGAGGCTACAATATCATTTGTCGAATTCTGCTCAATTCACTTCGATAGCCACCACGGTCCGACTTCTGCGTACAGCGACGGTTGTCTGTCGGTCTGGGACATGGCCAATGAACAGTCGATCGATATGCGCGCTCAGTGCAACTTGGCAACGGTGGTGGCCCGAGCTGGCCGCAGCTAGATCTGGTTGGCGCGAGGTGCGCTACGTCACCAGGCTTCCTAGCAACGCGACTCTGGAGCTCTGGGAGCTTGCACAAGGATGGATGGCATTGTCTCCAGCGTGAGGAATGCTGACTTCTTTGACGCTGACCTTCTTCTCGCACTGCACTTTTCGAGTAGACCATATTCACCTGTCACATTTGGCAAAGTGCCCTCTTTCGTTGGGAACGGTTTGGATAGGAGGTGGGAATTGGGCTGATCGCAATACTCCGGCCGTGGCTTCGCGAGACGTCATTGTCACGCCGGTAAAGTGTAAAACCAAGCGTCAAAGCCACAGCGTCGCTCTGGTCACCAGCAGCGCCCACGTCACCCTCCCACGGCACAGGCTAAGGTCATACAAACCTGCCGGCTGCGCGCTACTCGCCGACAGCTTTAATCCTGCCACTGTCCGACCTCGTCCTCGCTTTGCTGCTGCTGCTGCTGCTGGCTCTCGGTTTCAGGACGAACTACAGCGAGCCACACGACAACAAAGGCACGAGCCCGTCTCTGGCATTCCCCTGTCAGCCCTCCCACCAGCGACACTGTAGTCTGCAATGGCAGGCGCACGTGAGTAACACCTGCAACACTGACAGCACCTTCGCAAACAGCAGCTCATATCATATGCAGGCCCCATCCTCGCCATCACGGCGCTCGTCCTGACCGCTGGTGCCATCGTCCTGCAATTCTTCATCATTCTGTCCGGCCTCAACCCATCGCCATTGAACCTGGTCTACTTCCTGCAGTCGACAACAAACGGCATCTCGAACGGCAACGACCAATACCGCAACCCAGCGCGATGGACCTACCTCGCCATCTGCGGTGCTGATGGCAGCCGAAATGTCGACTGTGGCCCAAAGCGCGCTGCTATTCCTTTCGACCTCGCGAGAAACTTTGGCACTGAGACTGGCGTGCCAGAGCCATTCCTCGACAACAACTCCTACTACTATCTCAGCCGCGTCGCCTGGGCTTTCTACCTGATTGCTCTGTTCTTCTCGGTCGTCACCTTCTTCATCAGCGTGCTCGCCATCTGCGCGCGTCTTGGAGCATACCTGACTGGCTTGTTCGGCCTGATTGCCTTCATGATGCAAGCTGTTGCTGCTGCATTGATGACGTGAGTAGTTCGATCCGCCTCTGCAATGAACGCGTCGCTAACAACATCGCAGTGCCTGGACTGTCCGAGCCCGCAACCAGCTCAACTCCAACGGCCAAGAGGCCAGCCTCGGACGCTACGCCTACGGTTTCACATGGGGATCAGTCGCAGCCCTCTTCATCGCCGCAGTCTTGGTCTGCATCGGTGGTGCCGCTGGCAAGGACAGCAGCAAGACAAAGACCTCATACTTTGGTCGCAAGAGGAGCACACGCAGCAGGGGAAGCTTCATCGATAGCTCGAGCGACCGACGCGTCAAGGACGAGTATGGCATCCCAGCACCGACTTCCTATGCTCGTGACCCAGCATAAATGCGCGGTGCTAATATGAGGCTCGCAGGTACGATTAAACGCGTCTCGCCATCATAATTAATTCAACGCGACGAAGTACCATGAACGACAGCACCCAAGCACGTGTGAAAGACGGGGAAAGATGATGGGTGAAGAGTTATATCTCGTAACGTTCGACATGTATTGACGCCTCTTACGACTGCACGGCTAGTTTTTGATGCCACCAGAGTTTGAATATACGATACCAACTGGAATAAGTCTGACCGAAAGAAGAAAAATATGTAATGTGTTTTCCGATGTAATGATATCAAATCTTCTCAGATGCTCTTCCTCCCCAGTCTTGCTTCTCTCGACAGCCACTGTGGTGATGCTTGACACTCGGCCATACTCCTCCACTTCTTGCCGCATGTCGTGCAAGCTTGCAATCGACATGGGTCGGAGTGGCTATGTCGAAAATATACGCGTCGACGCGAGGCTTTTGCTCCATATGCCACGCAGACAGCTACAAGGACCGACGTGTACAGCCACAAGCATTGATCTCGCAGCCTCTTGACTATCTTGTCGTCCTGCTGAAATTCTGCTGCTCGACACCTCATCGACGCGTTGGCCTCCACGTAGGACATCCGAGGTCTTGGCATGAATACACTTCACTTGCTCGTGCTTTGGGTGTCCATGACGCATGACAACTGCTAAAGCTTCTCGCTCAGCGCTTTCTTGGGTCGACATCTCAAATATAGCTGTCGGGTTATCGGATGAGTATGCTTTCTGCTCTTGCTTTATGCAGACTGATCCTTGTGGGTCGTACCTGCGTCTTTTATGCTGATGTCAGATGAGCGGGAGCAGGGTGGACTGAGATGTGGGTTTGAGCGAAGATGCTTTGTAGATGGGATGAGTTGGAGGATATGTTCTTGGGAAGGCTTTGGTGTGGATGCTCCAGCCTGGTGTCGCGATGTCAGTATCTCTCGGTTGCCGTCAGCGATTGCACTTCTGTCAAGTCCTGATGCAAGCAGCTCGAGCCGATGGGCAAGCACAGTGGACATAGCATTTCCCAACAACTACTTCAGGTTCCACTCTTTATACAACTGTTTCACTCGCTGGCGTGGTCGCTGAGCACCTGGCGTCTTGCGTAAAGTTAGTGAAGCTGCTGATATCTACTAAAGGCAGGACGGTCTAGGAGTGCGTATAGGATCTGGTATCGAAATAGTAGGAGTATCTCAATTGAAGAATGAGAAGAGCTGCTTGTGAGTTGTGAAGGGTGCGAGGTGGGTGCAGGGGCGAGTGGCTTGTGGAAGTGTGGAAGTGTGAGATATGAGTGTTTTAGCAGTTGGGATCTCGAAGAGCTGAAAAAGTTATGGCAGGCAGTCAGTTGCAGAGCATTGACCAATGAGGCTCTCCAGAGAGTATGGGTGAAGAGAAGGGCGTTAGAAATCGAAAGCTTATACGTGATCATGGTATCGTGAGTATGTAGAGGCCATTTGTAGCCATATCGTGTGGCTCATCTCTTACAGCGCAGACCATGACAGTTTGCATCCCGCCGTGTTGCCTCGTACTTCGAGATAGTCCCTGTCGCTATTGTTACGCCTCAAGCTGGTTGCATGCGGTCGTTGCGTGCAGCGAATTTTCCCTGCGGGCTTTGTCTACTGCATCGCACAAGGTGCCATGGAGCCGCCAGCGCCGCCTGGACCTTCAACAGCGTCAACGTTGCTGTTTCCATCGAAGTTCACCTCAGTGGTGCCGATCTCCTTGCCGTCAACGATGCAGGTGAAGACCAGGACTCCACGCCGGTGACCGAAGAAGATGCGGATGGTGCAGCTGATGCGACACATGCGGCGGCGGTTGACCATTTTGTACGCATGGTTGCGCATATCGACATTGCTGAAGTCGAGGTTGATGGTGGCGAGCTTGATGATACCTTCACGAGTTAGCTCTTGCGATTTTGTATTTGCAACCATACTCACTAGCGTGGCTTCGGTGTCTGGGCTCCTCCTCAGCGCCGCTGCAGTACAGATCGACAGTGCTACGGTTATCGCGCGCTCCTTCGTTCTGGTAGATGGTCTGGTAGAAGGCCCACTCAACGTTGGTAGTCTCATCGACAACGTCGCCCTGTACTCGTTAGCGCAGAACTGTTTCGGCGGGCGAAGCAGCATACCTGACACAGCTCCCAGCGCATGACATTCTTGGCCCGGTATGTTTGATTCCACTCCCAGACGAATCGATCGCGGATGTCGTGCTGTAGGGGGTCGAAAGCCTCGTGAACGGAGAAGCCATAATGGAGGCGGGAACGGCGAGAAGTCGGCTGAATGCTGTGAAGACCGCTCAACGCAGCACCACGCACAATTGCAGATTGCCTGAAAGATCAGCTTGTGAATGTGTGATTGAACAGAATCAGATGACCTACGGGTGCTCTGGGCAAAGTAGCTTGATTCCACGATCCTGGCACCACTTGCGAAGGACTTCATTGAGATGAGCTGAGTCTCCAAAGCCTCCAACCAACAAGATCGTCTTGCGTATCACAGTCAGTAGCCGAAACCTCGAAGTGGTTGATGAACGTACCTTGATGGTTGATTTGCCAAACTGTGCCTTCTCAGCATCCAATTGACTCTGCAGCAGAGCAGTGATCTTAGAGACCACTGGCTCAAACATCTTCTTGAGGTCGTCACTGTCACTAATGTTAGTGAAGCACTCCATAGAGTCAAGGGAGGGACGTACCGATAGATCTTGACCATGAAATCGTCCTCGTCGTAGTACTTGGACTCCGCAACGTCTTCCATGTAGAGCTGCATTTCGTAGAATCGCTTGGCATCTTTCGACTTGCCGAAATCGCGCTTGTGACTCTCGAAGTCCTTCATGAGACGACTTGCTGGCCCGCGTTTTTCCCACTTCAAGTTAGTGTAGGCAGCACCAAATCTCTTCTCCATAAACTTGATGAACTCTCGATCGATGTAGGTAGAACCGCACTTTCCACCTGCAGCAGGTCAGTATGTTAATCGGAGATGGGATTAAGCAAGCATACCAGTTCCCACCAACAGCTCCTTGAACGCCAGTTTAGGGGTTATGCCAGTGATCACGTAGGTAGTGATATCGACAGTACCTCCGCCACAATCGCAGATCATGATACTGTCATTCGCCTTGATCTGCTGCTCGGATCCTCCTTGCGTGAGCGAAGACAGGGTAGCAACGGCGGCAGCTTCTGGCTCGCGGATGAGGAAGACTTGGCTCTCAGCATGAATCTTCAGCTTTGCTTGCTTAGCAGCCTTGCGCGCAGCCCGTAGAGTATCGGCCTTGGCCTTGTCACTCCACACAGCGGGAACAGTGAACCAGAACTCAATGGGAGTGGCCTTCAAGACTTCGACAGATAGGCGTTTGGAAAGCGATTCGTACGCAAATTTGCCCACTTCAGCCAGGAAGTCGGCGCATAAATCAACGGCAGACTTGCCTGCTGGTCTGCTCAAGACACCGGTACCTTCACTGTCGCCAAGGCTTGGATCATCGTATTTAGTCGCCTGCTTTGGGTCGAGAAGCAGCTTCATCCAAGCAAAGGACTTGTAGCGTGGCAAGACTTCGTAGCCCCACGCGTTGCTCGATGCGTTATCATTCTCCTTGGCATATGCGATGCGAGATGGAGTCTTCCAGGAGAAGTCACCGTCTCTTCCCGGTCCTGGCCTACTGATTGTTAGCAATGGTAATGCTGTGTCGGGTCACAAAGATCGATACCAGTCTCTCACGCAATGAACATCTTCCAAGATCTTGACATGGCCGCCCTCGGTAGACACCCAACTGATGCCGGTGTAAGTGGTGCCGAAGTCGACGCCGACAACGAGCTTGTGGACAGTCGCTGCATTCGCACCACCATTGAGCACTGAGTACGGTGGGGGGGCTGAGTTGACGCTGACCATTTCGGAGATGTGACCAGGGCAATGGCTGTTGATGTCGTTGCTACTGTTGACGTTAAAGCAAAGTGTGATGCCAGCAGCTTTTGAGGTTGGCGGTGTCGGTTTCACCATGAGCCTGAAGCTCTAGGCAGCCATTAGCATGTGAATGGAAGTGAGGTCAAGCTACTGCACAATACAGCTCCAGCCATCCTATTGTTTGCCGCCTTTTTTCACATGTGAAGCTTTGAAACGCCCTAAAGTGAAGCGACGTCAAGCTGCAAGTAGGTCTTTGCAAGATCCTCAAGCCAACACCAACTTCAATCACGACATCATCCTGCTGGCTACTCGAAGGTCCATCAATCATGTCGTTCATACATTTCCCAGCCCCAGAAAAGCGCTATGAGCTGCGTGACAGCAGTGCAGGCCGCCTCAACCCGCCGACGAAGAGACCACACCCGGAAGCCGACAACGTACGCAATTCGTACGAGCCGAGACGTCCAGATGCGAGAGACCGCTATCGTGGCGACCGGCGCAACCAGCAGCGCCGAGAGAGCGGTAGTTGGATTCCCAAGGCCATTGGCTGGATCTTAGGTTATGGCTCGCCGCCGCCAGAGATCGAGGATGCGATCCAGGAGCACGACGAAGAGGAGTTGGCAGATGTCCTGAGAGAAAATGACGCACTCAACGCTAAAGTCCAAGATCTGCTACGACAGCTACAGCATCGTCGGCATATCGTGTTCGAGCAGGACGACGCAGCAGTAGAAGCACGCAACAACCGTATCAAAAACTTGCAGTCCACGGTGGACCGCATGAAGATCGAGCATACAGCCGAAGTCCAACGAGTCATCAGTGAGGCGGATGCGAAGGCTGCGAGAGATATGAAAGAGCTTCGTAACACCGCCAACCAGCAGATTTTGGCTGCGAAGAGAGCAGCATCAGATCTGCGAGATCAGAGTCAGGGAGCGCAAAAGACCTGCAGAAAGCTTGAAGCGCAGATCGAACAGCAACTGGAGACCATCCGGGGCATGCAAGCAGCCCGCATGAAGTCAGTCGAATCCACGCAATGGGCGCCAATTGCGAATTCGGAGATTCAAAGCGAGCTTAAGTCAATCGTCGCTCGCGTTCGCCAGTGGGCCATCGAGTGCTCAGCTCTCTTCCGTGACCAAGGTCTGGATTCGAAAGGCTTTGCCCGGCTTGTCTGCGCCAGCATAGACAAAGGATGCGCAGCAAATGCGTTCAGCTTGCATGGGCACCTGGCGCAAAACAAGTCTACGAGCAAGCCCGGTAAAGCAGCAGCAATGCTGCTCGCGGCTGTTGCTTCCTTCGAAATCATGCACAAGATCATCGGTAATCCGTTCTTCATTTTCGCAGGACAGCTCGACGAAGATATGTTGCACGAGACCGAGGCGAAGTCAATGGCCAATTTGATCGAGTTGACTGGTCATGGTATGCATCGAGTGATGTCGCTGCTTGAGATATGCTGACTGTTGGTGTAGGTGATGAGGCAGGAGGCGAAGGCCTCCGATACCAATTGCTGCGCTTACTGGACCCGTCGCAGAAGGATACTTCGTACGGGACGAAGTACCTCAGAGGCGTTGTCGATCGAAGCCGTAAGAAGGCCGTATCTCAGCTCGCTGCTGGACTCCTCGACCAGCTCTTGGGCGAGATTACAGCAGATGATTTGGCAAATGCTCGATCTGGATTGGAGGCTGTGGTCAACGAGGCTGCTGAGCTGTCCTGGAAGCTGTGGACTCGCAAAGGACGAATGGAAGTCTTCGATCAGGCAAGACTCGCTAAGGAGACCAAGGGCGTCGATGTGTACAGTGGGACGTCGGCGCTGCTCGAGGCTCATTCCTTGCACGTTAGGGATCTTGAAAACGACTCAGGAGCACTAGAAGGGAAGCCGATCATCTTGGTCTGCAGTCCAGTCGTCGCGATCGCTGGCGATGCTGAAGGACAGGGGTATACCAAGAGCCGAGTCCTGAAGAAGGCTGTGGTGTGGATGGGCTGATGTGCTCGACAATCAGGAAGACGCGCGGCCAACATAGGAGCAAGGATAGGCAAGCTCGTCAGCGGCTTGGGCATCCGAGCCCAATCGTGCAATCATGGGCCACGAATTGTATCATAGACATGAGCGTTAGATGGGTCACAGAATGCAAACGCGTGAAGTCGCGATCCATCACCTTTGCCAAGAAACTCTCCCGCTCCCATCGTTGACATTGATGACCACGAACATCGCCTCGTTCACCACAATCTTCGCACAAACATGCCGAAGCGGCGCAGAGAACGCGACAAGCCCAAGTGCGGACCCGAAGCTACCTATGATCCTAACAAACGCGTTTTGCTCAGTTACGGGTCCGACGACGAAGATGTCGAAGTCGCGACTCTCCCAGTCGACGCGGCACCGGAAATGGCTTCAGACGAGAGCGCGCTCGCAAACTATCAGATTGCCGAATATCCCGATGATGAGGAAGAGCCTGAAGCGACACTTGGAGCAGAAGCTGAAGCCGACACAGCGCCAGGACTCGAGGACAAGCAGAATGCCGTGCCAGCGCCACGAGAACCAAGAGAGCTAGGATACGCGGATGGGCCAGATGGAGATGAAGATCACCGGCAAGGAGCAGCACCAATACCACAAGCATCGACCAGCAAGAGACAGCGCGGCGTTGGAAAGTCTGACACAGGACAACGCGTCACTTTAGGTGCTGCAGCAAACGATGACGATAACTACAACGAAGAGGACTATGACAGCACAACGGAAGAAGCGCTGGCATATCTAGAATCTGTCCGGGCAGAAAGACAGGGACTGCCTGAGATCCTGGCAGCATCACGGCAAGTCTGTGACAACCACAGCGACGAAGAAGGAGAAGACGACGCTGACAATGGCTATCTGGCCGACGATGGCACGTACATCGCACGGCCAGAACCGACAGCTGTCGCAGCAGACGACAACACAGATCCCCAACGAGTCTTTTCGAAAGCCCTGAAAGACCGCTTCATCATGCAGCGGAAACATCTCCATATGAATACCACATCCGCAAAACTAGCAGAGCTTGGTGACGGCTACCCAACCTCATTCCCAGAGGGCAACAAGGGACTCCGCGCCGAATGGCATCGTATCTTAGGCTCCCAATCGCCCATGCCAGCTCAATTGCGTGCTATGAACGAGGAGACCATTTTCAATCTACTCAAGCTGCTGCAGAGCTCGTACTTGCTGAAGGGTAAGAACATCAAGACTGTCACCAGTGCCTGGATATGGTCGCTCCTCTGTCGACTTGATGATGTTGGGAATATGACCAACGACCAAGTCTATCCACTGCGTGAGCTCGGTAAGCGAGTCATCTTTCTTCAGCTGCACTTTTTCGATCCAGAAGCCGCGGCGCACCTCGAAGCTATGGAGCGGAGGGAACAGACTCCGGCGGCGAGTGTTGATGGCCAGCTTGAAGATGCAGCAGAAACTGAAGCAGGTGAGGGACCAAACTCAATGACAACAAGCAACCAGCAAGTCAGCACTCATCACGGCAAGCCTACGGAAAATACACTTGCAACGCTCGACACGATTTTGGTCATTGTTGGCGAGGTATTCGGGCAACGTGATCTGCTCGAGTTCAGACAACCATGGGCAAAGCTCAGCGAGGAGGCAGCAGCATGATGATCAAGCGGTTCACGCGCTCCATCATGTGCACGAATATGACTATCAGCCGACATCGTATGCTGCAATCTGTAATCTGCTGAGCACTGCATTCATGGATGTTCGGCCAGCTTCTTGTACCGTCCCCACTTTTCGGGAGCTCGGGCAAGCTTCAATGGACGGCACGGCTACTGCGGCGGTCACATCTCGACCTCACTTTATGACTACATCGTCGACACAAGTTAGTTCTGTGCAGACTTGTATTTGTATGTAGGTATTGTACTTACTCCAACTTGTATTTGCAGCTTCACTGCCCTGCCCACTTCATCATCCACAATGGCCCCCACCATCTCCGAAGTCACCAGCAAGTACCGACCGGAGTTTGCGTACTATGAAGATCTATACAAGTATTTTCACGCTCACCCTGAGCTCTCCAATCAAGAGAAAGAGACTGCTGCCCGGATCATCGAAGAACTGAAGAAGATCTCGCCCGACTTCGACATCCGCCCGAACATCGGTGGATATGGAATTGCTGCTCTCCTCTCCAATGGACCAGGCAAGACTGTACTGCTTCGTGCCGACTTCGATGCCCTCCCAGTAGAAGAACGCACTGGCTTGCCATACGCTTCCAAAGCCCGTCAAGTCTCCGCCCAAAACGGCCAAGAAGTCCCCGTCATGCACGCCTGCGGCCACGACATGCACATCACCTGTCTCCTCGGCGCAGCCCACACCCTCATCTCAGCCCGCGAGCACTGGACCGGCACCCTCCTCCTCATCTTCCAACCCGCCGAAGAACGCGGCACAGGCGCCCGCGACATGGTCAACGACGGCCTCTACGACCCAAACCGCCACGCAGTCCCCATCCCAGACATCGTCCTAGGCGCCCACGTCGTCCCCTGGCGCTCCGGCGCCCTCGGCACCCGCCGCGGCCTCATCGCCACCTCCGCAGACTCCATGCGTATAACCCTCCACGGCCGCGGCGGCCACGCCAGTATGCCTCACCGCCTTGTCGATCCCGTCATAATGGCCGCTCATACAGTCCTCAAACTCCAAACCATCGTCTCTCGCGAAGTCGACCCGATGGATTCCTGCGTCGTCACTGTCGCCAGCGTCCAAGCAGGCGATACAGAAAACATCGTAGTTGACGACGCTAAAATCTCAGTCGATATCCGAGCCGTCGATCAAAACACTCGCGAACACGCCCTCGCTAGTGTTCGCAGAATCGTCAAAGCAGAATCAGATTCCCTTCGAGGCGTGAAAGATCCTACAATCCTAATTACACGGGACTTTCCTTTAACGATCAACGACGAAACCATAACTGAAGTCCTGGAGAATAATTTCACGGCTCACTTCGTTGATCCTGCTTCGAAAGATATCAGCCAACAGGACATTCAATATACGTCTTGCTGCGCTAAACTTTCTGGATCGGAGGATTTTAGTATCTTGGGTACGGCAGTGGACAGGCCTACGAGTTTCTTCATGTATGGAGGAACGCCTCATGAGTTGTGGGATGAGCATGAGAAAGCTGGAACACTCTCGCACGGAATTCCGGTGAATCATAGTGGGCTGTTCGCGCCGCAGATTCAGCCCACGATGAAAGTGGGTATGGAAGGATATATTGTGGGTGCATTGAGTTGGTTGGCGAAGACGGAATGAGCGCGGCAAGGGAATGAATGCATGCTGGCAGGAGGCAACAGCGAAGAAGCAGCGGGAGAAAAGTCTGGAAGTGTCTCGATCATCGCCATTGAAATGTTATCAAATCTATGCAGAACATCCGTTTATATATCCCGAACAGACTGTATCCCGTTTATAGTTGATCCAACAGACCCTCGGCCTCCAACAAAAGCACAATCTGGTGCACAGCAGTTCTCACGTTAATCTTGGTCAAATCAACAGTGAGATCTGCCTCCTTCTCTTGTGGCTCCTCATATGGGTCGTCAACACCAGTGAAACCCTTGATCTCGCCGGCGCGAGCCTTGGCGTAGATACCACGGCGATCTGTCTTCTCGGCGTGCTCGATGGGAGTGGCGACATGAATAAGATAGAAAGAGCCGTGCTTCTCGACAATCTCGCGAGCGGCCTTTCGCGACTTGGAGTATGGGGCGATAGGGCCGGCAATGACAGCAGCACCGGCACGAGTGAGCTCGGAAGCGACAAAGCCAATGCGCTGGATGTTCTTGTCGCGGTCCTCTGGGGAGAAGCCAAGTTCGGAGGACAATTCAGAGCGGACAGTCTCGCCGAGGAGGAGAGAGACAGATCGGCCGCCTTGCTGGTTGAGCGTGACGTTCAGCGCGCGAGCAATGGCGTCCTTGCCAGAGTTGTAGAGACCGGTGAGGAAGACGGTGAAACCTTGCTTGTTGCGAGGTGGGTGAGATTCTCTCAGCACCTTGACAACTTCAGGGTATGAGAACCACTCTGGAATGTCTCCACCCGTTCGCAGACGGCGGCGGAGTTCAGTGCCGGAAATGTCCAATGTCTTGATCTCCTTTGGCACCTCATCCTTGGGCCTGTACTCGTCGGTGTCTGGCAGATATGTCATCTGCTGGAATGGTACGACCTCGATTCCCAGCTCATCCCGATACTTCTCCACAGCGTACTGTGCGTCGTATGGACCATAGATTTCCTCCCCCTTGCTGTTCTTGCCCGGACCTGCGTGGTCACGGCCGACAATGAAGTGTGTTGCACCGTGGTTCTTTCGGATGATGGCGTGCCAGATGGCCTCGCGAGGACCACCCATACGCATAGCGAGCGGGAGCAGACCGAGAACGGCCATACCGTTGGGGTATCGTGGAAGGAGTGCTTGGTACACGCGGACACGGGTGAAGTGGTCGATGTCACCAGGCTTGGTCATGCCCACGACTGGGTGGATAAGCACGTTGGCTTGTCGTTGGCGGGCAGCGCGGACTGTCAGCTCACGGTGAGCTCTATGCATTGGGTTTCTGGTCTGGAAAGCGACAACCTTGGACCAGCCAAGTTTGTCAAAGTGAGCGCGCAGCTCAGCAGGTGTGTAGCGCAGGCCGACGTAGTCGTAGTGCTGGAGGCGGTCAATGGCCTCGACCTTGCCTCCGACGTAGAATTCGCCAGTCTGGTTGAAGAGGTACTTGACAGCCGGGTGGTCTGGATCACCACCAAAGACTTCCTTGGCCTCTTTTTGCTTGTCAGGCCTGTACACATCCTCGACAGTCAAAATGGCGAGGTTGCGGTCGTCACGAGAGTCACGAAGCGTGATGCGAGCACCTGCTTTGATGCCGACCTCGTCGATCAGGTTCTGGTTCACGTCCAAGTTGATAGGAATGGAGAAGAGGTTGCCGTCGGCGAGACGGTTGTTCTCCACGACTCCATTGTAGTCTTTCTCGCTCATGAAACCCTCGAGCGGGGAGAAGCCGCCGTTGAGGATGAGTTCCAGATCGCACAGCTGGCGTTCGTAGAGGACAATGGCTGGCAGCTTCTCGGCCTCCTCGGAGAGTTGTTGTCTGCGCGGGGCATCGCGGGCGATCAGGTCCTTGAGGACGCCGCCTGAACGACAATTAGCATTTCAGCGGATTGCTGCCTAAGTCTACACACCATGAGGAGGGTTTGCCATGATTATTGTGAGTGAGAGGAAAGAGAAGACGTGTTTCGTGCAAGATGCAATTCCGCGACAGGAACTTTTTGTAGACAGCCCACTTGGAAGCTTAAACTCGTCTGACGTGCTTTCGGCCTTGCCGTTTGTGGATCCCGATGAGTGGACGCGACTCCGATTTGTAGTGGGGCACGGCCACGCGGTTGAGCGTTGAAGGCGCAGAAAAGATTTGCTGGAGATGGCTTTGTTCGAAGATGTGAGGATGTCGGGACAATTTGACCAGGTCCAGCGCAGTGGTCGATGTGCTGCTGTTCAGCGCTGCTGCCGCTGTCGATGCTTTCGCACAACCCTACGAAGCTGCGAACCGTGATCGGCGAATGACGGTTACGTTGTGCCAAGCGCTCGCGTTGGGTCCAGTAGTGGGTGCCGCAGGTAGAGTTGGATACTGTTCGTCAGTCTGTTTCACGCCGCGAGGGAGGAAAGGAAAAACAAGTGAAGAGCCTTCCCACTTGCCGTGATTGTGGTATGCTGTGTCGTCAGTGCCATACACGAAGACGCCATGCTTTCATCTCCGCTCAGCCCAAATCAGCCCTTCTTTGTCGACTTCGAGCCCTCCCTTTCACATCCTTCGCCCAGCACGACTTCCCTGCTGTCGTAGACCCTCCTCGCCGCAGAGTGACACGAGTCGTTTACAGCGTGGGCGCTGTCTGCCCCCAGTGAAGGGAGACGAATGCGCGCGCCTGTTATCAGACGCCTGGATGAGCCGTGCTGCCTCGCTTGCGCGCCCACCGCATCGTGGGAGACTGAGATCGTCTCATGCCGCGTCGCACACAGACAAACGCCGCGTAAGAAACACTCGACGGCGATGATATCCAGTCTCCGTGCTGCGTCATGTAGGGAGCTCGTGTCTGTACTTGGCCTGGGACAGCGCAGCGCTCATCACCGTGGGGTGCCGCAAAGAAATGGGAAAAGAGGTCGGCAATCGCGATAGTAAGAAAATAGGTCAATTGGACGGCCAGAGAAATATGCGCGGCATGAAATACTCTTCATTGCCTGCTGGCGTGCTACGGTGTGAGCAGAATTGCAGAAGCTGTGCTGTATAGCGACGAGTCGGCGTCTAAGCGACGACCCGGCTCCTGCTGCGCGATGTGCCTCTTGAACCACCCACACCCGGCTTGTCTTTTCTTCCTCACCTCACCTGCTCATCTCTGCTGATAAATTCCCTTCTTCTCTTTCCCAGACGGTGCTTGCAGCATGCTGGAAGATGAACGAGTCGTTGTCCATGCTTCTGCGATGCTATTGCGATACTTCTGGCTTCATGACCCACCACCACGTGATAGCGCCCGCTCAACACGGCAGGAATGATCAGGATTACCGAACTCCAGCGAATCTTCTCTCACACGCAGTTGGGTCAGTGCCCAATATGCCGTGTGAAGCAAAGGATCCAAAACCGACACCTAGACAAGGAGTCCACCGATATACGATACGGAGCTCAGACTCAGCCTCCTATGAGAGCAACAGCTTCACCAGCTACAGGTGCTTATCGCTGGACATGGGAGGCAAAAGTTCAGACCAGCAATGCCCGCCCCACGAGCGTCTTGAATCACGGCGTGCTTAAGACCCCAGTGGCGAGGCTGTCCTATCTCTCACGACCCTGTCAGTTGACGAACCTACCACAAAGGTGAGACGGATCTGGGAACGTATACAAGCACCTTGGTGGATCACCAAGGCACACAGAGAAGTATCTTTCATTTCGTTCTTATGTTCATCAACAGCAATGCTCGCAGCATGCTTTCCGCAGCGCCAGATTGTGGCGGCGATAGTCCCACCTCGAAACGCCCAATGCTAATTAGCAGAATCCCCACTCTATGCTCGATGGCCTTGCAACTTTTCTCATGACGAATCGACAACGACGACGACATCATCCAGCTACGCTTGCCGGATGACATCCAACGGCGAGCAGTTGCGGTTCAATCCATCCTCGATAGCCGAAGCCAACTCTTTTTGGCGCTTTTCCTCCTGCTCCTGCAAGAAGATAGCATATCGGCTTCGCTTGTTGTGGATGCCGCACTCGGTCTTCTTCTGGCCCTTCCATCGACCGGCACGCTCATCCTCGCCCTCCTTCACTGGCTGTGTTGAGTGCCAGTCACCAACGGAACGATACCCTTGACTGAGAAGCTCATTAACCGGTACATTGTTTGATTCAATGTATGACTGGACGTCCTTGAACGACCAGTTGGCAAGAGGGTTGATCTTGAGCAAGCCTGCCTCGTCGACCTCCACGATGTCGAGATCGCCGCGCTTCCCGCCTTGTGTCCTCCGTCGACCAGTAATCACAGCAGCGACCTCCAGTTCCCGGTACGCCCGCTGAGCAGGCTCGACTTTGGCGACGAAGTCATACTTCTCGTCATCCTTCTCCCACAACTTCTCGCCGAACTTGGCCTCAAAGTCTGCTGTTGTCTCGCATCCTTCAGGCTTGTATGAGTGGACAGTCATGCCGGGATACCTCGCCTTCACTCGCTCCACGAGATCAAGAGTCTGAGGGAAGTGGTACAATGTGTCAAGGAAGATGCACTCAATATCTGGTCGGAGGGTATAGTCGAGCTTGGAGATCATGTCCATGATCGCCAGACCTGTGAGTCCGAAGGCCGAAGTCTGGTATAGGCGAGGAAGAGATGTCATGCACCATTTTAGGATGTCCTGGGGCTCAAGCTTCGAGAGCTGTGCGTTGATGAATTTGAGATGTGGGCGAGTGAAGTACACTTCAGGCAGTGAAGGCGATGAGCTGCCACCTGAAGCATATCCGGACTCTTGGTCGGAGGAGTTGGAGCGCTCACGGAAACCCATTGCGACGGTACTGCGCTGGTCTCGTGAGGGGTATGGAGTGCAGAATCTGCCACCGGCGCCAAGCAATATGTCTCAATTGAAAGACCTTTCAGGACAAGGACAAGTCTGAAGGGATATGTGATCTGGAGTATGGGGTTGTTGCGCTGGTGTTGGAGCAGTCCGCAAAGAGAGTAGTGATGTGGTGATGTCAAGGAAGTGGGAGAGACAGGACCAGTGGAAGAGCAAACGCAACGGATCGGTCACCTTGCTGAGCACGCCATACTGGCTCTCGAAGGCTCTCCCCTACAACACGGCTCCGGTCGCGGCATCACGGAGCCACTGCCTGCGGATTTCAAAGCCTCTTTGCCTTGGCCACTTTTTGCATCGATGGTGCAATTGCACGTGATCATCACGTGTTGCCCCTGGCGCTGAAGAAAATCCACATTCGGACGGTCTGGAACCAATCAAACGAACAATGGTCGGCGGTTTTGGCAGCGGAATGTAATCGTTGATGTCAAATTTGGTTCTTTGGTGACACCGTGGCTGCCGAGATACTCGATCTTTGTCTCTGTGTGCTGCCCGGCCGTTTAACAGAGAGCGTCATGCTGATTGCAGTATGATCCGAGTCAGAATCTGCAAAGTCAGCAAGGGAAGCCTGACACGTCTTGATCGGTCATCAGGCAGAAAGTCTACGACGAATCGTCAAACTCCGCATTACAGAAAACCTTACGATACGGCCGTGGAAAGCTACATCGGATTGTGGGCTAGATGCTGACTGCCCGCTTTGTCTTCGTGTGCCATGCGGCGGACCCCACACATTCTTCTCCTCAATCATCAATGAAATTCAGGCCCTTTCACGTAATCTCCGAGGGGACGTGATGCCATCCAGGCACTGCGCAAGAACATTCCTACAAAGGGCAGAGGAATACCGCAGGCTTTGTCATCAGATTCTCCCTCTACAATCTCGATACTGCATACTATACGTGGAACGGCGGCCAGAATCAGAGATGGCTGAGCCCGCCGCAACAGCTTCGACAGGGATCGGAGACAATTCCACTCAGCGGAATCTTCTGTTACCAGACGTCTGGCGTTGACTTATGCCGACATTATCAAGACTGATTCCAGGTTTGGACTGATATCATCTTCCTGAGGCTTCGGACGTCTGTCATGATACATGGCGATAGCCACCATGCCATCCAAATCATCCTTAAAAGGTTGGAGCAAAGCTCGCTCACGAACGACATTCCGCCAGTGTCAAATTGTAGGCACGTTCCGTGCTGCGAAGAAGGCACTTGGGCCCAATCTTGTTATACATAAACTGATACTTCAAGGCCTCGGGTTGCTACAACTTCCCATAATATGTAACCCGAGCTCGAAGACTCTTCGGATAGAGAGCCTTCAGCACTGCTGATATCAGGATGGCTCTACTTCAAGCAAGCAACTTCCTAGTATCAACGTCGCTGCAGTCCAATGATGCGAATCAGACCAAGACCATCTGTCTCGCAAATGTGCTCTTCTTTCCGCTGTGATATCTCCAACACAAAACATTCACAAAATTGATCACTCCGATCCTCGTCTCTTCCTATCGATTCGACCTCGCTCATCCGCCGCAAACACAATCAGCTCCAGAGATTGATGGCCCGGTGCTGCAGAAGACTTTGGTACTGTCGGTGCATCCTACTGCTTGGCACTGATGCAAGTCAGAAACCCTTCAACACGACGTGCGGTAACATAACATAATATCTTACCTCTGCGGCGCAACCGGCACGACATGCATTGTCTGAAGGATAGTTCACGGTCTTGGGGCTGCAAGCGTTTGCGCTTACCAAAAAGACAGAGAACATGTAGATGAAGTAGGCGGAAGATGCGAGGAACTTCATGATGGGTGAGTTTGAAGGTGGGAAGGATTGGAAAGGATGAGAGAGAGGCGCACTGCGGCGAAGGGTCTATGATATATGTGTGGTATGGCATGTGGCCACGAAGCAGTGGAAGTACAGCCCTTCCGAACACCCAAATAAAACCCGTCGAGCCGTACGATCAAGAAATCTATAGTTCGGGTGTCCATATCGTCCGCGATCCGCATACACTGTAGAATAGCTTTTGGTAGACTAAGCTCGTTCCCTCGCGACGGGTAGTCCTCGTATACTCCTTGTGTAGGGCTGAGATTGTTTTGGACTTTCAGGAGAAAATCTCGAGCGGTAAAGCAATGGATGTGACCGGATGGACCGTGGTCAGAGGCTAGTCGACTTGCCGGGATTGTTCCGTGGTTGTACCTTTTGTATAGTAAATGCTGTTCGATATGTAGTCTATGGGTTCTCCTGTCAGCCCTAGACTATATCACGATCCCACCTCGGCTTGTTTGGATATACAAGTCATCTGGGAGCGAGGCTGTATGCTGTGAGCTACGAAGAGGCGCGTCCGTGAGGTAGCAAGTTCGACTGAAAGCACTTCATAGTCGAATGGCAGGCTCAAGTCGTTCGTGGCATGTGTAGACAATAGATTGCCAATGAGTGCAAGACGTGTAAGAATCGGCTTTAGTTGAAATGTTCATGCTTGGATCACTCTAGTCAAGCTGGATTGGGAAGAGTGTCAATTCATCCCAGAACGTGACCTCGACGTGCGATGCTTCAAAGATTCGACGAAGGACTATATAGTCAAGATCAGAGGAGAGGCTGTGCTGTGACTGCAGGAAGTCTTGAGCCGGCTGAAGCTCGGCAGCTTTCGCGGCCGGAGCCAAATCCGCGTCTCCGACGAGTCGCGTTACACCCAAAGAATTTCTGGATCATCATCCATCTCCATCATCGCCATATCGCAGCATTGCCTAACAACAAACCCCTGACGAGAAACGAACCCGAACTCCTCGGCCATCGCATCCATACTCCTTCACTGATGGTCGCAACTTCGGCCGCTCCCAGCGTGCCCATCTCCCAATCGCGCGAGCTCGGCCAGATCGATCCCTCATCAACTTCTACATCAGTACAAAATGCCGCGACCTCTCAATCGAACATCAAAGACCGCCGGCCATGGGCGCATTTTGTCGCTGGCGGCCTCGGCGGCATGACAGCTGCAACTCTCACCTCTCCTCTCGATGTCCTCAAAACTCGCCTCCAGTCCACCTTCTACCAAGCCGAACTCGCCGCCCGCCGTACAGCAAAAGGCATCCCGCCCCCATCCCAAATGTCATTCCTCCGCGCCTCATGGCTGCATATTAGCGAGACAGGCGCCATCCTCGCCGCGATTCCCAAAGTCGAGGGTTGGAGGGCATTGTTTAAGGGCTTGGGGCCGAACCTGATAGGTGTGGTTCCCGCTCGCGCAATCAACTTCTGGGCTTACGGGAATGGGAAAAGGTTCTATTCACATCAATTCTTTGGAGGACAGGATGTTGCAGGCGCACATTTGTTGGCTGCGGCGACAGCGGGGATAATCACAGGAACTGCGACGAATCCTATTTGGTTGGTGAAGACGCGGTTACAATTGGATAAAGAGCATGCGAAAGGTGCGCCGGGTCAGGGGAGGATGTATCGAAATGCGTGGGACTGTGTGGTGAAGACTGTGCGGCATGAGGGGATAAGAGGGCTGTATCGCGGGTTGACAGCGAGTTATCTGGGGGTGAGTGAAAGCACGTTGCAGTGGATGCTGTACGAGCAAGCGAAGAGGAGTCTAGCGAAACGACATGATGATTTGGTGTTGAGTGGGAGGACGCCGAATACATGGGATAAGACAGTGGAGTGGACTGGGAAGCTAACGGCTGCGGGTGGTGCGAAGTTCATCGCGGCACTGATCACATATCCCCATGAAGTGGTGAGAACGCGATTACGGCAGGCCCCTGTCGACGCGAGTGGAAGAGTCAAGTATACCGGACTCTGGAGTTGCTTTACCACAGTCTTCAAAGAGGAGGGCATGGCCAGCTTGTATGGAGGCCTTGTACCGCATATGTTCCGAGTGGTGCCCAGCGCAGCGATAATGTTTGGTGTGTACGAAGGTGTGCTGTGGAGTCTGGGCGAGAGCTCGAGTGTATGATCGAGAAGAGACGGCTGCGAAGCAATGTACAAACAGTGTAACAACAGGAAAGAGAGAGGACGAAGATCGCATTCAGAAGCTGGGCTCTGATGTGAGCCGAAGACTGCGCATGTAAAGGTAAACAGGTGTACAAAAGTCCACTCACGAGCAATGATCTACTGCTCACGTTGAAGATCTTCCCAACTACTCTTTACCTTCTTTCCAGTCTCTACGCCCTCTGAACGATCCAGGCAGCCGTCCTAACTTCTGTCCAAAAACGCGCGACATGTGGCGACGATTGTGACACCAGAGAATAAGAACATCGTCCCATTGGACCCAGCTACCTCGCAAAGACCGCTAGGACATAGTCAGGCGGTGACTCCAACAGACTGGACCCCATCTGCAATCACCATCAGCCACCACACGTGGCCGTAGGACGAAAATAATCCATCCAAGCACACTAGTAAACTGAACAGCAAATGCACTTCCCGACCGACAAACTACAATTTCCTCCACGCGCATTTCCAGTGCAAATCCGAACGCCAGAAACCAACAAGAGAAGACCGTATAATTTCCCCCAATCAGCATTGATGCCAATAGAATACGATGCCGTCCTGCCAAGAGCATAGCCAAGGAGTATTGTGATACCAAGGAAAGTCGGAGATCTAGAACGGATCTGAGTCTGGGCATCAGGTGCGGCGAAAGTTAGTACGGCGAATATTGGTGCGGCGGAGAGTCCAGAGCGTGCATAAATTGATAGATGTTCATTGCCATGGGTTTGCGTAAGTCGTCGTGTGGCGAGGTAGGAAGTAACGATACTTTGGAACAGGATTGGAGTACTGTAATGCAAAGCATAGAGAAGCAGACTCGGAAGCTCTGCTAGAAATTGTCGTCGCAAGCCGTTGACATTTGTTGACATGGGAACACGCGACAATCTTGACTGGTAGGCTTATTGTACGTATGCGCAGAATGCAGAATGTTTTATCATCAACAAAATAAGTTGATTCGATTCTCTCATCGAATTGATACTACGCTCCATACTGTCTTGCTCAGCGCAGCCTGCCATTCCAACATGAAGTTGGAGCAACTCATGGCGCATATCGGAAACCTGGAACTCCTTCCAGAATGATACCCTCCCGATCAGCCCTCTCGTTCTGCTTCTTGTAGTAGAACGACAGAACGGAAGTGATACTAGCGTGCACGAGCAGCATACCAATTGTCGCCCACATGCCAGGGTAGAATGTGGGGGCATCCTGTGTTCGGAAGATGGTGCTACCACAAACACCACCGATTGCACCCGCACTAATCATTGCGGCGGCCACCACGCCCTTCTTCTCCAACCTAGCGGTCTGATTCTGCCCATATGTCAACGTTCCGGGAACAAGAGCACCACAACCCCACGAAGCAAGGAAGAGACCGAAGTAGCGGACTCCCGGTGGGCGGGGATAAAGCATTATCAGCAGTCCCACGACGCCGATGATACAATGGGCGTTCTGGATCGGCCAGCGCATCTTGATCTTGTCGGAGAGCCAAGCCATGATGATAGTTGCAACAATGGTGAACATATAAGGCGGGGAAGAAAGAAGCTGGGCCTTGACGTATGGAAACCCCAAGCCTTGCCTGAGAATGACCGGAGCAAAGAAGGCCAGAGAGTAGACGCTGCTTGCCGAAATGAAGTACTGGACGGAGTACAGAAGCAGCTTCCAGTCGAGCAATGCAGCGCACGTTTGCTTGAAATTGAGGTGGACGATATCTTTGCCTGCTTTGTCGATGCGCACACGATCCAACGCGATTTGCTTTTGCCTCTCATCCAGGAAACGGACTCGTTCCGGAAATTCGATGAGGAAGAAGGGGGAGATGAGACCGGCAACGATGGTGGCTAGTCCTTCGACGATCTTGGCAATGTCAGCGCTGCATTTTGTTAGGGCGTCGGAGCGGAAGACTTACGAAGATCCATCTCCATCCTTGAGCATATTTTCCGTTACCAACGCTAATCAGCGATAGGGCGTACGCGAAAATGGGACCAAACCCCTGTGCTACCAGAGATGCCATGTAGAAGATGGAAATTCTCTTTGCAGTCTCGAAAGTGCGGTACCACGAGCCAATGATGTAGATCGCACCAGGAAACAAGCCGGCTTCAAAAACTCCAAGTAAAGCGCGAAGGACCGATAGGATTTTCCAGTCGTCCACAAAGCCCATACCCAGAACGCAAGCGCCCCATGTAGTGATCAGAAAGCTCAGCCAGAAGCGAGCGCCGAGGCGTCGGATCACATAGTTGGATGGCAGCTCGAACAAGCCGTAGCCAATGAAGAATACCAACAGGGCGACATTGTAGCGTGCACCCGTCAATTCGAGGTCGATATTCATTCCTGCGATGAAGGCGGCCGAGATGTTGGCTCGATCGAGGAGGGAAAGTCCGAAGACAACACAGAGCATGGGGAACAATCGAAAGTCCACTTTCTTCCTTTGAGAATGTAAGCAACATCCGCTGGATGGTGATCGATGACACTTACACAACCGTCCTCTCCTCTGCAGGTGTCCAGTCTTGCACAATGACTCCATCTCCGTCTTCCGCCACGATCTGGCCTTTTTCGTCAGAGCTTTGCGATGTCTTCTCTATTTGGTCGGCATAGTGAGTTTCTTTGCCCAGAGCCTGGACCTCTGGGGCCGTGCCGTATGTGGCCGACATGTTTGCGGCTGACCCTGTCCAGCAGACTGGCGAAGGAGGTTCGAGAAGGTGAACGAGGTGAGTCCCCCAAAAGTCGCCGTGCGATCGTCGTTCGATCAGCAGGAAACTTCACAGGGCCAACAGCAGATATAAGTGCCTCTCCGCTGCACACGAAGGCGCTTGAGCAGTCCGCTATTGCCGTGTCTACCGGGGCAATAGATATACTTGACGCCGCAGCCATGCAGCATTGGCATCTTGTCAGGCTCCGCAAGAAACGGTAATAAACTAATCAGCCACAGGAGCTGTGAGCACTAAAGTTGGGAGATCGGCGACGCGCTGCAAGCACGCGGCTTCGCGTGGCCAGATAGCAAAACCCTAAAAGCTGCTTTTCTCTTGGCCCAGTTCGAGAGGACATTCTGGCCGTACGACTCACCGTTCGGTGTTCCATTCGTACACGCATGCTGCTTCAATCGATGAACGGGAATAAGTGACTTGGAGGAGAGGCGTGGTTGTGCGCGCGCACGTCTCGCTACCGAAGCATTGGAATACTGGGGTTTCCCCGCTCATGTCAAGAATACCAAGAGAGGGCCAAGAGAAGCGGCGACGAGCTCACGTCCATTTGAGTACAGAGCCGGAGTGGTTTCCACCCATTTTTGACTCGGACCTGTCGTGAAGCTGGGCATATTGTGGAGGTCAGCTGTCTGCGATGTCACGTTCTGTGGAAGCCCGCGCGTCGCGAGGATACGATCGGAAGCGGCGATTGGTATGGGGCGTATTGGATTGCTGGTCAGTAGGATAGTGCATCGAGCGGCAGGTATGGTTGGCTGGCGCAAAAGTGCCTTAGCTGGCGCATGTCCGAGATCGGTGTCGGTGTGGTAGTTGTTGATGAAGAGTGGTATGTACGTGAGGGAGATGGAGATGGAGTTGAAGAAAGCGCGAGTTTGGCGCCTCAGGCTGTCGCGCCTGAGATCTCAAAGCTCGACTCGACTCACTCTTCGAGGCTTCAATGACAACGACTTCACCGATCAAAAAAAATAGACGTTGCGAAGGATGTGGTATGTGTGATCATCAGTACCACCTCGCTACCTCTCGCAGAATCACCGCAATCAGGATTGCCTCTTCCATGCCAGCATCACAAACATCAAACCCATCACACCCGCGATCGAACAAGCCTTTTACACCCTGCGACTGAGAATCTGTCCCTGGGCTGCCAGGAACAGATACCAGGATCGTGAACCACAGTGCTGTGCCACTAAATAGCGGTCCATGGTCAGCCCGGTGCTGTCTCAGCGTCTTCTACCTTTCTCGCACAGAATGTTCAGTAATTGACATCCCTACATGAGTAAACAGTCACCACTCAGAACATGGTCCGACAGCTTGTCCTCACACGGTGGCAACTCCAGGAAGTATAGCAGGGCATTGTCGCTGCCAGCTCGTCACATGCGCTAAGTGGACAGGTCACAGGAGAAGAAACCCGAGCAATTGAGTCCACCGCGACAGTCCATGTCCATACTTTCGTTCCGCAGACTAAAGTCTATGGATTTGGCCCCAAAAGACTGCAATCTCTTCAAGTGCAAGTAGACATGCGTCTTGACGAAAAAAAAAAGCCTCGCAAGATCGCTGGATTGCGCCTGCTAGCCAAGCCCACGTGCTCACCTTTCGCTGGCGCCAAGCACACTGAATCTTCCACATGTCCGCCTCGCTCGATTCGACGTGAAAGACGACTGTTGTACAGAATCTGAGGTATATCAATCATTTGCGAATTCATTGGAGTCTTAGTCGTTTCCGGAAGCTACAGCTACAAGCAAGACGGCACTCGAAATGGCCAAGAAAACCAAATCCAAGAGCACTGCTACTCCGAGAAAAGAAGAAAGTGGTGGGTCTAAGAAGGTGCATTTCAATACCAACTTTTAACATGTAAGTAGTCGTACAGGAAGAGACGTCGACCACTGCCAGCACCAATGGCAAGAAAATGGGTTTCCGATTCGCTCAAGGCGCGCTGATGCGAGCGCCTTTCTTGCTGTTCGGATGTTTAGTTCTCTACTTGTTGAAGCAAAACGGCTACATCTCCCCCGATGTTGATTCAAGCACGACGAGTGAAGGTACTGGAATGGGATTCTCGTTCACGCAAATCTTGGTCGTAAACATTGTTTCTGAGGCGTGTGTGAAGGTTTGGAGGATGCTTCTGCGGGAGAAGGAGATGACGAAGAAGAACATCTGAGAAAGTCCAAATGGGAATTTCAACACATTGTATACTTCTGAAGCGTATGTGTTACAGCCCGGTTCTCTGAGACATGATGAAGTACTGCTTCATTGTTCACATTTGTTGCTGACGGCTTTACTTCTAGTGCTGGCAGATCCATGTTCAGCGGCGCCTCGGCAAGAATTACTTCGCTCGAATGAAAATGCCAGATCTTCTCGAACACATAGAGCTCTGCATTGAATTCTCCACGATGCTTTGATGCGCGATCTGCTGGCATCACGCTTTTCTGCTGGCTAGAGTATACACTGATGCCAGTAATCCCACTGTTCTCGTAAGATCTTTTCAATGATTTAGCGGAATTCGGGACTCCTGTTGATGCATCGCAGGCAGTGTATGGCGTTGAAGAGTCATACACTCTGATGCGTATTCATTTCTGTCAAGACATTTATTTCACGAAGTCATGCCTATCAGCATTGCAGTTAGACGTGGACGTCATCCTGCATAAACTCTCAGCCTGTGACCGTGCTGACTTGCACCTCCCTTATGATCAGCTACCCCTCAATTGATTGGCCTCAATAAACTGCCTTAGCTCAAAAGCATGTGGCATCACCGCAAGTATATACCGTGCTTCTGCCGTCAGGTCATATTTGCCGGCCATTTCTTTTACGGCTACCAAAAATGCTGAAAGCACTGAACAGGACGTATGCTAAGCCAGTATGGCGCAGTGCTGTACGACGAGGCTTCGCTACATCAGCCATCAAAGCAGCAAATGCTGGAATCCAAGTCGAACGCATGGCGGGTGGCTGTGGCGCAGAGATCGCCAACATTGATGTGAGGCAATTGGATACGACTACAGCAAAGGACGTCCGGCAAGCTCTTCTCGACAATTGTGTCATCTTCTTCCGGAATCAAGATCTGCAGCCAGCCGAGTTTGTCAAGTTCACGTCGTTCTTTGGCCAGCCTGTCGAGTATCCATTCGTTAAAGGTATCGATGGCTTCCCGGAAGTGATTGAAGTACTCAAGAAGGAAACAGAAACTGGTGCAAACTTCGGAGGTGTTTGGCATAGTGATACGACGTATCTCTCTGAGCCTCCCATGGGATCTGTATTGCTAGCTAAAGAGATTCCAGCTGTGGGTGGCGATACCTTGTGGGCGAATCAATATCTTGCATACGAGTCTTTGAGCGATGGACTCAAGAAAACTTTGGACCCGCTCAAGTGCGTACAGAGCTCGGCAAAGGCTGACGCGAGTAAGACGAGAGAAGACCGGATCAAGGACAGTGGGAGAGGCAGTGAGCATATGGAGCAGTTTCACCCTGCTGTACGAACACACCCAGAAACCGGAAAGAAAGCACTGTTTCTGAACATCGCGCATACTACCAGGTTCGATGGCTGGACCGAAGAGGAGAGCCGCCCGCTGTTGCAATACTTGCACAAGCATCAGGTGAAGCCAGAATTTACTTGCAGGTTGAGGTGAGTCTCGAATCAGCTCGTTGAAAGCACTTTTTTGACTGTTTACAGGTGGGAAGCTGGCACGATCGCATTCTGGGTAAGTATCTGATTTCATTTATTTTCGCCTTGCTGGCGCACCAAGCTAATGATTTTCTAGGACAATCGCTGCACACAACACTATCCGCTTAATGACTATCATGGATATCGCCGAAGAATGCATCGAATAACACTTGCTGGTGACAAACCTGTCTAGATCTCGAACAAGTCGTAAAGAAGAATTACTGCAGTCTCCTCCTTTTGCTCGGCTCTTGCGATCCAGGACGATTTCCGCCATCGACCCACTCTTGAATGGTCCTCGAAGTCACATACCTGGCCATCATAGGGCCTTCTTTTCGAGCGGCAGTCACACCTCGGAGGCCTGGCTCACCGTTCGCATCAGCTGCTTCTTCCAAAGTACGTCTCGGGTTGTAGCTCTTCGGCGACGAAGTGCTTGCACCACGAGGCACAGTACCTCGATCCCGCAAACCTGGTCCGGGGGTCGGTAGTCGATACAGTCCATCGACTAGAGCAGGCGGATTTGAATCTTGAAATACATCCTCGTATTGATCAGTGACCTGCGATCGCTTCTTGCCTTCTTCTGTGTACTTCGACACTCCTGGAATGGTCTCCTCTGGAACATAATTAGGATCACTCGACCCGTTCAACTCTTCGGGAATAGCAGACAGCCTTTTCGGATCAATGGATTGGGATGCAACGAATTTCTTGACTTCGCTCATCGGCATGACATCAATCCCGCTATCCGGAGAGTCGACATGCTCGAAAAGAGATAGAGAACTGGAAGGTGTTTCTGGTCCACTAAATGTACGAAAGTTGGGGGTGCCTTTTTGTCTGACTGGCGTTGAAGGAGGCGAGTCTCCTGGAACGGAGAATGTTACCATATTCCAGAACGCGTTGAACGTTGATGCCAGCATGTTTTGGAAGCGCCAGACTACTGGGACCAGCCCCCTTTTATGGAATGGACACCAGGTGCTTCGACATTATGGGTTGCAGGAATAGTAACAATGAAATGGGGTTCGGCTTCACCGGCACAGTCCACAATGAGGGATACTTCTTTTTCCTTCTTTGTATCGACAGTCTTGTTCGTCCTGCATGTCTTTGTACTCCACTAAGATGGCTTGCCATCGAAGACTACGAGATCATTGCATTTGACGAATTACTGGCATCGCGGAGTACCGCGAGGAGACATAACGACCCTATATCCATGAGGAGAGGACACTGCAACTGATTATCTCACTATGAGAACCAGTCTTCACAGCTCTAAATTGGTGCTTGCATCTAAAATACGACGATGACAGTCCGTCCTGGATCGGAGTCTACTATTCCCATGCTGTTCACGAAATGGTAAACCAGGAAGTCATCCGACCCACGAGCAGCTGGTAGTATGGACCGAAGCGCTACCTGCTTCAAGCAATTGGCTACACGAGATCAGTACGTGGTTGACATTTCATGGTCTGAAACCAACGGACGACGTGCCCTGCGCCCTGCTCTGTAGAGTGCAATGACTAGCTGCAGGTGTCTCTTCCAAGCCTGTGAAAGCGCCTACTGCTAGTCCTGTGCTAATTGCGTCTGTCTTGGAGCAGACTGGACAGGAAGCAGCTACGCACAGTGGGACAGGATCATGAGCAAGTCTCTTTCGGCACGATTGTTCCCCCAACCGCGCGTTTATTCTGAGAGCATAGCGGACAGCTTCATTCGCCAGGTGGTCGCCTGTGCCGCACGGCAGCAGCTTTTGTAAGCCAAAATAGTCGGACTACTTGAGGCAACGCCGCAATTTACGGAACATGCTCCGAAAGAATGTCCCTTCCTAGCCAATGTTTTGATATTCAGAGACGCCGCTGCGTATGCAAAAGAGGTGTCGGGAATTTTGTTGGAGCACAGCTCCCGAGATGTGTCTGAACCGCCCAGTCCGAGGCGCCCCATCTCATGATTTGGAGCTCCGGTGTTCTTCCAGCCGCTGCGAGTACATTATCGTGCGCTTCCTGGACAGAGTACGAAGCAGAATGTAGTTGTGCTACAACATATAAGACTGTCGTGGATACGATGGTTGAAGCTACAATTCCAGTCCTCCAAGCATTATGTCTTCTAAACAAGAACAGCCCGATCAAATAGAATATGGTGTCAAGTCTTCAAAGCCGAGATCGACTCCGCCGCACCCGACCCACTCGACCCTGTGAAGCGTTATCACGATGGTGTCTTCGTGAACGTGGATCCTGAAGCTGGCAAAGGAACACTATTTCATGTTACAGGCGATATCATTGCGGCCAGCGGCATGTACTACGACGAGAAGAAAGGCTGGAAGCCCGGACAATCTGGCCTTTTGCACAGACTGACGCCGATTGGACATGTTCTAAAGTCGGACCACGATTCCGGAAGGATCACCGCTATCCTGAGCGCTTTACCTACACCGACGAAACAACAAGGCATCAATTTCTGGGAGAAAGATCCAGTGACCAACAGATATGAGATCACATGGACCAAGGAAAATGGCGAGCTTTATGGACCTGGAGAGCAAAGGAGGCCGATCTTCAAATGCAACGAATGGACAGCTCAGCATGCTATTCCTGCTTTGCAAAGGGCTGGTATTCTGCGTCCATGGTCGTAAAAGGAGGTTGCAAGGAGAGCATGTTACATGTCTGGCATTTTGGAGGGAGATCTTTTGGTCAAACACATTCGCTGCGGCTGTTTTGATTCGGAGTTTGATGAAGCCATGGAATGCGGTTGTAGGCGACATCTGTGGTGCAATTGATCCATGGAGACATCGAAAGATTTAACTATAATCTTTCTCGAACATAGTCAAGGCAGCTGCTTCAGCAAGGCGTACGTCCAAGAACTTCCCAACGTACCAGCACCAGTCATCATGAATGCCCGTCAGATTGAATTCTTTGGAAGCTGAGTAGTATTCCCAGAACTCTGGCAGCCAGGCCGCCATCTCCCAGTCCACGAGGAAAACATCAAAACGTCTCTCGCTTTCTTCAGGTGTACTTCGTTTCCTCTCCGCGACCATGATGTTCCGTCGCTGCACATCTCCGTGGGTAAGGACTGGAGACAGACCTCGAAGCGCGTTGCTAAGGTGATCCTCGTAGAATTGGACTTTGAACACGGGATGACCATTCCGCTCCCTCGAAGCACGAAAATTGCTCGTAAGACCTTCGAGAAAGGCTGCCTCGCCGTGGAATGGACCCAAAAGGTCTTGGTCATCATCTTTTTGATTGAAGAAAAGGTGGTGGTTCACTCCCTCGCCTGCCAAGCCTCCGAAATAAGCCGGTGCAGGGCACACTGTCTCTCGAAGCTGATGGAATACATTGTGAAGTTCTGCGACAATGAACTGCTTCTCCGAACTTGTCAAAGACGGCCAGAGCTTCTCCAATTGTACCCCTGGAGCGCGCTGCATGACCAGGAACAATTCCTTCTCGTGGTAATACATGGCGTAGAGTCGTGGGGCTGGCACTTTGGGCACGTGTCGCTCGAGATAGATCAGTGCCTGTCCCTCCCGTTCAAGCACATCACCGCCGAATTTGGCGACAATCTGCTGGCTCACTGCGACGATCTTCGCGCGGAAACGTTCGTGTAGAACATCTGTGCAACCACGAATATCTTCTGCGCTGGGAAGTTTGTCCACGGGGCCGCTGTTGGCGAAGTAGGGAAGGGACACCGGTGTCCACGGAGTACCATTGTCTGTGGTCATCGTGAGCCTGAATGGTGTTTACACGCAGGCGTGCATAAGATGCAAGGACTAAGATGAAGGTGGAGGCACAAGTAGGTCAAGGGGTCGCTGTTCTTGGCATTGTTAGATGACTCAGCAACTGAGACATTCCACCTGGCAGGTTCTCACCTGCCCGCCCCACGCAGGTACTTCCAGTGCTCACCAGCAAGCAAGCAATCTATTGTTGACATTGACTCGCAGGCAGTATCTTTTGCATTCAACTCCACGCTATCATCGCAGCGACCTGCACGAATCTGTTCGAGAACCTATCTCCTATCTTGTGCCCAGATGCTGCCTCAAGCGCTTATCAAGGTTCGCTCTGGGTGCTACGACCACCTTCTGGAGCGAGCACGGGGTTTGAGAAGTAGATAGCTCGAGAACGCGAGTTACATTCTGTACTCAGCGATAGCTTCCTCGAGTTCTCCAGCTGATTTCGAGACTCAGCACTTAGGCCTCGATCGATGCGTGTCTCCGATCGAAAAACACGGCACGAGCAATGAGCAAGACGAAGCAAAGGACCGATTTCATTACTCAAATTCCTCCCATCAGTGATGTAAAGTCATTGAAAACGCGAACGACTTTCCTTTGAGTCCTGTTCACAACGAAGTTGAGAAAGCAGCTATGGTAGTGAGCCCGAGTCCAGATCAACAAAGTGCAATTGCGGAGTGTCTGCGCCAGGGTTCACCGAGCACACCTCTTTGCCGACTGGCAGATATTTTGTCCGCAGTGGGCAAGACTACTGCAGGTGAGCAGCTTGTGTTTGGTAGAGCATCACGCCCGGGGAGTGATGAACCAATCATCTAGATTTTCTCAAGTCCGTCTGGGCCAGATTGGAGACCTAGTCGTCACTGACTACCAATCCTTCCTGGAGTCGGTGCTGACAGGCTTGCGAGTGTACCGGAGAACTTTCAAAATGGTGCGAGTAATATCTTGCTTGTATCCCTGTCGATCAATTCGGCTATGGTCGTGATTGCTATCATGTACGGGATCAGTCTTCACAACAACGCAAGTGTGCCTCTTCCCGGGCTGTACGGAGACTCGTTGCTGACCAAGATACAGAAATCGTCTTCAATACCTTATCGCGTCGCATACTATACCGCGTTGGCTACATCAATTTCGATCAACATAATCGCCTTCATCGTTGCAACCGTTCAGACGAAGCAAAGTACCACATGGAGCTACACAACTGTGTACTCCTTGGGTAGATATACTCACGAGTTTTGGGCGTGCCAGATGCAGCATAATATCAGGCAAAGGCGATCCCAATTAGGAAACGACTGTCGGCTTGCGGTATGATCTCTTGTTTTACCTCTCTGCGAATGGCACTGACCTGTGGACGGATGACCAGTCGCTGGCTTGCAATTGTGATCACGGTTGCTCTCGCTGGGATCCATGGCTTGATGTCGCTCAAAAGCCGATCGAACCAGAGAAGCTTACAGCACAAACAGAACTTCGTGCATGACCTCAGCTACGAGGCCCCGCCAGTTCCCCCAGTGAAAGATGTCCCACGCACTCGTGTGCGATGAGGATTGTCCAGAGTTCAGCTTGCATGAAAATTGTGAAAGCAGCTATCGCAACGAGCCCGGGCCCAGATCATCGCATACTGCCGGGAAGGAACACTCAAACCAAGCATTGGGTAATACGAATAAATGGATGATGTTACAGCCCTTCTATCCTTTCTCGAATTCTTCGGAATAGCGCCAATGAAAAGCGCCGAATTGTGCCAGCGAATCTGCGACAGGAGCCCACAATTGCGTGATTGTGATTGCTACTTGATGGCGAGCGCCAAACAGCACGAAGAGCATTAGCGAGAAGGGTGCAGAGTAGGAAGCGGACAACATGCGTCCATCTTGATGAGCGGGCCGCGAAGTACTGGCTCTTGATGGAGTGAGGGTGTTGTTTGATTAGGAAGAAGAGGAAGCTTCACTCAAGTCGTGTCGTTGGCGGCAATTGGGCTTGGCATATCTTGGCATGATGCTGCCAGTCACGAGCACGATCAATCTATGTCAAAGCCCTTCTGAAAATTATATTGGCATGCTCCCAACAGACTGGCATGTGCTTAGCCCGCAATGAGCAAGACTACTGCATGTAAGTAGCGTTCTTCGTAGTAAGTCAAACGCCGTCAAAGTGACGAATCGATCAACGGCTCGACAGTCTAGACCTTCTGAGGTCTGAGCTGGAGCATTGAAGGCTCGATCCTCGCTGACCACCAAACCCTGACTATGAGACTGACAAGGAAACACTTGTAGCAGTATGCTTACTGTTGCCAAGCTGCAGCGCGTTCAGAATCAGGAATACAAGGGTTGGAGGGCAAGAGAAGTAGGCGTTGTTCGGCGCTTGTCATCGAAGCTTGATTTTGTCATTTGAACAGCGCCATCCTTGAACCAATATTCAGAGCGAGGGTCCGCTTGCAAAAGCGAGCTCGCAAGAGACTTTTGGGGAGCAGTGTAGAAGGAAGTTCGTTCTGTGATCGTTTCCTTGGACAGCGGTGAAGTGTCCGAACATAAAACTGAACTGGCAAGAGTATTATCATTATATCGACATTCGTAAACTTCATCTGACTTCGTGACCGAACTTTTTGCAACCGATTCTTTTCGCATCGCCACCGACGTACAGCTCTTCGAAATGACTTCGTTCCTCATCGATCCGACGAATCACGCCGCTTGCATTCCTTCCATCTCAAGCAGCACATTCCAAGTTGCCATCCTCACCAACCTTGCAATTAACACCTCCGTTGGGGTTGTTATTCTGGTTCCCACCAGTTGTGCGCGAGGCCGAGAACTTCCCAAACGGCGTGTCGACAGAAGCGGATTCCGTGCTATCGAGGAGGCAAGGAGTGATATTTCCCCGTAGATCACGGCAGACATTTCTGTTGTCTGGCTGGTAACGTCCATTACATGGGACAATGTTGTTGTAGAAATCGCGGCAGTACTGTGGCTGAGGCTGATTGCACGGGTACTGTCTGCCAAAGTCGTCGTAGCATTGTCGTTGGGGGTAATAATAGCCAAAGTATTGCTGGATCCTGTGTGAAAGAAGCAGTGTCAGTTTATAGGCACTTCAATGAAGAAGTGTAGAAGATGTGTGGTCTACGCACCAGTCATTGTAAGTGCAGAAATACCACTGTCCAGTCCAAGTATCCTGGCAGACATGTTGCGAGTAGTAGCTATCTGGACCACATGAAGAGTAGCCGCGATAGTTGTCGTAGCACCACGCGTTGGTGGCATCTAGTTTCTGAGCGTCTTGCTGCTGCTGAGCACTGAGCTGCCCTTGCTGAGCCTTGGCATTTTGTTGCTCCTGAGTTCCAGCGGACTGGGCTTGCTGCTGCTTGCTTTGCACCTGCTGAGGAGCGGCAGCCTGGTCCGATGACTGAGTGTTCTGCTGGGCAGCCTGTGCCTGGTCGTCACGAGCGATCAGACCCTGTATGTTGTCAGTCTTCATATGGATAAAATCGTTTGGTCGAAGTGGGCATACTTCTGAGCCAATAGGGGCTGGAAATGCAGCGGCACCCGTGGCAATGGCTGCCAAAATTGTAGCGAATGTAGTTGCCTTCATTCTGATTGGGTGGGTGCTGATTGGAAAGTGTTCTGAATATGACGAGCCTGTATGGGGATTGGACAAAAGAAGCTGATGATCGAGGTTGGTGATATAGAATCTGACAGCAAGCGTAGCAGATACTTATAGCGACTACCTCATGGCCCACTGCATTCGAATCGCTTCAAGCCCTACTAATCGCTTGGTGCAGATGCCAGTGCCCATCGCATCGAAGTGCCGGCTGCAAATCGCCCACCAATGCTCTGGTGGCGGCTTCTGTACTGTGGTTGCAGTGTATACCATGAAAGCCGATGTACAGGGCAGCGCTGACCACAGATACCTGGTTGCTGCGGTCGTTACTGGCTGGAGAACGACCAGTGTCGTCCAAAGAGGAAAATAGATGAATTCTGCGCCTCAAAGCCATCTTCGTACCCTCTTAGGGTTGCGAGTATCGTCCCTAATTTAGAAGCACCGACGGAAACTGGCATGATCTTCATCTAGAGTTTTGGGAAGGGCAGGGAAGGTGGACTGACTGTGCTAAAAATCGATACTTGACTCGAGCAGGCTCTCCCCTACAATACGTGAAGCTTCGGCCGCCGAAGACATTCTTTGCATCGCAAGCTTTGCCAGCACATCGTACTCGCCACCAAAGAACTGTGGTTGCGACTTGTGAAAGTTGTGAAGCGATGTGATCAAGTCGACGCGCCACGAGCATCCTCGATGAATGACGTCTGGCAGAATCTAGATCCCGATACGGCGTGAAGTGCGAAAAAGCTTCGAGCAAGCTGGTAGCTTCCGCCCATATCCGGTGTACCCATTCCTTCTGTACGTGGTGTGCAATGGCACAAAGGCAACGCCTCGTATGACAGGTGATACGCTGCTGACGAGGGCCTGCCAGAGAGCATTGTGAGCAATTTTCGAGACACCGGCCAATCGACGGAACATTCCACTGAGAACCGTGCTCGGGATGTCACCAAGCAAGCTATTCGGCCACAAGCGGACCGACTCCAAAGGGTATTCCAAGATGCATGCTGCGGGCGGCAAGTCGAAGGCTGAGGAGGAAGCTGAGTCTCGCCGTGGCTCGTGCGACAGCTCATATTCCACCACTTCGGAGAGAGAAGCGGGCCATCTGAAGAGGTCGAAGACAGGTCAGAGCGAGGCTACGACGAGATCGGGAGCTTCGAGAAAGACGAGCTCTACTTCAAGTTCCTCATACCGGGAACGGCATCCATGGGCATTCCCGTTCGGCCGGAAGAAATCAAGCGCAGCAGAGGGAGATATCTTTGAAAGGTCTCAGCAGGCCGCCGTTGAAAGAGCAGCGCGCAAGGACGCAAAAGCTGCGAAGAAGCATGGAGAGAAGGAGAAAATGGCCAAAGAGAGTAGACAGTGGCCGGAACACCTCGGGTGGTTTTATGGCGCATCCGTACCCGGATATTTTGTGATATAGGAGGCGATGGTATAGCACTCTCAGCACCAGAGCGTTTCGTGAAAGCCCATGGCAGAAGACTGGTACTGCGTCAGGAGATGTAGATAGAGCTGTCCGACTATTTGGGGACTAGAAGGAACGATGTCGCTAGTTTGACGCTAGTGCTTAATGACGCATGTGAAATGATGCCTTCAACCTCGAGGTGTTCATTGTTCTCCAACCTCATACACTGTCGTTCACTTACACCGCCGCCGCCAACAGCAGCTCGTCTTGAGGCATGCTTCGCGTCTTCCGGCCAGTATGCCGGCAATGCGCAAGCAAGACCCTCGCGAGTCCATCTCGTTTCGGAGCAGACCAGCAACTCCGACAAAGTAGCACGCGAGCATTTTTCCCACCACGCCACACGCGACCACGATCATTACCGCTCTCCTCTCCCGTTCTTCGACGCTTCCAAGGCCAATTTACGCACGCGAAGCCTCCCTCGCCCGCTGACCTCGGCGCACCGAAGCAAGCGAAACAGTATCGCAAGAGCCGCAAATGGCTCCGTCGCCTGATCAGGACCTCTCTCGCAGTGGCCGTGGTGCTAGGTATCGACACACAGTTCTATGATGCCTGTCTTACTCGCAGCGTTCGGACGTTCTCCATTGGTCTGCTTATTGCTCTCGACTATAAGCTCAACTTTCGCGCCGACCCATGGATTGGCGACAGCGTTGAAGATTTACACCACCGGAGTGCAGTACGAGTGTTCGAACTGCTTCGTGCCAATGGAGGGCTATACCTGAAGATCGGGCAGGCCATTGCCATGCAGAGTGCTGTGCTGCCACCGGAGTTTCAAAAAATGTTCGCGAGGATGTTCGATGATGCGCCGCAGAACGATTGGAAAGAGGTCGAGAAGGTCATTCGAGAGGACTTTGGCAAGAGTGTGGAAGAAGTTTTCGGCGTCAGCTTCACGGGAGAGCCAGGGAAGGGGATTATGGAGAGGACGGCGAGAGCGTCTGCGAGTGTGGCCCAGGTACATTGGGCACGCCTGCCAGATGGGCGAGAGGTCGCAGTCAAGGTACAGAAGAAGGAGATTGCCAGACAAGTGGGATGGGACTTGTGGGCCTTCCGGGTTGTGAGCAGAATCTACTCGTACTGGTTCGATCTGCCTCTATACCACCTCGTGCCATACGTCTGCGACAGACTTCTGGCAGAGTGCAACTTCGAGTATGAGGCTGAGAACGCCCGACAAATGCGCAGACTCATCCAAGGTGAACCGCGACTGCGGGATCGCGTCTACATTCCTGACGCCTATCCTGAATTGACTTCCCGCCGCGTCATGACCGCCGAGTGGATTGAGGGCATCCGTCTCTGGGATAAGGAAGGCATCACTGGAAGTTGGCAAGGCGGCTGGCGTCGAGGCTCTCCAGGTGCAGGTGGCAGTCAGCTTCCTCCTGTTCCTCAGACGCTGCACCAATCCATCCCAACCAACAACCCGAATGACGAAAAGCTTAAGCCCACTCGCGACGAATGGCGAGGTACAGACAAAAAGGGAGGCCTCGGACTCGCCTTGAGACCAGTCATGCAGACAATGGTCGATCTCTTCAGCGCCCAGATGTTCCTCTGGGGCCTCGTCCACTGCGATCCCCATCCTGGCAACATCTTCATTCGTCGAAAGCCCAACGGCAAGCCCGAACTCGTTCTTATCGATCACGGGTTATACATCAAAATGAACCCCAATTTCCGCAAGCAGTATGCGCTTTTCTGGCGTTCACTCATGACCTTTGATGACAAGACCATCAAACGAATCACGAGCGAGGAATGGGGTATCAACGCGCCTGACATCTTCGCAAGTGCCACTCTCATGAAACCGTATGAAGGTGGCGGCAATAAAGTCATGAAAGAACTGCAGTCCATGTCCAAGAAGGAACAGAAGGAGCGGCAATTCGAAATGCAGCAACACATGCGGAAAGGCATTCGAGACATACTTGCGAACCAGGACAAATTCCCGCAAGAACTGATCTTTATTGGTCGAAATTTGCGCATCGTGCAAGGCAATAATCAGTTCCTCGGAAGTCCGGTCAATCGTATCAAAATCACTGGATACTGGGCCAGTCGTGCCCTGACTGAAGATCGAGACGCGACACTTGGACATCGCTGGGCTGAGTATGGGAGACATTTGTTGTTCAATGTCGTCCTGCTGAGTACGGATTTGTGGTTCTACTATGCGAAGTTCAGGCAGTTCCTGGGACTGGGCAGGGGAATGGACGATGATATTGAGCAGAGTATGAAAAAGATGGCTGAAGGGTGGGTTGAAATTCGCTTTGCGATCAATGAATGATTTGAGCTGTGCTAATGAACTTACAGGATGGGTGTGGAGTTGCAGCATGGAGTGTTTGACGGGTGAGGTCGTCCGGTTTTCGCATCTGTGGTGACGATGTGTACGACGAATACGACGAAAGGGGAGAGGCGAGAGCGAGCAAGCGCTCGATGTATGGTTCTTGTCGATGGTTCAGGTTTGAGCATTTCCGTCCAGAGCGTGATCTGATAGATGTACAGAGGTAGACGAAGACGTCGGAATACAGGACCAGCTTATTATTCACATCTGTCCTTTGCCCTGCTGTCTGTTCAAACATTCCACTTGCAAAGGCACCCGCGTATCGTATCCGAGCTGGCGGGCTTGGTACTGCCGTACAGAATCGTCATTTCCGGAGAAGTGACAGCCTACCAATGAGTCTAGATCAGAATCTCATGGTTCCACGCGATTTCCGAGATGTTGCCGGACGCCCCAATATTCGATATGTCTTGCCTCAAAGTGCGGCTTCCCAGACCATCGTCCGCGACTGTGAACTCGATATCACTCGAATAATGAGACGATGAGCGCAAAGATGAAAGGCATGCCAAGAAACCTTTCAACACCGTATGCCAAGCAGCTCCGGAGAGAACTGGTCCAGTCGAAAACGGCTCTCCAGGAGCCATCGCCGCGCGTTTCCGTCTTCTGGGCGAATCAGCGAGCACGAATCTCCTGGCGACAGGCCACGCCGTCTGCACGCCGATCAGCCCGATTTGGGTGCCTGACGATCATTCTCGTATTCTAGTCAGTGGGAACTGCTTGCGGTATAGCCGCAGACCACGCGGTCTGCCAACTCCTCCTTCTGCTGTGCCAAACGACCTCACCACGGTAATGTAGTCACGCATTCGTTGTACACAGCATATTCTTGCCATTCACTCGTTATACCCACTCGCGCATTGCTGCGCAATCACGCTCCTTCTTTTGGTTTTCGGTACAACTGCTCTATGGATGCGACAGATGCCTTCCGTACTGCATTCTGAATCACGGTCGTTCTCGCTGCTATTGTTTTCGCTCTACGTTCTTTCTTTACTGGTGCATGATGCGCTTGCCGTGGGAGTCACATTCACCACTCCGGCTGCTGGAGCGACTTGGCCCGCAGGGCCAATAGTGAGTATTCCGCGAGAACTCGGCACTGCGACGCAATGGGCGGAGCGACTGACTGCGATCCTGAATAGACTGTGAGATGGACCGACGCGGGTGGCTCGCCAGACATGGCCGCCTTGGACACATACGAACTACAACTAATAGTAGGAGGCAACGACCCTCTGAACTCGAAACCCATTGCGACGATTGGAAGTCCTGGCGGAAAGGTCTCGACAGGCCGGATCACAGGCACTATTGACCCGGAAATCGCGCAGTCCTTCGAGAATGGGTTCTACTTCCGAATGATCAGCAATACTACCGACGGGAATACTGTCATCAACTACTCGAACCGGTTCACATTGATCAACATGAAAGGCACAACAGACAGTGCGTATCTGGATGGCGCGAATGCTGCGCGGGGAAGCGGGAACGTCCCAGCTGCGCAGTACAACATCGTTGCGCAGCCTACGAACACTGCGATCGCCAGCTCATCTGCGACTCCGACGACGACCGTTTTACCGACGGCGACCGCGACTGCGACAGAAACGAGCACACCATCGGACGACGGTCCAGGACTGGGCATGATGATCGGGATCGGAGTGGGCTCATTTTTGGCACTTGTTGGAGTTGTCAGCCTGTTTGTATGGGCTTTCATGCTATACAGACACAAGAAGAAGCGGAAAGAACAGCAAAGGTTAAAGAACAACAGCAATGATCTCGACCGCCCACGCGGCGTTTCTCAATTCGGCAAGGCGGAACTGCCTGCACGGAACTCTCTTGCGACGCCGCAATCTGCGTATCCGACCGAACTCAGTCCGATTGGGGCCAAATACGAGCTGGAAGGCGATGGGAGAGCAGTAGAAGCAGCGCGAGCTTCAATATATGAATTGGATAGTGGATGGGATGGCTGGGAAGCAATGAGCGGGAGGAAAAGTAAGGCATACGATCCTACGAATGTGGTGTGATAAGACATCACTGGGTAGGATGAACATAATGAATAAACGAATTGCACACACCAGTCCCAAGCACGACTACCTCTGTGCGATGGGAAGCTTCCGAGCCCGAGAAGAAGGCATCGCGATCCGTTTCTGTCCGGAGATGAGGCGATTTGGTGTCGCAGACTTGAGACTAACACCAAGCAGATAGCTTCGTGGCGTCGAATGACTGGCCCATCTTAAAACCGTTCCAAAAGGCAAGCAACTATCGCGGCGCGGGCGAATATTGAGATTTCGTCTTCGGTGAAGCGGACTGACCAACTATCCGGCGGATAAACACATCGTGACTCATCTTTGCTCGAACGTCACATATGGTCACAGTGTGCAAGGAGCCTGATCAATGATGGAGGCACCACTTTCAACTGCGGACCTCGCATTTAAGCATCGTGAATAACAATAAAGCCGGAGCGGGGCGAATGAATCCTTCCTACATCAAACAACATTCAGCACGACAGCAAGTGAAAGCTCCAAGAATAAGAAATATCTGACGATATACAACCTGGCCGAAATTGTCGAAGATGTCCCAAAAACCAGGTGCAAAGCTCAGAAATAATGGTATCGATTTCACGCCCACTATTCACAACGAGACCTACGACTTTATCAACCCGGAACAGTTCGACCTCGATGGTCGCGCTGTACTCATAACCGGCGCGTCGAAGGGAATCGGCAGAGCCACAGCACTCAGCTATGCGAGAGCCGGGACATCATACATTGCCATCGCGGCTCGATCTGGAATGGAAGCTCTGGCGACAGAAATGACTGAAGCGGCAACCAAAGCCGGAAAGAAGACTCCCAAAGTTCTGCCTTTGAGCATTGATGTTACCAGTAAGGAGAGTGTGCAGAAAGCTGCGAAGGACATCGAACAAAGCTTCGGAAGGCTGGATATCTTGATCAATAATGCCGGATACATGGAAAAACTTGCCCCGATTATTGAGCAGGACGCCGACGACTGGTGGAAAGTCTGGGAGGTCAACATCAAAGGACCTTATCTCGTCACCCAAGCTCTTTTGCCGCTGATATTGAAGACACAAGATAGTCTCAAGATTATTCTCAACGTCGCATCGATAGGAGCGCATCAGATGCTGCCTGGAGGATCGGGATATCAGACTGGCAAATTGGCACTGCTGAGATTCGGGGAGTTTCTGAATCTGGACTATAAGGATCGAGGTCTATTGTCTTTTGGTATTCATCCGGGAGGGGTCATGACTTCGCTTGCGACCGGTCTACCACAGGATATGCATGGTTTGTTGATGGATACGCCTGAGCTGGCTGGAGACTCGATTGTTTGGCTGACATCTGAGAGGAGAGAGTGGCTTGCGGGGAGGTATGTCAGCTGTACATGGGATTTCAATGAGTTGTTGCAGAAGCGAGGGAAAATTGTGAAGGAGGATCTGTTGAAGGTGAGGATGGATGTCGGGATGGACTAGGGCTGAGAAGTGTTTTGGGCGATTTCTTGTTGAATATCACCACGCAGGAAGGTCTCCATCGGGATATCACACAATATGCAGGGATATTCAGCTCGTCTCGTTCCCCGCGTGGAAGCACATGAAACAGATTGTCTTGGCAAAAAGTCTCCATAGCAACGGGCACAAATTCAAGCTACAGCTTTGTGCAGCTCAACAATGAGGCTTGCTTATATGCAGGTCTCGGCTTCCGAGAAATGGTACCGAATCACCTTATGGAAAACACGACGCCCCAGGCGTACAAGCATGCTGGTCGCAGAGCTTTGGTAGGTTGTGAGAGAGTCAGGAACCTTGGCTGTGGCGTCGGTCGAGGTGCTTTGTGATGCCTTGGCCTGTGTCATTCCTGTAGGTGACCTGACCTGGTTCTTTGTTACACGAATGCGTGCTGTCGTCTGACAACATTCGGGAGCTGAAAGAAAGAAGTGAATTTGGGAAGGTACATCTCACATCTGCATCTTCACATGGGATTTGTTGTTCGTTGTGAGGAAGGAACTTGGTGATCAGACGGCAAGCTTAAAACGGACTTCACCTGGTCAACTACACCCAACCGACACACGTTAGAACACCAAGAAACAATGTCTTCGACTCCATCCGCGCTCGGCAACGCCCTCGCCGGTGTTTCTTCAGACGCGTGGTACTCGATCCAGGCTTTCGCAACAGACTATTACCTTGGCCTCTCCAGCTGTAGGTTCTGCTTCAGCGACACTTCAGTGCCAGTGACTAATTTTATGCGAATATAGCTACACCTCCATCTGCAGTACAGCTCAGCGACGTCGAAGACTCGACGCTATGGCAATTCGTTGCTGCTGGTCCTGATGCGAGCCGAGGCGTGTATGCTCTGAGATCGAAGACTTCGGAGGGGAGGTTCTGTCTCTATGATGGGTGTGATGGGCCAGAGCTTTGTGTCGAGCCACCGACTGTGAGAGAATGTGGCAATGACGCGGCAGAGTAAGTTGTGGTTTCGTCAAGGTTTTCGAGCTGGCGACAGCATGGTCTAACGATGATCAGGTTCCAAGTCTTCAACAGCTCGTCCGATTCCGGCGGCCTTCTCTTCACAACATTCTCATCGAATGGTCGAGCAGCACTTTCAGTTGACGCAAACAGTGCTGAAGGCGATGTTGTCAATACCAGCGACATCCTCACCACAAATCAGGACGAGGTCGGGTATCTGTGGGCGATTCGGAGTGAGGAGGCAGTCGATACTGCCGCATACCCCGCTACATTTGTGAGGACCTACGACCCATCTCCATCGTGAGGCAAGTGGCTAATATTTATAACAGACCCCGACTTTCGGCACGATTCCAACCGGCTCGCCCAATGCAACCGCATCAGGCTCGCCTACCAGCGCTGGGCCATCCGCTGTCACCCAGACGACTCTAACGACGATCACACCGAGTGCTTCGGGCGATGTCAGCGCTGCTACCGCTGATTCGAGCAGCGCATCGCAGACGTCAGATGCTCAAGGATCTGAGACTTCAGCACCCGCTCAGCAGACTGGTTCAAGCGCCGCCCATACCGGAATCTCGTTCAAGTCGGTACTCCTGGGCGCGGCATTTTCTGCGATGATTGGCTTGATGATGTAGAAGAGCAAGAAATTGCGACATTGATAAGGTGAAAATTAACGATTAGAGATGAGACCTGACGAGTGACGAGGCAATCATGAGTTTTTCGGTGGCCTTGGCCTGGCACAAGATTGCAAATAATGTAATATATCACATCAGAGGTGCACACAGCTCTACGTGGTGCAAAAAGTGTTTTGCTCAAGTCGTTAGAGAGCATCGTTGTTGGAATCTCAGCGAAGTATATGATATCCTGTAATTTCGAGCAGGTCAAACCTAACAACTGATCAGTCATATAAGTAGATATCACATGTGATAGCCTGAGTTCACAGCATCTGAGGTTCCACGTGGCGAAAGAATGTTTCCAGAATGAATCGTGGACATTGGCGAAAGTGAGGCTTTCACTTCAGCTTTCACTTCGTGCCCGCTTTCATGTGCGTTCGCTGACGCAATGCGGGCTTCTTCACGAGCACCACTACCCACCCACGCTCACAGCTCCGACTGCCTTTGCTGTCTGTACATGAACGCTCTAGACGCGCAGCACCACTACCTCTACTTCAACATTCATCAGTCGAGTAGGTCAGGGCATACTCCACGATGGCAGCCACGCAGGACACGCCCAAACGCCAGCGCGAAGAAGATGTCGCCACACCGCCGGCGTCGAAGCGCTCAAGGTCTGTCGCCGCTTGAGGTGAAGCTCATAGTGCCGAAGCTGACGGTCATCAGATACGACTTTGTCAATGCTGTGAAAGTGGTCGCCGGTAGTGGCAAAAAGCAGAAGATCTTCGTTCTCCACTGCGAGGTCGTCTGCAGACGCTCGCATTTTCTCAAGCAAAAGTGCCTCGAGCTTGACACCAAGGATGATGCGGACAGAGTCATCGAGTTGCCAGTTGTGACGCCAGCATCTTTCAAAGCTTACGCCAAGTATCTTTACGAAGAGGATTGCGAGTTGCACGTCTCAGTGTCCTCCAGACTCATCCCGTTGAGCGAATACAAAGACCTGTTCGAGAGGATGCGCGTCCTGGGAAAATACTGGCAGATGGGAGATATTCTCCAGGACGCCGTGTTCACCAACAAGACCATCGACAGCCTAATTCTGCTCATGCTCGAAGTCGACCGCGCGCACCTTGCCGCCTTTGCAGCCACAGCTGGCCTGACAGTCCCCGAATTCCCCAAGCTGCGGAGGCTTGCCGTTGACGTTTTGGCCAAGCGCGTCACAGCCACTGACATGTGCTGTCTTTGGCGTCTGAACCGTGAATTGATGTGGGAAATCCAAGTGGCAATGCTGCGACTGCGCGACTCCCTGGCGGAGCAAGTCCCGGTCAATCCTACGTGGCTGGAGGAGCATCGTCAGAAAGTTCTTGAAGATGATTAGGTACGTCTGCGGCCCGCCCATGAGTAGGGCAGCGCGAAGTGTGCTAATGCTGCAAAGGAAACCGGCCGCTCGCTTCATACATTCCTGGCTGCATGGGAAAGTCGATTCGGCAGAGCTGCATTTGCACACATTTCGACACGACTTTTCGCAGCGTCGTCGGACAGTTCCGTCAGTAACTCTAGCATCTTCTGCTTCAATTCCGCCATCCTACGGCCTCCATAAGGGGTCTGACATGCCAAGAGCGCACATCGAGAATATACGAACGACCTTCTGCGATACCAACGTCATATCAAAGCCCAAATCAGAGGACAGCTGTGAAGCTCCTGGCTTTCACAGGTGCATCCACCGTGAGTTACAGATAGCATCCCAATACAAGTCCCCTGGTTCTACCAACCAATCATCCTCTGCCCAGAAAAGACGGCGGCAGCATTCTTCTGCACGACGCTGAATCTCGTTGCTCCACAGCTCTCGCTCTCGAGGTGATTGAATAGCTGCGCGAGGGCAGTAAACTGTCTCCCACAAGAACGGCTTAGACAATGGTAGATCTTCTGCTTGTGGGCCGGCGAGCTAACATGCTGATTCAGGGCGCGTAGAGAGCCGAAGTCACGATGGCACAGGTAGCATTCGTAGGCGTAGCCGTTCCAGCTGGCGCTACTCGCAACCAACTCGGCGTTCTCTTCTTCGTGCCAAGTCAGCTGCTTGTTGGTGATGGCTCCTCGAGTGTCCACGCTCATTGATGATCTTGTAGATGGTCTCTCGATTCAAGTTACGTGCTGCTGGGCAAGCACCAGTCTCGAGGTGATGTGCCACGCCGCTCGCAGTAGTATGTCCCTGCTGAGTGTCAGCATGGAAACCCAGTAACTCGCACACGAACGTCCACTTACCCTCTTGCAAAAAGGGCAGGTGATACTGTTCGCCATATGAGCTGCTCCTCGAAGGTGCTAGAAGATGTGAGCTAACAGATAACGCCCAGCAAGACGATCACACAATCTTTATACCTGCTGGAGGTTGTTCTCATTCTGGAAACCCCTCTGGCATTCACAGCAATAGTGCTGTCGCCAGTGGTTGTTATTGTCCATATGTCGTCGAGCGCCATTGAAAGAGTCGAACTGTAGACTGCAGGCTTCACAACCATATCTCGGTGCCCAGTGGTCGCAATCGTTCATATGCTGATTGCAGGCATTTTGAGTATAGAACTGATCGGTGCAGGTCTCGCATTCGACACAGTGATCGACCGCATCCATGTGCTGATTGCGCGCATGCCAGGAGCCGAACTCGCGGGGACACGTCGCGCACTCCCACATCTTGACTGGCGATGTCTGTGCACGAGTTGACGAGTTGTTGAACAGGAAACAATCGGAGGTCGCGACAGAGCGGAGGTAATAGGGGTGGATACTTCCGGACCGAGAAGTTCCGCCGCCGGCAAGGACAACCACAACCACCAGGGATGTCTTGTTCTCAGCAAATTGACATCGTCACGAGAGCTTCTCGAATGCGGTCTATCCTCGAGTTCGGATGTATGATCCAGATGTACAGCGGCTTCGATGGAGTCGCAGGCACGCAGATCGAGCGACATTCTGGATCTTTCTCGAGCTTGCCCATGTTCTCGAGCCCAAGGGCTGCACGAAATCACGAAGACCCTATCGGTCGTTCACAGTGCCGTGCTCCGCATACGCCAGTGGTCACGTCGCAAGCAGTCTCTACGTCTAGAAGCATGGTACGAAGCGATCATCTACGAGTCAGTGACCTGAGCTGTGAGCGGAAAATGGGATCTCGGCCGGAATGAGATCTGAGGGAGAAAAAAACCGCCTCTACCTCACATAGAAGTACCTCGAAGAAAAGCAAGCCAACACACGCCACTAGAAATCGCTGTATATCCAAGACACTACCGATCCATCCGCAGGAAACCCTAAACCTTCAATGCGGAGATGCGATAGTCACTTCAACTTGAGGAGCTACGCGAAGACCTGCATCAAATCATCTCAACAGGAGGTTCCATTCGATCTGACCAGTTGACTCGGAACGACCAAGCAGTGCTGTGCCTGTTCAGTAGGATATTTCACTGCACTTGCGTGCTTCCGCTATTCAGAGCTTCGTCGAGCTTGTCCAAGATTTCGCGCTTTCGTTACAAGGTCCATCTCTCTGAACTTGCGTCTAAGCGGCGTCGTTGCTCCTCTGTCCCTGGAGAGAGACTCAATTATTAGCACAGGGTGCACCTGCTACCGTCACAACGACGAATGCAGATGCCATATCGTCTGCTGCGGTCGTTCCAAGAAATATGCATAAAATATGCTAGCTGCATCACTAGCGGCAAGCTAGTGCTGGAACACACAAACATCTTGGCCCCATCTTGTTCCGCACACCGCACTGCACTCGAGCAGTAAGACGCGTCTCTCTCGAGGCACTTCAGCGCCAAAATGGCTTCACTCCATGGCGACAACAACACGCCTCGGCCAGGAGCGAAGATATTCGACATCGCTTACTCTCATGAGTCCACTGTCGCGGCTTTCAAGAGCTACTATGAGTTCTTGGCCAAGATGTATATGGATCCCGACATGATCAAGACGCCGCCCGCGGCAGGATGGGTACACATGACTCCAGAGAGGATGCAGGCGCTGGGCAAGTCCGAGAAGGTGATCACGCTGCTGCGCCATCTGCCATACGTCCATCATGTCTTGGGCAGGCCGGAAACTCATAGTAGGCTGCTCAACGCCTCTTATACGCAAGGAACTGACGAGTTGCAGGCGGTCCCGCATGCATATTCGCTGACTGGGAACGCAAAGCCCGGGACCTGGCAGCCCACCCAGAGCTCACTGGTTTCGACGTGCTTTGCACTACGGAGCCCGAGAACGTTCCGCCTCACGTCATTGGGATCTCACAGGGACCCTACAAAATGCTGCTCGACACCCAGCTAGGCCTCGTGTATTGGAATGATTGCCCACCAGCGATCCACGAAGACCCAAGCCATCCCATTCAGCCCATTCAGAACGATCCTATCGACTATGCGAATGATGAAGAATTGGGATGGCGGTGCGCTCCTGCCTGGTCGATCCCAGAATTCTTCGAAGTCTTGAAGCATCATTTTGTCAACTTGGACTGTGTTCCGCTGAGCAGACGGCTTGTCGAGGAGGGTTGGTACGGAGAGGAAAGAGATATGCCTGACAATTTGGGCGCTTGTCGCGTTGCGGCGGAAATCTATCGTCGCCACGGCTGGCCGGATGTTGAGAAGTTTCGTAAAGATCAGTGCATGGCAGAACTTGAGAGGGAGATACCAGAAAGGTTTCCAGAACAATTCTTTCTCTGAGTGGAGATACCCAAAATGGTCCGGCGAAGAAGACCGATCAATGACGCGCAAGATGTCGATGGCCAGGCTTGAGTGCCAGGCTTGGTAGTCTCTGTGCGATTTCTCAACAGGTATGCTGTACACACTCATGCTTCATGCATTCCAGTTCCGCACTTGCATCACTGGTTGTTGTCCAGAACCTTGCAGTCGTACCACGCTGCATAATTGAAGATCGTGCAGCGTGCAAAATTGGGCGATTGGTATCGATCGATGAATTCAATGAAAACATATAATGAGCTGAGTTGCAGCAAAGAGGGCGGAATAATAATGCCACTGAAGCATTGCAATGCTTTACGTATGCTCTAAATCAATGTTGCCCCGTTTCGGGAATGAAATAGCCGCATCAGCTCTGCGGTATGGCACAGCAAGCAACAGTTTGCTGTTCCTGGTTGCCTCGACTTAGCATTGATCTGAAGTTCATCTTGTTGTAGTGGTGCTGTATGCTCAACCGAAGGAGCAGGTCGGGCAATCGTTCCGCGTAACCAGAGAGGCTCACTGGGCGCTAGACCAGCCTCTGCGTAACAATTCGCTTTGGTGACGTGAAACTGAGATTCCTGGTGCCGAAGGTGACTCGAGCTTTAGCTTGCCACCCAGCCAGAGACATAGCTGCAGGACTGCGTATTGCCCACCACGAAGATGTTATGCTGCCATTGGATCATCTTGCGCATAATGAGCCCGAGGGAATTTGGAATTCCGGGCGAGCCTGACATGTTGCTCCAATGGTAGATTGATCTCTCACGAACGAGCAGTGAAGGCCCGAAGTGCTCGAGCCATCAACGGGGCATGCATCGCATGCGACAATGTAACGTCGGCCAGAGGTCCAGATGTTCTGCCAGCCGGACTCTTCTCAGATGTCTTTCGTGGCCTCCATCTTTAGGCTCTCCTTGCGGTCCGTAACGCAGCCATGAGCCAAGGAGAAGTCTGGTATCTCATCCTTTCCTCAACCTCCGCCTCTCATCTGAGCATCCCAGTCCTCAAAGCTCGCATGCTCGTTATCTCTGTTCACCATATATCCAAATCTTCCCTTCTCCTTGTGCTGCCGGGCCACATAAGGCGGAATATCCTCATTGTGCTCCACTTTCTCGAACTCTTCTCCCATTCTCCCGAACAAGTCCTGTCCATTCTTTACTCTTTCTGCGATTGTCCTGGGGTCTCTATTCTCTGGTGTGTTCCAAATCTGGTGTGAAAAGCTATTCATCTTCATCTGAAATTCTGCAATGGTCGAGAAGCAGGAACTGCAGTGCCAGCCTGCATTCCATAGCTCGCCTCGATCCCAAAAGCGGCGGAAGTATTGGTAGGGATAGGTGAAAAAGGAAGAGCCGATGAGGCCCATTCGGAGGTCGTTCGGAGCGATGGTGTTCTCGATCGAACCGCCGTAGATGGTGGCTTGTGGGTGTGACCACTGTATGCCACGGTGAAGCCATTGAAACGAGTAGTAGTAGAATTGGCTGCGAAGCGTGAGGCGGGCGGGAAAGGAGCAGTAGCGAAGGAGAATCATAGTGTCGGGTCGGAGGACTTCGTCCATGTCGCTGACAACAAGCACGTCGCCTTTCTCGGGGATCTCCGCGCCGGTAAGAGAAGGAAATACTGAGTAGAGCATCGAATTGCGCAGGTAGTCCTCGTGATCCCAAGTTCGGTCCGACTGAATTGGATCGTGGATCTCGCGATAGATGATCTTGGGCCAGAATTGTCTGTATCGTTCCCAATTGTCTCGAAGGACGAGCGGTTTATCGGCGTTCGTGAAGGTCGTCGGCGACTCAATGATGACGAAGTAGTCTACCACCGGGTACAAAGTGTGCAGTCGAATCTCAAGCCAGTCCAATTCTGTAGAGAACATGATCAAGTCGTAGACTTTCCGTTGCTTTCCAAATGGCTTGAAGTCCACTGCTTTGCATACGAACTGAGCGTCGGCGTAGTCATAGGAAGTGTCTTTATCGACAGTGTACTGCCGCGAGTTGTGGGCGATCTCCGGCGGGATCCAATGCTCTCGATTCGAGTTGTGGTTCATGACCATTAGGACTGCTATGATCGCAAGCAGTGTCACTGCGATCAGCGGCAGCGGCCGACGCCTTTGCGTCCACAAATTTGCCAACATGTCGGATTATTCGTAGTCTCTGCGCATCGTGGAATGGGACAAGTGAAAGAAAAAGACACGAGAGAAGTGAATGCGGACAGGAGCTGAAGTGGGAGAAGAAGGGTCTCTTTAGGAATGGCTGAGCGGTACCTTACATTAGCTTGCGACCAAACGAGAGTGGGGTTGCGCCATGTGGTATACTATTCTTTCCCATCAGATCTCCAGCGATCGTGTCGGTGCGCGGCGACGGGGGTCGAGAGCCGGTAGTGCTGACAATGCTGGCCAGCACAGGTGACATCGTCCCACCGGAGATCAGCCAGCGAGTTTCTCTGCTGTGGCAGGCATCGCAGGCGTTGGAAAATGGTGATCAAAAATGGAAGTCGCGCAAAACGTGGACGAATACGCGATGCAGTCCAAGCTAGAGGCAATAGTGCAATTCCTTCAGAGCTTGTCAGCTGAGCTTAACAGGAAAGTGCTGCCCCTTGCATGGCAGGTGCGACGAGCCCGCCTTGTTGCTCCTGTTTCTGGGAGCTTGGCTGTTGCTCTCGTATAGCACAGTCGGTGCACAGCATATTGGATGATGATGGTTCGCCATTGCTGGCCCCTTTCCTCGGTGCATGGTACTTTCCACTCTGCGCCACGTTTTGCAGTTTCAGCCAATGCGACGCCAATTGCGGGAAGGGCCTCCTGAACGGATAGGACGGATCCTAGCGAGGTGGCGGATGCTACACGTGGGGCGGAATGTCGTGATGGGAGAAGCTGAGAAGTGGCAGCGAGCAGAGTAACAAGGTCAGTCGAGGATGAGAAGGAAGAGGTGAAGTCGATAGATGGAGAGCGGGCACAACCGACCGCGAGAACGCGTCGTCGAAAAGTTGTTTCACTTCTGTGCAGGCGATGAATCGGGTCTAGCGTAGTTCCCATCGGAGTCCCCACCTTGCGTCACATTGCTGGCGCCGATATCGCATGAAGTGAATGCCTTGAAGTTGAACAAGGCATAGGCGAACTCTGGATGTCGGGATACCTACCGATATACAAGTTACGGCAAAGCGCTTTCTGTGCAATACCGATAACATGGCATCTTGGCCACACGACTGGGAAGACCAGCCAGATCGATCAGCTTACACGACTCGTGATAGCATAGACCACATATGGCACCGTCTTGGTCTTCCTGCGCAGGCCCGCAATTTTCTCCATCTTGACCTGCCCGACGAGGATCAGAAAGCACTTCCATCTTCCTTCAAGATCGGACATCTTGCTCAAGCTTCAATAGGCCTTTCTGCTCTGTCAGCAGCTTTGGTCCATTCTCACATCCATCAGAGCACGGAGTCTACTAAAATCAGCGTGCCGCTCAAACATGCTGCGGTCGAATTCAGATCTGAGCATCACTACCTGCTCGATGGCAAACCTGCTCCATCTTTGTGGGGACCACTTGGAGGTTTACACAAGACCGCAGACGGATACGTGCGTGTGCATGACAACTTCCTCAATCATCGAAAGGCGGCTTGTGAGATCCTCGGGCTTGATGTGGAGATAGCCACAAAGGATGACTTTAGCCAAAAGGCCCTTCAGTGGAAAGCACTAGAGCTGGAGAAAGCGGGAATGGGAAAGGGCGCTGTAATTTTCGCGTTGCGGTCGTATGAGGAATGGGAGAACTCGGCTCCAGGAAAGCATATCATGGCAGGACACAACTTTCCAGTACGAGTACAAAGAATCAGTCCGCAGGGTGGAGCTACTCATTCGGTCTCTGATCATTTCCCAAAGAAAGCAGATCGGTGTCTACGAGGCGTGCGAGTCCTCGAATTGAGTCGTGTCATCGCTGCTCCTGTCGCTGGTAAGACTTTGGCAGCCCATGGGGCAGACGTCCTTTGGGTGACTTCACCAAACCTTCCATCATTACCTGGCTTGGACATTGATGTGTCTCGCGGTAAACGCACAATACAGCTCGATCTTGATACGGCAGAAGGCACTCAGGCATTGCATTCCCTCGCACGCAATGCTGATGTATTCATCCAGAGCTACAGACCTGGCTCGCTGGCTGCTCGTGGCTTCAGTCCTCGCGCGCTGGCTGAAGAGAACTCAGGAATAATATACGCCACCTTGTCCGCCTGGGATGACGGACATGGAGAAGGGCCTTGGTCCAACAGCCGTGGCTTCGACAGTATGGTTCAGAACGCATCCGGGATGAATGTGAGTGAAGCTGAACACTTTGGAGATCCGAGTGTACCAGCTCGTGCCCTGCCTGTACAAGCTCTTGATCACGCAGCCGGATATCTTCTTGCTACCGGAATCAATGCTGCGCTGTATCGGAGGGCGACGGAGGGGGGCAGCTGGGAAGTACATGTAAGTCTTGCGGGTGTGATGAAGTATCTGCGAAGTTTGGGCCAGTATCCGGGTCGAAACGGCTTCGAATGTGAGCCGCTAGGAGATATTTCCTCCTACTTGGAGACGAGAAGGACCGATTTCGGAGAGCTGAGCGCTGTGCGACATTCGGCGAGTGTAGAGGGCAAAGAGCCTGGTTGGGAGGTCATGCCAAAGAAGCTGGGTAGCGATGAAGCAAAGTGGTTGTGATCGAATGAGTAAAGAGACGACCAAGCGAAGTCCTGCAGAGTCAGATGATACTGTACATGGCAAGTGCCGATTTTGTGTCTATTATCGTAACATTAAGCTCGCTCAGTCCCACCTGAATGAATGTTAGCACGGATGAAGACTACCAAAAACAGCTGACTTACCCTTGGTCTTTCTGCCGGACTATGTCGTTGCGGCCACCCTTCTGTCGGCCTTCCTTTCCTCCTTCCACTACTAACCGATCGAGCTGGAAGAATTGGCTCACTACTGTTTGTCTCTGCAGCAAAGTCAGCAACTGTGAATCCCATGCCCCAATGAGACCCTTGGCAGCATGGCCCAGCGCTCAGCATCGGCCGTTTCCCACATCGCTTCGGGTCCAAACATCCCCATCGCTCTTACGCACCTTCAACATCTGCAATTCCTTCTGCCCCTTCTCCAACAACTCTTTCACTTTCTCCTGATCTGTCACCGTCTTGTGTTCTCGAAACGCATCTTTCGTCCTCCGTGTCGCGTATTCTCTGAAATTGTATGCGGCGAATTGTCTTGATTGTCGTAGGAGTTGGCGATATAGCGAGCGCACCTGCACAGCGGACTGGCTTGACATTGCGTAGCTCATTACAGTATGTGGATGATCGTGTGATGTGAGAATGGACAGGCGATCGCAAGCTCTCACGGTGGTCGATGGAGATTCTTTGGAGATCTGGAGCATGTCTCGATGATGACGCTCGGGCGACTCGCTTGACTTTCTGTTTTGGGGCGGACGATGCGCCGCGGGGGTCCGACTTGCCGATGTGCCTGAGAGCTCGGGCGCATCGTCTCTGGGGAGAGCAGACCACACGACGCGAACGCGCTGCACTTCACCACCACCATTGCCATCTCCATTGTTCTTCCCCTGCATCAATTCTGTACAACATCGGTCCACTGTCATACACTTCTTGTACCATATATGCCTCTATAACAAGCATAGTCATCACCAACAAGCACATCCTTAGCCCACGCGGTGCTCCGGCGCGTATCACTTTCTAGCCATGGCTCCGGTACGTAGGTCAATACTCCATACTCTTCTTCCATATGAGACCGCACCAAACGAGAAGCTGGATGCGTTGTACATCTGCCCGCCTCCCGCATCTGACTCCCCTCACTCGATCCTGGTAGCCAACACACCAGCCACAGCATGCTCCCGAGCCTCTGGATCCTGGTGATACACGAAAACGTTTGCACTCCGCCTCAACGAGACAACATTCTTACAACATTCCTGGAACATCAGAGCTGCGGACGTCCTGATTGGCTTTACTCGGTCCTAGCGTGCGACTTGGGATCCGTGAGGAAAAGCTAACATGAATGTCATCGAACAGTACAGACCACCGGGCCGAAGCAACCGCTCTGGTCGCTCTAATGCAGATAACGACGTATTCGAGGGATTGCCGGTCAAGCAATGGAACCAGACCTTTGCGAAGGTATCGCTTGCCCCTCCGGTATCAGAGATCGAAGCTAGCAAAGACGACAAATGGGGAGAGCCGCCAATGCCACGGGACTTTCAGCTCCTCACTCCTTGGACTCAGCACCTTCTACGGCTCGCACGATCTGGCAAAGTTGGCACCAAACGGAAACAGGATGCCGATGCGGACGACGATAAGCCGGACGACGAAGTGGCCGAAGAAGATACTAAGCCTATCACCGGTATTGACGATCGCGGGTACGTAGCGAAGAAGTGGAAACCTGTGCCAGAACACTCCTTGGAACCCGAACACAAGCACTTCAATTTCCTTGCGAAGCGACGCAGAGGACTTCCTAGTCTATATGGCCCAGACTTGCAGTTGGCATCCGTCCCTATGCGCAAGACGAAAGTGCAGAAGGCGGACGCGAACGGCGAAGTCGCCGTGTATGAAGTGCTAGTGCCTGAGGGGCAGACAATTGAAGGCGAAATTGCAGAATCAACAGAGCTTGCAGATGTAAAGCCTGTGTTGGCTGCTCCTGGTAGGGACTTCCAGCTTCGACTTCCTTCGCACTTGCTAATCATTAGTTAGGTACTGTTATCGAGGGCGTAGGTGTTGCAAACGAGGAAGGAGTCATGGTAGCCGAACATCTCAAACCATCTATACCAAGACGGAATAGGCCACCGCCGAAGAAGAAGGGGGGACCAGGGCGAGGCAAGAAGCGCGTTACCTTTACGAATCCCGATGGATCTACGTATACTGCGATTGTTCCGAATGCCACGAAAATTGTGCCGCAGCCTGGTCAGACGATCAAACACGTCGCGAAAGGTGAAGAGGCAACGGCAGACGTTTCTGCAGAGGAAGCTGCGAGGAATGCTGCGCAAAGGCACGATGAGAATGGCGAGGAAGGCTCTGGCGACGATGATGAAGAGGGAGATGAAGATGACGATGACCGCGAGGATGGTGAGCTGTCCGATGAAGAAGACGATGATGCACCCGCTACTGGAGCTCAGACACCTGCGAAAGTCGAAGGAAACGGAGCGCCGCAGCCCATGGAAGACGTGCAGCCGACTCTTCCGACTGCGCCAACAGAGGCGGAGCCTGCACTTCCGGAGACGTTAGACAAGCCAGCTGAAGAGTCCGAGCAGCCTGCAGCGCCTGCCTTGGAATCCGCACTAGAACCAGTCATCGCGCCTATCGAGACACACTCTGACGCTAAACGGAGCGTCGAGAGCTCGCCAGATCTCCCACTCGCGCAAGGTCACAGCAGTGCGGCATCAGTTGCAGAGCCTGTGCCACTGACATTGGACACTGTGCCGGAGGAGAAGCCACTGGAGGAGCCGGAAGCAGGAGAGCCCATCGTGGAGGATCCCACGACTGAAGAGCCCGCTGATACTGAGTCTGCTGAAGCCAAGGTCGCTGAAGTCGAGTCAGCAGAAGAGGCGTCACTGACAGCAGAATCACTGGCTCCAGTTGCTCCTGCTCCTCAAAAAGAGGAGGAAAAGGTCGAGAAATTTGATGACGGGGACGAGGATCTGCTGGGCAATCTGGAGAAGTCTTTGGGGTAGTGACCTAGGTTTTTGCGGGATTCCTGAATCACAACTTTATTATTGACAGTTCAAAGAGACATTGTGAAAAAGCTCATGACAGGTTTTAGGATCCCCGAAGTTGAGACGACACTAATGCTACGGGCATATTTGACTCTGGTCGCCGCGTGCGAAGTCTCAGCAAGCTCTACTTCGAGAGGCTCGACTCCTGCAAGAGTCACAGAAAGTCTTCTTACCACGGATTCTTCTACCCTCGACCGCAGTCTTGCGCCAAAGATTCTACCATGGTGTACGACGACATCTCATATTGTTTATCGACGCCCTGGAGTGGACGAGGCTATTGAGACCTGGGCGTCGTTGCAGAAGTCTATTTCAAGCTTGCCGCGTGCACAGCAGAGCTCGGCACGAAACTCGTTCTTGACAGTGGCACGAGGCTTCCAACTGACCAGGTTTGCGTGCATGAAGTGGACCGGATCGTGCGCGCAGCATCTCTCAAAGTGGACATTTTGTGGGTCTCGGCTGCAGCACACAACCGAGATGAGAACCGCATACCTCGCTAGAAGTCCTCCTTGCCTTTCGATTTCGGCGTGACTTCCTCACTCAGCTCCAGGTTGTGTAGGGCGATACCCTCAAATGGCATCGGTAGCAAGCATCGCCCAATCACCTACCATGGCAGCGTCCTAAGCCGTCCCTGCATACGACGACAATGGACTACGCACTCATCGTACTGCACGCTAGAAAACCCTAATAATGCAGGCAATCTAGTCGGGTGTTTCCCTATTATGGGCACAGCGATATTCTGTGCCAGCTTGTGCTGCACTCTACTTTCTAGACCAATGACACTATAGTCTATAGAGTGATCGCCACGGGAATGGACGAGATCGCTGTTGCGGCCACCGGCGAGAGTGCCTCATCTGAGCTCGGCAGTCAGAGATCGATGGGCGCCTGGAGCGAGCCCGTCAAGACATAAGGTGGCCGAGCATGGCACCTCTTCTGAGACGGTGACCCAACATTTCCTTTCATCACCATGAAGTGGACTACAGGTATCGGTGCTCTCCTGAGCGCGTTGTCGCTGACTCAAGCCCTGCCTACGAACGAGGCGCGTCAAGAGGAGACTTTTGAATACATCGTGGTTGGCAGTGGTGCTGGAGGGGGGCCACTCGCGAGTCGACTCGCTCGTGCTGGCCACAGGACACTCTTGATCGAAGCTGGAGACGATCAGACTGGCAACTCGAACACGACAGTGCCAATTTTTCAGTACACGCAGCAAAGACCACAGGAGGAATGATCATACTGACTATTTACCAGAACGTTGGTTTCTGGAGACCCCAAGCTTCGATGGGACTTCTATGTCACTCACGTGAGTAAAATCCAATTGCCTGAGTGAGCTTTACTGACGAAGTGGTTGTAGTACAAGGACCAAGAGCGCGCTCGTCGAGACCCTAAGTACGTTTACGACATCGGCAATGGAGAAGTGTACACTGGCCTCAATCCTCCACCTGGAGCGAAAGATCTTGGGATCCTCTATCCACGAGCAGGTACTCTTGGAGGCTGTGTCACGCACAATGCTTTGATCTGGATCACTGCTCATGAGAGCGACTGGAATGGCATTCAATCATTGACAGGAGACGACAGCTGGAGCGCCTCGAACATGAAGCAATACCTGGACAAGGTCAAGAAGTGGTTGCCTACAGAGCCCACCGATCCGACGATTCTGCTCCGTGACCTGCAATTTGTCCAACAGCTAGCCGGAGGAGCCTCAGTCGCAACTCCTGGGCTCATTGATCTTTTGAAGCCCGTCGTTGGACTTACCAACGCTCTCCTTGGGAATCCTAATGCTGAAGTAGCAGGCCGAGATTCTAAGCAAGGCTTCTACCCCATCCCTCTGACCATGAAGAATGGCGAACGTGTTGGGGTAAAAGAGTTCATTAGAGACACGGTCGCTGGCGGCTTTCCTCTTACTGTCCGCACCAATACCTACGTCACAAAGGTCGATTTCGATACTACTGGCGATAAGCCTCGTGCCGTGGGTGTCGAATACCTGTCAGGTAGCTACTTATACAGGGCCAGTCCCCTTAGTGGTGGTAGTGGCGTCCAAGGCTCGGCCAAGGCAAGCAAGGAAATTATTCTCTCTGGAGGCGCCTATGTACGTTTCGGCTAGTTCCCTTCTCTCTATGCCACTGATGACTGACAACTTTCAGAACACCCCACAACTTCTCAAGCTAAGCGGTATTGGCCCAGAAGATGAACTCAACTCATTCGACATTCCGGTCCTTGTCAATTCGCCAGGTGTCGGCACTAATATGCAAGATCGATACGAGATTGGCTTGAACGTCCAACATGACAAAGACTTTGCGATCCTCGATGGCTGCACGCTTGATGCCAAGGATCACGACAAGTGCTACAAGCAATGGGTCAACAGTCCTTACATCTTGGCTCAACGAGGTGTATACGCCACCAATGGCCTTGCAGCGACCATGGTCAAGCGCTCCGACTTTGCTTCTACTACCGATGTCGACATGTTCATCTTTGGCTCGCCGGCAAACTTCACAGGCTACTTTCCTGAATGGTACAATCATATTCTTGACCAACACAACTTGTAAGTTACTGCGTTGAGCAGGTCACAGGAAGCGATCGCTGAGCTGATTGAATGGGCAGTTACTCTTGGTACACATTGAAGGCACATACTCGCAACACTGCAGGAACCGTCACGCTCCGCAGCGCCGACCCCCTCGATCCACCTCAAATCGACTTCAACTATTTCGACACCGGCACCACTACCAACGGCGCAGACCAAGCCGACCTCAACGCCATGATCCAAGCTCTCAAGCTTTCACGCTCAGCCCTCCAGAAATACAACCAGCTCCCGCTTTCCCTCCTTGGCGGCTCGAAATACACAGAATTCTTCCCTGGTCCCAATGTCACGAGCGACGAGGATCTAGGCACATACATCAAAGACCGTGCATGGGGACACCATGCTTCATGTTCAGTGCCAATGGGCGCTGATGATGATATGAACACACCTCTGGACAGCAAGTTCCGAGTGAAGGGTGTAGATGGATTGAGAGTGGTGGATGCGAGTGTTTTCCCTAAGATTCCTGGCGTGTTCATTACGGCGCCGATTTTGGTTATGAGTGAGAAGGCGGCGGATACCATTTTGGCTGATGCATGAGCGCGTGTTAGCTGTCTATCAATTTCTGATTTTCAAGATTTTTCACTCCTGTTCACTGTGTATTCTGTGCCGTTATTCCTGTGAAAATGAGAATGAACAAGTCACGCCTAGCTCCCGAACAATGTATACAGATCTTCGACGCGTGTGTGCGTGAACTGTGATAGAGTTTGATATCCCGTAATGCGCTCGTCATCAAACACCGGACTCCAGTCCGGCCCTGGTCATGCTCCTGCCTCCAACGCGTCAAAACTTCGGCGCCTGCTCTCACACTGTTTCTTGCTCTCTACTTTCATCTGTTATTCGCCACCATCATGCCTCCGCCACGCAACGACGAGAGACAACCTCTGCTTGGGCGTGAAGAACACCGCGATGAGAATCACGGGAATCAACGCCGTTCCCAGAAAGTCGAATTCGACGACAAGGATTCTGCAAACCCGAGAGAATGGCCACTTTCGAAGAAATACACCGTGGTTGCTTTAATCACTCTTACGGCCTTCTTCCTACCTATGGCTTCTAGTATCTTTGCACCAGCATCAAATCCGATTGCAGAAGAGTTCGGCGTGTCAAGACAAATCGCTCTGCTCAATCAGACGGGCTTCGTGTGCATGCTTGGAGTCGGACCTCTATTCTTGGCTCCCATGTCGGAGACGTTCGGTCGCAGGATGATCTATCTCATCTGCCTCGCGGCTTTTACTGTGCTGCAAATACCATGTGCGTTGGCGCCGAACGTGGCGACGTTCGTCGTGTTCAGAACGCTGTCCGGACTCTTCGGATCTGTGGGCGTGGGCAATGGCGGAGGCTCGATCGCTGATATGTTCGAGGCGCACGAGAGGGCGAAGGTGTTGGGTGTTTATATGATTGCTCCCCTTTTGGCACCATCGCTTGGCCCGGCATTGGGAGGCGTCATGGTCGACAGGATGAGCTGGCGTTCCCTGGCTTGGCTGATGTTCATTCTTGCTGCATTGACGACGATCATATCGTATTTCTTCATGTACGAGACTCGGGCCATTACGATCTTGCAGGAGCGAAAGGCGGAGCTGGAGAAGAAGGATCCCAAAATCGAATACTGCGTCGAAGGCGTCAACAATGAGTCTATCCCAGCAAAGATTGCAGGCAACGGCACTCGTGCTGTCAAGATTCTAGGAACACAACCCATTGTGTTGATCATGTCCATTTACCAGGCGTTGATTTTCAGCACCATGTATTCGCTATACGCTTCCTACAACACCATCTGGACACAACCACCTTACGAATTCAGCAAGAGCCAAGTCGGCCTTGCGTACCTTGCGCCTGCATTTGGTTTCGCAATCACAGCTTTTACGATTGTCATACCATTCATTGACAAGATCTACGACCGGCTGTCTGAGAAACACGACGATCAAGGCCAGCCGGAATATCGTCTTCCTCTAGCTAACATAGGAGCGGTCTTCTTGCCCATCGCACTATTTGGCTTCGGCTGGACAGTGGAGAAAGGCTACCATTGGGCCGTGCCTTTGGTCTTCATGGTATTCTTCGGCGCGAGCCAGGCCAGCATCTTCAACAGTGTCCAGACATATTACACCGAAGCCTACGAGAGCAACGCCGCTTCCGCTCTTGCGGCAGGTTCCTTTCTCCGAAGCATGGTCGGAGGTATTGTGCCTCTGTTCGTGAGCAAGCTGTTTGAGGAACTCGGATATGGATGGGGTATGAGCGTATTCGGCTTCATCGCCACGGCTTTGATGCCGGCGCCTCTGGTATTCTACTGGATCGGTCGGAGGTTGCGAGAGCAATATCCGTTCAAGGGCTGATGACTCGAGTACGGCACCAGACTCTTGAATGGCCAACATGGCAGTTGCATGAGACGAGGTGATGCATCGGGAATTGGGCTCAAAAAGGATCGCGACCCCAGAGACAGTCCTTATCAGCACGAAGAAGTCCTCGTGGAGACCATGAATGATGCTCGACGCCCCATGCGGCGACGTTCGGGTCACTCAGCAGCATTGCCTGTTGTACTGCTGTGCCGCTTTATGAGGCCGCTCCCCTTCAAGTGTCCTGGTCGTCGTCGTCAAAATGATGACACTTCTGGTCCGTGTATGAAGGCTGCTCTGAGCATGAACGCAAGAGAGGAGGGTCACTGGAGGCATTCCCATGGCATGACTCAAGGAGGCTGGAGTTGACCAAGGCATGTGTGCACCACAGCCGTAGCAGGAGCTCGTATGGGAAGAGGCCAAGATGGTCGCGAATCAGATGGCTGGCGGTAGTTCCGCTGCATGTGAGAATCACCGGTGCCTCAGCATCGTTCTAAGAGAGGAGTGGTGCATCACGTCGCGGACTGCTTTCCATTAATGGTGTTTGCGTTTGAACAACCGCGTCGGAGACGGCAGCTCTGCCGCTGTGGGACGAGTACTTCTGCGCCAAGGTCACCGGTCGGTCTGCGGATGGCAATCTGCTAGCTAATGTCACCATCGCCGGCCTCAATCTCAAACCGAAAGAGTGTGTCAATATGTAACGGAGCGAAGAGCGAGTTGCAGAAATTTCGAAAACGTTGACCGGAGGAGTGCTAAACATCAAAAGCTATTCCAATCCGCATCAAGAATGATGTGTTGTGCGGCGATTGCCATGGACGCGCAGCAAAAGTAAGAATCTTGAAAGCGGTGCGAGATCACTGCAGTGCTTTGTACCTGCAACGGGCTGACGGTCCTTACTCCGTCCCCAGCTGGTAATGACGCTGTATGATCTCGTCCCGAAGAGACACCATGATTGGACGCTGGCCCTTGTCTTCGGCATCCCTTGTCGACAAGGATACACCAACAAATACGAAAGACTTCCCTCGTCCAGATCACAGCATGACGATCTCAACCAACAGTCACTCTATGTACGTTTTGAACGCTTGGTCCGGGACGCTTGGCAGGTCGCTGTCGGCAGAGAGAGGCGAACGGGAGCGCCCACATTCCAGCAACACCGTCCGCAAGTAAGACGCCACGACCGCTGCAGGTGTGCGGAGCATCTCCCGTGATCCATGCAATTGCTAGAAGGCAGGATGGGGAATGCTATCAGCTCCGTCCTACGGGACGCCAAAGGTTCAAATAAATCGAGGCGTGAGATGGAAGATGTCTTGAATAGACTGATTGTCCTCGCCGAAGTCAAGGCTACCACACACTACCAGCGTGTGAGCACAAATCCCATCGACGAAGATGTTCTTCCCATCGACAAAATTTTGAGGAGATTCCACGTTGCACATTGCTGTGTGAAGCGAGACGCAGGAGCTGCACGGCAAGCCATCGAACAGTATTTGGGGCGGTACTTGAAGCCAGAAATCGTACGTCGAGATGCAATCATCGCTCACATAATATTACGTGACGGATGCTGATATACATCGTTACCAGATCGAAGGCCTCACAGCTGTCATCGCTGAAACGCTGGATCGGCTCATGAATTCTATCTCGACAAAAAGCAGCAGCGAAGTCACGAGCTATGCCATCACGATTGGGAAAGCTGGCGGGATTGGACGAATCGATTGCTACCTATTCTACTACAAATTCCAAACCCCGGACCTGTCATCCATCTTGGACAACTGCCTGGTAACGTCTCTCATTGTGTCCGCAGTTTCTCCTTCGAAGTTGCATTTCGAGCACCTGGCACCCCTCGCCAAGGCGCCATATTCATCCCCATTGCCTGGAGAAAGCGACGAGAAGGCTGATGCGAGGCTGGAGAAGATTCAAAATATGCTGTTGGCTGAGATGCAGGCGAGTTTCCGGAAGAGGAGTGCGCCGCTGTGACAACGATGTCTGTCAAGCATGACTGGCGTCTTATGCCTGACTTTTGATTTTGCGCAACTCGGCCTCTTGGTACGCCTCTCTGTCAGTATCCAGCGGGACGCCAGCATCTGGAAGCGCTTGGCCGAAATACTCCCAACGATTCTCTGTTGCTTCGAGCAGAGCACCTGTCAGTACTGCAATCATCGACACTCCGAACGGAATGTAAACGTTGAAACTCTGCTTAGCTGGACAGCGAAAAGGTTTGGCCCCGAATGGAAGCCATTTCTCATCTTCTCCAGAGATGTCGATCCAGCGTTCTGGACGGAACGTCAGCGGGTCGCCCTCCCAGATGCTAGCATCACGCTGCATGCTTTCGATGTCAGCTGCCATGGAGTATGCTGTTCCGTTCTCGTCCTCGAACCGGCGATAGACACGTCTTGTTGGCGGATAGAGACGGAGAATCTCTTTTGAGACCATGAGGGCAGAAATTTGATCCCCATTCACACCCATGCGATGCTTGAGCTGTTGCGGTGTAGGACTATTCAGAAATTCTTTGAAAGCATTGGCCCAGACACTGCTGTTCGGATGGTGACGAGCAGACAACTCGATGAAGCAGCGTAGGACTACGCGCCAGATGGTCTCGTAACCGGGCAGGATGAAGTTGAGCGGATTCGCCGTGCGATCCTCACCATCCCAATCAAAGACCTCCATCAATGCCTGCTTCAGCGCCGCTGGTAATTCGACTCCATCTCCAGCTTCCAGGAATGCGTCATCATACTTCTTCGACTTCAGCCACTGCTTGTTGACTTCCTTGGCCACGACCCGCAATTGATCGTCAACTCCCTCCGCCTCTTCGCCAACACCCCAGATGACCTTTCTGACCATCTTGATGCTAAGCATCTGTACGACCTCGAACAGATTGCGACTCTCTCCCTCTCCAGAGACCTGCTCTTCAGCGATAGACCTTGCGACTGCAGCGAAGTCAATCCATTCGGGTGCATTCACTTGAATCTTCTGCTCCACCAGTTCACGGAAATCTTCAGAGGCTTTCTTCTCAGTCACGATGAAGGAATTCTCAATGCCGAAGGCTTTCACGAGACGTTGATTTGGACAGGCACGAGCAGCATAGGGGCCCAAGCTGTTCTTGATGTCGTGACCCTGGCCCTGGAATGTCCTACCCGCAATGATCTTCGCACACTCAGCGGGGACTTGGCTCTTGATCTCATGGACCTGAGCATGATGTTTGTTGGGATCCATAATTATCTCGACTAAGCGTCGTGGCGTGTAGTTCGGGAGCAGCAGATCAGTGAAAGTCGTCTTAGCAGGTGCGTGGATTTGAAGGAGGCGAGCGGTTGATGGGAGTTGTCTATTTCGCAGATCGAATGGCTCTGTCACTTTCTGATTTCTCCTGGGATGGCAAGAGATACTCAGTTGACAGGAAATGTATATGTACGTGTGCTCGAGTTTGCCATACTTTCGAGACATGGTTTGCTTGATTGAATGGAAACCTGAGACAACAGCATACCAAACCTCAACGCAGCAACTACAGGCTTCCAGTCAACGCCAGATGTTACAAGCTGAGAACAAAAGCTCATGATGAGATAGGTCTCTCCCACAGCAGAAAATGTCCGGCAGAGAAACGTTGCGAGCAAGACAACCTATTCGCCGGAAGAATCTGGGGAACAGGATTCGTGAGGTTCACAGCACTCCAGCAACAATGGTGTTGTTGAACATTTGTGTTAATGTTCGCAAATCTCATCAGTATAGCACTAGAAGCAAGCTTTGCACGACGACTGTCTTGCTGAGTACCGTCTTCCAATGAACGATACAGCTACTGGTGCTGCGAAACACTCAATCCAGTACTCCTGCTCTTCACACACACCAACTCAAACTCGCCGCCCGCTCCTTATCTTAGACTTCGTATCTCACACCACCGTAGCGATCCATCAATCTATACGTCGCGAACAATAGTGGAATAATCTGCACCGTTCCAGTCGTGCAACTCTCATCTTCCAGAAAGCCCTCATGTATTCGAATTCCACAAGCCTTCCGTCTGGGCCTCCTTCATGAAGTTTGCGATTTCCGCCATCTGGTCCAGAACCTGCCTGGTTGGTCTTTTGCTCTTGAACTCCTGACAACGCGCCCGGAGGTGGAGATTGATCGTAATTTCGATCCCTGAGACGAGTTGCTCGAGGCCCTTGGCTATAGTGTTGTCCATAGAAGCGTCGCTTTCAGATTCCATGACTCGGGCTTCTTTGCGGAAGTCGACTACAAGCTGGACGCCTCTGCGCATGCTGAGGAATATTTTGTCCTCGACGTCGCTGGAGCCCATGAACACGGGTCTCATGACTTCTGAGCTGTAAGCTTTGAGTTTTGAGACCCATTTCTCGTTGAAGATGGTTTCGGTTTCTTGCTTTGGAATCGTTAGCTGGTACGGGCGTATGATGGGTAATATTGAAGCATCTTTACTGGACCGAATGCGGGTTTATGGTTTTCCATGATCGTTTCGAGTTGACTTGTAGTGGTTAAGGACGTAAGACAGGTTCAGTGATGTTCAAATGCATCTATCTCATTTGCGGAAGTACATGTAATTGCCCTATCAGCAGGCCCTGCTCGGAGACCCACTTCGGTGAGCAGTTACGCACATCATGCCTGCCACTAGACATTAGAAGGCCTCTCAAGCTTTCCCACTTCGTCGTCCATTGTGCTGGATGTTCCGATGAACCAGTGTCCATTTACCGCTCACCTGCACATCCCAAGCGGCATCAAGATCGTTTCAAGAGGTCGCGTAATCCCGAAACTCTCCATAATGGCGCATCCCCTGGTGCTTCATTCCACGCACATCTCCCACTCTTCTGTTAACCTTCTCGACTTGCGCCTGAACCGACTCCTCATCAGTCCACCAAATGCCTTGCAGCTCTCCCATAACGATCTTGTCAATCAATTTGTCGAAAGCTTCAGTTCGAGCCGCAGTGCGCCTGCCGCGATTTTCCCCATTGATCTTCACGATGCCGTTGACAAGCTGGCGCATCCGTCCGGCGAGATACACTGGATCGCGATCGCCAGGTTTCTTCTCCATCACAAAGTCAAGCTCTTTGGCTTGTGTTTCGAAAGCGACAACGAGATCGAACGCGTCTAGGCACCAATTGAACATGCGAAGGATCGGGTCGTCGCGCGAATTGATGATGATGAGATCCCACATAGGTATCTTGGCCATGTGGTCGTTCGTTTTGCGATACCACTTCCGCTCGAAGATGGCTCGAGATTCCTGCTGCGCCGTTTTCAGATTACTTCACAAAAGTTATGGAGGCAATAGACAGTACGTACCGGCCCGAACACTTTGGCGGGTGTGGCAGCCATGACCTGTCGTATGCGCTTCTTGGCTGTGAGAACGTCCAGTTGTGGTATTGTGGCGATGGTTTGCGGTGAGAACCTGAACCCGCGGCGGAAGCGAGAAGAACATTCGGAAACGCGACACACGACGACCGTTTGCTAGAATCTTCAAATCTCACGGCTTCAATTCAATGCTGGTCAATGCGCCGCGCAGAATCGGCTCGCGGTGGTAGTACGCGGATTCCCTAGTGCTTGTCGAGGAAATTGTCACGATGCGCAGCTCGAACGTACCAGCTGCTTTGCATTCTCTTGACGACTGAAAGCTCAGGCGTGAATCTCCAGCGCACGACAGAATTCCCCCTTCATCTCTCACGCCATTCCCAGCCGCTCCGCCCTCCCCAATAACGCATCAATCTCCTGCAGCTGCGCAATACTCAGAGTGCTCAGGCTCAATCCGCCCACCACCCCCTTGTAATATCGCACCCGCTTCCAAAGCCCAACACTCATCCGAGCAAGCTCCTTTGCCTTCGCTGCCGCAAGGAATGGGTTTGTGAAAAGGTAGTCCCTATTCCGGAGCACGTTCACCACCCCTGTGATATCCGGAAAGTGCGTCGGCAGAAGCTCGTTGAGTGCCGCATCTACTTGGAAGTCGGATAGCAGCTGTAGACCGTTCGTAGCGTGCACGGCAGAAGACGTCTCAGACCAGGTTCTGACGTAGCTGTGAAGGCGACGAAGCCACTTCTCAGCAAACACGTCGATAGTGGTGCGTTCTGCAGGATATGTCTTCGGCTGTGTCGAAGAAAGTGAGACGCCTCTCGCTAACTGCTCCGTGATAGCAGAGAAATGCGCGGCATTGTACTTCTTTTGCGGAGTCTTTTCCCGTGCTGATGATGGCAATTCGTTGATACGTGCACGACCCGAGGTCCTCATGGTACGCGCCGCACCTCCTTGCTCGCCGTGTCCGAACGAACTGTACTTGCCCTGAGGAGTAGCACGCGAGGCAGCTCGCGGTGTCTGAGGCGGTGCCGTCATGGTGTCTGTCTTGCCTCCCGTTCGACTTGAGCTTGGTAATTCAGTTTTTGGATCGAGTGAAGCTGATCCGCTGCGCCCAGCGTCAATGAGCGACTGCGTGAAGGCACCTGGTTGCGGCTTGCCATTCGACCAGAAGAGATTATTTTCATGATCAGCACTCCCTGCCATGGGCGTGTCGCTTCTGCGAGTGCGCTCATCTTGAGCAAACGCTCCTGCATGAGCGTTCGGGGTAGCTGCCTTGGAGTCGACTGCGCCACCTTTGACAGTGGAGGATGGCTGATGATCAAAGATATGCCCAGGATGTTCAGCGTGGTGTTTTTTCATGCCGGCAATGAAGTGGTCATCGCAGAAGTCGACTTCCTTGCACGTACTGCAAAAGTGCCGCAGACCTGCAATTCGTTGATCACACTCGTCACAATCGTAGTCGCTGGTTGAGTCCCTCCTCAAAGGTCTTACCGGACTCTCTTCACCAATGAGCTCGTCAACATTTTCCTCGTGTTCTGCAGTTTCTCGTGTGACTTGGTGGAATCTATGGCCAGGAAAGTCGAGATGGTGCATTCTGCGGCCTTCGTGGATACAGCCTTTGTGAAAGTCAACCTGTGTACATGTCGTGCATGCCTGCCAGAGTGGTGATCTTATCTCTTTGTGGCAGACACCACAAGTGAATCTTGGACCAGCTTCGGTTGCACCTTCCGGATGAGTATGGTTCAAGCGTTCTGCGTCTTCCTGGGGCGCTGTGATAGTCCAGTCCACGGCGTTTGTCGGTGTTGAAGTGGGTCCAGATTCAGAGATCAAATTTGCATTGATGACCCTCTGCTTCACTTCTCGCTTGGGTTGAGACCTATTACTTGGGCCCGGCGTGCCTGTAGCTGCCTGGGAGTTTGGTGTTGAGTCTGCAAGTGGTGCATCCTGGACCTGTGAACTAGCCTTTGCTTCCTGTGGAGAGACCCCGACATCTTGCATCACCACGTCAAGATCACCAACCCCAGTACCAGAGCTCTCCCGAGCGGCTAGCTGCGTCGCTGCAGCCGTTTGACTTTGCGTTGGCGTAGCATTAGCTCTGAAGAAGGGGTTGACCAATTTCAAAGTGGGCAGAGTGAGCGGAGGAGGGCCCAATACATGGCTACTGAGGTGCGTCGAAGGGTCTGGTGGACGCACCGTCTTCACCATGTCGAGGTGTGCAGCATTTCCTGGTCTCGAACGAACAGCAATGGGCAGCTTCACAATGAGTGACTGCTTAGGTGCAGCTGCAGAGGAGACTTCAAGAGATTGGGCCGCGGTCTGATCTCCCATATGCGTACAACGTTTCTGTCACAATGTGTCAGCAAACAAGGTCAGTAGAAAGCAAGAGACTGAGAGGTTTACCTTCCTACGCCTACACTCGTCGCATTTCGGAATTCGGGGTCCTCCCATGAGTGCTGGCTGGGATGAATGTCGTGGGTAAGGAGTTGCTGTGATCGTTCGATCGAGTCGCAGGATGCTGGTCGAAGAATTGATGTGCAAAAGCGGTATTGATGTCGATGTTGGAAAAATCGTTGCTCCTAATAGAGTCTCGAAAGGGGGTGATAGAAGTGGAGTCAGCCAGTTACTTACTTGAGGCCAAGAGTCATGTGCACGTGCAAACTCGGAAGTGACTACCGAGAAGTGAATGGGAAGGTTCACTTTTCAAGCTTTGGCAACTGCTATCACGCCAAGTCTTGAAAATTGGGTAGCGACGACCAGTCCTCCAGCGAGAAACAGCGTCGCACCACAAAATACATGCAGTCCCACCCAGCTGAAATCTTCTCGTAGTAGGGTCCCGGCGATGGGTGTTCCGATGAGCAAACCCAGCGCTGCGCCAAACGTGTGCAACCCCAATCTGGCTCCAACAGTGCTCATATTTTCAGTGATGCTGACGACTGTACTTGGTTGCAGGGACACGAAAGCTCCACTAGAGGCTCCATAGAGTATCGACCACGCGACCAGGTCAGCTATCGTCGAGTTTGGTGTAAATGCCGTCCGGCAGAAGCCCAAAAGTCCGGCGACGAGCGTGCAAACAGAGAGAACGTTGAGTGGCCCAACACGATCAGCAAGGAATGCTGGAACGATTCTTCCCACCACAGAGCCCGCGGAAAGGATTGGCAGCAGGTAGAATGACAGCTCGCTACTAAGACCTGCCTCGAAGTCCCGAAGGTGGCAATGTAGAAGAATGGAATATAGAGTCCGATGTTCCCAACGAATGTGGCCAGATTGAAGAGCGTGAATGGTAGTTGCCTGAAGCTGCTGAGATCGATGATCTTGCACTTTTTGGCCTTAGTACCAGTCCTCCGTTGCCGTACCAGAAGACAAGGCAGCAGCAACGTCGCGAGAGCTGTGATACCCAGGACTCTTGTGGTCCATTCGAACGTCAAGTGATGGGTGTCCATAAGTTGGTTGAATATGATTGAATAAACAACACCCCCAACACTCGACCCAGAAGCTGCAATGCCGATGGCAAGGCTACGCTTAGTCGAGAAGTATGTCGGTACGATGACAATGCTGGTTATAAAAAGACAGCCATGGCCAATACCCATGCACAGGCCTTGAGCTAGCATGAGCTGCCAAAATTCCTCGCACATGGACAAGGTCATGAGACCGGAGACAACAAGAAAGGTGCCTATGAATACCAAGAGCCGGCCATATCCGCGATCAACCAGTGGTCCAGCGAATATCGTAGTGCAACAAAGCATGAAAGCTTCGACCGAGCCAATCCAAGAAACGGTGGAGGCCGAAGCGTCTGGAAACAGCGCGGAAGTGTAGTAAACCTGGAAGACACCATATGAGCTGATCACTCCCCTGCCAGAACAATCGATTAGCATGTTGTTTCGTCCTTCGCGTTGGCAGTGTGACTGACCAGGAGTTGGAAAACAGGAAGAAGCCACAAAGAAACTGAAGCCACGCTGTGGGCCCGCCATCAGGAATGCCTGGCGACGATGGCTGCGACAGATGTGAAGGAGAGATTTCCAGCGGCGCTCCAATATCGCATTCTGGTAGTGAATGGTGGTTGTCCGGCTTCCGCTTCTCGATATCGGATAAGGACGGAGCGCATGACGGTGAATCTGCTTGTAGGCTCTCACAGGCTTCTGATGGGAGACTTTGCGCTGACGCAGCCATATATATCAGTGCGCAAGAGAGACAAGTACGTTATAAGCAGAATACCTTTGAGCAGAGTCCTACCATCTATTTGGCGCAGAGCATCTCGACTATATCCATTTTCGAGCGCTCTGTGCCAGGCCTACCGTTGATCCTGCCGAACATGGCCATTGTGAATTGCGAAGTCGAACGATTGCCATACTGAAGACGCAAAGATGCATGAAGCAGTGTCGAAGTGGTAGCTCATGTGCTCATGTGCAGATTGTGGCCGGCAAACGTCCTCGGCTGGTGCTGGGCAGGAAAATGTCTGTTCCAGGGCAGGTAGCATTCGTTTCGAGATGCATTGCAGCGAGCATCAAGTTGCATGATGGCGGAGTTCCCCTCTGAGGCTCTCACCACTTCGCGAGAGCCTGAATACGGCACAAGGTCGCCGTCACTGTAATGTCTCGGGCATGAGATGTCGCAGTCAACGTGAAAGTTGAAAGGAAAGTGGGATACATGCTCGCGATCCGAAGCCGAAAAATGACGAACTTCACAAGCGCTTCTCCAGCGCAACAGTCATCGTTCACCGTGCAACACCAGTCGTGAAATTGCAACATGTCACACACATCATGCTCCGCGACACGCTCGGCCGTCGCACCTCAGACAATACCGAGCCCGCACTCTTCATGACGGGCATCCCACCAGCAAGAGGAGGCACAATAGACGAAGCCGATAACAATACTTCGCAAGAAGCACCGCAACACAGCAATGATCTGAACGACGATATCTTCGGTTCGGCGCCAAGTAGCCCTGTACTTTCTGCCCAGCACGATCACAATGACGACAGTCCTCGCGAGAATGCGAGAATCGCAAGCAGCAGAGATCAGCACCACTCCGACATTCCTCGCCTGCGAAGCATACACATCACGAATGGATATCGTGAAGGCATAGCTGTTTCGAAAGAGTCCCATATACAAGCCGGTTTTGACGAAGGATTTAGTCTTGGGGGCGAGATCGGACAGAAGGCGGGGTACATTCTGGGTGTCTTGGAAGGGATTGTGAGAGGGTTGAAGAACGGGAAGGAGAATGCGCAGCGAGGAGATGGAAAAGAGGAGATCACTGGTCTACGGGAGGAAGTAGAGGGAATATTCGGCGAGGCGAAGGATGAATTGAGAGTGGAGAAACTTTTGGGCCAGGAATACTTTGGTGGAGATGGGATCTGGTTGTATGAGGTGGAAGGCGAAGAGGGAGACGACGTCACGTTTGAGGTTGTGGCGGCGGGGCATCCGGTCTTGAGAAGATGGATGGCGAAGACGAGAGAGGTGTGCGATAGGGTTGGGTTGCGACTGGAAGGTCACGAAGGAGAAGAGGCACAGCCATGATGAGAAGTCATTTTAACGTCCAATTACGTGGAGCCTGTTTCCGGCCCTTTCTCACAACAGCGTGAGGTCTATCGCTTGCATTTGTCTACGTGTTTTGTACATGCGCGCTGTACAAGTCGATCGCAGATCCGATGCTATCTTTTGACAGCGAGCAAAGGCGCCCAGACAACTTTCAGAATCTCGTCCAAAGTTTGGCCGTACACTCTAGTACTCCCAAATTCACTCATGCTACTCCTCCTTTGGCACTAGACCCAATACCTTGTCGCTCTTCAATGTCCTGAGGTCGACGAAGTCATCCGGGACACCTTTCTTCTTGGCCTCGCGTGACGTGCGACGTCGTCCTCCGGCAGGAGCAGAAAGTATCTGTGCGGGCTGCTTCGATGGGGTTGTGCCCTGAGACTGCTGTGTCGGACTGTGTGGAGCCTGACCGGCCATCGTCAAGGGCTGAGAGTTACTGAATAGGCCAGGTAGACTTGTATCGGTAAGGCCCAGTGTTGGCACTGGAGACAGCTGTGACACCTGAGTTGAATGGGCCTTTCGACTTCCGTCGAGATGTGCTGGCGGAACATTGGCACCGGACATCCGCGGCCAAGATGGAGGATGCGCTTTTGGTGAAGGGTTTGCTCCAAGAGTCTTCAGGCTGTATATAGCAGATTGGCCATTCAGGATCTTCTCGAAGACACCTTGACTGGCAGGGCTAAACTCTGAGGTCAAGCGGGCAGGCGCTGGCTGGGATCTTGCGACTACGATTTCGCTGCTAGCACCACTGCCGGAACCACTGCCAATTTCGTAGTCGTCCTCAGTCGCATCTGTAGCCGTGAAGAATTGTTGCAAGGACGATGGCTTGCGTGTTGCGAAGAACGATTCGGCCACAGAGTCAGCACTGGCCTTTTTCAAATTGATGCTGGCTCGCTTCCTCTGCAAGGATCCAGATCGCTTGTGTGGCGCCTTGAGTTCTTCATCGAACGTCTCGCTCTGTCTTTGAGTAGTGGTGCGCTTTCTGGAGGTCACAGTGAATGCCAGCGAACCATCGAACGCTTGCCTATCGTCGCTTTTGTCGGGTGGCGATCCACGAAAGGTGGCAGAGGAGGGGGATCGAAGTTGTGCAGGATCGTCGATGTCTTCGGCCGCATTGTGCTCGTTGCGGTTGCTTCCCTGCAGCGTTTGTGGCAAAGAAGGAAGCCTCTCGTACGTCGCTGGAACCACTCGAAGGCTGGGAATGGCTGCTGCCTCTGGTGAGCGTATGACTAAATCGAGCGTCACGTTACCTACCTGGACTTTGTGACTTGTACCAGTTGTCGATTGTTCGTACCAGAGATTCCTGTTGTTGCAGCTTCGTCTGCATGCCACTGCCCAACGTGGTCAGTTCTTGGACATGGGAACCATCAAGGAGTCTCTCGTACTTGCGGTCTTCGACAAGTGCCCGCACAGTCGTCTGCTGTTGCTGTAGGAGTGTCTGCTGTTGGTGTTGGAGTTCCTGCACGCTCTCCTCCACTTGCTCCAATTTACCACTGAGGGAAATGGTGTCGTGCTCTCCTATTTGCCTACGGATGATGTCAGGTGGGGAGCAGCACAGCTTGAGGCAAGAAAATCTTACTGGCCCAGGTCAGCGACCATTTTGTGCACTGCTGTCAAGCCATCGCGCATAGATGCCAGATTTGCCGACAAATCCTCATTCGCGGCTGACAAGGCAGAGTTGCGCTCGCTGTCTTCCTTCTTGAATTGGTTTAGGGCGTCCCAAATGGCTGCCATGTCGACGCCAGAAGACTTGCTGCGCTGTTCGCACTGCTCACGCAGCGCGCCAAGGGAGGTCTGTAGGGCTTGTTGCTGTTCCTGAATGACCCGGTTAGCCTTCTCGTGCTCTTTCTCAAGCGCGTCGAATCGAGCGGCGCTTCTAGCGTCGAGTGCATTGAGGAGGCCTTTGCAGGCATCCTGAAGCATTGCATCCGCTCGCGCCTCGCCTGGCTGGGCGGAGGGACTCATCGCGACTGGTTTGGAGCGGGCGAGTTGAGGTTGCGAGACAAGTCGCGTTCGCGAAGAAGTGCGCGGCGAAGTGATTCTAGCTGTTCACTGACGCTAGCTCCACCGATGCATTAGCGCGTTTTGGCAGGGAAGGCACGACCGTTTTGGAAAATAGCAACCGACAGTAGTGCAGCGCGCGATGGCAGTGCTCAAAGTCGCGACGAATTGCGGATGAATGTTTGGCGCCTCTCCGAGCGGTCTCAAGCAATGGTTCTCCGTGCTTGTCGTGACCCATTGGAACACAAACGTTGGTGTGAGCTGTTGGTCAGTGGGTGTGAGGGGAGAAGGATGTGTTGTCGACCGAGACGGAGTGCCATTCCCTATTTCTAGCTCGATTGAGTGCTGGCACGAGTGAAATAACGCCTGCCCTGAGACTGCACTGCAAGCAACAGCACGGAAAGGCTTGCTGCGCGATCGTGTTTCCGCTTCACTCGGCAGCGGCCAGCCTGAACTCCCTCTTTACAGTATCCTTTCAATTGTTTTGTACATCGCGATCCCACTTTAATCATCTTCATGACTCCTGCGATCTCCTTTGCGATCGATCGAGAGGCATGATCATTGGATGCCTGTTACGCATGTGTGCTGCCTTGAAGGCTTCCTGGAGGATCGGCGAGCTGTCTGTTCGTATCGTCGTTCCTATGCCCATAAAGAAACTGTCGAAGTATCAGCATCGACTGCAGAGCCCACCCGCACGCCTCGCCTACCCAAATGTTGCTGCGGAGCCGACCATGTATTGCCCCAGTGTTCGCATCATGCCGTTTGGTCCTGGTCCGAATCTGATGATGTTTGTTGCGCCAAAGATGAATCCGATGATCAGACCGACAGCTGGACAGTACTGTCAATGGAAAGCGCGGCGAAGCAGCGACTAGAACACATACTGCTACCCATCATGGCACCCATCTTCCATTTGTCGAAGGTCGAAGGACCCGCCATCCCACCTTTGACGCTATTAGCCATGTTGGGCTATTCTTGGTGGCCGAGACCAGACCTACCTGCTGCAGCTACTGGGGGCATATTGGCTTGCGATTTCCTGCAATGGCGTTGGGAGAATGCACGATCACAGCTTCACGGCTTCGAGAAGTATGTTTTGGCTGCGCTGCACCTCCGCACAGACGACGCTGCCGAGAAGGTCAAGCGCGCGCCGATCCTTTGGGAGTTCACGTGAAATAGTGGGCCCGACGACGCTAAGGACGGCTACCAACAGCAGGATATCACACGGGGACAACGACGTGTTGCGACGGCCAGCGTGAACTGACGACACGCGCGATCCAGATCCGCTGCTGCAGCCTGTCTTCTTGGGACTCTGGACGAGCACATGCAATAGCCGCCAGCGCCCTCTGGTTGGTCGGTGCTTTGGCGCCGCGACCGGCAGCCCGACTTCACACGCTTCATCTCCTGTGCGTGCAGACACCCGACAACGAATGCGTCCACGACTCTCCACCCGCCGCTTCTATCCATATCCATCACCACCGCGCTCTCGAGTAACTGCGCTGGACTTTTCGTCGCCTCGCCCTCACGACTGGCTGTGCTGCCTCCGTCCGCGGAGCCACACCTCACACGACATCCTCGCCGCACCATTCTCCGACCCCAGTCGGGGCCACTGACCGAGACCTTCAACAGCCTCGCGACGACTGCGTTGAATCGTAGAGCACTCGCCGGCAGGACGACCTAAAATCTGTGCCGAGGAGGTTGCCGAGTCCCACCAGCCTCACCACCGCGTAACTACCTCCAATGACGGCCGTAGCTTCTTCGTTCCAGCCTGCGACTACCAAACTAGGATGGACTGAAGAGATCAGGATGTTTGGTCCCCGCAAAAACCTCTCTCGCCAGAACTCGAGCTCCAGCATAGCTTCGACCGCATCCTCCACGTCCACCATATCTGCCACATCTACACAATCAAACGGCGCCGTACAGCCAGTATCAGATACAAACAATTGGGCCGCGCGAAAGAAACCCACGCGTGGGCTGTGGCCGCCTGGCAAATCAGAGCCGGTGGCAGGGATATCGACAGCAAGACCTCAACCAGTGAGCGCAACCACTTCGGGCGCAACAGCATCGTCTGCTATATCGGCACTGCACGCACCGCTGCTGCCATCACAACAAATGGCGAACGGGAGTGGGCAGGCGAATGGCGTTATGGCACGGGAGCAGGTGCAGCAGATGCCGCCTGCCACTCTGCACCTGTCTCCCATGAACGGCACTTTCGAGCGCAAGACTATCACTGTACCTTATGCGCCAGACTGCATGCGCATTGGAAGACAGACCAACCAGAAGACGGTACCATCACCGGTGAATGGCTACTTCGATTCGAAAGTCTTGTCGCGACAGCATGCAGAAATCTACGCCGATCGACAGGGCCGTATCTTCATTCGCGATGTCAAATCGAGCAATGGCACATTCGTCAATGGCATGCGGCTCAGTCAAGAGAACAAGGAGTCGGAACCGCGTGAATTGCGGGAGCATGATGTCCTGGAACTCGGCATTGACATTGTCTCCGAAGATCAAAAGACGGTGGTTCATCACAAAGTTGCTGCCAAGGTCGAAAGTGCTGGAGTCTACCCCGATAACGGTGGCGCGCTGAACTTCGGCGATCTGGACCCGAGTGGTGGGCAGGGCTTCCAGCAACAATTTGGACGAAGAGGCAGTCAGGGATCTGTCCACTCTCGAGTGGCCGCGAACCCTGCGATAAGCCAAGCCGCCATGGGCATGGGACTTGTCAATCAGCCGCAACACATGAGGAATTGGCTGAACCCAATCACAACCGAGCACATCGTTCGCAAGCTCAACGTAAGTAAACCTTGAGATGTGGCGCGTTTCATGAGACTGATATTCTTAGTACGAGATGAAACTCGCCATGCAGCAATCGCAAGAAATTGCGCGAGCAAGACAAGCCATCGAGAACATGCTTGGTGGCAAACTCGAGGCTCCGGCTATGGAAAAGCCAAAATCGAACTCCGAGAAAGCACGGCCATCGCCTACCAAATCGAAGCTCGATCTCAAGGCGCACTTTTCAGAACCACCGGCACCACCGCCACAGGCGCCGCTTCCAGAGAAACCTGATGTCGCGCGAGCACTTGCCGACCCGTTGATTCAGCCGTTGCTGCGAAGGAGTGACACAGCCAGGCCGTCATCTTCAAGTAGTTCGCCAACCCGGAACGATCACTCTAGCGACATTCTACGACTGTGCGAGGAGCTCAAATCGGCAAAGGGCGAGCTCAGCAACCAGAGCGAGCGCATGAAGTCGCTTGAAAACGAACTTGCCCAAGAACGCTTGGCACGTGAAAGCGCCGAGGAGAGGGCGCAGCGATTGGAGCAAGCTGATCGACGAGATTCACCGACCAACGACGGCCACCCCAGCGCAGATAATAGTCCAAGCACGTCTACAAGGCCGACGGATGTCATCAGTGATCCAGCACCTGAAGTGCAGATCCAGCTCGATCGCCTGCGGACTCAGATGGACGAGATGAAGCAACAAATGGAAGCATACCGTCAGCGTGCCGAGAAGGCAGAGTCCGAGAGAGACGAGGCTAAACAGACACTGGCAGAAATGGTCGAGGAGAAGCGGAGACAGAACGCTGAGCAGGCTAGCGAGAAGAGCATTTCGTTGACCAAAGCGCAAAGTTCACCGGCAAAGTCCTTGCGCCAACCTGATGGACTATCAATCGAGTCCAATGGGCATATACTCCCGCCTGCGTCGAGCTCCAATCCGACTCCTAGCAATCTGCTCCAACGCGCTGGAGTTGAAGAAGGCCGACCTATCACACCCGAGCAAGCCAAGATGTTAACGCAATTCCTAGCACGAGAAGTGATCGGGTCAGATCCTTCCAACATTGGTGCTCGCGATATGGACAAAGCTTTACTCTATTATGGAGTGCCATATGGGAGTTTTGCAGCGGTTGTCATCGTCGGTTTTATTGCTATGAACTGGATAAATGGCTGGCCGAAGATTGAGCGATGAAGGCGAAACGTCTAAAATGAAGCCATACGCATTGATCGAAAACATGCCACCGTCACCCACTGCCAACAATCGTGAAGTGAGGGAGTCCGCGCCGGCCTCAACGAGAGCTACCGTGGCGATGAGATAGTGCCATGTCCCGGTCCTCGTACTCCCGGATCGAAAAGGAGTCAAAGCTCGTACATGTTGCCAAGGATACCGCAGGCGTGTAACGCCTGGTCTATCCTTGCGTCGCGTGAGCTCTGGTCTGGGCCGAAAGAAGATCGATGAGGTCTGAGCGGTGCTCATTTGCGTTTCAGAGAGGAAGCAGAACGTACGACGTGCTCCGAGAGTACTGAGCATTGCCTTTATGCAACTGTGCGTTAAGCGCACACCGAGCCGGCACGCCATGTCGGCAACTATGCATGTCGACATCATCGAAAAAAAAGCTCTCCAGAGAGCGTTGCGTCCAGCTTTGAAAGTGCAGCAATGGGATGGAAAAGCATCGTTTAACAGGGAAACCATCACCATCAAACGCGTTGCGGACCCCATCGGCGCAGATGATCAGGAACTTGTCAGCCTACCGGATTGAACTTGAAAGAGCCTGGTGCTGCCACATCTCTTTTCTTGCTTCGACTACTTTTCTTGTTGGCGAGCAGTGATGAGACAGGGAGGAACAGGACCTTGTCACACGGGGAATTAAGAGAAAACAACAAGAAGGATTTCTAAAGCTGAATCGGCAGCTACAGGCTGGCCGCTATCATTTCGAGACCAGGACAACACTCGTTGCGCATTTCCTTGGTGTTCACTTCCGGCGCTTCTTTAACATGGAAAATGAGGTGCAGTCTTGGTGGGAATTGGAATGGAGCACGGCTGGAGACACAAAAGAAGCTGCCCAGCAGCGAATGGACGGATGGACGGATGGGCACACCACAATCATTGCATTGGAGTTCTTTTTTTCCTTTGAACACATTTGGTCTCCTAGCTTTGGATTTTGGGACCTTCGAGGAAGGAAGGCGCTTTTTACCTAGCTTTCTTGCTTCTTTTGCTCTCTGTATATACATAATCATTAGCCGCGGAGTACGGGCGTACTGGCACTGTAGTATCGACTGAGGCAAGTCGCCTGTGCGAATAAATGAAACTTCAACGAAATCTTGTTTTCAATGCTTTTCTTCATCGCTGCTTTCCAGCTTGGTACTTCCGGATGTATCTATGTTGTGGAAATGTTATCTACCATGAAGGATTCCTCATGCCGTGTGGCTTTCACACTTCTCTCATGCAGAACTTCACTATTTATGCCGTGTTCAGCCTCAACAAGATCACTGGACGGTTAATTGAAATGGGACAGATTTTCATCAGCTGAGATAGATGGCGGCTTTCATATACAACAAGTTTGAATTTCCTCTCCAACTGTAAATAAAGGGAACGCCAACGTATTCAGTTACTTAGATATATGAGCAACCATGCAATTCTCGTTTCCTGATGAACATGTATAGCACAATTTTCATTTTTCTCATTACAGGTGCATACATACTTTGCCTTTAACAGTACTCAGCATTGAAGCTGGATTTTTGGTTAGACGGAAAGCCCTCGCCCGCTATGCTCAGCGTCTTCTTGGTCGTGAGCCGTGCCTGCTATGCGTGGGTCGCAGTCTGCAAGCTGACCGGGCAGCAATCGGTCTCGAATGAGACCTGTGCGATGATGGTGTCTTGTGGTAGCTGGGTCGGAGCCGGCCATCATGCACAACTTGTGTGTTGGCGGCTGAAATTCGGCAGTTGAGCTGAATGACTCGCGATCGCTGAGCACAGCGAAGCCAGGATGGAAGCAGTCGCTGGTCCACTGAGCATCTTGTCCCGTTTGTCGTCTCGATGTCCTCGCATCTGGACGATGTTCGCGTACGCGACAGCATTACGCGGGTGCGTGATAACGAGCGAGCGAAACGAATGTTCCGACCACTTCGGGACCAAGCAACGCGCAGCCCCGCCTCTATCATCTTGCACGAAATGCATCACTTACAGGCGAAGCTCCTTCACCGTTGACTGTACTTCTCATGCAGCTGCCTAATCTGCTCGTTCACATTCGTGCCTGGCGCACCAGGTGGGTAGACTCCTGGCGGAGCCTGCCCCATCGCTGCGTTCGGGACCTGGCTGACTCCGTCGTAGCTTTGTAATTCCGCGCGCTTCCTCCTCTCCTTTTCTTCTTCACTGATCGCTTGTCCGGTGATGGGGTCGAATAGATCTGTGCGCTGAGACGCCAGCCGCTTCAAGTTGTTCGCAACATCGGCCGTGGACAGATTCGTTGTAGAAGAGCGCTGTTGGTTCTTGCCAAACTGTTCACGCCATCGCGGATCCAGCTGTTCGATACGCATGTGCTCGGCAATCTCGTCGTTGGGAATAGCCAGCTTGCAGTTCGGACAGATGGAGGTATTCTGTAGCTGGTTCCGCTGTTGCGCTCGTGGAACGTAATCGGTCCGAACACGTGTAGGCTGCGCTTGCGAAGCACGAATAGCTGCACGGGCATTCTCGCGTTCTTCGTTGAGCGAAGGCGTAGGAGGAGGTTGATACGCAGATCCTGGAGGTGGGGTTGGCTGTACTGGCGACGGCGCGTACCCCTGTGGAGGTGGCATCTGTGCTGCGGGAAACTGCGGTTGCTGCCCGTAAATGGCAGAGTAGTCGTTGAAGTCGGGCACGGCCTCCTCCAGTCTTCTGTTTGGGTCGATGCGCATATTTGCCTTTTCCTCCAGACTGAGCGAGAGCATGTCGTTCAGCGACTTTGGCGGAGGCATATCTGCAGCTTCATCACGCTCATCGAATGTGATGGTAGCAATGACACTGAAGTCGTGCCAGTCGATTTGTGCAAAGGCAATGCGGTCCTTCTCGGCCTTCTCTTCCTTCTCCTCCCGCTGCTTCTCCTGATACTTGACGTACTCTGCCCGCTTCTTCGCCCTCTCCAGTAGGTTGAAGCGGTTGTCCACGTTCGCCTGCAGCTCCTCGATGCGCTTCTTCTCCGGCGCACCGCTGTCGACCGTCTCGCCCTCAATCAGGTCCTTATACTGATCGACCAGGCGGCTGAAGTACATGTTCAGCGAATGCTGAGGACGAAGAAAGTCAAACTGGTAGTTGCCAGCTTCGCGCTGACTGAGATGCGTCACCCAGCTCTTGCCATTCTTCGCCGCATACAGCGCAGTCAACTTGACAATGTCCAGATCCTGCGCGCTGATATTGGGCATACGGGCACTGAACTTGAACTCCTCGGGCGCCTTCGGCGCTCTCGACTCGCGGCCTTGGAAGGTGACATCGGTTTTTGCAGCGGGCGCGCTGGCATCGAGACTCCGTCCAGCCTTGCACTCGGCAACGCGCCATTTGTAGTAGGGGTTGTACTCGTCTTCGGGCTCGAGAAAGTGGGTGATGTTGGTGCCAGCATTTTTTCGGCGGACATTGTCCTCGAAACTTTGGCCACTTCGCGCGACATATGCTGCTACCTTTTCGATCTTTTCTCTGACTCCGCGCGGCGGCAGCACGGTGCCCGCGGGCAGGCGCTTGAGGAAGTCATCCTGGCCTTCTGCTGCTGGCTGCTCGCCGTTAGTGGCAGCCATGCCGTCACGTCAGATCTGCCGCTTCCCTCAGATGTGCGAAAAGTGCCGTCAACGGAGGTTTGGCACGTGAAGATGGCGAGGCTGGCGAGCACGGGTGCGGTGGGCGCGGTGGGCGGTGGCGGCGGTGATGGCGGTGATGCAGATTAGTGGTGCACATGCAAGTGTCGCAAAACACGAGACAAGCTTCGTCGCGGAGCGGCACCAATCCCGCGTCCCTGTGCGACTCTTCACGAGGACGCTGCGCGCTAGCCTCGCATTGGCGGGCGCTAGCCCCTAGATTCCTCTGCAAGGTGAACTATTCGTGTGGGCGCAGAGAAGCTCATACGTGGTCAACAGCTGCCCCAATCCTCTCCTTTGCTCAGCCCATCATCACTTCTTCTCTTCTCTCGCCCCGGTTTCCGATTAATTCACTCTCTCTTGTCCAGCACAGGCGCACCGCGTCGGCCACCAGCACGACGCCCTCGAAACGCTGTCAGCCGCGCGTGTCAGGAAGGCACTCCGATCGGCGCATGGGGATCCCATCCTCACAGCCCTGAATTCTTGCACGTCCCATCACCACCACAACCACCACCGCCCGTCGGCCTGACACCCCGCCGTCGCTGCCATGGCTTCCAGGCCCAGCCAGACGAAGGTGCAGCAGAAGAAGAGCAATGGCGCCCTGCGCGCTGCCAACGGCGCCGCCCCGAAGGACTGGGTCCAGTCGAGTCCAAACAAGCCGCCGCATCCTCGATACGATTACACCTCGCGTGGCGTGCAAGATCACAACATCCTGAACCTTAAGAGCAGCGATTGGGAAGTTTTGGGTGTGGTCACACTGATTGCGCTGTTCGTGCGACTCTTCCGCATCTATCAACCTTCGAGCGTCGTCTTCGATGAAGTGCACTTTGGAGGGTTTGCCAGCAAATACATCAAGGGGCGCTTCTTCATGGACGTGCACCCGCCTCTTGCGAAACTGTTGATTACGCTCGCCGGCTGGCTGGCGGGCTTCGATGGAAACTTCGATTTCAAGGACATTGGCAAAGACTACCTCGAGGCCAAGGTGCCATACGTGGCTATGCGACTGCTCCCAGCTCTGCTCGGCGTCCTGGCTGTCCCTACGATGTTTCTCACCCTCAAAGCATCGGGCTGCAAGACGGTCACTGCTGCGCTGGGTGCTGGTCTGCTCACATTCGAGAACGGCTTCGTCACTCAGTCCCGCTTAATCCTCTTGGATTCTCCTCTTGTCATCTTCACCGCTTTGACTGGCTTGTCGTGGGTTTCTTTCATCAACCAGCACGAACTCGGTCCTCGGAAGGCTTTCACCCCAAGTTGGTGGTTCTGGTTGGCAGCAACAGGACTGTGCTTGGGAGCGACTGCAAGCGTCAAGTGGGTCGGTCTCTTCACCATCGCCTGGGTGGGATCTCTGACTGCTCTTCAACTCTGGGTCCTTCTTGGTGACACCAAGAATGTCACCCCACGCCTCTGGTTCAAGCACTTCTTCGCACGCGTTTTTTGCTTGATCATCATCCCAGTCACCTTCTACATGGCAATGTTTGCAATTCACTTCGTCTGTCTCGTCAATCCAGGTGACGGTGACGGATTCATGAGCAGCGAGTTCCAGTCTACGCTCAACTCCAAGGGAATGGCCGACGTACCAGCAGATGTTGCGTTCGGCTCTCGTATCAGTCTTAGGCATCACAACACCCAGGGTGGTTATTTGCATTCGCATTCGCACATGTATCCTGGCGGCAGTAAACAGCAACAGATTACACTTTACCCCCACAAGGACGAGAACAACGTCTTCCTCCTCGAGAACCAGACTCAGCCCATCGACTGGGCCGCAGATCCGACCGGCAACACTTCCATCGCTGGTCCTCTTGCATGGGACAAACTGGAGCCAGCCTACGTGAAGGATGGCAGCGTCCTCAAGTTGTACCACATCACCACTGACCGCCGCGTGCACTCTCACGATGTGCGACCTCCGATCACCGAGGCCGAATGGCAAAACGAGGTGTCGGCATATGGCTACGCGGGTTTCGAAGGAGACGCCAACGATCTCTTCCGTGTTGAGATTGTCAAGTCCATGTCGGACGGCAAGGAGGCCAAGGAGCGAGTGAGAACCATTCAGACTAAGTTCAAGCTGGTCCACATCATGACTGGCTGCGTACTCTTCTCGCACAAGGTCAAGCTTCCAGACTGGGGTTTCGAGCAACAGGAGGTGACGTGCGCGAAGGGTGGTACTCTGCCAAACTCGATCTGGTACATTGAGTCTAATGTCCACCCTCAACTCAAAGAAGACGCCGAAAAGGTCAACTACCGCAATCCAGGCTTCTTTGGCAAGTTCTGGGAGCTGCAGAAGGTCATGTGGACAACCAACGCCGGTCTCGTTGAATCTCACGCCTGGGACTCTCGCCCACCCTCATGGCCAACGCTCAAGCGCGGTATCAATTTCTGGGGTAAAGACCATCGTCAAATTTACCTCATCGGTAATCCTTTGATCTGGTGGTCAAGCACAGCCGCTATCGTAATCTACATCCTGTTCAAGGGCTTGTCCGTTATCAGATGGCAGCGCAGCTGCAACGACTACCAAAACCTTACGTTCCGCCGCTTCGACTACGAATTGGGTACGACGGTTCTTGGCTGGGCCTTCCACTACTTCCCCTTCTTCCTCATGCAGCGCCAGCTGTTCTTGCACCACTACTTCCCAGCTCTTTACTTTGCCATCATTGCCTTGGCCCAGATTTTCGACTTCAACTTCAGCCGGATTAGCATCGGCTCCTTGACTCTCAAGGATAAGCCTTTCATTGGTAGCAGCGTGGCTGTCATCTACCTGGCGCTTTCCATTGTGGTCTTTTCTCTCTATGCACCACTGAGCTATGGTAATCAGTGGACGAAGAGCGACTGCAAGCGCGTGAAGCTCTTTGATACTTGGGACTGGGATTGCAATACCTTCTACGACTCTGTAAGTTGACATTAGAGCCACGCAGCGCTTGACTTTGCTAACCCATCATCTAGTACGCCGATTACTCCCTCGCTGTACCATCAGCAGGAGGCGCTGCTCCAACTACCCAAGCTGCGCACGGACCCGCCCCACCAGTCGCCGACGACCCGCAAAAGGACGTGCATGTCACACCTCAGGTGCAAGGCGAACCAGCCTACGTCGATGGCCAGGTAGAAGAAAAAGTTGAGTACCGCGACGAAGACGGCAATCTCCTCAGCGAGGAAGAAGTCGCTGCCCTCGAAGGTCAGGTCTCTTTCTCTACGCGCTACGAGACCCGCACACGACTCGTCGATGAGATGGGTCGCGAGGTCCACGACGGGCTCGTCGAAGCTCATGACGGCGAACCTCCAGCGAAGCCCGATGGAGTGGACCCAGAGACACCATTGGGTCGCGAGGCGGGGAGTCCCGAGAGTTCCACTCAGCAGGTCGACGAAGATCTGAAGAAGGAGCAGAGCATTCAAGACGCCAAGGCTACACCTGAACCAGAAAGCGAGGTTGAGAAGAAGACAGCTGAGGCTAAGGATGAGCTTTGAGAGACCTCTCACCTAATTGAGTTTTTTCGGCGTGGCATAGTGGAGTTGGCACAGAAAATGGAAAGGACATGACAAGGGGATGTATGATACCACTACTACCGTCATCACGCACAACAGAGATTTCTTGAGTTTTTCGATTATGACTGTTCTCAACCGGTATCAGGAAATTCGGGCATACTAGTATGGATGGGCTGAGGGCTGCATTTTGGCGAGAGCGAAGGCGAAAGGAATATGTTATGCTGCAGTGGACTTTTTTCTTCGAAGTTCGGTAGTAGACGGTCGTAGTAGGAGATCAGCTGCAATTAAAATGTAGAAATGGATGCATAATGTCGATCCTTCCTTGCCACGTCTCTTCAATTTTGCAAAGCAGTTCCGAATCCATGCAGGAGACGCGTTGCAGGCGCAGGATAAGACCGCTGTTGCATTTTCAATCAGAAGCAGAATTCACATCCGGGCATGTCCTCGGGCTTCAGGATTTGCCTTCGCTGACGTGAGGTTTCGTTTTCGTCTTGTTTTAAATGGCATCTCATTGCAACGCTTGTATGTACATATGAAAATGACGCGAGGAAGAGTTCATTCCGTGAGGTTCTTCTTTGTCCATTGTGACTAGCACTGTAAATTTACATCGCGGGTCTTTGCACCGATTCTATGCTGCATTTTCCATGCGTAGGGAGCGCGGTGTATCTACTCTTCTTCGGACTTCTTGTGGTGGTTGACTTCAGGGTTCCAGAAGAGAGTCTAGTTGGAAGTTGTCAGCTACGTCCTGACACTGTTTACTCGTCGCGGGTCCGTGTCTTCTCGCCCTCCACGACTTGCGAGAAATATTGTTCCCTTGCGGAATCCCGTTTCTGATATCCTGTGAAGTCCTCGTAGGAGGCCGAAATCAAACGTACCTTATCGCCATCACCCCAGAAGTAGTTCTTGGTCCTGATGTTCATGTATGGGTACTCAGTGCGCTCCTCGAGTGGGGGTCCGTGGGCGACGTGCTCCCAGTGCTCGGTCCACAGGCGCCATGCGTTGACGCCAGCAATCATGAGAGAGGGAATGACGACGCTGTGGAGTGTTAGAGAAACCGCCGGGCTACGGGTTGGAAAGAAAGTGCATACTAGATTGAGAGCTTGCGCCAGAGGTCTGTGTGGATGAAAGCGGTTAGCAATCCATTTGCAAGGGCGCAAGATTACGGGCTCTGGTGGGCATGCTGCTGCTGCTGTGGCCCTCTGAGGTATGGTCTCTCGAGGAGCGTCCTCTTCTCGGGCTGTTGTCATGTGCGCGCCGCTCTACCCATCTGTCCGCCTCTTGCCAACTCCCCGCGACCTTCCCAGACCCAACAGCAGCATCATTCACTCCAATTGCCCGCTCTCTGGAAGAGCAAATGGGACGTACCAGAAGTAGCAGCGGCGTGCTCCTTGACGGCCGCTCGTTCGCGGTTGAAGGCATTATCGGCCGGGCCCTGCAGTCCGCTTTGCAGTCTCTTTTGCGTGATACGGCGCACGGCCGGGGTGAAAGTGCGAGTCGCGCGAAGTCCGAGCATGATGTGTGTGAGCCTAGAGGGAAGATTCGGTGGTGTCGTGTCCCAATGGCTGTGTGTAGTGCATCACGAAGCAAGTGCGGATGCTTGCGGGTCTTTCCGCTTCTTCCCGGCAGTGTCACGGGACGCTGGATTTTGGGAATACGTCAGTCGACTGACCTTGGACTCTCAATAATGTTCAGATGCAAGACAAAGACATGATCGACATTTGAATTGAGGTTTCCTCTCTCTGCTTACTGTCTGAGTGGAAAGCTTTTATCAAGATGAAGCCGTGAAACCATCTCGAACACGTGCGTAGAGCAGGCACTTTTGCCACAACATGACTACCACGTCGGCCAATTCTTCGTCAATACTTCACTGGGCAAAGCTGCTCAGATTCACTCCACTTGCCACAACCTCACCATCATGTCGGCACTAAACCAACAGATCAACTGGACCATCACCATGGCTGACAATCTCGAGCAAGTCAAGAAGCGTGGCAAAATCAAGCCCTTGATGAAGCACAGGCATTACGAGAACGAAGACGAGGTATCGTCCAAGCAGGAGCAGAAAGACACCACTCCCAAAGTCTGGACCACCCTGCCTATTTACCTTCCGGATGAAATTATCATCCAAATCGTCGAATACGTCTCTCACTTTCGTTCCGCCCAACTCACACTTGCTTCCTGTTGCCGGCTCTCCCGTCAGTGGTACTCCGCCTCTGTTCCCTACCTTTACGCAATCCCCTACGTTACCGGCAAGAACTTCGATGCGTTTGTCCGCGCCATTTGTCCCTCTATCAACCTGCACGTCCGCAAAAGTCCATTGGCCGAGTTCGTCAAGGTCCTCAACATGTCACACCTGGTGCATTCCGGGAGCAAAGCCACGACCGCTCGCCTCTTGGGTCGCACAAAGGGGAATTTGGAAGAGTTTGTTGCGCCCCAAGCCAGTTTTGGAACGAATTGCTTTCCTGCTCTGGGGAAAAGCCGGAATTTGAAGGTCCTGGATCTAAGTCTTGTGAGCGAGAGCCCACCTTTGATGGACCTGTTCAAAACGATTGGGCATTTGGCCAAACTTTCGCATTTACGGCTGCCGCGCAGCGCAGGTTTCAGTCAAGGCTTCCACGCAGAAGCGATGACATGGCCACCGAATCTGGAGGATCTATGCCTGAGCGGCGGCATCGACGTGCATTTCCTGCAAGGCGTTGTGTCGTTCCCCGAGACTTTGCGAAGTCTGACGGTTGAGCATTGTCCAATGGCTAAGACAGGCGCGATCTTGCATTTGTTGAGGACGGCTGTGCGGCCACTGCCAAATCTGGAGATTCTGAGATTATCGAATCTGCCTAGACTGATGGGCAGTTCACTGGATGACGTCTTGGTTGTCTTGCCTGGGCTGACGAAGCTGAGTATCAGCGTGGATTACATCACTCCTCAGGTATTCGATTTGGGTGCAGATCGAGGGCATGAGTTGCCAGAGATTTGGTTGCCTCCTGGCCCTAGGCATGGGGCCGATCCGCATTGCCAACTGAGGACACTGGAACTGACGAACTCGGGCAACCCAGGCGTTGAAGACAAGATCACGCCGATCGATGTATTGATCGCGGTGGAGGATGGCTCGTTACCAAAGTTGAGGCAGGTCAGAGTTGCGAAGAGCTTATTTTGGCAGTCCGGATCGAATGCGGACGAGACTGCGGCCTTGAGCGACGCCTTGCAGGATGCTGCAGTGAAGGCTGGTGATGCCGAGGAGATGGAAAGCGGCGTCTGGACGTTTGATGGCTGAAGACTGGCGTACAGAAGCTGAACACATCAAAACCCTCTATCTTTTCACGAAGTGCAGGAAGGCCGCTCGACCTGATCTCGTGATCATGTCGAGATCTCCACGTCAGGCTGTGGTAGCAAAGCTCCTATCCGATGTTGGGCGAACAGCGAGTCCTTGTGCGGGCTGTGCGCATCGAAGGTGGTCAGCTAGCTGGCCCGCCCGTCTCGTGTCACCAGCGCAAAAAATATCTTCAATGGACATGGCTGCGGGAGACAGCACCCATGAGTTCAACGAGCCATGGGTACACGAATCACTGTCCGTATCAGACGTGCAAACGAACTCGGAGGAAGCCAGTCTCGGAAGGCAAGCACTGTGATGCGACTCAATTTCGAGAACCAAAACGCTGCAATGCATCTCACACAATGCTACTCTGGCGTATATTGCAGCTGTTGTTGCAAGCGACAGTAGCCTAAGGCATTGATAGCACATGACAGAGAGCTAGCCTTGCTGGTGAGAACTACAGTACTTTGAAGAAGGTACCTCGGCTTCCCTTCCTCCGGTGGCATGCTTTGTGGTATGCAAGGTGTAGCTACGCAGATCCACTCCGCGCTTGGCCAATCAATAGCTAGCTATCATAGAACAACAGAGGCGTACATGTGAACATCACTTCTATAAGTTGCATGAGCTGTAGAACGCATTTGATACTGTACACACAGAACGTCGTCTTGGTGACTGTATTGCGGAAATGTACAAGCAAGCAGCAAGATCCATTCTAGGCAGTGGACGCAACCAATCTGCGAGGACGCTATTGCAAAGATGTGATGCAGTGCGAATAGCTCCTGCGACCACGATGACGGCGACGAGTAGGGGAACGATCTTCCGAACTTTCATGGAGTCGGCTTCGGACTGGCCCTTGGCGAGTGAGAAGCAGCTGGAGGAATCACAACAGCAGCAAAAATACCAGTCGGGCCAGATATACCACCGGCACAACAACCCTGCGATTTCGGAGCAGTATTCTAGGCCACCTCAGCGGCAGAAGCAGAAAGTCCGACATGATGGGCCATTATATAACAGACATCAGGCACCGCTGTCTTCTTCGCCCTCTGCCTCCTCGAATCCAGGTCCTGAACCAAATCCCTCTTCCAAAACAACGGCCGTCGCCTCAACAATGTCGTCCGGTACGGCCAAGAAGTATCCCAACGCGTCGGAAATCCATGCCTTATTCTTCAATCTCAGTACCCAACCAGAGGCGTTCTTTGAACGCGTAGCGCATGATGTCGACTGGACTGTCATGGGAACGCATCCCCTCGCTGGCAGGTACAATTCACTTTCTGACTTCCAAGCCGCGACCTTTGCGCGTTTAGGCAAAATAATGAAGGCCCCTGGGATAAGACTAAAGCCGAGGAATGTGATTGGTGGCGGGGATCAGGGGTGGTGTACAGTCGAATTGGTCGTCAATGGAGTCTGCGAGAACGGTAAGTTGTTCCTTCGGTGTCGTTGGTCGGAAAAGTGGCTGATGTTTTGTTACAGGTCTCGCATTTGATAACTGTTACGCGTGGTGCTGTCGATTTGATGAGAGCGGGGTGATCGTGGAGGTGAGGGCTTATTTGGATAGTTGGCTGGTGAGGGAGGCTATCGTGCAGAACGAGGTACCGAGCCAGAGAGCAGAAGTCCCACGGGTTGATGCGCTGTGAGAGCACCTGCGCCTCCACACTCAAGTTAGGAGGATTTCATAGCCGTCTTTCGGAATTCGGACTGGTTCTTCATCGAAGCCCCACTTTCTGCGTATCACTTCGAAGACAATAAGGCCAGCAGCTGTCGATGGTGTCTGTCTTATGGTATTCGATATGAAGTGCCGAAACAACCATTGACGAAGCCCACCGTCCCTACGTGCCAATGCCAAGACGTGCCGCATCGTCTTGCGGTAGGCGGCGGCATACAGTTTCAGAGTGCGAATCTTCTTCTGCTCGGGAGCTGTATGTGTGTGTTGGTCAATCCATTCCAGCCTGCCGTAGTGTATCTCCTGAATTCGACTCAAAGGATGTTGTATGAAAGCTTGCGCCACAGAAGCTGCAACCCCAGCAAGAAGGAGGAAGGTAGGTTCCACCATATAGTGTGGTCTGATCTCAGGTCGGCTTGACGAGCTCTGTGACCTCTGCACGGAGATCGACTCGCGCTGCAAATCTGACAACTGTGTCCAGCTTCCATAATATCGACTGACAAAGCCATAGAAGGCCTGACTTTTCACCGTTTCAAAAGTGGCAAAGAAGATGCCGGCACCCAGAGAGTCACGCAAGAGAGACAGCGTCCAGCCAGCGAAGACACCTCTCGCGCCGATCTCCTGGGTTTTGCGCAAACCATAGTGCCACATGTTCCTGTATTTGCCATCGATCATGTCTGTGCTCTGGAAGCGAACCTGGAGAGCATCAAGTGGTGCGGCTATAACGCTTTGCACTGTACCAGCCAAGAACCCGGCAGTAAAGCATGTTCCGAACGAGGGCGGAGGAAAGACTCGCTTCGAGGACAGAGAGTTTGGCTGGTGCAGGTTGCTTATGATTTGGAGATAGGCCGTGTAAAGCACTGTGCCAACAGCAGTATTCGCGAGAAGGGGCGGAAGGACTTGGTTTGGCAGGAAGGCCCAGCCCTGCTGTTGAACGGCCGTGAAGAGCAATGCCGGTGAAGTCATTCGCCATGACCATGCCTGCCCAGCCTTCACGTTTGGGTTGATGGCCCTAGCATAGCCCTAGAATCGATTCAATACCATGTGAATATCTAGAGTTCGAAAATTCATACCATGTAACTAGACTTCTGTCAGCTAGAAGTTCAGCAAAGACGACTACAACAGCTCACTCTATCCTGGGTCTGAAGAAAGCCTTTATTGGAGCTCGAAAGTAGAAAGTGAGCATTCGGGCGCTCAACGCGCGCATCGTAGCAGCTGTGAAGCCAGTACCTGCATGCTCCTTGCGTTTCTTTTTCGTCGCTTCGACCTGCATGGTCGTGGGCAGCAATCCGCCTTCGCGGAGACGTGCGTCAAGTCCGCCATTACTGGCAGCGTCGCTCATGTCATACAGAAATGTAGCTAGATGTTATCGCATCTTATGATCAGTTTGATGTGCAGGTGTGCCACGTGGAGTGAATCAGCACAAGAATAATGGACAGTGGCTCAGCAGGTCCCAGAAATCGTGATGTGCCTCGAATATCAGTAGAGACCGTGCAGTTGATGTGGAACTTGCAGGTATGCAAGATGCATGTGAAAGAAGTACATGTAGGAGTTGTGCAGCGTCAAGTGAAGACAGCCGCCAGTCGCCAAGCTGTCACCTCCGCGCAGCTTCGCCAGGCATCCATCGCACCTGCCACTCTGCGGCTCGAGCTCCGCATCGCGACTTTGACGCGCAATGAACGTGAACTCGTTGTTCGCCGTCACTGCACCACCGCGCATCCACACCAACCTCTTCTCATCGCTGTCCGGCTCGTCACCAAACCATCATCAGCGGCATCACCATTTCCGGACCGCGAAGATGGCCGACGAAGTCAGCATCGACAAGGCGCAGTTCCACAATCGACTGTCGTCGCTGATTACTGCCTGGAAGAACGACAAACGCAGTGGCAACAATGTCTACGGTGATGTCGGCAGCATCGTTGTGTGCATGGGCAAGAGCGATGAGGCGGCAGGATTTCACAAGGCGAACGGTCTGCAGTTCTGGCTGCTGGGCTATGAGTTCCCAGCTACGCTCTTCCTAATTACCCTCGAGGCCATGTACATCGTCACTACGAAGAAGAAGGCGGCATACTTGGAGGTGCTAAAGGATGGCAAAACACCGGTCGAAATCATCGTGCGGGGCAAGGATGCCGAAGAGAACGCAAAGCAGTTCGAGAAGATCAACGAGACCATCAAATCTGCGGGCAAGAAGGTCGGTACATTGCCAAAAGAGCAGTCGGGTGGCCCTTTCGTCACGGAGTGGAAGAGCGCGTTCAGCGAGATTGGCAAAGATGTGGAAGAGTACGACATCAGCACGGCCTTGTCCACAGCAATGGCCATCAAGGACGAGAACGAATTGCGATCGATCAGGAATGCGTCCAGTGCTTCGGCCTACCTCATGCGAGAGTACTTTGTCGAGACCATGTCCGACATCTTGGACAAGGAGAAGAAGATTACACACAAGGCATTTGCAAACAAAGTGTCAAACAAGCTCGATGATGACAAGTTCTTCCGAGCCATGAAGGGCGTGGGCAAGTTCGACTCGCAGCAGCTGGACTGGAGCATTTCGCCGACAGTGCAGAGTGGTGGCAACTTTGACCTGAAGCTGCAGGCCGAGCCGGACGATAACAACTTGCACCAGCCTGGTGTCATTCTCTCCGCCTTTGGGCTGCGATATCAGACCTATGCATCTCAGCTGGCTCGTACATACCTCGTGGAACCGAACAAGACGCAGGAGAGTATGTACAAGCTCCTTTTGAGTGTACACGAGACAGTCATCAAGGAGTTGCGCGACGGTGTACTTGCGAAAGACGTTTACCAAAAGGCCGTCGCCGTTATCAAGGCCAAGAAGCCGGAACTCGTGGAGAATTTTGTCAAGAGTGTTGGCTCTGGTATCGGCATCGAGGCTAAGGATCCAACTCTGAGCCTCAACGGGAAGAACGTCCGCCAGCTTAAGGACGGCATGACTTTCTCCATCACTACAGGCTTCTCCAATCTTGAGAACCCCAATGCGAAAGACAAGAAGCGCGAGGGCACATACTCTCTTCTCCTTAGCGACACAGTGCGTATCACGAGTGGTGGTGAAGCGTACTGCTTCACAAAAGATGCACCACGCGACATGGAGAGCGCTTCTTTCTTCTTCAACGATGAAGAGGAGGAAGAGAAGAAGCCAAAGCCGAAAAAGGACTCTCGCGTCGGAGCTGTGGCATCCTCGAACATCACCAAGACGCGCCTGAGAGCACAAGGTGGAAGCACACAGAATGAAGAGAAGGAGGCTGCGCGGAGGGAGCATCAGAAGGAGCTTCACACCAAGAAACAACAGGAGGGTCTCGAGATGTACCAGAAAGGCCACGGAAACTTGAACGGCGTTCAAGAAAAGAAGTTCAAGCGTTTCGAATCGTATAAGCGCGTGGAGTCTTTGCCGCCTCGCGTCAAGGACCTCACGATCCTGGTTGACGCAAAGAACTACTCCATCATTCTTCCGATCATGGGTCGCCCGGTGCCTTTCCACATCAACACAATCAAGAATGCAACCACCAGCACCGAAGGTGGCTTCACATACCTCCGCATCAACTTCCTATCGCCAGGCCAGGGTGTGGGCAGAAAGGATGACCAGCCATTTGAGGACCCGACTGCACAATTTATTCGTTCCCTTACATTCCGAAATAAGGATGCGGATCGTATGGAAGACGTGCGAGAGCAGCTGACAGAAATGAAGAAAGCGTCTGTCCGCAAGGAGCAAGAGAAGAAGGACATGGAAGACGTAGTGGAGCAAGACAAGCTCGTCGAGATCCGCAACCGTCGCCCATTTCGCCTGGACAACATTTACATGCGCCCTGCTATGGAGAGCAAGCGCATTGGTGGCGCTGTCGAGATCCATCAAAACGGTCTGCGTTACAACCATCTTGGAAACCAGAAGATTGATATACTTTTCTCGAACGTCAAGCACCTCTTCTTCCAGCCGTGTGCCGGCGAGCTGATCGTTATCATTCACGTCCATCTCATCAATCCCATCATTATTGGAAAGAGAAAGACGAAGGATGTGCAGTTCTACCGCGAAGCTACTGAGATGCAATTCGACGAGACGGGAAACCGCAAGCGTAAGCATCGCTATGGCGATGAGGAAGAATTTGAGGCTGAGCAAGAGGAGAAGCGACGACGGGCTGCGCTCGACAAGGAGTTCAAGCAGTTTGCTGAGAAGATTGCGGACGCCGGGAAGGGCGAAGGTATCTCGGTCGACATGCCTTTCCGTGATTTGGGCTTCAACGGTGTGCCCAGCAGATCGTCTGTCATGATCCAACCTACTACCGACTGCTTGGTGCAGCTGACCGAGCCGCCCTTCATGGTTATCACACTCACAGATATTGAGGTGGTACACTTGGAGCGTGTTCAGTTCGGCTTGAAGCAGTTCGACATGGTGGTTGTCTTCAAGGACTTCACGCGGCCTCCTGCTCATATTAACACCATTCCGGTCGAGGCGCTTGATGGCGTCCGCGACTGGCTCGACTCAGTTGACATCCCCTTCAGCGAAGGTCCCCTCAACCTGAACTGGGCCACCATCATGAAGACGGTCATTCAGGACCCACATACATTCTTCGCTGACGGCGGCTGGAGTTTCCTGGGTACGGAGTCTGATGACGAGGGTTCCGACGAGGAAGAGGAAGAGTCTGCTTTCGAAGCGTCCTCTGAGGATCTTGCTTCTGAGTCAAGCGAAGACGAGTCGGATTTCGATGATGATGCCAGCGCTGAGGCTAGCGATGAGGACGTCAGTGACGACGAAGAAGGAGAAGACTGGGATGAATTAGAGAAGAAGGCCGCCAAGAAGGACCGCGAAGGTGGTCTCGAGGATGAAGACAGCAGGAAGAAGACCAAACCAAAGAAGCGATAGAGCAGGATTGTAATAATATGCGGTGAATGGCATTGCTTTGGTTGCTTTCACAGGGATGGATCACAAAGTATAGCGGGCGTTCACTTAAGACTTGATGCTTTCCTAGTAGCATGTCCATGAAATAGCGTCAGACCAAATTTATCAGTTGATATGGTTGTCAGTACAATGCCCAAGTGTATGAGTTTCAATTCGTGGTCGAAGCTTCTTCATTTGTTGGTGGTCTGACAATGGTGACGAGTGACCCCGCTGGAGCCAGTCCATCTCCAAAGCTTTCCTCCACTTCCTGCCACTCTCGTGCCGACCTTCGATGGCATCCACCACGACAAAGCTGCGACCTTTTGTTAGCAGCTTCACAACTCGCGCCACAAGATGTAGCGCTCCGGCTATCCTGCCTCAATGGCAGCAGCAACAACAGATACGGCAGACACGAGCCTACCAATCCCACCCCATCCCACAAGTCACCAACAGCGGCATTCCAAACTTCGCATTCGCCTTCGACATTGACGGCGTTCTTCTCCGCGAATCCGCTCCCCTGCCCGGCGCTGCAGCAGCTCTCTCGTACCTCCAATCCGAAAAGATCCCGTTCATCCTCCTCACCAATGGCGGCGGCCGCACCGAAGCTGCCCGCATCGCAGACGTCGCAAAGAAGCTCGATCTTGCAGGACTGGATGAGAGTCTCATTGTACAATCGCACAGTCCCTTTCGCGAACTGAGCCAGCTTCACGACAAAACTGTCCTTGTCGTGGGTGGTGAGCGAGATAATTGCCAGCGTGTCGCGGAGACATACGGGTTTAAACATGCTGTGACGCCTGGGGATTTGGTCGCAGCATACCCGGAAATATGGCCTTTCAATCGGCCGTTTCAAGAATACTACAAAACTTTCGCGAGGCCGCTGCCTATACCATTGTACAGTCCTACGGGGAATCCGGTGTTGGATGAAGGCAAGAGTTTGAAGATTGATGCGGTGTTTGTGTATAACGACCCGAGGGATTGGGGACTAGATGCAAGTGTCATCCTGGATTGTCTATTGAGTGAGAAAGGATTCTTGGGCACAGTTTCGGGGAAGAACGGAAATGAGAAGTTGGCGAATCGCGGATACTTGCAGGATGGTCAGCCGAAGGTGTGGTTTTCGAATCCAGACCTTTGGTGGGCGGCTGGGTATCATCTTTCCAGACTGGGCCAAGGAGGATTTCAAGCGGCCTTTAGAGGGTTGTGGGATACTGTGACAGATGGAGCGGATCTGAGCGGGCAGACGGAGACGATTGGCAAGCCGAATCAGGGCACGTATGAATATGCCGAGAGGCAGTTGTTAAGAGCGAGAAGGGGATTATTTGGGAGCAAGGTGAGTGGTTTGAGGGATCCACTGAAGAGGGTGTATATGATTGGCGACAATCCGGAGAGTGATATTGCTGGGGCGAACAACTATCGCAGTCCGTATAGCAGTGAGTGGAGGAGTATTTTGGTAAAGACGGGAGTCTGGAGGGAGGGAACGACGCCGACACACAAGCCGCACATTGTGCAGAACAATGTGTTGGATGCGGTCAGATGGGCTGTCGAGGATGCGAAGGCAAATGGTGCCACAGTATAGCTAGATGAGTGAGGACGTGTTCTATAGGTTCATGCTAGATATAGAGCTAGAGATTACGGGCATCACAATGCTGATACACTCGCCGGTCTCTTCAATTCAAGCCGAGCTGAAACGTAAGGCTGGACCGGCTATCTTATGCTCCTAGAGCAAATCAGTGGAAGACGACATCGAAAGGAATTGAAACGACGGTGAGAGACCTAGAACAGGAGGCAGTATACTGATCGATTTGCAGTACTAGCATGGAAGGAGAAGCCAGCCTGCTACTTCCTCAACACTACCTTCGCACCTGAAAAGTTCGTACAAACCCCCATTGTGATGTCCTCCCTCCACACTTCCTCTTCGCCCCAACTTTCAATCTGGCTGAATTCCTGGCACATCCTCACAATGGTATACATGGCATGATTCAAAGCAAACATTTGCCCCAAACAGATCCGCGGACCGCCTCCGAATGGAATGTATTCCCAGCTCACGCGTAAGCCCTTGAATGAACCAGTATCCAGCCATCGTTCGGGCCTGAAATCCAGTGCGTCTTCGCCATACAAGTCTTTGCGACGCTGCATGGCGAAGGTGTTGAAGCGCACCATCTCGCCTTTGGGGATGAAGACTGGTGCTGTGCCATCTGGGCCTCCGCCTGAAGGAAGAACCGTGTCCTCAAGGGCTTGACGCGTGTTACCTGGGATTACGGGATGTAAGCGGAGAGACTCGTTGACGAGTGCTCGAAGATATTTCAGCTGCTTCAGCTGATCAGAGTTAGGTCTTTGCCCGTCTGGCAGGGCCTGATTGATTTCCTCCTGTAGGGCTCGCCAGATGTCTGGCCGTCTGGATACGACAAAGAAAATGTTCGTCAACAGCGAAGCCGTGGTGTCGCGGCCGGCGAAGAGAGTCGAGAGGATCTCGTCTCCGATTTCAGTCAGATCATTCGTCTGCTTAACCAATTCGTCTAAGAACGTTGGCCGCTCTCCATCCGACAGCCCTTCGTCGTCGCGATGAAGTATCTCTTCGCGCTTGGCGAGGCGAGGGAGAATGACACTCTCGACAAATGAGCGTATTGTTTGAATATCCTTGGCCTACTGACGACTCTTTGGAAGCCACGAAGTGCATACATTGCCAAGTCCACCGCCACTAGAGATGTGGACTTCGACGCGATGGAGTGCAGAGTTCATGGCCGAGCGTTTGGCATCCTCGGGACTGGCAAGAGAAGACATAGACTCGCCCATGAGGAATTCGAGGGAAGTATCCAGTGTCATGCGGAAGAACATGTCTCTGAGATCGACCTTCCCGTCAGCCCGGACAATGGCATTGACAAGATGCGTTGCCTGGTCCTCGAAAATTGCGAAGTTTTCCAACTGCGTGCGCGAGAACATGGGCCGGAGCAAGGCACGAGAATGTTTCCACTTTGCACCTTCTGCGATGAAGATACCTATTACAAACTGGTCAGCTTTCCCTTCATTGCACGAAGCGATGATAGGCAATCACTTACCTTCTCCCATCACGGGCCTGAAAGTATCCTTTCGAGCTTTCGCCAATCCCCATTTCCTGAAATCCGACGACAACATGGTCTTCAGATTCTCCGGGTCTGCCGTCTCATAGAAATGGCCTCCAGGGAACTTCACATGGACGGTGTTGGATCCGATTGCTCCGAAACGGTTGCTAGAAAGCTCTAGTAGGCGATGATCCTTCATTGCTCTCATGCCATCTTTCACGACGCTGAGGCCGCTCTCAATGGGCGCTTCTGATGCGCCAAAGCTCAGTCGGCGCTGCGTCTGCGATGCCAGCTTTCGTTGTCGGATGTGATATGGCAGGAGAAAGCATAGCAAGGCCGCGATACAGGCGTATACCGCGAGTGGGAAGAAGTGTGGCTCGACTCCTAGCATCTTTGACAAGCCTGAAGCATCCGAAACTAATCAAATAACCTCCAGCACGAACTTCTCAAACACCATCTGTCCCTCATGACGTGCTGTTCGTGATATATGTGCCAAGATTTGCATGGCATCAAAGACGATTGGTCCTACGAAGTTCCGAGGCATTCCCAATCGGTAAAAATTGATGATGTCGTTCGGACGTTGGAGACAAAGACTCGTCGCCGAACCTCTTTGTTCAAGACCTGAAATTTTCGCGATAGCGAGAAACGTCTCGGAGCCCTCTTCCTCCGCGCACGTTCTCTCAACGTCGATCCACCGCCATCAACGCAAATTCTTCGTAAGCATCTTTGTGTACCGTCAGCAGGTGAAAGTCATTGATATTGTGCCTTCACATCCTTATACCCAGAGTTCGACATCCACATTCGTCAGGGTCCTTCGATTCTTTCCTATTTAGGCCAAAGGATCAAAGTGGGTGGGCGGGCAGACTGCAAGATGCGGGCAAGCTGTGCTTTGAGATCAAGCTCACAGCTACCTCGGGCAGCAGGCAGCTCCCGCATGAGGAGAATGCCTACGTGACTGTGTTTCACACCCATGTCAAACAATACATTGTATGAAGTGAGATAATCGAACACAATGGCCGAAGTACAAACGAAGAATATCGAAACCCTCGCATACGTTGTGCACGATGCTGGAGAAGACTTCAAGTTGGAGAATGTAGTACTCGATGCAATGCAGCCGAACGAGCTACTTGTTGACATGCAGTATTCGGGCATATGTAAGTGAGGTTGTGTGCCATCAAGGTTGTTCTCATAGCAATGCCTCTAATGGGAAAGCCCAGGCCATACGGATCTTGTGTTCCAGCAGGGGCAGATTAAAGTCTGCCCGTACCCTGCCATCTTCGGCCACGAGGTAAATGACTGTTGTATATCGTTGGGCACTTGCATTCGTGCTGACATGTTTGCCTACTTCGTAGGGTGCAGGAACCGTCCTCGCGATTGGAGACAAAGTCGATCCGAAGCGAGGCCTGAAAGTAGGCGACAAAGTGCTCCTGAGCATCAATTACTGCCAGGAATGCAAATTTTGCTTGAGCGATCATCCCGCAGACTGCACAGAAGGTATGCTCCATGCCGAACATCGTGAAATATATCGGATCCATTCCAGTTCTGACGTTTCGGCCAGGAACACGCCTGCACCTCTTCGGCGTCAGGCCCGATGGTTCGACTGCTGCGAGTCTCAAGGACACGGGTGCGTCTCTGAGGAATCACTTCTTCGGACAGTCCAGCTTCGCCAAAGTGAACTTTGTTCAAGATACTTGTGTGGTGAAGGTGCCAGAGGATGTCCCAGACGAGAACATTCCCTTCCTGGCTGCCATGGGTTGCGGTAAGAAGCGCCAGCAGCGAATCCAGATCATCGCGCATGCTGATCACTGAACATAGGCTATCAGACTGGTAAGCCATGATACTGACCTCTTGGTTGTGGATGCCCCGTCTGTGTCTCTAATTCCTGTACGCTGGCAGGAGCCGGAACAGTGATGAACATTCTCCGGCCTCGCTCCGATGAAAGTATCGTCGTTTTCGGATTGGGTACCGTGGGCCTGTAGGTGCAAACTTGAGGCAAACCCATTGCTGATGTTAACGATCCTGTCCAGCACCGCGATCATGGCCGCGAAATACTTGAATATGAAGACCATCATCGGAGTCGACATCTACGACCATAAATTGCCTCTTGCCAAAGAGCTCGGATGTACCGACGTGCTGAATTCGAAGAATGCACCCGACGGTGACATAGTGAGTATTGTTACAGGATACTCTCGTCACAGAACGATCGTTCTGACCCGCTTCGTAGGTCAAAGCGATCAAAGATGTGACAGGCGGCATTGGAGTCGACTTCGCGATTGACTGCACAGGAGTGCCCAAGGTAATAGAAGCCATGCTGAACATGCTTGGCATGCGAGGCACAGCGGCAACGGTAGGCGTTCCGCCTACAGGCGCGAAGATTGAAATCGACCCACTCGCCTATCTGTTGGGTAGCAGAGGCTACAAAGGCTGCCGTGAAGGCGATAGTAATCCGCCCGTCTTCATTCCACAGTTATGCAAGATGCAGAAAGACGGACACTTCCCGGTCGAGAGTACGTATTGTGCAACTCGTGGCTGTAGATGGATGCTGACCATACGCGTGACCAGAGCTGTGCAAGGTATACGATTACAAGGATTTCAGCCAAGCTTTGCATGACTTGCACGATGGAAAGGTCACCAAACCAGTCATCAAGTGGTAGCGTGTCAACGGCCACGCAACTACGTCCTAACCTCAAGTTACAGCATTGAGAAGACCCGCCGACATTGGCTTGCGTACTAGGACCAATGAGCATCGACTGTAGAATGGAGGATAAGCAATTGCTGCGAACGAATTTCAATTACTGGGCCATCCATCGCTAAACCCAATGGATGGCGACGTCTTATGCTGAGCTACAGTTGTCCGTTCCTTCTCCAGGACTGGGATGCGATCTTCCATGCTGCTTCGAGAATGGACTGAGATTTTATCTGCGCCATTGTTGTCGTTTTGAAGTTCTGACTCACTTCGAACATCCAGTTCTTTGGTAGCGCTGTGCACTTGGACAGCGTCATGCTGCTTTTGTGCGCCTGAACTGGGTATGTTTGACGCGACCTGCGCAGCTCGAAGTGAATTGTTTCCGTCATCTCTAGCGGTTGACACAGCGGCTCGCGTGTCTTGCGGAGTTGACTGTGCGTTCATGGCAGACAGAGCTGGCACCGGCGTGGTTGCAACCGCTTCATCCGTCACTGCCGGCGTTGAACCAACGAGCAAGCTGGTTGATGAACGAGATCTCGCATGTTTCGGTTGTTTGGCGGGGCTCGCCCCGTCATCTGCCTCCAGTGGTGAGCTCCTTGTCATCCTTTCCTTTGAAGACGCACGGGTGCTCGAAGGCGATCCTGATAGCGACGATGAATTTGGCGGCAGACCAGCTGATTCTACACTCTTCGGCGGGCGTGCGGGGAGTGGCGGAGGATTTTTGTGACTTGGTTCAACGTCAAGAGTAGATGCTCCTTTGGTATCGGGTTCACGATCGCGTCTACTGACAGCCGCGGATGTCTCTGTATCCTTACGTTGCTCATTGTCGTTGTGCTCGCCAGGATCAGAATGTGAGCTGGCGTCAACAACACCTCGTGCAATTGAGGATTCGCTGCGCGTGTCGTATTGCCGTTCACCGCTGTTTTCTTGGAAAGGCTGAAACTCTTCTTCTGTAGCTTGTTCGGTTGGTGGCATGGGCTCTGCGTGGAGTGGACCTGGGCCTGGCACCGGTCGCCGGCGAAGACTATTGACGCTTCCCCACAGACCCTTTTGCGGGCCTGGAAGTGGTTGGCCTGGCGGAGGAAGTGGCATCCCTCGTCCTAGTGGCTGCTGAGCGACCAAGTCCTGCTTTTGTTCTGGACGCGTGATAGCACCTCTATTTCGTTGTATCGCGTTCCATCCCCAGTTTTTCGCAGCTGTCGTTGCGTTTACCGTTGCTGCAAGCAGATTTGCTTTACGGCCCGCATGTGTCGTTTCGGATGCGACCGATGGCGCTGCAGTGGAAGTGCTCGATACTGTACTGCGCATTGACGGTGTTCGTGTGGACGCTGCACTACCTTTAGAAGACGATTCGGGACTGTGAATGCTCGACCTATCATCATTATTCTTCTGTGTCGTGGCGTTGTCGAGGTTTTGGTCCAGATCGGATGTACGTCCTACTTCCTCTCCAGCCTTCTCGTTCGCAGAAGACATAAGCCGCTCAGCTTTGAGCTGCAGGTCACGAAGCTCCTCAGCCGCGTCTTTCGTTATAGCGGTGGCGGTGGTAGTCCGAGGCCGCCAGAGCCTTCGAGGTTGCTGTGCAAGACGCCCTGCATCTTCACCTCGAACTGGTTCTACATTCTGTCCATCTACGGCCGTGCTAGGGGATGATGATGTCGAGGCCGCTCGCAAAGGTCGAGGAGGTCTGGGAGACTTGTCTGTGCCCGCTTCTACCGACGTGGTTTCCCGGCCTCTGATGCCACTGTGGACGGGGCTGACGCCTGACGAGACACCAGTATCCAGTCCCTGCGGGAGAGATGGCATTGAAGCTGTTTTCTCGTTGCGTTCGGACAACGCGTGCTCAGCATCCGAGGCGACCTCAGTGTCTGTTGCTCCGCGGTCGCTCCACAATCCACCACGCGCAGAGGTGCCTCTGGTGTCAGTGAAGGGCATAGGGACATCGTCCCAATTAGGCTTCACAAGCCCTTCTTTGAATGCTAATCTAACCCTATCCTCAATGGCGCGTAAGATGAATCCGTAAGTGATCTTCCTTTCGCTCACAATGGGCTCCACGCGCACATCCAGCTCGGGCACATTTTCGAAGCAGAACCAGAGCCTATTTGAGGGTGGAGGCTTAATACGAAGCAGCATCGTACCGCTTATGCGCTCGATGACTGTCTTGAGGGCTAGGTCAACAGTCCGGACCTTGAATCTGGTACCCAAGTCCAGCTTGGCGACAGCCAGTAGTGTGACGGCAAGGCCGCCGTTGTATTTCATATCTGCGGAAAGGACCATCTCGCCATCGATGTTGAGTTCTCGTAATTTGAGGCTGGAGAAGACAGGGCCTGCGTCGCCGAGGTGGATGGATTGAACAAGAAGAGAGGGTATAAAGGCAGGCTTCTGGATCCTGTTCAGTTTCTTCTCCAACTTTCCCCGCATAAATGAACTTAAGGTGTCTGTTCGATGAATCGCGAGAAAAATGCGGCCGACGAGAGCATCAAGTGCCCTCGTCTCCGGGGTGAGTGACGAAGAGTGAAGGGCCGACTGCAACTTGATCAGCGCATTTGGTTCGAGAGCTTTTGGTGTTGGCGGATGGGCTCGATGTGCGATGAGTGCATGATAGAAATCCTCTTTGTCAATATTGGTGGCGGTGAAGAGATAGAAAGGCTTGGCCTGACTCTGTGATGGAGTCTGCAAGGCTCCATTGGGCAAGTCTACAGGTGTAAGGACTATTGCAGTCCTCTTTGTGAATAGGTCGGCCTCGAGGATGTTCGTTTCCTTGCAGTCTTCATCGTCGTCCTTGCCAGCTTGCAAGGTGACCTTGTGGTGAGCCAGACTCAACACGTGCTTTACTTCAACCTGTGCTGGTGAATCGTAGAGCATCAAATGGCCGTGGCGTAGCACAATGTATAACAGATTCGCAGGGACCGGTTTCCGACCAGCGGTGACTTCCTGCCCATTCGCGTCGTGCAAAACAGAAGAGGTGCTGCCATTGTTCTTGCTGCCGGTGAAGACGGAGCGATACATGCTTTGGTATACGGACTCGCTGGAAGCATTGGTCGCTCCCTCTGGAGACGCGAGGCCATCGCTGATGGTGTTTCCGCCTACGCTTGTAGTGCTGTTGGTCCGCCCATTCAGAGCAGTGAGAGCAGCTTGAAAGTCGTAGCGTCTCAATACAGCAAATGTGCCGCTCGCTGCTGCATCACCAGAGAAGCTCCGGGCGTGTGGCCCTTTGCGGTGTGTCTTGGAATCACGTTTTTCCCCATCATCTCCATCTCGCTGTCCACTGCTCTTCCCTTGCTCCGCTCGCGGCAGCAAATACCAGGCTGGAATGAGGATGGCAGCGACCAGCAACGGGATGAAGGTCAGACCGCCGATCACGTAGGCGTAGAGGAGGGCGCGCAGAGTCATTGTGGAGGTCAATCATTTTGGTCGGCGGGCATTTCGAAGCTCATAAGGTGGCAGCAGAGCAGTCACATTGCGACTGGCAGCGTTTCCGGTTTGTAGGTGCGTGGATGCTCGACTGAGACGCGCTTCTGCCACGTGAACCAGAACGACACCTGGCTACGTCAGCCGCTCGGGAACGCCCAGACTTCTACCCACGGCTTCACCTCTACATCCCCCATCCGCATCCTGGTTAACGCGATCTTTTTCCCGTGTTACAGTGTGAACACGGTACTGTAGATGCCGTGGCTTGGTCTTTGTCGCTTTGGTGCACGTGGTGTTCGCAATATCTCCAAGCGTTCATGACGCTTGGGACGGAAGGATCACAACAAGTAGAAACTCAAATTTCTTGGTTTTGGACTTCATCTGTTGCAATTAGAGGTTATTAACACTTGCAGAACTTGCATAGATCCCAGAATCACTTCTACGGGCCAGCTCATTGCTCAATGTGCTATACATACGTCTCGCGGACGTTGGCGAACAAAGATGGCGCTTGGGGCACATTCCATCCGAGTCAACGCAATCAAAGCCAGTACAAGGGCGGAACAAAGGTCGATTCGGCTCCAGTCAGCTGGAGACATTGCGGTTCACTGTTTGCGACAGCTCCTGTGCCCAGCACCTGTTCGTCTGCTCGCCAGGGACGTGTGTTCTGAGACTGGATCTTTGCGTTTGCGAATTCAGCGACTCAGTCTCGCGCTTTCTTGACCGATCTTCTTCAACAGCATTTTCGACATCTTTTCTTGAGCCATCGTGTTGTCGATGACTGTGTCGTCTGGAAACAGGTCAGCGTCTTATGACTACTTCGTGGGATCGAAAGCGATTTACGACTCACAAAATTTGACAACATCGTCCTCTCCGAGGTCAAGCGCAGACGCCAACATCGATACTTCGTTCTCCTCAGGCCGGCCAAACTTGGTGTAGTAAGCTTCTAGCATCTCTCTTGCGTGCTTTGGGATCTCGAATTGTGGCAGGGAGGCTGGAGGCTGAGGCACAAGGGCTCGAGCGTACGTTAGGTTGTCAACACCGCGCTTGAGGGCTTCTTGACGACCGCGGAAAACATCAGCGCATTCCTGTGCTGAAAGACGGATACCGCGCTGAAGTGTTGATCCTGTGTGTTCCCACGTCGAGGCCTTGCCTCCTTGAGCGCGCAGTGCGGTTGTTGCCCTCGCACGTACGGACTCTTGCAGGCGGTTCTCAACGGCCAACTCTTCGCGGTACAGTGCCTCCAGCAGATGAAGCTGCTCTGGCTGCATTGACTGACTGTCGCAGATCTTTCGAGTCCTCGTTGCTGGCGTGAAACCCGATGGAGGCGGCTCGGGGCGGTCGCAAAGTCGTTCGATTTCGAGAAGCTGGCGCTTGAGCTCATCTGTCGCAGCCATTGCGGCCGGTGCTCTGTGTTCGCCGTGGAACTACGACGAGATGTCGTGTGACTGATTTGTCTCCACGTTCAGCCGCTCCTGAAGGAACCCGCAGGTAAGTGGTGCGGCGCAAGTTGCTGTTGCAAGGAGGGTCCTGGCGTCAAATTCCGTGACTCGGTTTGTGCTTCAAGGCGCCAAGGAGCACATGCGAGAGACGTGATACACAAACTAGTGGCAGTATGATGCATTGACTTTTGCTATTTACTTATTACAGAGCACTTTCGTGCACACCTTCACACCGCGCGCAAGTGGTGAAGGGCAGCGCAAACTGTTTACAAGACAAGCAATGTACAAATCTGTGGGGGTATGCAAGGGCGACCGCGCCCGATGCCGTCTCGCGGCTCAGTTGAGCCACTCATCGATGTCGAACTGCTCGACGCCCATGCCATCGGAGCCGGGAATGTTGATGGTGGTGAGATCGTATGCGTCCCACTGGTCTTCGCTCGAGGCGTTGGGGTCGAAAGGCTGCTCGACTTGTGCTCCGAGGCCGAAATTCCAGCCATCTGACTGTAGAGTGTTGTACGCCTCGTCGAGGGTCTCCTGGCCAGCCGCGCGTGCGCTTGTGAGTGGTGATGGGTCGAAGTTGAAGGCTGGCAACGGAGGAGCAGTGACAAGAGTCTGGTGGAGGTTGTTGTTCGTGTTGGTGTTGGGTCTGGAGGCCATGGTGAGTGAGCCGTGGGCGCTTGCGCTCTGTGGACCATTGCTGCTTTGCTGGCCGTAGCCTGCAGCGAAGCAGGCGCTGACTAGGTCATCAACACCGAGATTGGTCGTGGTGTGCTCTTCGTCAAAGCAGTCGAGGGACGGCTCGAAGCTGCGCACGAGCTGCGGCACTTTCTCCTGCATTCGTTGTCAGTGAGAGGCCACGTAGTGGAAGACGATCGGCATACCGGATTGCCATCTTGTGGCGGAAGCACCTGCCATCCCATGCTCTCCAGATACATCTCTGGCGGGATGATGCCGATGAGTGGTGCGCAGATGGTGAAGTACTCGTCAAGCGGAGCATCTTTCTTCTCGCCACTACCGCGCACAACGCTGTATGCCTTGGCAAGAAGAGCCCTGTCAAGTGTCAGTCGAATGAGGCATGGAAACAGAGAAAGCGACGCAGCACTCACCACTTTGCCGTGAAAAGATCTGCTTTCCACAACTGAGCCAGGCAGCCTGAGATCGCTTTCTGAGTGTGTGGTGCGAGCACTCTGTTGTAGTATTCTGCGACCTGATCAGCGATGTGACATGTACAGCAGGCAGACGGATGAACTTACTGCGATATGCCATCCAGGAGTTGAGCGGTCGCTTTGGCCCTCCGGTCTCAAGATCAGATTTCGCCTTCTTGCGCTGCTTCTTCTCGGTCTTCGCCACGGCAGAGCCAGTGGCAGTCATGCTGGGTGCTGCATTTGGCACGGCGCGGCTTCCTGCTTGCTGCAGCGCACCAATGATTTGGGTGGCCATGTCCTCACTGCAAGACTGGAGGTAGATTCGGAACTCTTCTGTCATGGCGTCGGTGGCCATGTCGGCGGTAGTGGATCCGATTGTTTGGGTGCGGTGAAAGGGTGATAACAAAGGGATGTGCGAATGCGGTATGGTTGGAGATCAAAGGAATGAAGTTTCAGAAAGGAGTCTCAGACAGAAAAGCTGGTGGCCGGTGGCTGGGGAACGAACAATCCCTGCAATCCAAAACTCAGCACGGACGGCGCAAGGTGAACAATCGCGATAAACGACAAACTCCAGGTAATTGGCAGACCGGCGCACAACGCTTCACTTCCCTCTGCTTTGCGAGAAGCGCGAGGCCTCATCAGTGCGACCCCAGCTACAAGCACGCAAATCCGTTTGCCGGAGACAGGTCGCAAAAGCATTGTGTCTCTCCGTTCCGACGCACTCTGTTCAGACCATCCACGCGCTCCAACCGTATCACTAGACCTTGCAGCCATAGCGTTTCCTTCCTTTCTCACGTACTCAGCACGGCGCATCCTCGCTCCGCTGGCTGCAGATGCGAGCGGCTGGATGGTGTGGCGCTATCGTGACTCTCCTGCCTCAGGAGTGCTACCCAGCATATCGATGCGCCCTTGACCATCAAATCGGCGGACCAATGCTGCAGAGCCATTGTTTTGTCCCATTCCGTGACATCGTCCGCGCCGTCCCAGTTTACACGATAGACAAGACCGGCTGTAGATCTGGCCCGAGTCCTTTCAGCCCCATCAGCGCAGATCTTGGATGTGGCCCAAGTCATACACACTTAGTTGGAGAGCTCTTGTAGAAACATCTTCCGACGCCTCTTTGGTGGCTACTCCAGCAGCGCGTCGCGTCGTCCCCTGCTCCAAGCACCTATGACAAACGCTGCCTGGCTTTTGCCTCGCCTTCCTGCTGATATAGACAATGCAATAGTCGCTCCATGCGTGTCGAATGCACACGATGGATAGAGAAAGGCGTCAGGACATAGCGCTTCTTGACCTGCCATGACAGCGAGCATTACTGGTTACTGGTTGACGCGATTGTTGCTTTGCCCGTTCGCCGGAGAAACTTCGGTGCAATTCACTGCACGGCTACGACTAGCCGTTTCTCGCAACATCATCGCGGACTCTCGACCAATACTCACCACAGTCATTCGATTAATCGAGCGACCTCGGCGCTTTCACATCTTCGCCTCGTTGAGCTGTTCACCAAGTGAACGGAGCGCATCACCCTTCTTCCAGCCACGCGAAGCTGGGTTCAGAGCGATCGCCGTCTCGACCGCAGACTGCCACTTCACCCCAAGCATCACCATCTCTCTCGGTGCTGCAGACCATCGGCATAGCCACTGAGCAGGACTTCGGCGATACAGGCTCAAAGCAACCAGGATGGATATTTTGGGCCCAAACTTCCCGCACCTGCTCCCCCAGTGGCCGACTGTACAGCAGATGAAGAACGCTGAGTCGTTTAAAATACGTGGCCAACGTGGCGTCGCCAATGGTGAGTCGAGAGTATCTGTGGTAGGAACTGCAGCTGATGTGAAAAGACGAAACAGCTTCTGCTGACGGCGTTTCCAAGTGCGATGAAGCTTTCCTGGAAAGCTTGATCGAACACCTTGGATACATGGACCTTCTTGTTCTACGAGCCGGCGATTACCTGAATGTCGCTGCGACCTACAAGGCCTACGGAGGCAACCCGCTCAACTACAACCGCAACGTCCACGTCCGCGAAGCCGTGACTGTTGTCAGCAAGGTCACGCCTGAGATTGAGCGTTTGAGCAAACACGCCGAGTTGTTCGTTAGCGAAGATCGCAGAGCCGAATTTCTTCAAGAAGCTGGCGTAGTTGCACGCTTGAGTCGAGAGATGCTTGAGATTGACGCTGCGATCGCCAAGCTGCAGCCATCGCTCCAGAACGAGCTCAACAGTTCGTTCTCGCGGAGGCCGATCGATGAGCAGACAGGAGCCCGTGTTCAACCATGGCAATCTTTTGCACAACCCCTCAACGTCAACGGTCTGCAAGCCAGAGACGATTGGGAAAAGATTCAGCAAGACGTACCTGACATGCACCTCGAGCGCGCCAATCTACTCCCAATGAGCGCGTCCCTCATTGCTGAGCGCTACAGACAGCGAGCACAGTTCCTGGTGGACAATTCGAAGAATCCAACTGATGAAGAGCGCGCTTTCGTGCAGCCAACCGCTGCCATACTTCAGGATACTGACCGTCGAGATGATCACACTGCTACGGTCAAGCGAACAGTGGCTGTGACAGCCCAGGAAGTCGAGGTGAGATTTTGTCGTCACTTGCTGCAAAGAGCATCGCTGACCTTTTCGCAGAGAAGCAAAGACCGATTCGCTTGGGGCAAGCAAGAGAGAGTCGCAGAGATGGCTCGCATCATGGCGCTGCTGAACAACGACGTGACCACCTTGCCAGGACAAGTTCGCCCGCCTGCCGTGTTTATGGGCACATTCCGTTCCGAGGAAGGAATGCGGGCCTTGAGGGAGAAAATAGCGGCCGAGAAGAAGGAGCTGGAAGATGAAGAGTAGGTTCTCGGATACCTTCTGAGCGTGTGCGGAGCGTGAGCATATCGCATTTTGCTTGGCCGGACAATGAGTGTCAAACCGGCTGGTCATGAGATTCTCCACTCCAGGAAGAAAGTTGGTGCGACTTGCGATAGCATAGTAGGAGCTTAATACACACTCGCTCCTGCGTTATTTGAATCTTTCAAACTCTTCTTCCTTCTTTGGCAGCACATAGGCTTGCATCGCGGTCGCTGAGTGCCATGGTCCAAGGCCATGTCAACTTCGGCCGTCAACAGATCACACGCAAAGCAGAGACTTGAGTTACTTCAGACAACTCGATCCCACAACCTGTACAATATTCCTGAGTATGGACGTGCCATCTTTGCAGAGGACGGATCAGATCGAGGCCAACTTCAACACAGTCTCGCGAACAAGCACGCGCCGCCGCTCGCGCACAACGTCCTAGGAATGGACGATGGAGTTTCAAGAGAGCATCTGACAGACTACGAGGCAAGATGGGAAAGATCGTAGCCAAAGCAATGGAGGGCAAGCCCGAAGTCACCACCATCTCTTCATCCCTCCTTCTCCGTCCCAGCGTCTCCTCTGCCTGCTCGCCTACTCGCTGCCCGCGCGCTCCTCGCCCTCAGGCTCTCAGGCACGCGCGCCCCGTCCTCAGGCACATTGAGGCATTTCCCACCGCCGGAGTGCCAGTTAAACAGCACACCACCGCTGCGCCCCTGCACGAGCCTGCAAAAGTGTCGATCTCTGTGGGGAGGTCACGTTCACCAGGCATTGAGCCAATGGAGCAATGGCGAGGTTGGTAAGAGTCATGTTTGTGGGGCGTGAGGTTGCGCAGTGACCGCGCGCCCCACAAGTGCTGAAAGTGGGGCGGCTTCAAATTCACTTCAAAGTCTTGGCGAGGATCATGTGAAAGCTGGTGATCCTGGCAAATGGCCGAACAACGACGCGCTGCGCCATGCTTCGAGATTGAGGAGACTAATTTGAGGACGTAGGATCCGAATATCTGGTTTGTTTTGGCGCTGCCACAACTTTGCGGATTCTGTGAGGGGGGTGGAGATGTGGGCGGAATGCCAAGACATGTGTCTTTGGGTCAAGACGAGGTCTGTCGACATTTGAACCAGGGAGGAATGAAAGATGAGAGTCCATTGAGTAGGTGGTTTGACTTTGAGCAGAACTGCCCAGCAAAATCCGGAGTTGTGCGCAACCGAAGAAAGCAAGATTTCGGGACAACGACTCCATGGCAGCAACGCGAATATTAGACACTCCGATTTTGATACGAGATTGTAGCCAAGGTCCTAATTAGGAGTTCTGGTTATCCGAATGGAATGCTGGCGGTTCATCGTCCGAATTTGGAGTCCGCGAGGAAAACAGAGTCGGACACTCTGGGTGACAGGTAGCGACAACGATGACTATCACACCAAAACACTTCAAGAGCCTCACGAGAGTGGACTAATGTAGTGCTACTAGCAGAGCCAAGTCTTTGGGCACAGTATCGAAGAAGCCAGAATGGTCCGAGATAAATGCCAGTTCGAAAGCCTCCACGACAGAGTTGCACAAGATGGTGTAAGACACCAGCAAACACCATGATGCTGTAGAACACACTTTAAAGAGAGATCCAATCATTTATCAGAAAGCCGGACGATGAGACGGCGAACTAGTGATGGCTCAAGAGAAATTCATGCCAAGCCCAGTATCAGTGTTGACGTCTCTGGCCGTGGCAAGGAGACTAACGATGCACTTGGCGTGTGGAAAAAGTTCAATAATTCCTTGGCTGAGTGTATGAAGAGGCCTGCCAGATGTGCGTTGGACTTATGGCGTGGAAGGGGAAAGCCAGTAAGGACCGGGGCGGAGATCAACACCAACGCTAACAGTATTGTCAGGTAATGAGCAAGGAATTGCGGATAAGCTCGAACTGTAGCAGATCGAATGCCACGTACAAACTATACCATAACAGCTGCCCGTGTCATGGGAATGGAGGACAACTACGCCGGCGGCGATGACTTCTTGTGACTGCAATGGCTCAGCAGCAGGCCCTAAAGCACCATATACTTGTATAGCACTCTCGTCTGCTGGGGTTCTCAGCATCGCATTGTGTTCTGTAGCCCTATTCGCCATTTAATGTGGTGGGTGAGAAATTCGACCGAAGCCAGTATTTCGATATTGGCACATGACGAGGAGGACCATGCGAGCAAGCACCGAGAGCTCACATATCAGCTTGAACTCGAAAGCCTGCATGGTCCATCGGCATATGTCTGTTGGAGTGGCAAAGCTGTGCTGGGCAGGACTGGAATATTTCTTGGGTGTAAGCCAACTCTTCAGACGAGACACCACGACGGCTTGATCGCGCGCTCAGGATTTGTGATAAATTGGATTGCATTGGCAGCTCTGCTCATTCAGACCGAGATTCGGAAACCAAGGTAGAGGATTGGCCTTGCAGGATGTTGCTGATACCAATGAAAGGAGCGACCAAGTCGTCAGACGGTACATTGCAAAGAAATTGTGCACGCCCACAAGCGCACCAGACTTCTCAGGCACACGCAGGACCGCGAAATACCGCGGAAGAGCTGTCTACACAGATGCCACTTCGATACGGGAGCAGTGAGCTTTCGGAACTGGAAGAGCCGCGTCTACCAGGCCCATCGAATGCAAAAGATTTGCCGCATTTCGAGCAGCGGCTATTGCGTGCTTCCACGGGTGTTGGTACTGTCATGGATCAAGCATCTTGTCTAGCATGGTCTACCGCCGCATCAATAGAGACCGATCGCTGGGGTTTGCCAGAAGTTAAAGCAAACTAAGCTGATGCACCGGCCCTCAAGAATCCCAGACCAGGCGTCGTGTTCTTCTTGCATGCGATTCGCAGAATGCGAACGGAACCAGAAACGCTTGTTTCAGATTCGCGATGGAAGTACAGGCTTCAATTCGTAGGACGACTGGATTCTTTTTACGAGGTCTCCGGGATCGGGCAGAGAAAGGCTGCTTATAGCGTCGCATGGGCTGCACAGATACTGTGGCATCCAGTGCGCCAAGAATAAATGTTGCAGCCTCGATTGTTCGTTCGCTCTTAAGACATGACAGAGCCCTCAGGACGAATCCTGACATTGATATCAAGAACTTGCAATATATTCTTGACACTCTGCAGCAGCAGTACGCAGATATGGGCGAAGTGGTCCTCTTGAAGGTATGGCAAGTGACAGGTTCAAGTCGGCTGCGCGAAGGCATGACCAGACCATGTGCGCATACACAATGTTCTGGTTCATCAAGGTCTTCGCGGACCCCAGAGGCAGTTCGTCGACATTCGACGGACGCAGACCTCAGTTGTCCCTTTGTTGAAGCATGCAATCGCAAGGAGTATGGATTCCGATAACATTGCATTACTGACATGCTATGGCCCGCTGCCGATCCAAGGCGGTACTTCCAGCTCTTTGGCCTCAGAAGGCTACCCTCATTGTCCCACCATCATCGGCGCGAACAGCCTGAGGAGTTATTGTCATGACGATGATGCCCCTGTGATCTCATCTTCCAAGGCTATTCCAAGATCCACAGCTCTTTTGCCGTTCACCTCTTGGACCATCATCGCTCCACGACCGTCCGTCCTGGTTGTGAGGCGCGTTCTCATGTAATTCGTCTCTTTCGTGCTGTCCGGGTGCGGGGATCCACAAAGACGCGCCTGCAATCAACACACCTTTTCTCGTACGGCACGATTGCCTGGGATATCTCGCTCAAGATGGCGGAGTGGAGCGGTGGTGGACACGAGCATGTTGTTGTTGCAGGGACGAGAGGAGAGGTCACTCGGCTCGGCGCATTGGCCTGAGGCACCTGCGATTGCCTATGCGTGCTGTCACGTCCACGTCTCCAAGTATGTCCTTCCTTATCCACAATGTGTTCACAAATCGTGTTGCAATTCATTTTATGATTACAATCTTGGAGGCATGCTTGCCTAGTATCTACTCGATTCTTTCTCATTGCGGCGAATGCTTGACCCTGCCTCTTTTTCTCTTACAACCGTCGTGTTTTCTACTCTGTACTACATGTAGCTTCTCCGCTCTACCACATGTGCTGTCTCACACACCTGTCGAACAATGCCTGTCGCTCTGGTCTGATAGACGCATACATTTCCGCGAAGTGCTGGCCGTCTTCGGATCGTTCCGAAGTCATAGTCTCCATGCGACGACTCTGTAGCTGGAGACTGGAGTCTCCGCGTCCCCGATGTTTTGCGCTTACTTAAGATTGCACCAGGATGCATCTAATAATCCCAACCGGATCGAAGCCGTAGGACGCAGCTGCGAAAGGCGCTGATGCTGACGTCGCACTCGTTATCGGAGACTGACACTCGCGATCTGAAGCTGGATTTAGTGGAGGGTAATGCCTGTTGCAGGCACGATCGGTTTCCATTGCTTCTTGGAGTTGCTCATATCTGGCTTGGCAGGCCCTGTCGCGGACACGTGAGCGTCGTCACAGTCCCGATAACCCTAGCAAGAACGGAAAAGTCAGTGTTTTTGTTGGGCGGGACACCGAAGCTGCGCATCCCGCAACGTTCCAACTTCGCCCGAGCTGCAGCAGTCATAAGAGAAGCAACATCTCTTCTCATGTTTCGGAGAGCATTGTTGCGTGGAGCCAGCACTGACAAAACTCGTGCCTGCACGCGGCCCGCAGCTCGTTTCGTCACATCTCACAAGCTACTCCCCATCAAGGTCACCAGTCATCACAGAGCATATTGCTCCGCCCACAAAATGTCCGACCTCACCACCGACTATCTCGGCGCGAGCCACGACCGCATTTTTGAGAACAATCGAAAATGGGCCTCCGACAAGGCACAGAACGACCCGGAGTTCTTCACCAAGCTGTCCTCTGGCCAGAAGCCCGATTACCTGTATATTGGATGTGCCGATAGCCGAATCCCATCCAACGAGATTATGGGTCTGGATGCCGGCGAGGTCTTCACGCACCGCAACATTGCCAATCTGGTGTGCAACACCGACCTCAATGTGATGAGCGTCATTAACTACGCCGTCCGACACCTCGAGGTCAAGCACATTGTGGTTGTGGGTCACTACAGCTGCGGTGGAGTCAAAGCGGCCATGACTCCGGCCGATCTTGGTATTCTCAACCCATGGCTTCGCAACATCCGAGACGTGTATAGGCTGCACGAGCAGGAACTTGACGCCATCACCGACCAGGACCAGAAGTACAACAGGCTGGCTGAGCTCAACGTTTTGGAGCAGGCTCGCAATGTTGTCAAGACTGCTGCTGTTCAGCAGAGCTATGCCAAGAACAAGTTTCCCATCGTCCATGCGTGGATCTTCGATTTCAAGGATGGTCTTCTCAAGGACTTGAAGCTTGACTTTGAGAAGCAGCTCAAGGATATCCAGAAGATCTACAACTTGACTGGAGGCGAGTAGGTGCCGATTTCTCGGCGAGCTTGAGAGCGTATTGAAAAATTGAGTTGCGGGCTTTGCGAAGCTGCGAGATGTGGAGATAGAGGGCAGGAATCGCGAAGAATCAGTGATGGAAACATATACTACTGCTCATCTGGAGGCATAATCTGTTTTGGAGCATCTTGATATCGACACCTGTCCTGCAGCCAAGTTCATTCTGCCTGATCTATCCTTCGCATCACTGACAGATCCTTCACTCAGTCCGGTCTTTAAGCCCTGGACTCTTCTTCGCCTCAGCTCACTTCGCATATTCTGATCCTGAGTTCTTGAATGAGCCGGTCTTGAAGTCTTTCGATCGTAGAGGCAAACTCCATCAATACAGCATGGTCAAACACTTCTAAGACTCTGATGCACTTATTGTTTTGGAAGCTCTCTGAAGTGCTTTCAGCTGACAATATTGTTGATGTCACTGCGGTCGATCCGGCATACATGTACGTGGAAGGCACGGATTCGGTAAAGATGCCAGCACTCACGGCCTTTGCAGTCGAGACTTTCGCAGCTATGACAGGTTGGTCATTTGAAGTAGAAGCTTCGACTTGTCTCGATAGCATAGCAGTCACGGCTGAAGGGAGCCATTGCTGCTTCCTGACGAGTCGGATGCTTCAGTCGTAAGTTTAAACGCCGTGCCCACGGGCGGCTTTCAGGAGAAGTGGCCGAGGGACATGTTGAGTACGGGCTCGACAAATTTCCGCCATGCTTACATACGCCGGAAGGCAAGAAGCTGATTGATCAGCTATGGGATGAGACTATACGGGAACTGGGCTTCGTTAAGCCAGGGGATTTGCTGTAGCGGATGAATCCTGACAAGGCTTGAGGGTGCTCCTGATAGTTGTCTCGTCTATGATATGCATAGTGTTCCGCATGATGGCCTCATGACTGTCTAATGTCATTTATGACTTCTCTCATGTACGTGTACAAGTTGCAACTCCAGTCTCTCTGGAAAGGGGCAATGTCTACTTTGTATAGATGACGCACGTCGGGAAATGTTATGCCGATCCACGAATGCCCCACCAAAACTTCAGTCACTCAATGAGTCTACCCACTTGGGACGCCTATATCTTCTTCACCTTATACACCAGGTCAGCTACGCTGCCCGTTCAGTTCAAAGACTCTCTGCTGACACCGAACAGTCACAATGTCGGAGCAACAGCAAGAAATCCCCGAGCGACCCAAAGAAGGCGAACAACCCGCTGCGGGGGTTGCTGCAGGCGAGGGCGAGAAGGGGCCTTCGAAGTCTGCATTGAAGAAGGCCGCCAAGGAGAAAGAGAAGGCAGAGAAGAGAGCTCGCTTGGCTGCGGAGGAGGCTGCGCGCAAGAAGGCCGACGAGGCCAACGATGTGAGCAAGGAAGACTACGGCGAGTTGCCGATGGTTCGCGAGCAGGAAGGGCCCAAGTACGAGCAACTCGTCGAGCTCGCGGCTGAGCACGAGGGCAAGGATATCACACAGGCAAACGGTCCCAAAGCTGTCTTCAGGGCGACTGTGCTCAATGCACGCAATCAGAGCGCGAAGTTGTCATTCTTGACATTCGCTCAGCAGGAGCATTCCATTCAGGCCGTCGTGGCAGGCAGCGACACTCTCAGCAAGCAGATGGTCAAATTTGCGGGCAGCATACCTACTCTGAGTGAAGTCCTCGTCCACGGAGTTCTTGCCAAGCCTTTCGAGCCAGTGAAGAGCACGACTGTACAGAACCTGGAGGTTCATGTCACCAAGCTCTATTTGCTCAACAAAGCCGACTCGCAATTACCATTACAGGTCGCCGATGCAGAAGGTCGCATCCCTGCCGAAGGAGAGGACAACGCTGTTAGCAACGACGGCAAGGCCATTGTATCTCTCGACACTCGTCTCAACAACAGAACACTGGACTTGACCGCGAACCTTAACCACTCGATCCTCAAAATCCGATCTGGCGTCAAGAAGCTGTTCCGAGAGTTCCTCGAAGAACGCGGCTTCCTCGATGTCGACGTGCCTGAAATGCTCGGCGCAGCAACAGAAGGTGGTGCCTCTGTGTTTGAAGTCAAATACTTCGATAAGAAGGGCTACCTGGCACAATCGCCACAGTTCTACAAACAACGTCTGATCGCCGCTCGTTTCGAAAAGGTCATGATGATTGGACACGTTTTCCGATCAGAAAATAGCAACACCAATCGCCATCTCACAGAGTTTGTCGGACTGGATCTGGAAATGGCCTTCAACCAGCATTACCACGAGGTGGTGTCACTACTTGAGAATCTGTTCCTGTACATCTTCAATGGCCTCAATGAGCGGTACAAGAAAGAGACAGAGCACGTGAGGACCGTGTATCATGTCGAGCCATTTAAGCTCCCGGAAGCTGGCAAGGTTCCTCGCCTCGAGTTCAAGGAAGGTATTCAAATGCTTCGCGATGCTGGTGAGGAGGTCGGAGACTTTGACGACTTGAGCACACCACAGGAGAAGAAACTTGGAGCACTTGTACTTGAGAAGTACAACTCTGACTTTTACGTGCTTGACAAGTACCCACTCGAGGTTCGGCCGTGGTACACGATGCCTACTGTGGAGACGCAAGCGGTATATGACCCCAAGAACCCCAACGCTGGCTACTCGAACTCTTACGACTTTTTCATGCGAGGGCAAGAGATCATGTCAGGCGCGCAGCGTATCCATAAGGCAGAGTTCTTGGAGCAGAGGATGAAGGAGCACCCGAATGCGGTCGACCCCAAGCATCCAGGTATTGCACCATACGTCGATGCCTTCCGGCAAGGGTGCCCACCACATGCCGGAGGTGGTATTGGCCTGGAGCGTATTGTAATGCTGTGGCTGGGCCTACCAAACGTGCGTTTGGCCACTGCTTTCCCAAGCGACCCGCGCAGACTTCCATAGATGCGGCATGCATAACTGGCCGATGACGACTGAGACGGTGTACGAACTGCATCGCCAATAAAAGCATTGCATTAGGGCGTTGAGCACGCGTCGTGTGGTTGACATACAGCGTAGCAGATAGCTGATGACAGAGCAATCGCAAACACGAACCAAACTACGAACGACCTCTCCTTGGAGAATACGAAGAGTCGTCACGAGTTTGATTATGCGACTTCTAACGACGTCTTTATTGGCGCCTTTTGTACGTAGATGTGCTGACCAATCTAGCTCAAGGTCGATATTCACTTCTTCCCGCAAGCAGTGTCATGAATGGCTCATGCAAACACATGGCTTTCCGCCTGCACCACGTCAATGCGCTGGGGCTGAGAAAATAGCTCCAGAAGAAAGTTTCATTGCTCGACGATCTCGCGAGACGTTCGTTCGCCAGTCCTACCCTCGGAATCATCACACTCCGAGTTCACATGTCGCAAGCCGGGCCCGTTAGTACACTGCGTCATCCGGCTCAGGGTCAGAGTATGTCGACGCACTTCCTGCGCTGCCTCGTGACAAGCAGTGCCCCGTTCCAAGGATCCAAGCCTGGCAACAAAGGCTGGCAACTGCAGGTGTGCTCACAGTCGCGGAGAAGAGATGCAAGCATCGTCGCCAAGATTCATGTCAATGTGCATTCCAGCATGCAGATTGGCAGATACTCTTGAGTGTCGGACAGTAACGGCGTGCGTATAATTCTGAGTTTAAGCCTTCCGTAACTCAAACGGGCTCTAAACCCGAAACGTGTCGCGACTTGCACTCTCGCGACAAAGCAACTCGAACGCGACAACACTCTCGAACGCGACTTTTTCTATATTCCGAAGGGCATTCGGGGTGCCTATTAAGTCGAATATATCCGACGGCATCCACTCTGCCTACTAACCCTTCCTAACCCAAACCCCTAACCTCCTAACCCTCCTAACCCAAACCCCTAACCTTCCTAACCTTTCCTAACCCTAACCCGAGAGGAGGTAAGACTATCCGTTGCGGACGGCATATCCGAAATTCAAAGAAAGGACGGGCGCTAAAAGTGTCCGACATTCAAGAATACCTGTTGTATGTCGCTCGGCAATTGTTGGTGCCAATCTCAACAGACATGGATGTCGCAAACGAATCCGATTGTGGATGGAAGAGTTCCCGGACGAGACGGATATGAGACGTGCCCCATCGGTCCTGAGCACCAACGAGAGTGGGCACTTCCCGTGAAACGTGCTGAAGAATACAGGTTTCAACATCACGACGTTAAGGCTTCATGGGAATGCAAAGTCGCACTACTACAAGACGATGGCTTTCGTTACATGTGCGGGCTTCGCGCTTATGAGATCGTACGCAAGCTTGGAGACTCTGGTCCATTTCAACCGGAGGAGGCCGAGGAGTGGTTTAAAGAGGTCGGTTGCCTCGATGGCCACGTCCCCTCGCCCGAAGTCGACATTGCCTACGAGGTTCGAAACCTTTCCTACGACGGCATCGAAGGCATTGCTATAGTACTTCCGCCAGGATACAAGTGTCCGAGGCACGGCTGTGACAGCTATCATTCCGTGTTTAAGGTCAAATTCATTCTGCAAGTCCGGCTGCGGAGGTTCACAGCTTCTGACTGGACAAAGTACACGAACAAGCCGGATCTTGAGTATTCCCACCTGGACTCTCAGACACATTGCATGAATCCGGTGCACGCCATATACGAGCGAGGTGTCGTAAATGTGGCCCGCCAGAGATGCACTACTACCGGTACTTATCACGGCCATGGACGTCAACCCGCCTGCTTACTTGCATACGCAACCGACGTAGACTTTGATGCTCAGTGCCACGAGATGACGAAAGCCTACGCAAAGATATCCTTGTGCCCTCTGCCTGACCCGAAGAAGGTTGCACTGCCGTTCACATTTGGCCGGAAATGTGGCACCATTTCAGAGATGCCCACTTTCCACCGCCGCCGCCATCTCTGCTCGTGGATGCGAGCTTCCACATGAGCTGTCCGAATGAGGACTGCACTTTCCATTGGCATACCAACTTCATGGGTGTCATAGGGAAAAAGAAATATGACCACGCCATCGAAGTTCTCTTGATGTGGTCTGAGGTGATGATGCACATTACGCTATACTTCTTCTTCGAAGAGGAGATCGGAGAGTGCGGTGCTGGGGTGAATTCGAAGCTCCTCGCTCGTGAACGCAAGAAGCACAACTTCTTGGAGGTTCCTATGAACTTCCATCCCATGACACTCGATTGCAACACTCTGTTCCCCCATACAGATGGCTCATACCAGTACATGGAGCAGATTCTTCTCGAGCGAGAGGTGATCACCGACGTGGGGTCCATGATCAACACGATGCACTTCACGGACCCCAAGACTTCCTGCAACTTCATGGGTCAAGTGAAGAAGTCGTTCAACAAAGCCATAGTCAAAAGATCCGAGGCGATGATGGAGTCGCGATCAGCTGTATCTGAAGCAGAGGAGGAGACTTTCATGTGACAGTCAAGGCCTTGCAGAGAGAGCGGCACAGGATTGTCACGAAAGTGACAGTGGTCAGGGCAGCCCATCTACGCACTGCACGCCCCGGCGCCGCCGTGGTCAGTGCAGCCTCCCTATCAACAGCAAGCACCACCGCCTCCATTCCTCAGCGGACAGCCACACCCACTGGCTTTTCAGTCACTGTTCCGCGCATTAGCGGCACCGACAACGCATATCAGTGGCGGAGACAATGTGAATCGCACCCCATCTGAACCGACGTCCAGAATGCCAGACCCCATACTGGCGACAGTCCCACTAAGGAACCGAGCAAGAACAAGACAGAGCAGAGAACGCTACTGTACATGAAATAACGACAGCACCTGAAGGCGAGTTGTATGATCACTTCAGTTCTGCTTCTCTGACCGCGGCATCGAGATGTCCAGCGTCTGTTGGTCGGTCAGAGAAGCAGAACTGAAGTAATCATACGAGGTTGGTTCCACGAATTTCGCATCAAGGCAAGCGCCACACGGCAAACTGGGCAGCGCTTCGCTTTGCTAACTCTTCATAGAACCTTTAACTCCCCGCACATATACCACCAACGTATGTCCTCTGATCCCACTCGTTCCTCCAAAGTCCGACAACAGACCAGGCTGCTCGGAAAGATACAAATAGCAAGAAGAAGAAGCGTTCCCGCGTTGATCAAAACACCACTCCTGGTAAGTGTCTCCCGATCCTGCTTCCTCCGTTGACACCGTGGCTCACTGTCATGACGAGATCGCGTTACAACACCGAGCTCGACGCAAACTCCTTCATTCAGTCGCCACTGCGGTTGACCATGAGCTCGCACGGGAATCTATTCGATGCGACCACCATCCCGATTACCACTCCACCCCCAGCGACACATCGGAACAGTCAGCTGCCCATCCCCTCGTTGTCGGCTGCAAGGCCCACTGTTTGATGCTGTGCGGGTCGATTTCGTCCGCGTTCCTTGGCCTGCCTTTCATGTTGAGAGCTCGGATCTACGAGGAAGTCGCGCTTGATCTCTATCCGCAGAGAGGCAATTGACTCCTCTCTCTGCTGGTCTGCTCTCCGACCCAGAGATGTTGCACAATAGCACTGCGGAGAGCTGTTCGAGGCACGATACAATGTTCTCAGGAACAGCGGTTGTGTGGCTCTACAACAGTGGAGCGGCCTCGCCTAACGAGCAGGAACAGGAATTTGAGTCGAAAGTCTTGCCAGCAATGCAAGACATGTTTGCGGGACGTGTCGGAAGCCTCGGGGAATTTAGTTGAGCAACATCACAGCTTCGCCCGCATATAACCTGGTTTGCTTGCATCTGCTTCATCAACCGCAGATCCATCGACACCGACATCGACCACTACTCCTTCCCCGCCATCAGTAACAATCTCACACTCTTGGCAATCCTCAATGCCAACACCATTCGCATATTGCACAACAACAAACTCAATCTCTTTCGCTCCCAAGACCACCATTGGAGCATGCCACGTTCCAGGACCATATGTCACAGCCTGGTCGCCTCTCGCGATGAAAGCTTGCAGATTGTCTAGGTCCGGCAAACCAGTTCCTTTCGGACGCTGCGATGGAGGGAGCGCAGCTACGGAACGTGTCGTGGAAGGCACATGGTCGTTCGTGAAAGGATTAGGCCTTGCATCAAGCAACCGTTCTTTTAGACTTCTCTTTCTCCTCGGCGCATCGACTGGATATGCCTTGTCTGGCCTCTCAGCCTCGCCTCTTGCCTTCGCAGGCAAAGTAGGAGCTACGATGACCAGATAATTTGTCCTCTCATCCTCTTTTCCTAGTCCCATAGGCACGAATGTCTGGGGAGTGAACGGGTGCCTCTCCAGGATCCCCACCTTGAACACCGCTTTTCCGTCTGACTTTCTCTTCGACAAAGTCCTCGGCTTACACACGAACATATTCATTGCCACCTTCGCTGCCTTCCGACTCGCTGCCCGGTCGTAATGGTTCGCCATATGCGTGACATTTAGCCATTTGGTCGCGCTACCTTGATTCGCCGTTTGATGTTGTAGCCTCCATTCTCCGTTGCCGTCCAATTCATCATGTGTAGCAGGATTTTGGACTACTTCGCCGAAAGGTGCGAAATCTTCGGGCGTAAGGGTTGAGACGGATACGAGACGGTTCGGAGCTTGAGATCGCATGTTTGTGAGGCTGCAGCAAAGGCACTACTAATGGGACTTGAAGCGAGGATGTCGGGGCTCGAGGTTGTCAGATTGGCTATTTGGGCTGTAACCGTCGCCAGGTGGTCTGATGAAGGTCTTCTTTAGCCACGCAATGACTTTGGAGGATGTCGATTGTGGGTTTGATGGAGACATGTTCGGACAGGTGAGAGATGAGGGAAGCAAGGTGGGGTCTGCGATAGGCGAAAGCTTTATGCTTGTTAAGCTTCTCGGCTAGCGCGATGGCAGGGATGAGCTCATCGACGCGTGAACTTTCGACGCGTCGTGAGGACTTCGACTTGTCAACATTCAGATACAATGCATCGATGATGAGCTCAACACCACCACGCGCGTCGAGCCAACGAGCCATCTTCAGCGAATCCGCTGCCAATGGAGTCAGCAGTCCGCCGAGCAGTCCTCCGGACGCCTTTCCATGGGAAAGGAAGCAAGACGAGTCCTTGTTAACTCGCAACAACAAGTCCGTCTCAAAAACATCGACAACAGCAGGACCTTTCAAGAACGTGTTCTCCATCCTCGGCAAGCGCAAACCTCTAACGCCTTCCACCGACAACCCTCGCCCTTCGAAGACCTCCAAACCGTATAACTCTGCCAACGATGGTCTCCAACAAATGCAAATGAGCCTCGGCCAGAAAGTCCAAAAGAAATGTCTCACATGTGGAATGCAGTACGTCGCTTCCTCTGCAGAAGACCGGAAACTGCACGATAAGTACCATAAGCAGAATGTGGATGGGTATGATGTCGGCAAGGACTTTGTGGTGAAGGTGAGGCAAGAAGACAAGGCACTATGTGTCCTCAAAGGAGTGAAAGTGGGAGACGCGATTGTGTATATGGACTGTGGGAACTCTGTTCATCGGAAGAGAAAGGCACAGGAGGTCTTGGAGATTGTGCAGAGGGAGCTGGGAGCTGTGGAGATCCCGGAGAAGGAGATTTGGCAGGGAAGAAGGCGGGACGGCGGAGAGGCTCCGGACGATCCAACATATAAGTGTTTCTTGTATGTCCGAGGGACGAAGTGTGTGGCGTTCTTGCTGGTGAAGAGGATTGAGCAAGCATTGGAGGTGGTGAGGCCGAAGGCTCTAGAAAAAGACAAGAGGTCGGCAACCCCAACGAGGGAGAAAGCAGAAGCTACCACGAGAACGCAGTCTGCACTGGAGAAACTCAGAGCACGGAAGCAGCAAGAAGCAGATGCTGCAAAAGCTATTCAAGACGAGATTGAAGAAGCAGCGGCACATCCAATCGAGCTCTCCGAGTCCAAACATTCTGCTGTCATGGGCATCTCGAGGATCTGGACTTCTTCTTCCGTGAGAGGACAAGGCATAGCTCGATGTCTTTTGAACACTGCGATCAACCGGCACAATTCCACGATCGGGTCCCGAGAAGATGGGAAACAACCCACGACAGGTGATTCTCTGAGGAAGATTGGAAGGAAACAGGACATCGCGTTCTCTCAACCCACGGCGGCTGGAGCACAATTAGCGAGAAAGTGGTTTGGAAGGGCATATGGATGGAGAGTCTATGTGGACTGAGCAGCAGGACAAAGAGCAGACATAGGGTACAGAGAGGTAGTAACCGCAAGGCATGTTCAGCTGCACATTGTCAGCGTGCAAGTTGCAAAATGCCGCTCATTCTAAAGGCGTAAGATGCAATCGGTATATGAAGGCTAACCAATTTTTGAGCCTCACCCAAGGTTGTCGCTTGTGATCACAGAGGACCACAGTCACTTGTGCACCAATGGAAGCAGCAAAAGCTTGGTGAGCAAGGCAAAAGAACGTGCAAAACAATCGGCGATGGGAAAGCGGTCCGTGGCTGAAGCGACATTCTAACACTAGCGACGGTGTTACTCGCAGCGACATCGGACTGGATTCAGCAACGCTCGTTACAGAGCGACTTACAGCTGTACCGCTCGGCCAAGACTGATCGTTGGAGGTGCGTTCAATCAGAGCTACCTATGGATGTTCACACACCCCAAGAGTACAGCAAACATGGCGCTCGCGATATTGCAACATGGCGATGGTTTCGATGTCGAGCATAGCAACCAAGTGGCTTTTGGCAAGGCAAAATGAATGTTGCAAAACATTAGAAATGGCCGAGCGTGTTGAGGCAGATTGGAACTTTGGGAATCAAAGTTGATTCCGAGGTGCTCTCGCTGCTATCCAAGTTGATCAGCGTACTTGAACGTCGACTTACGATCAGACCACTAGGCTAAGACTGATCGTTGAGTAGAAGCAAACTCCAGCCACTTATAGGGGCTAGTCGGAATGCCCGACAGCTAGTCAAACACGTGCACAAGACAGGTGAACGAGTCTCTCCAAGTTGGAAGATGGGTACACGGAGTAAAAGTGAAGCAAAACAATCGACAATAGCCAAGCATTCCACTGGCGCCCAGGACTACTGGAAGAAATCGTGATGCGTCTTCAGGTCCCCGCGGCTGTTGGTCAAGCTGATCAGCGCACACACTTGTACGACTTGTGATCTTACCGCTAGACTAGGTCCGATTGGATGATGATGTAAAAAGAAAAACACCCATAATGACCGATCTTCATCAAGAATGCTGGGAGTAAGAGAGAGACCATGGCATGCGGCGAGATATGGATAGATATAGGCGAAAAAATAAAGAAGAAGAAGAAGAAGAAGAAGAAGAAGAAGTGCAAAACAATCAGCAATGGCCAAGCGGCTTATGATGAATGGAAGAACCGAACGCAGACCTTCAAGGAACCTCTTCGTTTTAGTCTTCTCGGTCATCGTATACAACAGCGTACGTTTGGCACGACTTACGCTTGTACCGCTGAGCCAATGGTGATTGTTGGGGACGTTCACAAGCTTGCCCACTTATCAACACTGATCCACAGTGAAGACGAAGAAAATTCAGCGACAGCATAATCAAGACGCACGTATCTCTATGGAGAGTGCTGCGTTCAATTAGACAAGAACAGGCAAAACAATGGACAATAGTCTAGCGCTTTCGGATGACGACTGCTGACAGAAACGAAGTCTCGACGACGTTTTTCGTGTCATCACTCCAGCGATCCAATAAAGCAGCGTACATGATTGCAAGACTTACGCTAAGACCGCCAGACCAAGGCCGGTCGTTGTGGATTTGACGGTGAGAATTGTATATGAATAGCGCCATGGGGAAAGCATGGATTGAGACATTGCAGCAGTCAGATTCGATGCTGTGAGCTTTGAGCGAAAATTAGTTTCACAAGGACAAAAAGGGCCAGATATCTAAGAACGCAGAGCAAAACAATCAGCCTTGGCCGAGTGATGTTGACAGGTAACCAACTCACTCATATCCTAGCTTGACACGATGAGGAGCTCGTCTCGTCCAACGTGTGTCCGGCGACGTCTGCAAGTCGACTAACGTGATACCACTAGACCAAGGCTGATCGTTGGGTTGTTGATGCTGAAAAGCACACATGACCCCTGATTCCGTCTGTGGTCGTGGGAACAGGGATCACTTCAGTTTCGATCTGTGAAATCGACGAAGAAGTTGAGACAAGGGAAAGAACGCATCCGATCGTCCGAAACGTGTGATGAAAGAGGCTTGTTCGTATATTGTGTATAATGCTCCAAGTGTTGCTGAAAGCTCCACATGCCTCCTCCACTGCACATCTCCGAAGGGCGGTGCCTTGTTTCAAACTTCTTCTCCGTGCTTCAAAGCTTTGGTCGGCCACAAAGTCATCAACCCGATTGTCCGCTCGGCACGGGGAGGGCAGATAAGCAACCACATAGCGGACGTATGCCATTGAACCTCTCGGCGTCCATTGTAGTCTCGATGTCACATCGCCTTCTGCCAAACAGAGTCGACGGATATATTCTGCGCGCCCGAAATTGAGCGCCTGGGCCACTGGACTCCTTTCCGAAGAGGTACAGTTGAGACGATGGTTCGTCTGCATCGCACTGGGCCATGTAAGGTGTGTGCTGTCGTTGTCCGGGGTCAGGCGCGAAAGGCCATGGAGTGTGGCATCAGTTCCACGAGAGTTTCGACCATATTATGGCAGCGATCGCAGAAGGAGGATCGCGCTACCCAATCCATGCGAAGACCAAATGTATCCCTGGCTTCAACGTGCAGATGGAGCGACATTGATATTGTCCATCACGTTTCTCATCCGCTCTCAGTCAATTGAATCCTCACTTCTCAGGACATCTTCAAGCAGAGCCTTCGCCTCTTGCACAAGCTCAGCCTCCTTCTCCGCGCCGACTTTGTTGCCGCGACTATTCAGCCAGCCAATATCGAGGTGTCCCAAGCCACCATTCTTGATCCTCTCCGGATCCAGCTGCTGCTCTTTCGGAACTGGCGCGAACCCTCTCGGGGTCGACTGAGCCGGCGCCTGTACTGGTTTCGGCTGCTCAGGTAACGCGAGTGGATCAGGTGTGACTATACCAGCTTCTTCCAGGGCGTAGGTCTGTCGGCGGAGCATGACGAAGATGGACTGCAAGTGAGTGAAGAAAGACTCGGTGTTGTCCTTGAATTGGGCTTTTCGATCTTCGACGGTGTCGTTATTTGTGCCCGCCATTTGCTCGTCTTCATCGTCCCCGGAAGCGTACAGGTTTAATGGTCGGTTCGTGAGCGCATGAATTGCCTGGCCGGCAGAAGTGACAAGTTTCGAGACATCTTGGTTGATCTCCGAGAGCTCGTCGATGCGCTCTTCTGGTGTGAAGGTCCGATTTTGTTGCGCCATCGCGAGTCTCAGTTCCCCAGCATCGTGAACTAGCGCGTAGCTTCGCGATACAGCATGGACAAAGTGATGCGACAGCTGCAGCTGCAGGTACCGCTTAGCGGCGGGATGAGCCGAGCCGCTGGAACCCTGCACAGCTTCACTTCGAGCCTCCCCTCCATTTCCACTACAACTTCACATCATTCGCGAGATCATCTTTATTCATCTTCCCACTTCACATGTGAAGGCCGTTCAGTATTCATCATGGCGTCGCAGCCGTTACCGCCGTCGCGCACAACGAGCGTTGGACCTTCCAGTGCAGGCGGCATGGGCGCTCCTCCCCCAAATGCGCCAGGCGGCGCGGGCGGCCAGAACAACCAACAGCAGAATCTGAATCAAATAGTAAGTGTGCCTTTGTTGTCGCGTTGATTTTCACGATTTGTTCTCTGTTGGATGCGCCCCCCATCAAGCGTCGCGCATCGCACGAACCTTTCCTACTGGCGTCCAAGGACCGCGCGAGCCCACATGCATCCAGCGACGGCGCTCTATCGAATTGGACTTGGACGAATTCGGATAGAGAAAGCAACGCGAGATGTTGCTATTGAGGCAAAGCCGGCAATGACTCGAAAGCGCCTTCCGATCTGTCGCCACTGCCGCTAGAGACACTCGATCATCCGTCGCCAGAAGGCACCCACCAGAGCTCAATCCGATGTCTGTCTTGCTGGCTTTCCCACGACATCGACATCGACATTGAAGGAGATTTCACGTCAGTCCTCACGAGCCCGGCAGAGCGCTTCCTCCCGTCAACACGATGGAGCCGTCTTCCTCCGCACAGCGCAACCCCGTTTACTCGGATCCTGCACTTCGTCAACTAGTTCATCACTGCGCGTCAAACAACTTCCACCGGCATCATGGCTGACCTCATTCCCCAGGTACTTGAATATCTCTCTAAGAAAGGGTACAGCCGTACCGAGGCCATGCTCCGCAAAGAGAGTGCAAACACCGACGCCAACGGCAACATCGTCGCCACCTCGATAGATGAAATCGGCGGCAAGAAGTATGGGCGCGCTTTCGACCTCGTCACCAACTGGATCGACAACGTCTTGGACATCTACAAGCCAGAGCTGAAGCGTCTACTCTGGCCACTCTTTGTGTACTCCTACCTGCAATGCATCGGCGAGTTTTATTCTCGAGATGCAGAGGAATTCTTCACACGTTTTCGGAGCCACTTCGAGCGCGAAAATCCAGATGATTTGCGAGCGCTCTCCAAATTGTACGAGCCGGAGCACGCGCAGGACAACGCGGTCGCGGACCTGTATCGCAACAACAAGTACCGCCTGACACTTAGCAACATGGCTTTCCAAACGCTCATGATGCACTTGGAGAGCAAAGATAACGAAGGCGGCAAGGTCATCACCCATATCATCTCACAGAATTTGGATGTGCGCATAGTGGATCGCGCCGCTGCCGGCACTGAGCGGAGTCTGGCGAAAATGCTAGCAACCCGAGACGGGCAAGAAGACGTGCCGGCAGAGGACGAAGGCATTCCTGGTCATAATCCCGGATCTGCCAACCTCGACCCCAAGGCACCTTCAGTACTGTCAAAGCTTGCTCTTGGTCCACTACCCATGGAGAATGACTTGCTGGAGGACGTCAAGGCAGAATTGCAAGAACATGACGCAGCACATCCGCCCGGGGCAGGCCAAAACTCTCTGATAGATGAGTTTGAGCAGCGCATAAAGCGCGAAGAGACTGCTGACGCGGCACCATCTCGAGATACACTCCCTTTCCCACCTTCCACGGCACGAGACGTGGCTATGGAGGTGCAGAGGGTCAAGGAGAACCGTGACCGCTTCCGCATCGAAGACAAGACTGGCGGCGTCGGGCCTGGTGTGAGCGTGACAATGTTCACATTCCACAACACTTATGACAGCGTCAACTGCATCGAATTCTCCGGCGACAATTGCCTCGTCGCCATCGGATCGGCAGAGTCATATATCAGAGTCTGGTCACTGGATGGGCAGACTCTGACTTCACCTACTGACCCTCCGAACTTCCAGCCATCTTCGTCACGGCGCTTGATCGGACACTCCGGCCCAGTCTACGGGCTTTCGTTTTCGCCATCGATTGCTATTCCAGAACCACAGACGAATGGGCATACGAACAACTCGACTTCATCAGACTCGCGCCCAAGATACTTACTATCTTGCTCAGCGGACTGCACTATCCGACTGTGGTCATTAGACACATGGACAAACTTGGTGGTCTACAAATCCCACAATCTGCCTGTCTGGGACGTCCGCTTCTCACCGTATGGCCACTACTTCACATCATGCTCTGCAGACCGAACAGCTCGACTCTGGAGTACGCCGCAGATTGCACCACTACGGCTCTTCGTTGGGCACGACTCGGATGTAGACACAGTGGCATGGCATCCGAACAGCGCGTACATCTTCACGGGATCGGGTGCGCCAGACAGGACAGTGCGCATGTGGGACATCTCAAGAGGACAAGCTGTGCGTATCTTCACCGGCCACGTTGGCAACGTCACTGCTCTTGCGTGCTCGCCGAGCGGGAAGATTCTCGCCAGCGCCGACGATAGAGGAGAGATTCTGCTCTGGGACCTAGCTCGCGGTCGCTTGGTGAAGCGCATGCGTGGACACGGTCGAGGCGGAATCTGGAGTCTGGATTGGAGCATCGAGTCGAGCGTGCTCGTCTCTGGCGGCGCGGACGGAACTGTCCGTGTCTGGGACGTGCAGCCCAACAAGGAAGGCCAAGGCAAGGTCGTAGGCGAAGGTGGAGCGGGTGCCAAGATCGATGGCGCGGCAACAGGAGGTGCTGTCGCGAAAGGCAAGTCCAAGAAGGACGTCGTGGTATCACCCGACCAGATCTCGGCTTTTCCGACCAAGAAGAGTCCGGTCTACAAGGTCGGCTTCACACAGATGAATCTGGTCGTTGCGGGCGGTGCTTATCTGCCTTGAGCCTGGTCCCAGGACGAGCATACAGAAGCTGGCATGAAATACAATTGAGGTATTAGCAAGGCGTTATCGGGGTGGGTAAAACTACGATACCATTGACAGAGATGGTCAGACAATGGACTTCAATTGATACCAGCCACACCTCTGCTCACGTCACTGCTCGTCAAGACTTACTCTCATGCTGATCTCGCTCGCGCAGCCACTTCGATCTCGAGACTCTTCGCATATGTGGCTGTGATCGTGATACCAGTAATTGTGGCTGAGCAACCGCATCAGATAACAGTTTATCCGCACTCTGCACACCATCCCGAGTCAAGCTGACGCTGTTCTCTATTTCCATTCGCAATGGTCTAACTGATTTGGTACAGAGATCTACTCGATATCAAGCCTTGTGTCAAGTTTCAAGCATGGTATGACGTTGTTCGACAGCGAGAAATTCGGACCCTGAATTCGTTTCCAGCAATCCTTTGGCCAGGATTCCAACTTCGCGTCCACACCACCACGACACCTGCGCAGCCCTGTCTCCACATTTGAGCCTCTGAATCGGGACGGTTGACGTCGTTTTAGATGTGCCCAGTAGGGTTATCGCAGGCTACGCGAACTGTTGTGGCACGGTGTGAAGTGGACGATGATGTAGTTTGGCAATCTCGTGAGCTCGGTTGCCCTTGTCGCTGAAAGCAGGTATTCTGGACCATGAATCACGAACGTCGTGGAAACTAGATATATGCGATGCCTCCGCGGACGACTTTGGGGTTTCCTTCTTATCCTTCACAGCAGAGTACAGAGCTACAACCTACTTTTACAGAGTACTATTTCAAGAATCGACAAAGTAAGAAGAACAACAAATTACAATCACAACCAGAAGACCAAGAAAACAAAATGGCCATTACTCGCAAACACAACACCACAACCCGCACCTCGCGCACCACGGCAACAGGCAAGAAGCCTTCTCTCCTCTCTCGTCTTCGAAACAAGAATCAAGCCAAAGTCACAACTTCGCAATCTACGAACCCTATCACGGGCACGACGACCACGACGCAGAAGACCACCACTCATCCTAACGGAATTGGCTACAGAGGTCACGGGGGTCGTGGACCAATGGCTAGTAACCACGCAACACATTACACGACGGGCACTTCGGGGCCAGTGCACCACCATAAGAGGAAGACGAGCATGGGAGATAAGATCTCTGGAGCGTTGTTGAAGTTGAAGGGCAGTGCGACGGGGAGGAGTGGACAGAAGGTGAGTTCTTTATCTTGAGCTTTCGAGTGCGTGATATCGGCGTGGACTAAATGACTGACTTATCTCGAACAGGCTGCTGGTACTCGAAGAATGCATGGTACAGATGGCCGTGGCGCGAGAAGGACTTGTGTCTAAGGAAGGACCTTTATTGCTCAAATGCCATTAAGGGTACGGGAACGAGCATGTGACGACGAAGTAATGATTGACGGACGCGATTACTGTACGATCCGTGAATGTTGTATGATTAGGCGATACCCTTGTCTCTTTCACCGTTGTTTGAGAAGCGATGTATGAAATGAACAATTCATTGATCGAAGCTATATCAGATTCTCAAGATGTGTGTGTTCCAGCGCTTCCTCCCATGTGCACAAAATGACTCGCATAAACTGCCGAAAGATGTGATGAAGCATGAAGAACTCGCCGGACAAACACTGCACGCTCAGCCATCCTCTTCCAAAGTCGTCCCAACGAACTCCCAATCAGTGAATCAACGTGGATCGAACAATCAAGATATCTTCAACCCCGTAAGATCAATCCCTTCCACCTCATCCGGCTCGCGTCCATACTCGTCATAATATCTCTTTCTCTCCGGGTGTGTGAGAACGTCATAGGCTTTGTTGATTGCAATCTGTTCATTGCATGTGGTTAGTACTACGATCCAACGGAAACTCGTGAGAATTTGCTTACCCATCTTGAAGGAGCATCGGGATCCTCGGGATTTCGATTCGGATTGTGACGGAGGGAGAGACGTTCGAGTTGTCTGTGAGTGGGGATATTGTCAGCATGCTAGCCCACGTCCATTTTGTGATGTACATTTTGGTACTCAGCATACCTCTTCGCAAGAAGCAAAAGAACATCCGGATCAGTCGAAGGGTTGATATCTAGGATTCGATACAGCAATGGCCAGTCTGTCTTGCTCCATTCCGCATGAATTGCTTCATCGTCACTGTCATCGTAGTCGGCATACGAGTAGAACTGGTACTCGCCTGTTCCACTTGCAGAGGCGCGTTTATTACTGCTGCTTCTGCGGATAGGCTCCGAAGGAGAGGTAAATGGTGGGTGCACAGCCGGTGCAAAAGGTGATGGCATGCTTCTGAAAGATCTTGGAGAGGGTGGAGTTGGTGGAGTAGAGCTCATTGGAGCTGATGCGGGCATGATTGGTGAGGTTGGAGGAGGTGGAAATCTTGGACTCGTGGACATTGTCGGTGGCATGAAGGATGGCGGTCGCGTACGTTCCATGCTTTTCCGACTGCGACCTTGGCTACTGTCTACTCGTTCTAGTGAATGGTTGCTGGAGCGTGGTGACCGAGATGATGGCGGCGTTAATGTTGGATCGCTGCTGCTCGGACTGTATGTCGGTGTGTATGGCGGAGGTGGCGGGAGATTGCTACTTGTTCGTATCGGTATTGTATGAGGATTCTCAGCCGGTGTGTATCGTGCGCTGGCTTTGCTGATTCTTCGAGGTGTGCCGCCTAAAGGCAGAGTATCTTTGTAACCAGAATCTCGTCTTCTGCGCTGAAGCTCCTCTTCCAGATCTCGCAATTCTGCCAACTTCATTCCTGACTGGTCGCACTTAGCAAGTTGAGCGTTGAGTGCTTGTAGGAGTTCGCGATCAGTGGTCGTAAGTGCGTCTTGCGATTCTATCTTCTCGATTTTCTGTACGAGCTCCCTGGTCATGTCTTTATTGAGGTCTTCCATCATTTCTACTGTCTTCTCTGGCAAAACTCCTCCGTTCCTTAGATCTCTTCGGAGTTTGTCTGTACGTGACTGGAGCTCTTTCGTGGCTTCTCTGTCCAATTTGATAATCTGTCTCAATTCACACACATTCAAGCCGGCCGCTTGCAGTGCTGCCGTGGTTGGCATTTTGCCCTACTTTCTGTCAAATTGCAGTGAATATCGCAAACGCTGATTGTTACAGAGAGTCAGAGAGTGATGAGCAGGCGCAGAGGGCCTCTTTGCGAGTCGTGTTCGCTAGATCTCCAACTAGGAACATCCTCGTACAGTCGCATTCCTGCCAACAAAGCCGACATACACGTCAGCTGCGAGGGTGCTTCGCGGATACAGGGCGAGATACCACACTCCTGCCACCTTACACCACCCAATGACCCGTTGCTTGGATGGTGTGTGCAGTAGAATGCTCGGCGTGCGCTCCGCAGTGCCTTTGGGCTTCTGATACTTCCACGCGAACGTTGTGGAACCAGTGGATGCTGGGGTACACCGCCATTGTAACCCGACGATTGGCCACTGAGTGTGTGCTCCTCGGCACTTATGGTGCGAGCAATATGGAGCAAAAGCAAGTTCGTCGTAGACGAATGCACTACTGTTGCCTGGGTCGCGGACCGACCTACCACTTTGAGCGCAGATTCTTGGGCGCTCGTCCATAGTATTGGGGTATCCCGGTACGAGGAGTTTCTATGCGTGCAAGTCCGAATCTTCACTGGAACGTTGTCTATCACAAACACGTATCACGTCTCACCTGGTGAGTCTTGTACTACGCACTTTCGTGATGTAGCCGAGGCTCCGGAGCGGGCAAGGCGTTCTAGGCGCGGACTTAGTGAAGGATTGTAGGTATATCTGTTAGAGCATCCTGGCTGCGCTTCCTCCTGGAACATGTTTCGCCACTGCAGGATTTGTCAAAAGCCATGTGGTACAGGGACCTCTCCGAAGATGCGTAGAAGACTAACCAGCTACGCAGGTTCTGCTAAGGCTTATCGAGGCGCCAGTCTCTCGAAGTGGTTGCTGCATGCGCTTGTTCATGCGAGCGGAGATGGCCGATCAGTATGGCGTGCAGCAGAGAGCCTGATCCAAAATCGCAGCGGAATGCCTGCAATTGACGCCTTCGATAGGCATTGATATCCAGTACCTGTCAGGATCGATACGCTCGCATCGCAGTGAAGGCTTGTCCAGGCTTCAGGTGTCCAGCGCGGTTTTCCTATTGGCATTCAGAAGGTACGGAGAAACTCGTATCTGCCTTACAGTAAAAGGCACTTCCATCGACATTCGCGTGCCCTGCAAGATTCTGCGTTGATATCGAGCAGAACTCGGAAGTCCAGTACTCAACCAAATTCGAGCCCCTCTGCGATCTGGAGATGCGAGGAATGAGTCAACGACATACATGAGGTCTTGCCACCAGCAGCCAAATCTTCGACGTCAGGATATGAGAGTGCCTCCTGCGAAACGGCCGCGATTTTCAGATGTGTGGTCTGCGGTTTGCAGAGTGGACGGAAATGGTGACGCTGAAATCTGGAGTGCACCGCTTCGCCAGATGAGCTCAGGGGCCCAAGTCGGTTTCGGCGTACTGGATGTCAGTTTCGTGGAGGAAGATATAGCAGGAAGTCTGTGTTTGCAGGTCCTTCAGATGCGCCTTTCTCGACTGCGCGAAGTTAGTTTTGACACCACGTCCTCTCCCAGGCACGTTCGCACTTCCAACAAGAGATAATCAGCAAGAACTTGCGTCGCATACAATCAAGAAGACCACGCCCATAACCAAAACGCCAGAGCTTGCACCTACAAGTCAGTGTACAACACGGCAGGCGGCCAAGTGACAGCCATCCCTGGAGCACCGAAAGAATACAGGCACAGTCAGGTCTTCAAAAATTGAGGCTCATGATGATATTGCATATATTTGATATGCCTCACTACCTCACGATGGTGTTGTGCCGAACTGCTTTCGACCGGGAATATGCGGACGCTAAACACACGCATGCACGTGCGGAGCCGCTAGAATCGAGTGCCAAGCATTTCACATGGCAACGGAAGTTGTGGCTCCGCGGCAGCGTCTGCGACTTCGGCGATATCGTGTCGGCGAGGACTGTCTCACATCGTGGCGTGCAGATGTTCAAGGCACCGTAGCCTATAGCGGTCGGTGTGCGTTGTCGTGGTATATGCTCCAGAAGTTGTGGCAGCCCAAGACAAATCTCGATGCAGTGAGTGGACGGCCGGAGTGCACCAGAAATTTTGTGGGTCCGGTCTAGGTCCTGCGAATTTGTAAATTTATGCGATTGTGCATGAGCACAAGAGAAAATCGCAGAACTCTCGGAATGGGTGACAGACGTCCAGGCAGAGGCTACTCTCGAGATCCAGAGACGCATGTTGACGCCGCAGATCGATGGCCGATCAGCGAACCAGTATAGCTTGAGCAGCAGGATCCAACAGCAGGAATACGTTGACAGGTCGCATCCAAAGAGCACATTGTGCTGAATCCGACGCGTAGGGAACCGAAAGTGCTTTCAGTCTCTGTGGGGGCTGATGAGACTGAATCTTCATCGAATGTCTTCATCCGTAACGTCCTCCATGTCCTCTTCCACGATCTTCTTGTCGGTGTCTGTCCGCAACCCAATTGCCGCTTCTGCCGCCTTCTGTGTGTGTGGTTCCTCCTTCAGTTGCTTGACGCGTCTCTTGTGTGGTTTGCCTTTGCTATGGCGCTGGTAGTTGGTCTCTGACTCGAACCACTTTGCGCATTCCGTGCAATACCACTCGCCGAACCCGGGCAGATCCTCCAACGCTTTGGTGTCCTTGAACTGCTGAAGGTGCTTTTGGTCCTGCTTGTCGGCGTAGATCTGATCGATGTCACGGATCGCGGCATACCGCCTCGCCTTCCTCTTGCTGTTTGCGCCTCTGATTGCAGGCATGGCGTGCGATTTTCAGAGCTGCGCCGCGCCGGTGTCGGTCTCGAATTGAGTCTGTAGTGGTCGAGCGCCTGTGTCGGTGCTGCGAGAGGTGTTCTGATTGTGTCTGGAAACTTTGGTTTGCATGCAACGCAGCGCACACAGCGAGATCGGACCGCTTCCTCGTCTCGGCTGGGCGCGACGCAAATTCTTCTTGACCTGGAGACCACGCCGTGCCGGGGGGTGTAGCCGAGGAAAGGAACGACGGAAGAGCGCTAGCCAATCACATTTGCTTACTTTTGAGCTCCATTTCTCTACTCTTTGCCGGCGTCTTGTTACGTCTTCTCTTGATATCCGCACCTTTCGCACTTCAGGTCTGCCCTCCGACCTGACAGTCCTCTCCTCTCTTGCAGCTTTGTTGGGACACTGCCTCTCAGCTGAGCGTCTTTCAGGATGTTGGCGCAACGACTCGCAGCGCGACAGCTGGTATGTTTGCTTCTGATAAGAGCTTGCGCACCCGCACAACGCGCCATTGAACGCCGGGAAGAGAGACTGACACTCGCTCACTACAGCCCCGGCTGGGTCGCCGGACCTTCGCTACCGTCAATGACTCCCCTCTCACCAAGAAGGTCGAGATGACCAATTGGGAGAAGGGCCACTACATCAACTACGCGGGCATGAACGAGAACCTGAACATTGTGCGAAAGCGACTGAACAAGCCTCTCACATACGCCGAGAAGATCCTGTACTCGCACTTGGACGATCCGCATGGACAGGAGATTGAGCGTGGAAAGAGCTATCTCAAGCTCCGCCCAGACAGAGTTGCTTGCCAAGATGCCACAGCTCAGATGGCCATCCTGCAGTTCATGAGCTCGGGTATGGATGCTGTTGCCACACCCACCACTGTGCACTGCGATCACTTGATCGAGGCACAAGTTGGTGGCGAGAAAGATTTGGCGCGTGCATACGACATCAACCGAGAGGTGTACGATTTCTTGAGCTCTTCATGTGCCAAGTACAACATTGGTTTCTGGAAGCCAGGTTCTGGTATCATTCACCAGATCGTGCTCGAAAACTACGCTTTCCCAGGTGGTCTCATGATCGGTACCGACTCTCACACTCCAAACGCTGGTGGTCTTGGTATGGCCGCCATTGGTGTTGGTGGCGCTGATGCCGTCGATGTCATGGCCAGCTTGCCATGGGAGCTCAAGGCACCAAAGGTCATCGGTGTCAGGCTTACCGGAAAGATGAGCGGCTGGACTGCACCAAAGGGTGAGTTATAATCATCAAAGCGGGCTGCACTGAACGTGTACTAACCGTTTGTAGACATCATCTGCAAGGTCGCTGGTATCCTCACTGTCAAGGGTGGAACTGGTGCCATCGTCGAGTACCACGGACCTGGAACTGAGAACCTGAGCTGTACTGGAATGGCCACTATTTGTAAGTTCCGAGTTTCATGAATGCATACAGGAGTGTGCATTAACAAGAGAGACAGGCAACATGGGTGCTGAAATTGGTGCCACCACCTCGCTCTTCCCATTCAACGACCGCATGTACGACTACCTCGCCGCCACCAAGCGCCAACACATTGGCGACTTCGCTCGTGGCTACGCCGCCGAGCTCCGCGAGGACGAGGGCGCCGAGTACGATGAGCTTATCGAGATCAACCTGAGCGAGCTCGAGCCACAAATCAACGGACCTTTCACCCCAGATCTTGCTACCCCAATCAGCAAGTTCGCAGACGCTGTCAAGGAGAACAAGTGGCCACAAGAGCTGAAGGTTGGTCTGATCGGATCCTGCACAAACTCCTCGTACGAGGATATGAGCAGAGCTGCGGCCATTGCTCAGGATGCGCTTGACCACGGTATCAAGGCCAAGGCTCTCTTCACAATCACACCTGGTTCTGAGCAAATCCGCGCTACTTGCGAGCGCGACGGTCAACTCAAGACTCTCGAGGAATTCGGTGGCATGGTTCTTGGTTCGTGAATCGCTTTCTCTGGATTTATGCGGCTTTCCGAGCTAACAGGTGTGCAGCTAACGCATGTGGTCCATGTATCGGACAGTGGGATGTGAGTTTACTCCACCATTTGTGCAGCCTGAGAACTACTGCTGACCTTTTCACAGCGCCGCGACGTCAAGAAGGGCGAAGCCAACTCGATCATCTGCTCGTACAACCGAAACTTCACTGGTCGTAACGATGCCAACCCAGCCACACACTCCTTCGTTGCCTCTCCTGACATGGTCGTTGCCATGACCCTCGCTGGCGACCTTACATTCAACCCGCTTACCGACACCCTTAAGGACAAGGATGGCAAGGACTTCAAGCTCAAGGAGCCAACTGGTGACGGTCTGCCCACTCGTGGGTATGATCCAGGTATGTTTTTACTCACGAACATGATTTGAGCACATGAAACTAACGACCCCATCGGTATGGACACTTATCAGCATCCACCGGAAGATCGCGCCGCTGTCAAGGTTGCGGTCTCGCCAACCTCCGATCGTCTGCAGCTGCTCGAGCCTTTCGAGCCATGGAATGGCCAGGACGCGAAGTAAGAGCTTCACCCTCATTCATTAACCGTCTTAAACTGACCACGATACGCAGGAACGTCCCAATCCTGATCAAGGCTCAAGGCAAGACCACTACTGACCACATCTCTATGGCCGGCCCATGGTTGAAGTACCGTGGCCACTTGGACAACATCTCGAACAACTTGCTCATCGGTGCCATCAACGAGGCCAACGGTGAGGCCAACAAGGTCAAGAACCAGGACACCGACAACTGGGACGCCGTTCCAGCAGTGGCCCGTCAGTATAAGAAGGAGGGTGTCAAGTGGGTCGTCATTGGCGACTGGAACTACGGAGAGGGCTCATCCCGTGAGCACGCTGCTCTCGAGCCTCGCCACCTTGGTGGCCTTGCCATCATTACCCGATCGTTCGCCCGTATTCACGAGACCAACTTGAAGAAGCAGGGTATGCTTCCTTTGACCTTCCAGAACCCAGAAGACTACGACAAGATCAAGCCAGATGACCGTATCGACCTCAAGCTCACCGATATTGGTGTTGGCAAGCCTGTTACCATGACTGTGCACCCAGCTGCTGGTGGTCAAGCTTTCGATATCACACTTGTGCACACATTCAACGAAGGACAACTGGAGTGGTTCAGGAACGGCAGTGCGCTGAACACCATGGCCAAGAAGGCGGCTCAGAAATAAGTTGATCTTGAACGAGGATCAGGATGAGAAGAGGAGTGAATGACAAGAGGTATGAAAGCAACGACTTTCGGATCGTCGTAATGATACACAGAACGGGCGGCATTCGTCGCCTCGTGCATTACATGCGTGGGAGGCAGTGGCCAGCGCGGTCAGCGACGAGACTGTAGCATTGTGCATATTTATTTCAGGCGCGTTTGGTCGTTCCGGAGGGGATCATGTATTGTGACAATGAACTTTTAAGACCAAAATCTTCTCCTTGACAGTCCAGCTGCGATGCACCAGATTTTAACGCCATGTTGCCATGTTGATTGGTGTTTATACGCGAAGAAGTCAGTGCTGAATAAGTGCAGCAATGCCAACCTGAGATGTGCTTCCCAGCGTGGAGGTGAAGATGTTGTATCTCTCTGTCATGCCTGAGGCCGACACTTCGGCGAGACGGCCACCGACTTGGCGCCAAGTGGAAAATCAAGCGCACCTGCCGCAATCACACTGCCAAAGCTCACCTCCGACGACAGAACCTCGCAGCACGTTCGCACAAATACCGTCGCCATGGCCAGTATGTGCGCCGACAGAGATGCAGTCTTGGAATTATACTGACCAGATGCGCAGAGTCAAAGAACTCGTCTCAGCACAACCAGGCTAAGAAGAACCACAAGAACGGGTACGACTCAACCACACCGAACGAACGAGGATGCATCGAGCATACGAGCGCCGTTGAGAGGAGGAACAAATGAGCTGGGGTCGAGAGAATTGCGCTGACGGAGGAACGTGAACAGTATCAAGAAGCCAAAGACCAACCGATACCCTTCGCTCAAGGGAACCGACCCTAAGTTCCGGAGAAACCACAGACATGCTCTTCACGGCACCATGAAGGCATTGGTGCGTGCAGATCATTTGCACTTGGACATCAATGGACAACGCTGACAACTGGAGCAGAAAGAGGTCAAGGAAGGCAAGCGCGATGCGGCATAAATGAATTTTGTCCATTGAGTTTTGCTTTTCACTACTGCTGGGACCTGGAGCATACCACACGGCGGTCTGACATTACGGCTTCGACACGAGAGCATGCCATGGCGCAAAAGCGAGAGAAGGGATGGAAATGGCATTGCGAGAAGGGAGATACCTGCCTGCTTGAGAAAGGCCTCATGACGAAGGTAGCTGAATTGCATGCCTGAACTGACAAGTCCGCCTTCTCCACCACGAACCTCTCACCAAAAGGTAAGCTGCGGCGGTACCAGGCGCGTCTACCACTCGGACCTCGGGTTGCGCTCTCCGATCCATGGTGTTTCTCCCTTTCCTTCTTTGTTCTATCCCACGGCAGCAGTGTGTACAACGCCTCGCACAATCTCCATGCTTCAGCGTTGAAGGAAAATCTATCATGCCAAGATTGAGTCTTTTCGGAGCATACCATGTCATTACCAAACACAAACGCTGTTTCTGTCGGCGTTTGTGCATGAAGACTGTGGTTACAGACCATTGATACAAAGCTTCTTTCTCTGTGAAGAGGGGGAAGCCGATCGAGAAGAGTAGGTAGCTACGCAATTCGAATTTGTTGACCTTGCCCTACGCTGTGCTTCTCATCTTCTTTGGCAGAACACTGTCCTCTACTGGAGCGCCATTTGCATGAATACGTGCAGTCGTGAGCGAGCGCCTGACGCTCGCATGATAGACATCTGAGTACCACTGATATGATGCACAGACACTTGCGTTGCCAACGACAGGAAGGGGCGAGCTCGAGGTCCGCGCCTCAGTTGAGAATGCAGCACAAGTCACGACAATCTTCACGTCCCATTCACATCGGTATCAAGAATGAGCGCAACTGTCTGCTCAGTTGCTGTGCCGCGTCCATATCGGTTTCCTCGCCACTTCAGCCGACACTCCCCTCGCAGGCAACGTTCTTTCCCTCCATGCGCAGGACGCACTAGCGGCGCTTCACGCTTCCCCCTTCTGCAAGCAAACAGCAGCAGCGACGAGACGCACCCAACGTCACTTCATCTCCCCAACACCACCTCATCGCTCCCAATGCCTTCTCTCTTACTCCCCGCTCCTCCACCACCACACTGCGCCACCGCCCGCACGCGCAAGACGACGACACAGGTCGACCTGACCACCGCCATGGCCGACATCCAACAATGGCGACGCAAGATTCAGCCGGCGAGATCTCGCACTCCAGCCACGCCCTTTCCCGATCACGAAGAACCCGATGACTACTTCACCTCCACGACGCCCAAGAAGCGCATCAAACCAAAGTTGTCGTCCTACTTTGGCCACAACCAGAAATCATCATTGCAGGGAGACGTGGCGACATCTACGGAGCTGCCAGCGTGGCCACCAGACCAGTTCTATCCTGATCCGAAGCCTGAAGAAGTGCTGGACGAGATGATGTGTACACTCATGGCATCTCTCTACAAGCCACTCGACCCTCGCCACAACAGCTCACTCATGTTGGTTTTCGAAGCATACAGAGACCTGATCGACGAAAAAGCTCGACTTCAGCAGCGACTTGGAGCTGAAGTTGCATCGAACAAGGCTCTGGTCGCGAAGCTCAACATGGCCGAGAAGGACTGGGAAGATGAGAAGCAAGACTACAAAGACGAAGTTAAGCGACTTGAAGTGCTCCTGGCAAAAGCTAGTAAGCGTGGTGTCGCGGAAGTCACGCTTGCACGTCAAGAAAGCAGGCTCCATGGGCATCAGTCCCGTGGACTTCACAAAAAGGAGACCATTTTCGAGCTCCTCGAAAAATCAAACTTGTACGATGACAAGACTTGGGACAGTCAGCGAGGTGAGTCGCAGACCAACATTCCGACATACGCATGCTAACAGAATTGCAGCAACGATGAAGCCCATTGTTCAGTCTCCTTCCAACAAAGACATTCAGGCTTCGCAACAGTTGGCACAGAAGAAGTCCATGACACACCTTCATGCAGAGCTCCCGTTTGGCACGCCACCAACGAGCGACATTCGTTTCTCGTTGACCAATCCATCGTTGGAACAAGATTTGCGCAAGCTTACCAGCCGAAAGCGCGCTGACACCGGGTCGACAACGCAAAGCGACTCGGAGGACACCTTCTCCACATTCAGTTGCGAAGAGCTCGTATCTCCGGACCAACCAGCACTACAATTTCTGTCGCAAGACGAAGATTATGTGTCCATTGCAAAAATTGCCGAATCACTCGCTCGCCGCCGCAGAATGGATCCTGCCCAAATCATGCCCCAGCTCTTAACGATGTTCAATGCACAGGTTCTTGACAGCGGCAAAGCAGTCAGTATGCCAACAGCTCTTCCGCATGCTAACAACCCCTGGCCGGCGCGGACGACATCGATGCTGGCGGCGACAAATGCTGCGCCATCAAGACATCGCACTGTGATGTCGAAAGCGTCAGGCTTTCTGCAGAAACTCGTGCCCCAGCTCAACATGGACCCAAGCACTGGCCCTGAAGCAATTCGCAGATTCTCCTTCGAGCCAGGAGACGACTCTATTCCCGCTGGCAATCAGCCCCAGGCTTCGTGCTCTGATCACAAAGATCGCGTTCTGCGAAAGACTGTTTCAGCGTATGCGTTAAGAGGGCCCGACATGGCCACTGCACCCCGCTCTTTGTCGCCTGTTGCCCAAAGCCCAACGGCGTCCACGTTGGGTGATGTGCGAGTTGGTCCGTTTTCGAGAATTCCAACACCAGTCTTCAGCTCTGGCTCACTCGCCAGGCCAAGACAGGAACGAGAGGATTCAGCAGCCAGTTTATTGACTGTCATTCAACAGAACGATGAAAAGTGTCGTGCCAGATCGGTGAGCAGCTCGCCATCAGGCAGTCGAATCAATCTTGCTCGTGCAGCGCACGAAGTGCTCACCATACAGAGCCCCGTGCCTCGACCTATCTCCAATGAAAGTGACATTTTACGGGGTCACTCCAACTCGCTACGTGGCCCTGGTCTGACTGCAGGCACAGCCCGTGGTACTCACATCCGGCCAGACATCTCTCCGCGAGGGCAGTCCATCAAGAGACAAAGTACGCAGCACCTTCGCAGTAGTTACACCGCGTCTTCGGTCAGCATCGATGTTCGACAGGAGAATACGCGGCCCGCAAATTGAGTTCTAGGCTACTGAAGTGCACAGCGCTGCTGCCGATAGGACTCGGATTTGATCGATGGTATGCAAGTCCACGAGGCACTGTGGCTTTGCTCATTGGCATATGCGGTAGTTGCCACTCGCATACCAGGCGAAATGAATCACCCGCATTAGCTTTCAACCGCAACAACCAATTATCTTGACAGCGCCGCTCCAATAGTTCGCAGCGCGGCAGGTCTGGGGCAGCAAGTGCCAAGTCTGCCAAACGGTATGTGTTACAGCTGGCCGTCAGGCTCACACTCGAGGAATCTCTCAGCCACTATGGCTCGGCGCACATGCACATGCAGCATTACAGTCGGTCAACCAGCGAGCCAGCGCTGGGATGGAAGCTGTGCTGGCAGACACAGCATTGACGTTGACGCGCTTGCGACGACCCGCTATAGGCATGGATCATCGTTATCGGCAGGGGTCCATTTCGTCAAGCGTGTTTCAGCATTCATGATACAGGCACTCTCACAGCATGTACCTAGGAGGTACAATGTTTGCAAAAAGTTCTGCCTGAAAACGTCAGTATGGATCGAATGTCTGCCCTTAGTTCGACAACACGTGCGAACACCATCGCTACGAAGTGTTCCCGAAGAACATCTCCAATGCTCGCCGCCCTTCCTCTTCAGCGATCCTCAGGCCTAGGCCTTGCGGACAGTCCGTTCTTCAGCAATCTGCTCGGTCTGACGGTCCGCTGTCGTCCTTTGCACAGTCAACATGACGCACATGTTGGGCATGGGTGTGGCTGCTCGAGCACGGTGAAGCATGCAGGCACGCTTTGATCTTCGACATCGTTGCCACATCGTCTCGAAGATCAGCGCAAGGTCGTGCAGTGTGTTGGGGCACCACGTCAGCGGTGGGCGGACACAGTGAGTGATGGAGCTGCCTAGATCCATACAGCAGACGCAAGTGAGGGGTGGTGCATTGCACAGCCACAATCGCGAAGGAGTATTCCGTCCTCGTGGCACAAATTCCCGACTGCCACAGCGCGGCTGGAGAGGATGTGTCGGCGTCGGGCCGGCGTGGCAGCTGACGGCTTTCGTGGTGACGACGCGCTTGTGCTTTGTCGGACAGCCATCCGAACTGATGCGATTTCTGCGACCGTCGTTGTCGCTGGAAGGAATTCTCGCGACCCACTGCTCGCGACGCACATCGACGATCCACTCACGGCATCCACGACTGTGAAGATGGGTATATGGGAGTCGAATTTCCAGTGCCCCACGACTCGGCTCCGAGCTGCTTGTGATTCCTACACGCTCCGAACACTGGTCACTCGTGCAGTTGCACACCGTCACGCGCACACAAGCTCTTTCCACAGGCTAGAGCAGTATGGTGAGAGGTACTTCTGTACAGCAGCGGTATCGCAGGCACATACACAGGATGCCATCACGTGTTATTCTTTGACAACGTTCGCTGGCTGCGGGCAATGATTGCGGCCGGAGGTGCAGCAATGAATGGAGCATCACATTCTATGCTCATTTCGGCTACTGAAAGTGACTAGGTGAAGAACAGGCGGAGGTTCCGTCGAGGACTTCAGCCACTCACAGGTGGGTGTTTCGCATACAAAGCTTCTTTCTGCAGCATCACAGGCAAGTGGCATCGACAGACGGTATGCGCGATCTAGCGGAGCGTGCCATGGCCCTGGGCGTCAATACCGTCAGACCTCTTACAGGCTATTGACGACCCGATCACGTCGGTAGCCGCTGGTGCAACGCCGACGGACTGCCGGGTTGTGCCAACTACTCCATCTCATCGCAGGGCGAAAAATTCGACGCACAGCAAGTCATTGCACGTCACAGCTTCACTGCCTCGTAACTGTTGATGCGCACCGCACGGATCTCTCGATGCCGATGACATTCATGCACAACGAAGCAATGAAGGTGGCTCGGCCTGGGCGTTGCTCGCCCGCACGACTCCGAAGACGTGCTCCACCGTATTTCGCCAAGTGGCTCGATATGAGTGTGATCCCAATGCTTGGAAGCTGGACTGCGGACCAGTCACGCCAGTGTCCAGAAGGTCCGCTCGCGTGTCGAAGGATCGCAGCAGTTTGCAGTCGACCAAGTGGCTCACGCGGGCTACTAAGCGACCATCGATCCTCGCACGCGGCACGTTCTTGAGCTTTACATTGGCGCTATGCCGCAGGCCGCAGGAAGAGTGGCAGCAGCTTGGAGATCAGAGCGTCGTTGGGCGGGGACGGAGCAGACATACGAAACGAGCCACAATGAGCACAAGGAAGCAACTAGCATTAGTTGCAGCGTCCCGCGTTGCATCGAGCCAGAGCCAGAGCCAGCACATGTGGCGTCGTCGCCACAGCTGTGGCGCAGGCGAGAATGATGAGTGATCGGCAAGCTCGCTTGCGTTTCTCGTGCTCTCGTGGCCGGCGGGCACAGGGCAGGCGGTCGAAGAGCATGGAAGGGATGGCGAGCGCGGACGAGCCGTGTCATTGCGTGTCGCTATAGGCAGCGTACCCTGATCGATCGCGACGTGCTGCAGAGTATGTGAGAGCTGCCGGCGGAGTGTCGAAGCGCACGCTAGAAAGTCACGGCCGGACAGGGGTCGTTCAGAATGCAGTCTGGCGCCGCTCTTATTCTCATGGGAGCCCCAGCGCCCATCTGCTGTGGCTGAACATAATCTCTCCTCCAGTTTCACCACGGCGCAGCACGCTCGACTTCCACACCCTCCGCCCAGCGCGCCTTCTTTCATGCTCCTCCAAACAACCTCGCGACGGCGCTGCTGCTAGAGTGCTCCTCTGCTGGCCATGTTCCGCAATCGGTGAGTAGAGAAATGGCGAGGCGCGGTCGCAGTCAGCTCGCCAGCCCGCTGGCCGGACAGCCTCCACTGCCACATCGATCGTCTCCGGCGTTGCGCAACTGGGAACTCTATCACGCTGCGGCGCGGAGACACACCACAACACCCATACTGACGGCGATACCATAGCAGGAACTCCCAGAAGCCCAGCGACGACCTGTACCGCAACTTCAAGGCCAATTTCCCAACCCTCGGCGGCAACAGTGCGCCGGCGACCAGCGACGCTGCCCAAGCGCCGCCGACGACTTCGCTCGCGGAAGCGCTCGACATCCCGTTGAACCCGCGGTAGGCCTCTCCCTGTCGGCGTGCTGGAAATACCCAGCACCGATCAACGCGGTCTGCGTGGCAGGCAACTGCGCATTATGAACGAGCACTGACATGCGCTCCAGACCTCTCGACAATCAGAGTCAGCCGCACGATATCAAGGATGCCGACCCCACCCCCCGAGGCTCCAACGAGCCGTGGAATTTTGGCACTTCTGGTCTAACACCGTCCCTCATGGATCCCAATAGCCACAGCTTCAACATGTTCGCCAACCAAATGCCGGGTTACTACACGCCCACGCCCGGCGGCACCAACACCCTCTATCACAACCAAGCCGGCGACCTGCACACGCCCACCTTCGGCATGGGATTGGGCACGCCGCTATCGATGCCAACTTCAGAGAGCGCCTTGCATGCTGGCCAGCAAGGCGCACCGTTTCATGGCTTCCAGCCCGGCTTGCCTCAGCACATGCAACAACCGCAGCAGCAACAATTCCAGAACATGAACCCTTTCCACATGCACCAGCAGGGCTTTGCGCCATCGCAGTTCTCACATCAGAACAGCTTCGATGACTTGCAAGGGCCGGTTGGAGACTCGCCTGTCGACGACATGGGTCTGGACATGGGCCTGCCACATCCACACCAATCGCCCGACATGCTCTTTCGGCCGCCCAACATGCATACCACGATGCAACCGCCCCCGCTGCATCCATCCGCTGAGAAGTGCGTATCCAGACAACACAACACGAGCGAGACTAATATAACTTCTAGGTTCCGCTACCATGTCACGCTGAATGCGCCCACTGCGATGATCAAGCATGCCGATGAGATTCCCGTGACATACCTCAACAAAGGCCAGGCGTACACGCTGAACGTCGTCGACACGCACACACAACAAGGTGCGCCCGCGTCACGATACCGGACCTACGTGCGCGTGTCGTTCGAAGATGAACAGCAGCGACAGAAGCCGGCGGCCTGCTGGCAATTGTGGAAAGAAGGCCGAGGTACCAACGAAGCGCATCAACGCGGCGGTCGCTTACAAGCAGTCGAATACGTCGACTCTGGTCAGCTTGGAGGCGCCGAGGACCCGTCAAAACCGAAGGTCGACCTCGAATGTTCGTCTTTCGACGGCTTCTGCGTGACCTGGTCACCTGCCAACGGCGCTGCCGAATGTCCCATATCAGTGCGCTTTAACTTCTTGTCCACCGACTTCAGCCATTCCAAAGGTGTCAAGGGTATTCCAGTCCGGTTATGTGCGAAGACGGAAGCAATCGATGAGGCGACACTTACGCCATCACAAGCGACCGGATCAGAAGTGTGCTACTGCAAAGTCAAGCTGTTCAGAGACCACGGCGCAGAACGAAAGCTGTCCAACGATGTCGCCCATGTCAAGAAGACCATCGACAAGCTCAATCAGCAAATAGCACAGATCGAGTCCGGGATGCGGGACTTGAGCAAAAGGAAGAGAGCTGGATCTCTGGCGCAAAAGCCTGGTATGGACAGGCCCGGCAAGGTGCCCAAGCACCGAAGAACGTGGTCGGTCACTTCTGCGACATCGAACGGCGGCCGTGGAAGCGCAGAAGAGGATCTTCACATGAAATTGATGACACTGCAAGACATGTTCACGTCAACACGACCTGCCAGTGTATTGTACCTTCGCGGCGAAGACGGCGACGATCCAGACGCCTACCCCGTCAAGCTCACTGGAGACATCGACCTGGTACGGACAGATTCTGCGGACACGGCGAACTGGGATAAGCACAGCGACGGCAAGAACGAGTCTTCGATGGTATCGCCCACACCGAGTTCCAACTCCCTGATTGGCAGTCGCAAAGACTCGACGATGCAGCAGCCCACGCCTGTCGGAGGACCATCGCGACAATCATCGAACGAGTGGCGCAATAACCCGCAGACAGCGACCATGGACATCCAGCCGACAATACCGGAACAGCTCCACAGCCCACCAGAAAATGCGCCTGTGAAGGTGCAGATCAAATCATCAGAGGCTGCGGCCGTTTCTGGCTGGATCGAGGCGGTCGGAGTTGACCCTAGTTACCGGCCACCTCCACCCAGGGCTGTCAAACCGGTTGCGTGCTTCTATGTCCAGCCACATGTGTCCGGCCGAGCGCCGTCCGATAACCACTATCGCGCCATTTACCTGATGAAGCGAACGCTCAAAGATTTTACCAATGCGCTCGCCAGGAAGTGCAACATCGAGCCGACCCAAGTGTTGCGCACATACCGGATCACCGAAAATGGTCTCAACGTTTTCTTCGACGACGAATGCATCGATGAACTGGCCGAAGGACAGGATATGACCGCCGAATTCTGCGAGGTCCAACTCGACGACGACGATGCTCCGGTAAAGGCCGAACGAGAGTGGGACGCTGGGCCCACCGACATTCAATGCGACGGCGAACTTCCGACGACGGAAAATGTGAATTCTCACGGCTACGAGCTCAAATTGCTATTTTGATTTGCTTTCAGCGATGAACTTGCGACTCTCCTACATTGAGGAGCCCATCTCCTCCGCTCCTTGGTTTCTAATCGCACGACACGAGCAACACGACGAACGAAACAAACGCATCATATCGCATGAAACGGGAAGCGTGTACATGAATTGGGACGGTTTCTGCGGAATTTTCTTCCTATCCTTGTGCCTCCTTCGGCTAGATATCGCCCGCCTGCGATTGAGAAGGCAGCCTCTTTTTTCCTTCTTCTGAGATACCACATGGCCTACGAATTTGAGGCGAAACCTTTTTACTTTTACTGTTCTTCTCATCATTCTGAATAACTGGAGATACCCACACCTGCGATTAACCGGGATGGCTCTGGAGAATTTGCTCGGGTCAGGAACGCGCGCAGAAAGAGATTAATACATGGATGGGATGGGATTGTTGGGAGGCGGGAGGGAAATGTGGCGATCGGGGATCTTTCCTACTGTATTGTCTCTTGGGTCTGCGGTGGCGTATAACCTCATCAGCGGTGGCGGGACTCCACTGCTGCGGCGGGAATCACACACGGGAAAATACTACTACTACTAAGCTACTACATATCGGATCAGAATGGATCATGGATCGTTTGTCCAAAAGACATGGACAAGGAACACACACACAGCGGCAGAGCTGCTTTGAAGTGCACTGGCTACATGACAGTCATAGCAGAAATATTTGTCAACAGAAGACACACAGAGAGAGACACACAGTATAGGATAGGATCACCCCCCATCCAGCAGCCTGGATAGCGGCGGTGTGTAGCACTTCACAGGGTCTCTTGTCAATACAATCAAAATGATGATGTGTTCAAAGCTCAATTCAATTCCCATCACTATGCTCCACTACACTGAGTTTTTACGTGAGGCTTCCAACACGCAAACGGTAAAGAAACCGTCCATTCATCCCGTCTTCCTATGACTGTACACTTTTTCGAGCACCGCAGCGCAAAGTTGAGTTGGGCGTACGTGCGTCGCACAGAAGGCTGCAACATTCGAACGAACATTAGTCGTCGAAGCTCATGTCAGGCACTTCCCTGGCGAAGATCATCACAGACAGAAGAGAGAAAGGTCATCTGGGCACATCCCGTCCATGTCCACTGGCCGGGTTGTCCGTGGGGTTGACTAAGTTAGTTAGTCTAGAGTTCTGCCCTTCCCTCTCTTTCCCGTGTGCGGCGTAACGCGCGAGCCACAGCTTGGAAGATAGCTCTGGTAATGTGAGGCTGGACACCGACCACTGCCTGCCAAATCAGAAAAAAGCGGGCGGGCGACAGAGCACCTGCCTGCTGCAATTATTCCAGCGATTCCAGCCAGACCCAGTTTCTGCCGCCGAACGCTGGCTGTGGCGCGGACATTTCGACGAACGTTTTGCGGACGCTTAGACGTATTGGTCGTTAGTAGCTATTCTGGAACTATTGTTTATTATAGTGCTTGTAGACGAGAGCGCCAATCTTCTGCAAACATGGAAGACTGGCCGCTGGGTTGTGCTGCAAGATTAGACGAGCAGGTGTGGCTTTCTCCGCGCTTGCGGCTTGGGTGAGGAGGAAGCGAAGAAGCAAAAAGACAGATAGCGCCACAACCAAGCAGCGCGTGCCGCCTGCAGACAGCCACGACAGCTTTCACCAGCCTCGAACATGAAACAAAGGACAAGCCTTTTGGGAAGTCCCCAAGTCTCGTATTTCTTAGGGCTATTTCAGAGCTCTGCTTTCTGTTGCGTTTTTGGTTTACTGCTGTTGCTTGGAGTGTGATGCCAATGAAAACGCCTCGATTCTGTTACGTGGAGGGCAAGCATATACCGTCACCTTGCATGGGTGTTCTGGTGCCCATTTGCTGGCGGGGAGAGCTATATCGAGGTGGCAAATGAGCTCTGGTGTTCTCTGGGGTCTAGCAGCCGTGTTACGCGTCCAGCAGCACTTTCTGTGCGGTTGCCCAAAAGAAAGGGTTCACTGTTGCTATACACAGTAACATGAGATGATCCGACTCTCGTGTTGGTGATGAGTGATGACCGTCCGTGGAGCTGTACGGAAGTTCGAACCCAGCGCCCTGACGCCTGACGTTGAAGATCTACTCCGACATGGGCAGTGATCTGCAATGTGCACAGCCACATTCGAGCTGCTGGGGGCTCGAGATCGAGAACGTGCAAGGGCTCCCATGCCACGTTGGCTGACTCTGGCTGTGCCGCGACGGCATGGCATGGCATGCATGCGTAGCCTGCTTCGACAGGCGCGGGACGAGCTTCGACGTTGCGTCGATTGGAAGGGCTGGAAGCTCTTTGGGACAGCTTCCTTGCCCAAGTGGCGCAAGGCGGTGCGCAATCACAATCCGCGCACACACGCCGCAGAAATGGCCGCAACCCGGGTTGGCGGGTCTTTAGCCTTTTCTTTGATTGCAGACACCTGCAATGCTCCTGCCCGGTTCTCGCGGATATGCAAGGTCGGCCGACGTCGCGCTGAGAATGGGCACGTGGCTCTGGGCAAGCAGGTATTGCGGCCCCGAGAGTTGCAAGCGCTCCGAGGATGGAGTTCATGCTTTGCGAGACTCACGAACGGCTGTTTCAGCTCATGCAGTTGGTAGTGTCAGCATCACTTTTGTTCGCCCAGCCACAAATGATGTCTGTTTGAAGGACAGGCAGAGTCGGACGGGACGGTGTGTACCCGTATGCGCTGGCCGGAGAGCATCACGAACGACGATGTCCTTGGAAATCCGGAAAGCACAGGCGCTCTCACATCGATCGTGAACGATGCCACTTGGCGAGACGGTGTGCTGTTGTCCGACGGCGCAGTAGTTCTATAAGCTATGCGCAAACCAGGATTTGGTCGTCTCTGGCGGCACGGCATCTGAGATCTGACATGTGGGAGTGTCTCGGCTTCTGGAAGGCGTGGTCGTCCCTTTCCTTCGGCGTTGAATCTTCCTGACGGTTTCCGATGGGCCGGAATATGTGTTACAAGCACACCGCTGTCTTCGTGATGGCAAGAGTCAGTCGAGGTAGGATTCTTGAGACTCTCGAAAGCGAGTAATCATGATGTTAGGCTGACAGTGGTGTGACGCTGCACGCTGCAGTTTCCAGACGAATTCTGTGTGAATCAGTTGAGCCGGAGTCAAGTGCATCGTGAAAGCTCTTGAAGTTGTGTCAGTCTTAGGACAACGCTTGCGTCAGTAGTAAAACATCACCATACCATCCGGAGCTTGCCTTCTGAGCCGGTCAGGGTGAGGAGCGGACACGAGGGTACTCGGGCTAGATCTTCTGACACACAAACAGCACCGGAACCAAGTGAAGGTAGACTACTTCATCTGAGCACGAGCTGTCTGGTCGGGCTCACAAGCTCGACACGAAATGTTTTCGAAAGGTTCCATTGCTCATTCCGGCTGACTCGAGAGGGCCACTCACTCACATAGCCAGGCGCCACATCTCGCGAGCGATGAACGCCATGTGGCTGATAGAAGCATATGTGATTTCGACGAGGAACAACCGCCGAGGATAACAACCAGAGTAGATCGAACCATGGCGCGCATCAGATCAACACGTAGGAACCTGTGTCAGCGACAGAGTTGAAGACAAGCTCCGCCATGGAGGCAATCTCTTCGCATTCGCTGTATCAGGTAGCATTATTGCCGGGCATCGCGGAATATGTCCGGCATGCGATGCTTCAAGCCCCAATGGCAGCGTATCGAGCACGCGACACATTCGAGCGGTGCCCAAAGCAATGTCCAGCAATAGCCTCAACAGGACGCTAGATGTCACTCATCTCGGTATGTCTTGCAAGAAAGGACATGCTGAGATTGCGTCCCCTAAAAGCGTCTTCCAGAGGAGCAGGACCCACTGAGAGGCTTCGTCTGAGGGATATTGCTTTGTGCTGAGTCAGACATACTTGTCAACAATGAGGGCTTCGCTGCCTCGAAACGCAGGCAGACCATATTGAGCAAGCAAACTGGATGAACCGGGTCATGAGTTCGTGTGTAATTGAGCTCCAAGTAAGGGTGGAAATGCTCCACCTGGTCATCATCTGTCCGACCTATGCTCATGGTCGGGCAGCGTGAGGCGTGGACTTCGATACTGGAGCTGTAATGAGTCTTCGAACCCTCATCGCTGGCTTAATATATTGATCCTGCTCAGCCCTCTTCTGGGCGGATCCGGGACTTGCGGTCTATCAAACGCGAGAGACAATGAGGCCGTGGTTCGGCACTTGCACGATGCCTTCCTTGACTTCGGTTCCTGCGTCCGTGTGCTGCGGTCGCGTTGAACTGTATTTCTCTTCACTGCAACCTTTGAAGCCCTTGAGTTGTTCGATGCCGAAGCAACAGTTCTCGGAAGGTTGAAGTTTGAAGTTATGCGGCATCTTATCAGCGTGACTCAACTGTAACTTACGCTTTGAGCTTGCTCCAAGACACCCTCTCTCACGAGCAAGAGTCATGGAATTTCCATATAGAGAGACAGCCCTCGAGAGTCGGCTTTCTTGCCGTTCAGAACCAAAGTCGATGGGCTATGTCTTGCATGCTTGGGGAAGCTCAGACTCAAGCTCAGAAACATTGCTGCCAAGTCTGTACGAAATGTGTCCACCGTTGACTCATCGTGTGTGACATTCGGGGCCGGCTAGTATTGGAGGGCTCGATTTGTGATATTCGGAGCACAGGCTCTGTGTCCATGGATATCGTGGCAACACATGTCAGGCGAGTGAAGCACCGCCTAAGCCATTAGCTGGTGACTGAGCCATTGACTGAGCCATTGACTGATCCATTGACTGAGCCATCGGAAAGAGACCATGGGCTAAGCCACGAACAGAGCCGCCGAGCCTCAAATTCGACCTCCAGTCCGGTCTCGGGAAGGCTGTTCGTAAACGTCTTGATACTGCGACCTCTGAACCGGCAGTGCCGCCGAGAAGTACAAGAGAGTATTGCCTGCTGGGGATGGCCCTCATCAGTCTGGCCATCAGCCAATATCAGGCTTCTGATCGTGCATTCTTCGAGTTGCTGATATCGCTTTCCGTAGTCCGCAGAATTCGGCACCGTGGATGCTGGATACCAGGCATTGCGACAGGCTTTCGACCATGGCTTTGAGAGGATCGCAATGACTTTGACGAAAGACGTAGGTCTTTCTGCTGTTATTGTGGTCGTTGTTGTGGTGGACGTGAAGTGGACGCGACTACTGTGCAAGAATCAAACGCCACTGCCACCCCAGATTTCTTGGCGCTTACCCAGTTCGGCAAAGACCCGGTCACACCCCAGACACAGCAAGAGCAGTCCTAGTAATTCGCTCTGAAAGTTTGAAACTGAGAACAGCGTAAACGTAGAGTCTGCTCTTTTGTCCACTGCAATTCTCAGCAGAAATTGACCCCAAAGCTCGTGGAGCTAATGCTCTTTTTGCCAAATTGTAAGAGCTATTCCTTTATTCATTACTACAGGTATATACAGTCGTATCTCTCCATCATCTTGAGTCATTTCCGCAGTCCAATTTACCCTGCTTCTGATTTATTCCGCTAGCTGTTTCTCATCACTTGACTATTGTCTCTTCGGTTTCTGCTGTACCTAATCCCGATTTAGACCAACGGCTTCTTCGCAAGCCTGAGAGCAACGTTGATCACGCTAGAGGTCGCAATAACGTGTGCGAGGGTTCGTGGAGTGCCGAGGTTGAACACGTAGCATGGGTAGTGTCTGTTTGTCCCTCGCAGTCAGCTTCTGCTCACCTTCTTCTGAACTTCATCGCAAGAATCTCAATACTCACACAAAGCACTTGGCAATCACATGCAAACCGAGCAAGTTGATCAATGTCTGATCACCAGGAGCCATAGCCTGGGCCAAAGCAGCGCTGATCGCAAAACCCGGGAACATCTCCATGAGGTTGTAGTGTGCGGAGTACAACCTCAATGGCAGCCCACGCAAGTCCTTAATTTGTGCTCGTGGGTGGTCGTTATCTCTGCCTCCTTTGATACCTGCTGCGGAGGCCGCCGCACTGCCCGCTCCTGAGAGTGCATAGGTGACTGTGACGTACAGTCCTGCCAACGCTGCGATTTTGCCGGACTGAGGAATCGCAGAGGTGCTTCCGGCGGAGGAGAGGAAGCCGACTGTGCTGACAACTCCGTTCACGGCCTTCTCGACAAGGCTGTTGGGTTGTGTGATCCAGGATGTGAGAGGGATCGCGGCGAGGAAAAGGCCTCCGAAGCCGAACATCGCCAGGCCTGCTGGGTCCTCGCTGGAAGAATCTCGCTATCAGCTACGCTTCTCTTGTCGCAGTCGCTCTGCTAGAACTCACACGCCATCATTTGCCAGCTTATTCTCGACCTTCTGCTTGCCTTCTTGCGCCTTGGCCTTAGCCTCGTCTGCGCTTGGGAAATCGCGTCGGTTCGACATTTTGTAAATTGTATAGCTTTTCCTGCTGCCAAAGAGCTCAACTCACCAAGAGGAACAAGAAAGTGTTATACCTTACCCGGGGCATGGCTAGTCTATGTTGTGGCCGCCCATCATCACCTTCGGCAGCCACATTGCCGTTCAACCCCGCTCTAAACGAAGCCAATGAAGCATAATGGTGATGATCGTGATGCGCCGCCAAATGTAAACAAGCGTTCAGCCTACGGAGAGGTGGAAGTCTGTAGTGGCCTGGATGCTGCACGTGAGACGTTTGATCGAGAGATCGTCGCATCACATCGCTTTTTTGCCGAGATAAGCGGTACGAAGCCGAGAGGTTGAATCTTGGTACACTAGAAGGATGCGGATCATGCGAACGACTTGCTTTGCAATGCCTTTTAGGAGAGTGAAGACGACATGTGCAGGGGAGAGAAGGAACTCGCCAGCAGTAATACATACATTTGTCGATGATTTTGTACCACTTCGATTCCTTCCGGTCGTCCGGAGACTTCTCCTCATAAATTTTTCAACGGTGCGACACCATACTACAACTCGTCCTTCACTTTTACGCTCGCCTCGAAATTATCCTTGCATTCGAAATTGGCAGCATCGTTCTCGTCTCCTCCAGTGAAAGCAGCGACCTTGGGGTATGGACACAGTTTCCGGGTGAATTGTTTGAACGTGCTCATATCTTGTCCTGGGAAGGGCAAGTTCTGTGCCAGAATGTGGTCTGGAGCTTCGCCTTTCTCGACCCACTTGACAAGATCTAAGAAGGCCGTCAGAGGATAAGCTCCTGGTCCTCCAATGCAGTGGGCAATGCCAGGAGCCTCGAAGTGTCGATAGAAATCATTGATCCTCGGCCCAACAATTGCTTTCACGCGGTCGTGGTAGCTCGACGTGCCGTTTGGTGGGATCAATTGATCCTGCAGACCGTGCCAGCCCAACAGCTTTCCACCCGCCTTTCGGAATCGTCGCAGATCAGCATCGGCCGAGTTGATCGATGAGTGGTATTCTTGATAGCTCTTGACAAGCAGCTCATCGAAGAATTGCTCGTCGTCGACAGTTGCCAGGTCGAAGTCAGGGTTCTTCATCACCCATGTCTTGATCCAGTCTGCGGAGATGCCAAATGGCGAAGACTTGCAGTTCTTCGAATTTTCATCACACTTCGTTGTAGCAAGGCCGCCAAAAACAGGGTCGATGCCTGACATAGATGCGTCTGGGGTAGTTCCAAACCACACTCGCTTGCCACTTTCTGGATCAATAGGACCACTCCAAGCATAGGAGGCGACCTCGGCAGCCTGCTTTGTGATCTTGCGGGTATCGGTGCCGCAGGTGTACTTCTGCCCAACCACTGATTTGGGATCGAACTTGCATTGACCCGGAGCAGAGACGATACCATCCTTGACGCCATCGATCTCATCGCAAGCGTCGACAGCTGCGGCCGTGATAGCATCGAGCTCGCACGGAGCCGGGTAGTAGTTCAGTCTCTTCATAACGACATGAGGGTAGAACTCAGTCACCAAGAAGGTTACCCAGTTGAATGAAGGTGCGGTGGAAATAATGCCTTGGTACAGCTTTGGGTAGCGTTGGGCCAGGATCATGCCCTGACGTCCGCCTAGTGATTCGGGACATCAGTAAAGCCTTCACGGACTCTTTGCAAAAGTCACTCACCTGTGCTGCATCCGTTCCAATAAGAGTATTTGATTTTCTTGCCATAGTAGTGCTCAATCACATGCTTGGCAAGCATCCCGAGTTCTCCCACAGAGCGCCAGCCATACAGCTGCAGTAAGTCGTAGTTTACGTTGCCGGGGCTTTTAACGCCCCACCAGGTTGAATCGAGCGCAGTGCGGAAAACATCGCCTTCGTTGCTATGGCCGCCGTCTGTGTTGGCTGCAGCATAGCCCATCGACACCGCCGGGCCAAGTGCGTCAGGAATACCCGCTGCCTGGTCATGTTGTTAATTCTGCGCATCAGTGCTGAGGACACGAATCACATACATGTCCACTTCCTCCTTGTCCCAAGTACCTTCCGTTCCACTCTTTCTCTTCGGGCAACCAAACGTTCACACGAACTTGGCCATCAACGCCTGTGATTGTAAGCAAGGAAGTGGATAATCCTGTTGAGAAAGAACAGACTGACCAGGATGTGAGTAGAGAATGGTGACATTGCAAAAGTCCAAAGGCTTTGCTTCGGCTGGCAACAGAGGCAGAGCTCTTGGCATCGGGACTGGCTCTTCGACCCATCCTTTCACAGTCTCTGCGATCACCTCTTCGATCTTGACACCTTCTAAGTCGGCAGGCTTCCCCGCTGCTTCCAGTGCCTTTGATGAGCATGTCGCCGCTGAAGACTCGGCAGCGAGTGCGAGAAAAGAAGTAAGCAGGAGAGACAACATCTCTGCAGACGATGAGTTCCACTGCGGGACAGGTGAGGTCGGGTAGGAAGAAGGTGATATACTATAATGCTTCGGTAGTACGGCCTCTTCAATGAGGAGCTGTACTTCCGACCAATTCTAGATGCAGGAGCTTGGGTAGATCCCAAACTTTAAAAGCCATTGTAGTTTGCCGGGTGCATAGGCAGTCCGGTAGCCATGGAATTAGGTACAGCATTAGTATGGCAAAGTAGCACGTCTAGTGGACAGCTTGCTCCGCTCTTTTTGTTCCCGTATGTGGGACCTTTCGCAACGCCCACAGCTCGCACATTTTTGAGAAAAAACGCATTCAGCAAGTAGACAAGCGGAACGAATGCGATAAGGCTGCGTCTGCTGTGTTCTCAGGCTTCTCCAGATACAATCATGGTTCAACCCGGTCGGGCGGTGATAAGCAATGCGGAGGCCCATGGGACCTCGAAGTGAAGTTCTTGAAGATCGGAACAAGGCTCGGCTGTTGCGAAGTGTCTCTTTCCGAAGTGCGCTAACCGAGCCGATAGCACATCCTACGCGTCCGTTCATCTTGCAGGAAATATAGGGCGATCACTCCCATGTCTTGTCTTGTCCTTTCCGAAGATTCCATCGCTGTCGCTAGACGATCAGATGAAGCAGTCAGGTCGGCGGGCTCATATACCGCCGTTCAGCCGACGCGACTGACTCGAAGTAGGCGTGTCTGGTTGCAGATTGTCGCCGTTCCCAATCCTCGGTTGTATCGGAGCAGCTTCTTTAGCCCCAGAGCGGTGTGTGGGCAATGCGCTGGTATACTTGTGAGATTTGCAGAAGTGCACAACAATGGAAAGAGAGAAGGCTCAACATTCGGCAATTGCTGTGCCAATTGTCTTGGCAATCACGACAACAGCAGCTTCTTCGCTTGCCATGAGCTACTCTGATCTGCTGAACAGCTCAGACCGAGTACATCTTCAAGGCCTATCAAGACTGAACACGTCTATCTGAGCCAAAAATCATCGACTGAACAAGCAATGACATTGTTAAGATCTATACTGCTCTGCCTTAGCCTCCTATACCGATCGGGATTGGGGGGCAGAGTAGCCCAAGATGGAACAAATGCAAAGCAGCCAAATATCATCTTCATCCTCACTGATGACCAAGACCTCCACATGGACTCGCTTTCTTACATGCCTTATCTGAAGAAACACATCACCGAACAAGGTACAACTTTTGGCAGGCACTATTGTACCGTAGCCCAATGCTGTCCTTCTAGAGTTACTATCTGGACTGGAAAGGCAGCACATAACACCAATGTCACAGATGTGAATCCTCCGTATGGTAGGTGCCTATAGCGCTTTCCCTTTTGCCTTTCCCTAGACCCAGTATCTCAAGTCGACCACACGCCCACGCTTCGCAAAAACAGCTTGCTGAGATTCTACTCAACATTGCATAGGCGGCTGGCCCAAGTTTGTCTCCCAAGGTTTCAACTCCGCCTACCTCCCTATCTGGCTTCAAGAGCTCGGCTACGCAACCTACTATATCGGAAAACTTTTCAACGCCCACAGCGTAGAGAACTACGCATCACCGCGAGCAGCTGGCTGGACGGGCTCAGAATTTCTTCTCAACCCTTATACGTACGAATACCTCAACGCGACCTTCGTTCGAAACCACGATGGACATCCGGTCTCCTACGAAGGACAGTACAGCACGGACGTGATCTCAGAAATGGCATTGGGCTTTCTTGATGATGCACTGCACGAGTATCAAGAAACAGACAAGCCAGTTTTCATGACTATTGCGCCAAATGCACCACATTCGAACGTGCATATGAACACCCTCATTGACGGGAACTTCTCCGAAGGCTCGAATACACAGTCTCCGCCTGTCGCGGCTGCACGCCATGCGCATCTTTTCGAAGACGTGGTCGTGCCCAGAACACCACATTTCAACCCGGAAACCCCACACGGCGTCTCTTGGATCGAAAGGCTACCGAGGCAGAATCAGACGAATGTGGAGTTCAACGATCATTTCTATCGCCAAAGACTGAGAGCTTTGCAGGCGGTCGATGAGATGATTGATGCAGTCTTCAGAAAACTTGATGAGGCTGGTGCTACTGATGAGACTTACGTGTTCTTCTCTACGGATAATGGATATCATATCGGGCAGCATCGACTTCAGCCTGGCAAGCAATGCCCATTTGAAGAGGATGTTCACATCCCTCTAATCGTAAGAGGACCTGGAATTCCGAAGAATTGGAGCACAGAGATCATGACGACACATACCGACCTTGCTCCAACCTTCGTGAAGCTAGCAGGCGGGGAGTTACAAGAAGATTTTGATGGGCAGGTCCTTCCCCTACATGGACTGGGCGAAAGTGATATCCCCGGAGCAGAAGTTTCCCAGCATCCTCAGGATGAGTCCGGCACATCGCTGACCGCAAGTGCTGAGGACTGGACAACAGAACACATCAACATCGAAGCCTGGGGCGTAATAATGTCCGAAGGCAACCACGGCTCTACCCTCTACCCCAACCACACTTACAAAGCCCTCCGCATCATTGGGAAAGGTTACAGCCTCTTGTACACAATCTGGTGTAGCGGCGAACACGAACTCTACGATTTAATCCAAGACCCATACGAGATGGAAAATCTTTACACCAGAAATCATTCCAACACATTTGTCTCCCTTAGCGATATCTCCTCCGACCAGAACGATTATCAAAGTGACATCTTCATTTCGCCTATGACTCTCGCTCAAGCACCTCTGCATGATAACGCCGCAGTTGCCTTGAGGGGGCAGTCGACGTTCTCAATCAGCAAGCTGCTGGACCGTTTAGATGCTCTCACCATGTTGCTCAAAACCTGCAAAGGGAGATCTTGTACACATCCCTGGGAAGTGCTACATCCTGCGCGAGATGTGAAAATTTTGAAAGATGCGATGAATGGCAAGTACGATAAATTCTATGCTCAGCAGCAGAAAGTGAAATTCGAGAGGTGTGAGAAAGGATATATCTTGGAGAGTGAAGGGCCGGTGTATGGAGGGGAGATTTGGACGTGAGCAATGACGAGGGTCAAGAGATCCTGATGGCGGAAGGAGGCCGAATGCCTTCGACCAAGGTCCGCTAGCAACAGCATCGTTTTTCGAACCGGGCATAAAGCATTACATCTTTCTGAACCTTAAGAATCGGCACAGATTGTCCTTCGTCTAGTTATGACATGCTCCAAAAGAGGCTGATGTTCCCTATCTGCTTTGCTGGCATGATTGAGCACTTTTCTTCATTCATCACTTGCATCTCTTCTCCACAATCTTCGACCCAAACTCCTCATACTCTTGCCTGCTAACCCACATTTGGTGGAACGTGCCCAGACTCCCCAAAACACTTCCTCCAATCCATGCACCATACTTTCGCTCCGGACTGCTGCTATTCGCAATTACACGCACCTTCGGGTTGGGGAATAGAGCTGCCAGATCAGCCTGTAACCGCTCGGGCAACTTGTCGATGAGAGAGCCAGCACCGGTCAGAATCACGTTGTTAAGGAGACTTGGCCGTTGGTCGACATCGACGCTTTCGACAGCTGTGCGAACGGTTTGTGTTATCGTTTGCGACTGCTGAGGCGCAGCGTGTTCGGAGTCTGTGTAGGCGGCTTTATTGTCGAAGAGTCCTTCAGCGACGCGGAAGCGCTCTACGCCGAAGACTTGGTTCCACCCATCTGGCATCTCGAATGGTTTAGGTGGGAGGCCTTTCACTGAGTCAGCGTTCGTTTGGCCACCGGGTCCGAAAGGTTGGTCGAGGCGTCCGGGGCCAGGCCAGGCTTGCACGACACTCTCTTTGAAGGCTGTCAGGACGCGTTCTTCTTCGAGCTTGCGGTAGCTGTCTGTGGGCGGCTTGTCAAATTTGACGTATGTAGCATTGCTGGGTGCACCGGCATCGACGGGCAGCTTCGACTTGACCATGTAGTGCGGCACAAGAGGCACACTCTGTTGGTTGTACATGAGCCGGATCTGATCGTTAAGCCAGTTTCCGGCGAGTGGTGTTCGCTGAATGCTCTTCTTCAGCACCATGCCCTCGTGTAGCGCCGTGACTGACGTGTTCTGGTGCCCAACGTCCACGACCAGCGCGGTTGCCTTGCCTTGTGAGTATGCCGCCAGCTGCCCTGTCTTTGCGAGAAAGAAAGCCGGCACGCCCCACTGCTCCATGGCGATCTCCATCGTCTTTTCTCGCGCCTTCAGCGGGTTCCAACCTGGTTCTGTCATGAGTAGCGGATACTCTCCCAGCACCTTCTCCTGCTCCTCTGCCTGCTCCGCCGCCTCATCCATATTCACGTCGCCATTCTCGTCCGTGTTGCCGTCGTTGAGCCCATTCTTCGAGGGTGGTGTTTGCCGCTGCCCCGTTAATCTGCTCGTGACTGCGTACTCCCACAGACTCGACGCTGTTTCCCAGTCTTCCACAATTCCGTCCGCATCGTAGGGATTTAGTATCTCGACTTCGGGTTTCGGGAGATGTATCGCATTTTCGCCAAATAGCTTATCGCCTGATGCCGTCTTTGCATAGCTTGTGGGAACCTGCTCGCCTTAGCTGTGTTTCCTGATCCTGGGTTGGGATATGCTCACCACCGACTTGGGCGTGTCTTCTCCGGCGAAGCCTGCGCGCACACTGTGACTGCCCGGGTCTAACACAAGCGCATTGATCTCATCGCCTGCATATTCCTGCTGCCCCGGGGCTTGCGTGGGAGGGAGCGTGGACATCGCGGGGGAATGTTGCGCTCGATGCGCCGATATGGACGAACCCGTTGACTGACTCTGACAAGAGGTGGTGGAGCGGCAGCGCGCGATTCGATTGATACGATTCGGCGAGAAGGGCCAGTTCAATGAAAAGGTTGAGATGGTTTGCGACAACAGTGCATGGAATTGTGTTTCGCTGCAGCGAGGAACGCGACTTCCTCGTGAAGCTCAACACGCTAAACTCTATCTGGCCACTACAAATCTTCACGCCAATTCCATTCCATCACGTCTGCACGACTTTACCTTCACCCCTTCTGTAGTAAACACCTAAACACCTGCCCAAATCCTGATTGCCCCGATCCTCCACTCCTCGCTCATACACAACAGTTCCCTGCTCAAATCCGCCACAATGCACGATCAGCTGAAGATTCCCTTGATCTTGTCCCAAAGCCCCTTCTTCGGTGGTGGTGGCTGTGGTCTGGGTGCACCAATTGTGTGTATCTTGAATCTTGGGTCGCGCTTCTCTGCCGGCAATGGAACGCGGTTGTCGATTTCTGCCGGTTGACGCTGGCCAATACTTGAGCTTTGTCCATCAGGCACTTGCACAGGCGCAGCGATAGCCAGACCACTGGCAAGGCAGAGCAGAGTGATAGCTGAAAACTTCATTTTGTCGATGTATGGTCGTTGATGTATGGTCGTTGATGTATGATTGTTGATGTGTTGTTGTTGATGTATGCCTGTGGAGGGGTGCTTCTTTTGGGTTTGGGCGCCTGCGCCTTGTTCTCTTGAAGAGTCGTGCTGTAGATAGTATTGAGGTTTGTGTTTTGATGAGTGTCAACAGTTCCCACGTCGAAGTCTGCGCTTATATGTAAATTGGACAACACCACCGTGACCTTGATGGCATCACTGCCGGCAATTTGCTTGCTAATCTCTGGAAACCATCTCGCCGCTGAGATCAATTGAGTAGCACGATTCTCCGTATGGAGCAATGTTGTGTCTTCGTAGAGGTACACTTTGCCCTAGGGCATGATGCGTTAGTCTCGGCAAGCCGGATACTGCTTACTTCAGTGAGCATTTGTACAGTAACACTTCGCATGGTCACCTTTTCAACACGAGAGGGACAGCGTAACCACCGACTGAAATCGCCATTGTTTGTGATTCGTTCCCTCAGATGCTTGGGGTTTGTTGGCATACCATTGCCTGGTCTGTTGGGCAGCCAAGAACATGCCGATTGACAGAACCTAGAAGTTCCCACTGGAAACATGACTGGCTTTGCCGACTCCACTGATGCCCATGAAAGTATCCGGGCCTACAACGGGGGTATCGCCTACCGAGCACTGCCGCAACGTCCTCGTCTCTCACGCTCCGAACATTCTGATCCTTGAGCTTCCTCTTTGTCCACCCTGTACCCACTGAGTTGCGTGGTCGTTCAAGCTCTTCTGTATACATATATCCAAGCGGTAGCATGGCCTTGGCCGTAGCGACTATCGTCGCAGACCAACTCCTCCACGCACTTGTGATATAAAGGGTGCTCCACGATCTCAGCCAGGTGAGTGATGCTCCTTGAGCGCCCGGCCAACACCATCTTTATTATGAGACACGGCGAGGTAGGCAGCTCGAAGGAGCGGCAGACAAGTCAGCATGCTCTGAAGCTGTATCTGTCCACGTAGAAAGAGGACAGGATGCGTTCGAAACGTTCGCGGGAAGCGGCGGAGAGGAGGGATGCCTTGTGGCTTAAATCGTGAGTGCTTGGTAAAGCTCGCTGTGCCCGTATTGCGTTCCGATGCGTGAGTGAGGTGTTCTTTGCCAGAGTGGCACACAGTGATTGCGTGGTTAGATGCGGCGGCGACAGGATGTCGTGAAACGAAGCAGATTGATTGCTTGGGTGCCTGAGGCAGCCACAGCATGCGGTACGATCCGCTGACTTGCCTCTTGCCTTGGCCAATTTGAGCCCCTGCAGACAGCTGGAGCACCTCTACTCCATCAACACTTCACCATGCGAATACGCGATTTGTACAAAGTCGAAACGCTCGACACGCGTTTTGCCGGGTCCGGTCAGGCATTGCCTACCGCACAGCCGTCAAAATGGGCAAGTCGGCTGCTTCCATGAATCGAGAAACGTGGCTAACAGTCAGCAGTGAGTGGGAAACGCAGCACAAGTGTTTGGGCAAGGCTGATGAGACTGCAGGAATACGGCCGAGTATTATGTGTACTACTTGGTCTTCTTGACCATTCCCTTCATGATGTTCAAGAGTGTATATGATGTTTCCAAGCCAAGCCATCCGGGCTACGCCAAACTAGAGCCTCTTCTCGAGCCAGGCTGGATCCCAGGACGAAAAGTCGACAATTCTGACGCCCAGTATGCTGGCTTCCGAGAGAATATTCCGTACATGGCAATCGTTTTGATGCTGCACCCCTTGTTACGAAGAGCCTACGAAGCTGTCAAGCCTGGCGCGAAGACTGGCGGCAAAGATGGGAACGCTACGCAGAAAGCAGATCAGCACTTGCAGGACCGTGTCACGTTTGACCTCTTCTTCGCCATGATCTTCATCATCGCGCTGCATGGCATCTCTGCGACAAAAGTCCTGCTAATCCTCTACCTCAATTACCAAATCGGTACAGCACTGCCAAGGCAGTATGTGGCTGCCACGACTTGGGTGTTCAACATCGGCGTTCTGTTTGCAAATGAACTCTGTCAAGGCTACAAGTTTGCTGACATTGCCGCCGTGACACTTCCTCCTACTACCACAGGCGCAAGCAAGCCTTCAGGAGACAATTGGGGAACATGGCTAGACAGCTATGGAGGTCTGATTCCACGCTGGGAGATACTGTTCAACATCACAGTGCTGCGCTTGATCGCTTTCAATTTCGATCACCTATGGATGCTCGACAGGAGAGCTAGTAGTCCAGTTGAGGTACTTTGTGTCCCTTTTAATCTGTCTTGCAAACTTATGCTGATCAACTCTAGAAGAAAGGTCTCGATCCCGCCAACCTGTCCGAACGAGAACGCACCTCCCTCGGCGCCAAGCCCTCCGACTTCACCTTCCGCAACTACCTCGCCTACGTTCTCTACTCGCCGCTCTATCTCGCCGGGCCCATTGTGAACTTCAACGACTACATCTCCCAATCCCGCTACCCAATGGCCACCACTTCACGCTCACGCATCGTCCCCTATGCAATTCGCTTCATTCTCTGCCTTCTCTGCATGGAACTCGTCCTCCACTACCTGTACGCCGTCGCTATATCTAAGTCTAACCCCGACTGGAACATCTATTCTCCCTTCCAGCTCAGCATGCTCGGCTACTTCAACCTCCACGTCATCTGGCTCAAACTCCTACTCCCTTGGCGCTTCTTCCGCCTCTGGTCGCTAGTAGACGGCATCGATCCACCAGAGAACATGGTCCGCTGTATGTCAGATAACTATTCTGCGCTTGCTTTCTGGAGAGGCTGGCATCGTTCCTTCAATCGCTTCGTCGTACGATATATTTATGTCCCACTCGGAGGCTCTGGGCAAGGCAAGATACGGGGCATCCTCAACTTCCTCGCAGTGTTCACTTTTGTCGCTCTGTGGCACGATATTAATCTTCGACTATTGATGTGGGGCTGGCTCATTACGCTTTTCGTTCTACCGGAGATTCTGGCAACTCTAGCTTTCCCAGCAAAGAAATGGAAGGACCGACCTGACCAGTATAGATGGCTTTGTGGAGTCGGAGCCGTGGGCAATATTCTTATGATGATGGCTGCGAATCTTGTGGGATTTGCTGTCGGCCTTGACGGACTCAAGGGTCTGGTTGATGGCATCATTGGAAGTTGGGGTGGACGTGTCTTCTTGCTCGGGGCAATGGCTACACTCTTCGTCGGCGTGCAAGTCATGTTCGAGGTACGAGAGGCAGAGAAAAGAAGAGGTGTGAACATGAAGTGTTAGACGAAGGATGGGATGTGGCCACTTGCACGAGTAAGTTCTGAAATGTCACAAGAGGTATGGTATTCGGCATATTCGTCCTGTCTTAAGTCCACATTCTCCTCGCCCAGAGCGCATTCCACAACCGCCTTGCCTTCCACAACTCTATGTGCAAGTACATTGACACGCACTGAACGGCTGGAAACAGTTTGCCGGCACGATCTGGAAACCCGTTGGTCCGCAGCATCCTCTGCGGATTCCTTCAGCGATGCACCTATACACAGAGATACCCAGTCAGCAAACTCTACTATTATATTCATGAAGCAATAGAAAAGAAGGAACCTGGGGCAACTCACTGATCTCCGCAATTGGGTCCCGAGGGATTCGCCTCAGTGGAATAGATCGCGCAACCTCCACCAGGGAATGTTCCACGGAAACATTGTTGACGTTCTTGCAGCTCGACTGGGGTTGGTGTTGCGGTGATGAGGGCGGCGCAGGTGGCCAAGAGGGTAAGTAGTGCAAATTGCATTTTTGAGACTTTTGTTGACTAGCAGTATTGTGTTTTGGTTGGAATCCTTTTGCACTTGTCGACGTCTCGAGTGGAAACTAATGACTTAAAGCGACTCTTTGGGGAGATACTTATAGTTGCAGAAAACGTGACTCGGGCCCTTTCTGGACCACTACGACACTCTTTCCGGAAACAGTATTTCTCGTATGGGAATGAAGGCACGGGAGAATCGACAGCGAGCGATCCTTCAATGCTACGTTGACGAATCAAGACCGATCGATACGACCATTGTCACATCGTGATTGTTACACCATGGATGGAAGAAGCAGAAATCAGCAGCCTGAAGTAAAATGGTATGACGGTGTTGCATTGCAACGCCTTGGCTGACGGAGAGACGAACGTCAACCACGGTTTTCAGCTGAAGTGCGAATGCACAAAATGGAAATTGAACGGGTCCCAAGCACCATCGGAATCCAGACTCCGAAGCATTAGCATGTCGAAATCCTTCTCACCATCCGTCTTGTCGCTCATGGTCACTTGATTCAGACAAATCAGTAAGCCGCGGTGCAACGACACATGATTCTAATCCCCTTTTTCAGGACTACACCATGCCACAAGCCTCTCAAGATGCTGTTGATGAATGGGCTCGGCCAACGTCTAACAAAATCTGGAGACCAATGACCGGGTGGGGTTCTTCAACACATCGGGCGTAGCACAGATTGTCTAAAAACAACAGAATCCGCAGTCCGCAGCCATATCCTTACACAGCCTGACGTCGGTCGACTGCTGATCATGAACGGATCTACCCCTTTAGCCACTCGAATGCCAGCAATATTCCCACGTTACTGGAAGGATCAGGAGCGGTGCCAATAAGCTTAAGATCTACCTTCAGCCCCCCGCAAAGTTACTGGCCGCGATAGTAACGCCAGGGAGCGACGACCAGTACCATCGGCCTGTAAGAGGACCCTCGAATGCAATGCATGACGCATGCAAACAAATGAAAATATTGTACATCGAGGATTTGCTGCGAAGTTCTCAAGGTTATCCCGATTAGGAAGGTATTTTCTCTTCCTAAAGCAGTATGTGTGCGATGCAGCTTCAAACTTTTTGCTTCGCATTCGCGCTTCGAGTCTGCCAAGAGGTGATTCTGGGAGAGCTAGTGGAGTCTACTTTTCGTGGTCGTGTTTGTGAATGACATAGACTGGGAGCAAAGGACGTCATGAAATGGACGTAGAAGGAAGTGTGGAGCTGAGGTTACATGGCGGCAGATTGATGTGCGTGAGGCTGTGGTGATTATTGCGAACAAGCGGAGGAGAAATGCGCGGTTGGGACAGAAAGAGAAGGTGTGAAGTCATGAGTTGGTTTACATTGCGAGAGAGCGGAGAGGAGAGAACAGAAGGGAGCGTATCGCAAGAGCCAGGTTGCCCATAGCATGGCTAGTGTTGGGCCTTGGAGGTGAATGCGACGAGATACTTATATCTCCGCCTGCGCCCACGGGTCTCTTGTTTTGCCTTCCAATTCAGGACTTCTACACAGCCTCTGACCCACGGAGTATAAACAATCAACATCCAACAAGGTCATAACAAGAACTATAACGAGCACACCCAAATTCAAGCACCCTCACACCAAGAGCAACCATGCAAGTCCAAACACTGCTCCTCACCACCATTCTCACTACTCTCACGCTCGCCAGTCCCGTTGCCAAGACTGAAGCTTTCGAGAACCTCGAAGCCCGCCAGTGCTTCTCTGGTCCTTTCGTTGGTGGCGAGTGCGGCATCTATGGCACTCCAAATATTCCAGGCGAAGACTGCGGCGACTTGTGCATTGCCGAAGGAACAAGGAGAAAATGCTGTACTGTTGCGACCTTCTCTTTGGATCAGGAGCCCTGTGGTGGTGTCTTGAGTGGATTTGCACAATGCAATTGTAACTGTTAGAGAATATGATGTGAGAATCAGGAAGATGTCAAGAAGTCGAAACAAGCCGAGCCGGAACTATTCGGTCGTTATACCAGTTGAGATCTCACGAGCAAATGTACAGAGATGGAATCTGGGATCGATGCTAAGTGAGATGGCTCGTTCGCAAGTCAATTCTGCAGTGTATTCATTGACACACGACTTGAGATCTTCTCTCTATAGAAGCGATGATACTGAACACTCCGTTCCAATTGCTGTCTTGCAACAAGTACTGTCAAGATTTTCTTCCAATGATGTCTCTTAACACTGACTCTATGACATCGCAGGTTTAGGCGAATGTGCACTTTGCTCTTTGTTTCTCAGACATAATGCCATTGTTCCCTTAGCATTTGTACAATTACTATCGCCACCGTTTGTCTCTAACTGGAGGCGATAGAGGGGACAATGTCTCGAAATCATGGAAGCCTAGAGCACATTCTTTGTACATGAGTCAACAATGGAACAAAGAAATATAGTTCTGAACAACGCAACAAAGGTTTCTCACCAGGATGCAAAACGTGGGCACTGGTATGTTATAAGGGCGTGAGTGAACATGCTTCAGATCTTCTGGTTCTACCAGAAGGATTCAGCAGAAACAGATCAAGCAGCATCAACAAGCTCTCTTGATTTACATACACGAAACAAGCAAAGATAAACATCATGTCCCCCTCCAACACGAGAGCTGGATTTCTGGGTAAGCTGGTTCCTCCTCCAGAGCCAGGCTGTGTTCTCTGCCCTACGAGACCCGCGAACAATCCGGTCATCATCGCAGAATGTTCTTGCTCGTGTATTGGCAATTTCACCTACTGTTACGACTGTATCAAAGGTTGGTCGATGTCAAATAATGGCTGTCCAGTTTGTGGCGATACTCTCTGGGCTGAAGAAGAAAGCAGTTCCGACGACGATGACTTGACAGAGGAACAGCAAAGTGTTTTCGACAACACGAACTATGCTGATGACGTGACTCAGGCAACCATTTTTGACAACGGTAACGGTAACAGTGCTGACGAAGACAGCAGTGACGATGACTGCGATGACGAAGAGTTCGATTACGAAGACCGCAATGGCGAAGAAAACAATGGCTTGGATGCCCTGTTGAAGAATCTCTCCACTTTCGGAATGCTGACGCTTTTGATGTCAGGTCATCGCTATCACATCCCAATGGATGTAAGACCCGGCCAAACGTATCTTACCTTCAACGGCACCGACACTCCCGACCAAGACCATAACTTCCTCGAACGCTACCACGCTTGGCGCGAAACAAGTCGACCAGTCACCTTCGACACTCCAAGTCGCTCCATCGAGGAGAACATCCTCTGTGAGTGGGTCGTCAAGCAAAGCGGCCTTCACCTGCAAGAACAGGAGGGATACTACCGTGCTCATAAGGATGAAGCGTTGAGCTGGGCAATTCTCGTCTCAACAACTGTTGAGTGTCTCCGCAAGATGGATTGTGAGAAATTCGACGGACGCATTTCACTGTGGTTTCGCTTCTCAGAAGTTCTTCTAAAGGCACTGAGCACGCGTACCTCAGCCTTTGAGATCTTTACTGACGCCACCAAAGGTGGACTGACCAGTACTTTCCCAAAGCGTGAGACATGGACTGCTCCGCAGCACTTTTTCTGGTCCTTGGTCAACGGAGTTGGAAGCGAGGCGGCGAACGTTTTGGAGTTCGTTCATGCATTGGGTTGTGAATAGAGTGTGCTAACTCCATCACTTGTGCAGGCACAGTGACGGACATACTAGGATAGCATCCTGATTTTTTCGTGTGATTTTCGGCAATGGAATTGTATTTTGCGAACTCGTCTCTTCTGTTTCATAATGTTAGCATCTACTTTCGTATACTTGTGAATTCCTGGCGCCTATGCAGCGTCTGATCAAATGTAGCGTGTAGTCAATAGTTGCCGCGTAAAGTAGAACAATTGTCTGAAATGGCGCGACGTGAATGGCTGTGCTGATGGGCACACTTCTGCAAAATCTGGCATGGTCGTAAGAGTCCGGTGCGTCCAAGATTTGACCTTTCTGCTAAGCCAGGATGTATGGCCAAGAAGCCTGTCGATCCTTGCGTTCGAAGTGTGGCTCATTCCAGAATGTACATCCTTCGCTTGTCATCATGCTCTTTCATAGTGTTCATTCCTCGTCACCGTTGAGTTGCTAAATTGGGACCTGTGCGAAAATGGCATATAGGGTAGAGAAAAATGTCGAAGGAGATCTGTTGAAGATGTTCAATCCATGTTTTGATTGTTACGAACAATGATGTTGGAAGGCACTAGCAAGATCTTCGTCTTTACGAGCAGGAGAATAGGAGTCGTCACCGCCGCCTTTCCCAATGCGATCCGGCTTCCGCATGTGCCGAGGGCGCTAGACTTTCGTATTCTGAACCTTAGCAACAACCCTGCGAAGCGATCTCCTCACATCCTACGCACGCGCTCGCTCTCAGACTCGATCTTACAATGCATTGCTCATCTGCGGTCGCCTACGACGCTGCGACTGTACCAGGACAACCGATACCGAAGGAGACGACATCTTATGCTGGCGTGGAACTGTGCAGGAATACCAACTCTCATCTACGGTACGACTGAGGACGGCGTCATTCTAGCTTCCTGGGCCTTGGGGTGTTTCAAGGTTTACGTCAACACCTCTGCACGTCCAGTCTCTTGCTCCTCATCAATATTCGCGTTTTGAGGCCTCTACCACGACTCTCCACGGCAGTCTCTGGGCTGGATTCTGCTAATGAGCACTTCCGAGGAGCCTAGAACTGCGTAAGAGGTTCTACTCCCCACGGTCGCTACGGGAAATTCTGCCTCGCGATGATCCTCGGCCACGCGCTTTCAAAGGCCTCTACTGGTAGGTGCTCCATATTCAGGTAAATCTTGCAGAGTCATGCATCTAATACACGTCTAGTAATACTACTTTCGCTCGCTGTAGCACTCAATGCTGGCCTGACTACATGTGACGACAAAAATCCTCCAGGATGCGCAGACTACATTCGCGCCGGCCTTGGCTACGACGGACCTGTACAACTAACACAGACGAAGTATGAGTATTATGTGACAACGCAACATGTCACGGTTACTGCTGGTTCGCCTCCTCCGCCTTCGCCTCCGCCTCCCGACCAGGATCTGGCTGCCGCCTCAGCATGCTCGAGCAGTTGGAGTAAATACCGCAGCCGCGCATCTGCAAATGTCGTCTGGAAACATATCACGACCACTGTGTATCAAGCGCTGACCACAGATCTCACTTACGGTACTGGAGATGTTTACTCAACCGAACCTGTCTATAGGATACCAGTAGCCCGCGGCAACTTCACAGCGACGAGCACAGCGACGAGTCGAGTTTTGAACATCACTTCTATCAGTGAGACAGCTACGGAGTCGACTCGGAATAAAACCCTTGCCAGGGCAACGCCGAGCTGCGAATTACTCAAACCGAAGGAGTGCAGCAAGCTCTACGTGGAATATGTATCGAGCCTTGGACTTCCATACAATGCTTCCGTGCCGAAGGTCACACCTGCGCCGGCCAATTCGCCACCATGTCCGGAGTACTTCTATAAGCCCTTCTCGACCTGTCGAAAATCGTTCGTCACGAGTTACTCCAACGATTGCACAATCATGGGGAACAGCGTGCAACTCTTCTACTTTCCGACTCAGTCCACCACACCGACCATTGAGCCTTCAGGAACCATTACACAGCCACCGGCAGTAGTCTACGAATATGCTCCAGGAACCACATTCACCTCGCCTTCGATCTATCTCAAATTCGACTATCTCTCTGCAGAGCGGGAAATCAATGCAAATGATGCAATATACTGCACAACTTGCAACGAAAAGGGTTGCGTGACGCAAGCAGTAGATGGCGGGCAGGAGAGAAAGCACGAAGGGACGTCGATCAAGGGTCAGCTGGTATCTCTGGCACCACAGGAGGTTTCCAGTATTGTGCTGAATTTCGATGCAAAAGAGGCCTCGAGCATCATCAGCACCATGGCCCACAACCTACCAGGATACGCAGATGTCATGGCAAAGGTCGCCGGCAACTTCAACGTGACTGCTAAGCCACTGAATTTGAGCGATGTTCTTCATCCGCCGCCTGAAGCCTACTATCTGCAGCCACTGGAAAACGCTCCTGGGTGTGACCCATTAGCACCACAGCCGCAATGTTCTACCATCTACGAAGGAGCATATCGCGCACTCATTTCTTTGCCGCAAGAGGTCACTGGATTCCAGGGAGCGTGGAAGTCTTGCTTCCCGGTCATCTACGGCGTTTACGATCCTCCCATAGCTCTGACAAAGGCCTCGGTGGCCGAGGCCCCTACATTACCAGGTGGATACAAACCGACTCCACGCCCTGAGCAACCGAACAACACGCCGCAAACTGCCGTCCCTGGGAACCTGCCTCAGATTCCTCCTTTTGCTCGACCGACTGCGCTTCCGAATGAGCTTCCTCCCGAAGGTAGTCCTGCTGGTCCGACTTTGCCTCCTGGTAGTGGAGGTTCGTCGGGTGAGAAAGGTGGTGGCAATAATGGAGGGTCGGGAAACAATGGAGGAGGTGGTTCGGACAATGGAGGAGGGGGAGGTTCAAACAATGGAGGATCAGGAAATGG